CATTTTTCCAGAGCAAGAAATTTGAACTTCTTTGGAACGATGAAGATGTTATTCACCATTGGTTATGGGGCACTTCTGAAAGAAATTTTGGTGTATTTTGGATTGACAAAGAAAGGCAGTATGGTGTTTGATCATTGATTATGGAGCACTTCCGACTGGAATTTTGGAGTATTTTCAATTGTGAGTTATAGAGAAGGTGCAAACATTTTTCCAGAGCAAGAAATTTGAACTTCTTTGGAACGATGAAGATGTTATTCACCATTGGTTATGGGGCACTTCTGAAAGAAATTTTGGTGTAATTTGGATTGACAAAGAAAGGCAGTATGGTGTTTGATCATTGATTATGGAGCACTTCCGACTGGAATTTTGGAGTATTTTCAATTGTGCGTTATGAGGAAGGTGCAAACATTTTTCCAGAGCAAGAAATTTGAACTTCTTTGGAACGATGAAGATGTTATTCACCATTGGTTATGGGGCACTTCTGAAAGAAATTTTGGTGTATTTTGGATTGACAAAGAAAGGCAGTATGGTGTTTGATCATTGATTATGGAGCACTTCCGACTGGAATTTTGGAGTATTTTCAATTGTGAGTTATAGAGAAGGTGCAAACATTTTTCCAGAGCAAGAAATTTGAACTTCTTTGGAACGATGAAGATGTTATTCACCATTGGTTATGGGGCACTTCTGAAAGAAATTTTGGTGTATTTTGGATTGACAAAGAAAGGCAGTATGGTGTTTGATCATTGATTATGGAGCACTTCCGACTGGAATTTTGGAGTATTTTCAATTGTGCGTTATGAGGAAGGTGCAAACATTTTTCCAGAGCAAGAAATTTGAACTTCTTTGGAACGATGAAGATGTTATTCACCATTGGTTATGGGGCACTTCTGAAAGAAATTTTGGTGTATTTTGGATTGACAAAGAAAGGCAGTATGGTGTTTGATCATTGATTATGGAGCACTTCCGACTGGAATTTTGGAGTATTTTCAATTGTGAGTTATAGAGAAGGTGCAAACATTTTTCCAGAGCAAGAAATTTGAACTTCTTTGGAACGATGAAGATGTTATTCACCATTGGTTATGGGGCACTTCTGAAAGAAATTTTGGTGTAATTTGGATTGACAAAGAAAGGCAGTATCGTGTTTGATCATTGATTATGGAGCACTTCCGACTGGAATTTTGGAGTATTTTCAATTGTGCGTTATGGGGAAGGTGCAAACATTTTTCCGGAGCAAGCAATTTAAACTTCTTTGGAACGATGCACATGATATTCACCATTGGTTATGGGGCACTTCTGAAAGAAATTTTGGTGTATTTTGGATTGACAAAGAAAGGCAGTATGGTGTTTGATCATTGATTATGGAGCACTTCCGACTGGAATTTTGGAGTATTTTCAATTGTGCGTTATGAGGAAGGTGCAAACATTTTTCAATAGCAAGAAATTTGAACTTCTTTGGAACGATGAAGATGTTATTCACCATTGGTTATGGGGCACTTCTGAAAGAAATTTTGGTGTATTTTGGATTGACAAAGAAAGGCAGTATGGTGTTTGATCATTGATTATGGAGCACTTCCGACTGGAATTTTGAAGTATTTTCAATTGTGAGTTATAGAGAAGGTGCAAACATTTTTCCAGAGCAAGAAATTTGAACTTCTTTGGAACGATGAAGATGTTATTCACCATTGGTTATGGGGCACTTCTGAAAGAAATTTTGGTGTAATTTGGATTGACAAAGAAAGGCAGTATGGTGTTTGATCATTGATTATGGAGCACTTCCGACTGGAATTTTGGAGTATTTTCAATTGTGCGTTATGAGGAAGGTGCAAACATTTTTCCAGAGCAAGAAATTGAACTTCTTTGGAACGATGAAGATGTTATTCACCATTGGTTATGGGGCACTTCTGAAAGAAATTTTGGTGTATTTTGGATTGACAAAGAAAGGCAGTATGGTGTTTGATCATTGATTATGGAGCACTTCCGACTGGAATTTTGGAGTATTTTCAATTGTGAGTTATAGAGAAGGTGCAAACATTTTTCCAGAGCAAGAAATTTGAACTTCTTTGGAACGATGAAGATGTTATTCACCATTGGTTATGGGGCACTTCTGAAAGAAATTTTGGTGTAATTGGATTGACAAAGAAAGGCAGTATCGTGTTTGATCATTGATTATGGAGCACTTCCGACTGGAATTTTGAAGTATTTTCAATTGTGCGTTATGGGGAAGGTGCAAACATTTTTCCGGAGCAAGCAATTTAAACTTCTTTGGAACGATGCACATGATATTCACCATTGGTTATGGGGCACTTCTGAAAGAAATTTTGGTGTATTTTGGATTGACAAAGAAAGGCAGTATGGTGTTTGATCATTGATTATGGAGCACTTCCGACTGGAATTTTGGAGTATTTTCAATTGTGAGTTATAGAGAAGGTGCAAACATTTTTCCAGAGCAAGAAATTTGAACTTCTTTGGAACGATGAAGATGTTATTCACCATTGGTTATGGGGCACTTCTGAAAGAAATTTTGGTGTAATTTGGATTGACAAAGAAAGGCAGTATGGTGTTTGATCATTGATTATGGAGCACTTCCGACTGGAATTTTGGAGTATTTTCAATTGTGCGTTATGGGGAAGGTGCAAACATTTTTCCGGAGCAAGCAATTTGAACTTCTTTGGAACGATGAAATGATATTAACCATTGGTTATGGGGCACTTCTGAAAGAAATTTTGGTGTATTTTGGATTGACAAAGAAAGGCAGTATGGTGTTTGATCATTGATTATGGAGCACTTCCGACTGGAATTTTGGAGTATTTTCAATTGTGAGTTATAGAGAAGGTGCAAACATTTTTCCAGAGCAAGAAATTTGAACTTCTTTGGAACGATGAAGATGTTATTCACCATTGGTTATGGGGCACTTCTGGAAATTTTGGTGTATTTTGGATTGACAAAGAAAGGCAGTATGGTGTTTGATCATTGATTATGGAGCACTTCCGACTGATGGTTGTTTGTATTTTTGAAACAATGGTTGTTGTAGTTTCCGATCTGTGGCTTCGATTGGTCGTTGCCGGTGGATCAGTCGATACTCCTCGGCTTTTTATGTTTAACAAAAATAGTTGAGGATTGTCACTGCCCTGGACATCCGATGGGTAAAATTCGACGTAAAATTGAGCTGTCGTTGTATACCAGCGTAAACTCACACGTATTGACGTGAAGAATTATTTTAATTTCACCACTCTCGCACTTCTCCGGCTTATCGGCGTCCGGAGATTTTCGGCGACAAAGGTGCACGGTCTTTCGACAATCGCTGGCTTGTCCTGTGGAAACGTTGTTGTAGTTAATGTGCCACGTTCTTTTCACTCCATTTGGGATGACAGACTCTTCGTATTTTTGCATAACATTGACGACGTCAACTTGTGGGCTAGCTATCTCGAGGGATATGGACGTGGTAGTCAACGTATGTTACATTACGATAACTCTGTACGTATTCTCCTTCGAGGCTCGCATGCATGCGATTGATTACTAAACTGCCGTCGTTGCTTATGGCAAACGTCGTGTTATTTGCCACGGACGTCTTCCAGGGTGATCCAATTTTACGCCACATCGACGCGACAAGGGTTTTTTACCGTGGTCGAGGCGGTGCCATAGAGCAAAGGTTGCAGTGGGGTGAAGGTCCTAAGTAAGGCTTACCCCTTACCATTTTGGTCAATTTTGAAGACTTTTTCAACTGTTCAAAAACGGTCTTAAAATGCTAAAAATGGCTTCCTAGGACTAATATCTTTCATTTTAGAGCATATTTGGTTGGTTTTTGGAACATTGAAAAATCGTGAAAATTGACCATAAATGGTAAGGCTTACCCCTTACCATTTTGGTCAATTTTGACCATAAATGCATGGTAAGGCTTACCCCTTACCATTTTGGTCAATTTTGACGACTTTTTCAACTGTTCAAAAACTGTTTTAAAATGCTAAAAATGGCTTCCTAAGACTAATATCTTTCATTTTAGAGCATATTTGGTTGGTTTTTGGAACATTGAAAAATCGTCAAAATTGAGGGCTTACCCCTTACCATTTTGGTCAATTTTGACGACTTTTGAAAATTTTCTAAAACTGTGTTAACATATAAAAAATGGCCTCCTAAGATTAATCTCTTTGGTTTAGACCATATTTGGTTGCTTTTTGGAACATTGAAAAAGTCGTCAATTTTGACAAGAATGGTAAGGCTTACCCTTACCATTTTGGTCGATTTTGACGACTTTTTCAACTGTTCAAAAACTGTCTTAAAATGCTAAAAATGGCGCTTTTTTATTTCTGACCAAAGGATTAAGCGGGAGACAAATAACTGTAAAGAAAATACTTAACTTTGACCAGACGGCAAAACAATCTTGCTCAGAAAGGTCCGCGAAAGGTCCACGTGGGTGGTTTTCTTTGGCATCGCCATTTTGAATTTGGCCGGGCGAGTCTTCTATTTCATCTTATTTCATCTTCACGTTCATCTTGACAACTGGCTGTTCAGATAAACCTATATACAACGAAAAAAGGGCTCGGCTCAGTACACTGTACTCCTTAAGGAAGGCCTATGGCCGATGGTCGTGGATCCATCACCATTTCGAATGTGATCAGGGAGCATAACGTAAGAGGGTAATTTCTGGTTAGAAAGAGATAAACAGTGAAGCAAAATACTTAACTTTGATCAGACAAGACGGCAAACTTGCTCAGAAACGTGAAATTGCCGTGAAAAACACGAATTCAATTTCTCTAGTGAACAATCTCTCAACCCGTCTCAATCATCTAGCAAAAGAAGAGAATCGCACTGAAATCGGAGCAAAGAATTATAAGTGACAACAAAATGGGCCTTTACTTTTTCTCACCTTCGCATCCTTTGTCATTGTTTGCACTACCAGTGCATCATCACCTTTGCATGGTTTTTTACGATTTTCAAGGTCATAATGAAAACATTTTTCCTAATTTATATAAATGGGTACATCAAACGACAACGCAATGAAATTTAAAATCATTCTGTTTAATAAATAATCATCTGAATTATATATTACACAGTCTTTCTTCGGGCGGCAAAATTGCCGCTATCATGTATCGTTAAAAATAAGTTAACAACGGCTATAAACGTCGTTGGTAAAAAATACATTTCATTTATTATACAAAGTAAGGGCAGTGAAACTTTAGGATTATTAACTCTATATACAACAAACAACAAACGGCTATTTCACAACAATGCTATTAGGCAAATACTGAAATTTTTTGTTACAAACTTATCGCGCACGGTTATATTTCTCCTTCTCGTCTCGAAGCATTCAAGCGCTGAGGAGTAACGCAACGCCGGCCAGGGTCCACTTAGCTGGGTTCTCTTTGGTTTTTAGGAAGAAATTCCACACGTAAGTAGGACCTCGCTGTCTTGTTTTGTAAACAGGACATTCGTAGACATTCTTCGTATCCTGTTTATCGACTGGGATCGCTTTGATAAATATGACTGGCATGTTAGGTGTGAGCTCTTTGAGTCGAGACTCGGCGATCATACCTGTCTGGGTGTCCCAACGGGCGCCTTCCATGAACAAACCGTGAACGTACGCTCCTTCGCGCGGAGGACTGTTGAAATCTTCTTTATTTTTCTTCGTCACGTCCACGGATAGTGTCATTTTGTCCAACGGCCATTCGTTCTTGCGCGCCATGGATTGTTCGATTGCGGTCAGGAATGACTGCGGGTTGAAGAAACCCGAAAGCCAGACGACGTTCGGAAGACAGAAATCCGAAGTCCAGCTCTCCAGTTCCTTGATGCGCAGCAAGAGATCAGAGAACCAGGCCGCAAGAGTCGCCATGGATGGGTAAGCACGGCGCTCCCACGAGCCAGGCACGTGATCGAAGAATAAAGCATTTGAAAGGTCCTCCATATCAGCAGTGATTGTAAGTTCACCCTTGTAGAATGAAGGGGTTGGAATTAGGGGTTTGACCTTGAACCGTAATAACCCTAATCCAAGACGTAATCCTAATGTTCTTAAGTCAAAAATTGATGTAAACAAGTGAACAGTTACGGATGTTGAAATAAGAGCTCTTATACATCAGGGGCATACAGGTTGTATCAAGGCCGTTTAGCTTAAACGGTGAATAAGTCAAAATTAAATAACACTCTTACAACTCTTTTGAATGAGTCAACTTGAATATTATGCACTGAATATGTAGTTGTAAACAGTATCTTTCAGTATACAGTATCGTTCACATCTCTGCAAAAAACTAAGAAAATCGCATTAACAACGAGCCGTAAGGAACGTACCTTCAAACCAAGATCTAACTCTCTTAGACTTCGTCTCATCTCGCTAGTCAGCATACTCATCCGCTCACATTCCTGGAACGCGACGACCACGTAGGGATTGCGATCTTCACAACGCGCCATCATTTCCTGAACGTTGAAATCATCCGGTAGCTTCTCCAATATCTCGTCAAGAACTTGCTTCACCTAAGAGAGCAACATTACACGGCGATTAGACCATGCACCAAACAGCAACAGTGACCAGGTACAGCTTCAGAGACACCAACAAAAACCACCTCTATTATCCGATGATCTATTTCGAATCCTAATATCAACAATTATCCATAACCAACCCACCTTCTCCTCACGCGTACCGCCGCCACCATCTCCACCACCAGTGTCACGTGGTTGCATCTCAAGCACGGTCTTGAAAAGGTTATCCGAGGTGGCAGTCAGGAAGCCAATTTCGGCGTTTGGATGCAAACCGTAAAGATACGGACTCTCTGGTGGCAAAACCTCGTCAATGTACGTATGGTAGCCTTTGTAGTCGCTATTTCCAGGGACCGGGAAACTTGGCGCAAGATTGAGCTCACCTTCCAACTAAAAAGAGCACGAGCAATGAAGACATTGTTATCAAAGAGAAAATGCAAGTACGCAAAAAAACAGTTGTGAAAGTTAGAAGTTACAAGTCGCCCTGCATGATGTTGTACAATTGCTGGAGATTTCAAAACAATCTCAATGACTCTTTATTCTTACCATTTCTGGTTTCATATATTCTTCAAGATATGTTCGACAGAGCCGGCGATCCCAGTCATCAGTGATGTGTCCTCCGTACATAATCTCTCCAAATAGATAACGAAGATCTGTCCATGGAACCTGGAGTGAAAAAAGATCAGATCAGCTCAGTTCGGTTCGATTCCGTTCCATTCGATTCGGTCCGGTCCAGCTAAGTTTAGTTCAGCACAGTTAAATCCACCCAGTTCGACTGTGTTTTCTTGCATGCAATAGATTGAAAAGAGACGTTACCTTAGCATTAGCTTCAAGATAGTTATACAAAACATTCACGCTGATCGTCAAATCACCCGTATTGAAGGGATACGATCGATTCCATCCCTGTGGACCAAACTTTCGTCTCTCAGCGACAACAGCGTGGAAGTAACATAAAGCAAACAGAATGCTTTTGAACTCGTTTTCACGAGCACACATCTCCAGGGTGTCCTGTAGGAAAATTATTTGAAAAAAATCAGGGTAAATGTATAGAAATTTAGCTTAGTTTAGTATCATCTCGGGAGGCAACCTCCAACTTAAGAGGATTTGCTTTGGAGTTTGGAGTGGAGAGCAAAACACGATGATCCAATACCTGATTAAAGTTGTCCAAAGCTTGATGAAGATTTGCCAGCATTCCAGTTGGTGGTTCATTTGTGATCTTGATCGAAGATTCGAGAATACCTTGTGGTATGATATGACTGTCAGGTGAACCAGCCGGTTCTGCAGACATGTAAACACGATAGTTCTCGTGGCTTCCCTCGCTGTACGCCTCCAGTGTCTTCTCCAGAGTTGACAACCATTTCGCCACCAAGTGAATATTCTATACAATGCAATATCACACCGTGTGTTGTTACAATTCTTGTATGCAAAAATTCTCACTGCCCAAATCACCAGAGACAGCAAAGACGTTCTTATGAACCACACAGGTCCCAGGATGCCTGGAATCAAACCTCCTGATCCAAGACTAATAAAAACAAACCAACCTACCTGTAGAACAACCCAATGTCCTTCTTTCGCGGCCAGCTGCAAAGCTTGTTCAGCGACGATTTCTTGACCCTGTCAGAGAGGAAATATTTATTATGAACATGGAACTCAGGTTTAGTTTACATTCCAAAAACGTTGGAGGGGATTTGATCAAAGTTTCAGACCAGTTCATCGTACCTGGCCAAGAGAGACGTTATGAAAGTTTCTGTTGTCCATCGTAAAGCCCAATTTCTTGCCCAATGCCTCGACATCTTTCAACGGATCAACACCAGGAGAGAGGATAAAGAACACAGGGGTACCAGGACCTGTCTCCTCGTACGATTTTGCAAACTCAATGGTCCTGTTCTCTACATACTTATTACCCATTTTCTCCTCAATGAAATTCCTAGAATCGATAAACGGTATGGTGAACACGACCTGGAAAACAACAAGGAGGACCTGGCTTGATATTTACCTCACAGCGTAAGTCATTCTGTCGGGTCTTAAAGCTCTCATCATGCAAAGTTTCTGCAAAGCGGTTTTATTCTTCCATTCTTGCGGGAACTTCTCTTTCTCGGGACATTCACTTTCCACAAACTTCTTCCACCTTTTCGCTGATCCCTCGATATCCCGGTCGAGATTACGGAATTCCTCCATGTTGCTCAGTGCCTGATAATAGACGTTGTAGAACAACATTTGAGCGAGGCAAACCAGGGGTAAGATAATATATAACTTGGTACCGTTAGGAAAAGCGGAGGTAGATATAGTTTCATATTTGTTCAACGAGTATTATGTCAAGGAAAAAATATGAAAGAGTATAAAATTACGTGGAAAAAAAGAAGGAAAGATTGGTGGAGATATACTGAAGAAAGAAACACCAGACGGGTTGAAGAACAAACGTTTTCGGCCATCATAAGTTGGAAAGAGTGTCTACATCATCACTCACCTTGATTCCTCCCCATGAATGGTTCGAGAGAAAGTCGACCGGAGTTGTGACATTCACAGCTGCTGGGAAGCGAAGCAAAAAGTCCAGTTCTGTCGAACTGATTTCCTTTCTCATCAACAAGATCTAAACGGAAGAGACGGCGCGTGAAACACGAATGAATGGATCGTGACCGCGAGAGATCTTTGAGTCGAGGGAAACATGAACATACCTGAAAAGCAACTTGAGCCGTAAACGTAAGCTTGTCTGCTTCAAAAAGACCACGGGTTGTGTAGATGAAGACAGAATACGTGATACAGTCGATGAGATTATCTACACGAATCTTGATCTCTTGACTGGGCTCTGCGCGTTCAATTGCCTTCTGAAATACCACGTTGAATGCCTGAAAACAAGGTCAGGAAATTTAGTTTTTCATTATCTTACCTACCTACCTACCATGTCCTCCCCATACATCTCTATATCCTACATGTCCTCCCCTACATCTCTATATCCCACCATGTCCTCCCATACATCTCTATATCCTACCATGTCCTCCCCTACATCTCTATATCCTACCATCTCCTTCTCTACATCTCTATATCCTACGATGTCCTCCCCTACATCTCTATATCCTACCATGTCCTCCTCTACATCTCTATATCCCACCATGTCCTCCCCTAACTAAAAAACTCACCTTGAGTGAAAACTGGTATATGGGATTAATCTTGTTCAGATCATTCAATATGAAGTACAGCAGCGAAGCTCTGGCGGCCGCCGGACGATATTGCTCACGGGCTTCGTTAATCTTAATCTCGGTAACCTTGGCTTCGGCAACCTGTATTTCGATCTCTGCCGCGGTACGCTTGGTGGTCTCCAGGTTCTCAACCAGCGCAGTATCGCCCAGGAAATTCCCGCCTGCGGCTGAGAGACGCGACAGCAACGAATCTTCGAGTTCTTTCAGCTTCACTGTGAACTCATTTTGTTGACGAGTCAGTTTGGCCTGAAAAGTTGATCATGAAAAAATCAAATTTTCATTCAATCGTTGAATCTGGATTTAAAGACTCGGGGCAGCTATGTATTTCATAAGATACGGATTCAGTTTATTCTAGAGTGATTACTCTAAAACCTAACGACTTAAATAACTAATCATTTCATCTTATCTAGAAGTCGTATTCTACTCTCAATATTAACTCAATGAATCTAATAAAGTGCTTCAAAAGTAGCCCTAGATTTACGATCAGTGTATTAAATAGTTCCCCGACTATATTAGGAATCAACTCTTACTTTTGTTTCTTCAAGATCAGGTCTTTCTTTGGCAACGACGTTGGCCAGCAGTTGATCCTCAAGACCTTCTCGTGTGACGGTGAAGTTGATCAGAGTTGTTTGCGCTTGCAGCTCAGGCTTGTAGTGAGGGTTGGCAAGCTTCGTGTGCAGAATTAATCTGAAGTCAGGATGGTATTCCGTTTCCTTGTCGCCAATCTTTATATATCTGAAAGAGAAGAAAGGTGCAAGGTTTGAGCTACTTGATGTGCTTTGAATACAAGCGAAGCTTCGATCATATGGAAGGGTTTGGGGAGTTGAGATACGAGAGTGTATGAACAATCATGGCCACCACCAAAGCAACAACATATTTTGTAATCAAACGCTGATGAAACTTCAACTCACTTTCACCGTATCACATCTCATCTTGTCAATTCTTACCTTCCTTTTTTGATTGTATTTCTTCCAATGAGTGGATCAAGCACAGCGTCGATAGATTCGCCCATGTTTTCAATCAGAATACAATCACCATTTGAGACAGCACGTTCGATTGTGTCAAGAAATCTAAAATAAATTCGAAATTGTACGTTTGTTGCCTCTTACAAACAGCTAATCCATTTAGGGCAGGGGTGAGGTAGATCACTTGGTTGGACCCAAGGAATCTTTGTACAATAATATTGTTTTAGCTTCTAGATGGAATTGACCCTAGAAAAGCCATTCTTGGCCAAGACTCGGGAAGAGTTCTGAGATAACCAATATAGTCACTCGCCAATGGTCAAGCCTTACTCTTACCCTTTCGCTCCAAGACGTACGACTCTCAGACTCTCTCCTTCGCGTGTTTTGATCCATTTGATTCCTTGCAGCTGTGGATCAATCATGAGCGGCCATCGTTCGCAGTTCGTGAGGATCGTCGCGTTTTCAGTTGACATTCGATCTGACGGGAGACTCTCGTTCTGCCAGCCAGCGATGGTGGCGTTGTCTGTCAGCAGGGTGAGCGTATCAAGATCTTGGGTGATTGGTATTTGAACCTAACAAGATATACAAATTCATGACAGGTGAGACAACGTTTTAAGACCCTGATGTCCCACAGTACTTCTTTCATAGTTATTATTACGATAAGTTAGAAACGAGTGCCGGGTTTTAGCAAGATATTTGAGATATGAGAGGTTGGTAACTATTCAGTTCAATGCAATCGATAGTTTACGAATTATATCTTGATTGTGGGGTTGTCAGTGTTGGTAGTCTCTTTAAGGGAATTAGATGTAATTGTAATGAAAGAGGATCTTCAACGTTTCAAGCAAGGGCCTCTCCGACTCGAAGGCTCCACCCTGTTTATATAACTGCTATCTTTTCTTGTCGAAAGTATTTCACAGCCTCATACCTTTTGTTGTTTCATAAACTCAGGTAGTTTTTCCTTCATCAAGCTGTCACGGTACTTCCTGGTGAAGCAGCCACCGTACGAGACGAAGGCACAGATCAACAAGATATCACCAGGTAGAGTTGTCGACTGAACTTTAAAACTCTGCACAGCTTCGGCCCAACGAACATTCTCCGACGCCAAGCCGCCGACCAGTCGATTGGCAAGCGAGATTGTCCGAGCAGTGCTCTCGGCCTCTTCCTGACATTTCAGCTTCTCTGCAGTTGCTTTTTCAAACGACGCGGTCAACTCGGCCAAGTTGTCGTCCAATTCCTTGATCTTCGCTTTGATTTTACTAAGTTTGTCCTCGGCAGCAGCTAGTTCGGCGTTAGCAGCTTGTAATGCAAGTCGTTTGGGTTCAACGTCGCAGAACACCTCGAAGAATTTGATGATGTTGACGACCCAGGCGCAGAGACCGCCAGCGGCCAGAGATTTCGAGGATATGAACTCAGGCCGGAAATCAGGATCGTCCAAATACGGACGAACGGCTTTGAGATTGTTATCGTGAATGTTCTCTTTGTCGTAGTTCAACAATTGGTCCAAAAATTGATCCACCTTTAAAAAAATGTAGTAACACTGGATCAATAAGTAGTGATCCTTACTGGACCTCTAGGAAGAACAGTTTAGAACTGATAGAACTATCCAGTATAAATAAAGTTAGTTTAGTTTAGGTTTCCTCCTGTAGTAATACTGGAACAATAAGTAGTGATCCTTACTGGACCTCTAGGAAGAACAGTTTAGAACTGATAGAGCTATCCAGTATAAATAAAGTTGGTTTAGTTTAGGTTTCCTCCTGTAGTAACACTGGATCAATAAGAGATGATCCTTACTGGACCTCTAGGAAAAACAGTTTAGAACTGATAGAGCTATCCAGTATAAATAAAGTTAGTTTAGTTTAGGTTTCCTCTTGTAGTAACACTGGATCAATAAGAGATGATCCTTACTGGACCTCTGGGAAGAGCATTTCAAAAGTGACAGAGTTATCCAGTATAAACTAGTCTAGCATGAATTTATTCATGAATGAAGTGGCTTGAACTACACACCTTTGCCATCATGATTTTGCTTGCCTTCCAGCTACGATCTTTAGGGATCTTCGTTGGCGGTGAGAGCAACATCATTACAGCGGCCGTGACGTTCGTCACCGCAGCGGGTGGTGCGCCAAATGACTTCAGTTCGGTTAGATTATTCTTATTCAAAGTATTCAAAGCTTCTTGAGCAGCAATCAACGCCGGCTCGGCCTTCGCCAAATCCGCCTCGCACGATCGTTGTTTCTCGGCGACGTCTCGGGCGATCACGGCAACCTGCAAAGAGATCGTCATCATGGTTACATCTTCATATTCGGCGCAGAGTTTACAAGGGATACATGAAGTGGAACACAACAGAAGATGGTTGGTAAACACGTGTGATTAGTGAACTGATACTCAGTCTTTCAACAACTTCCTGACCTTTTTCTCTTCCTCATCTGCAATTGCTTTTTCTTTGCTGACTTTCTCAGTTTCAACGCCAACTTTCTGAATTAACTTGTCCGCATCTTCGTTCTTCTGTTGCAACTCCACCTCTTGCGAGGCAAGCTTCGCTTTGAGGTCGTCGACCTGTGATGCTGTGCTCTGCAATTTCAGCAAACCGTTTTCCAACCGTTCCATCTTTTGCATCAACTCCATGTTCTTCTTCCGAAGTAGTGTCTCGTAAAGTTTGATCTAAGAACAGTGGAATCCAAGTTAATGGTTTCTCGATAGATGAAGATAAATCAGAGGAACTTTACCCAAACAAAAAAGCTTGTTCTCAACGGATGAGTGTAGTCTTACCTGTTCCAGAAAGCTCTTCGGTGTGGTGTAGTTGTAGCGTCGCTCTGACATCAAATACTCGTCGCTCATGTGGTTAACTGTGGTGTGAACGAACGCCATAAATTCTGCAACAGATTGCTTCTGGTCGCCCTGGAATTTGCAAGAACATATAATAAATTCTCAAGTGTACATTTTCCGGAATTGACATTATTCCGGGGACATGTCGCAGCCCTCGGAAGCTTTCGTCCAATTGGATAATGCTTTTCTATGCTTTCTAAAGAACGAAGCTACGCTATTGGTTGAAATAGAAATGTATTGTAAAGTTCAGCCAATGAAAATCATTCTTGCGAGGAGCTGCGACACGACCATGATTCCGAGACACAGCACATGAGGTCGTGCACGCTATGTATGAATGCAACACACATGCACACACTAACCTTAACTTGCTCAATGTCCTCCAAGAAGCGACGACTAACGGAGACCAGAGCCTCAGCAGGCCACTCGTGGAACCAGTCAATGGCCGTGCAGTTGGTAACGGCGGGAAACTTTCTACTTCTCACACGCAATGTCGTTCCAACAGGAGAGAAACACAACACAACCTATATGGTGTTAGTATAATTTCAGTTTTGAAAAATGGCCTTTGAGCATTCTGATTGGCTCCCTCAGCAGTAACTCTGAGGCAATAGTTACTGCTCAGAGCAGTCTGAGCAGTAACTATTGCTTTTCCCCAAAAAAACATGGCTGAAAATACTCAAAATCAAAATTATATTCATAAAATAAACACGTGTATCAGTTGTATTTATAAATAAAACTTTTTCAATACTGAAATTATACTAAAACAATTAGTCGCCTCAGGCTCGGTGATTACAAGCCTATATTCACTTCGCCTTCGGCTCAGTGAATATAGGCTTGTAATCACCTCGCCTTCGGCGACTAATTGTTAAATAAAAACATTTTCCGATAGAAAAAACGAGAATACAAAATACAGCAGAACTCAAGACTTAGCATCAAATGTGGTATAACAACTGCATAAAATAGACAAAACACTTCTCGACGTTTCGACCTGAGGGCCTTCGTCAGGAGAGTTAGTATGAGTCAGGAGAGTTAGTATGAGTCAGGAGAGTTAGGTCGAAACGTCGAGAAGTGCTTTGTCTATTTAGGCAGTTGTTATACCACATTTGATGCTAAGTTGTTTGAAGTCGCTGCCACACTGCTCCTTGGTTATATTAGAACTCAAGACTGTCTTTATTTTGACTACAACTGCACTGAGATTGCTTCAGTAAATCGTACTAATTTCACATGTGAGTGCAGTTTAGCTTATTAAAAACACCCTCTACCTTTAGATTTCTCCTTATTCTTTCAATGAAGAACATCCAGCAATTTTCTCGGGTGTCCTGTAGACCAGCACCTTTCACTTCGTTTCGTACGCCTGATATGATGTTCTCAACTTCGTCGTCAGGGAACAGTCCAGGTATTTCACCAGAGGCCAGGAGATCGTTGATCAACACCAGAAAGTGTTCCTCCGGGATCTGGGCATCAGTGAGCAGGAACACCGTCCCGATGTTTTTCAAACCAGCTTTGATGCATAACGCTGCTAAGTCAGTCTGTTGAAGAAAGTAAAAAAAGTAAAGGAAATGACAATATTTGAAGGAGTTTTGAGTCGACCTGAGCCGATCCTCGTCTTCAAGCTGCACCCTCAATCCTAATTCTTAATCCTTCATCTCAACACAAATCTTAATAATTAATCTTACATTTCCTACTAATCCCAACTTAATCTCAAAGATTAAATTCGTTACCCAGATACAATGCTTACTTACCTTCATGTCCACAATGGAATATCCCTTTCGCAGAGTAATCTGGAAGACTTCTAAAGCGCTGATGAACGCAGCTAATCTTGCCAAACTTTGTTTTCCACTGCCTCCAACACCCACAAGTAAAGCGTTACCACGTGGGGATTCAAGAATTCGATTAATACGGCATCTAAAACAAAACTCATCGTATAAGAATCGGCGTTAACTGGATCTCCAAGAAAAAACAGTGGTTAAAACGAGGTTAGATAGAGTCTTACATGTGTGCTAAAGCGTCCTCAAATAGAACCAGGTTCATAACGGCGTTGAGTTCATTGTAGTTGTCCAAGGTTTCTGTTAACAACTTGCTGAGGTGGGCCCAGTCGGGTATCGGCAAATACTTGGGCTCGCCTATACCTCCAGAGAAGTGGGTGAACAACAATGGTTGCTGGTAGAGTGCCGCCTCTTCGAAGTCCTATACAAGAGAATCGAAAAAATATTGAAATGCATTTCTACAACAATGATCTTTGCCTTCAATACGGCGGGTGGATTCAATTTAAAGAACTGGAGCGAATGAAATGAATAAAATGGACCTTAAAGGTCTGTTCACAAAATCCAACAGCTTGTTTTTAATAAAGCAATACTGCATTGGCTTGGCTCGATTTGGTGTTTATGTACATTGGAAGTCAACAGACTATAAAGCATCTATCAGAAGTAAAGTAGATCCAACAATATTGGATCGTGTGAACAAACCTTTAGAGTCACCTTTAGAAGATCTTCCTTTGGGGAAGTTAATAAAAAGGACTAACCTCAAAGAACTTTGTCGTCATATCTTTCTGTATCTTATCGTACATTTCCATATCTTTTTCTTCCACGAGTTTATCCCTGTACACTCTGTCTCCCTCGTGCATCCACAGCCTCACCAGATCCATTGGAGATTTAACACATTCGGCAGTGGAGAACAATATACCCTACGAAGAAATACGTAGTCGAGTAAGAACGCAACAACATAAGGAAACATAATTCTCTAAACTTTTACTTAACTTATTTTAAAAACACTTATACTTAACCTAATATTGACTCGTTAACTTTAATATTAACTTAAGCTTATCTTATCTTATTAAACTTATACTTACTTGGAAGATGTTGGACAAATCGCGAAGATTGAAGATGTAATGAAACTTCACAGCCGTCGGTAGGAAAGTGCTCGTCACCTGCAAATGTGTTCGAAAAACGAAGGTTATGTTTGGATTCAGAGGGATAGAAATAAGCGAGTGTCCCTTGATGTACCTTTTGATTCATGGCCAATGCACAATCGACAAGTTTCTCGCTGATTTTCGCCACAGCACTAGAGATGTTGTTTACGGAAATGTGTCCCTGGAGAATGCTTAGGTAGATGGTCTTGAGAGCGTCCACGCCAGGAAAACTGACCGCAAACACACAGAAATGACGCTGCAGGTAAACAAGATAAATTCAAAGGTAAAATTACTGGTGAACATTCATGGAACAGCGCAACTGCGGTGAGTAATCGAAGCAGACTTCCAGTCCTTGGGAAGGTAGTTTTAAACCTGGTTGGTAAACGTCATGCAGTTCAGGACGTCATAGCACCCGAACGAGTTCATCTTGCATGTGTATTTCACAAAGTCTTACCTGAAGTCGTGGGTTAATCGTGAAGCTGCCGGCTGTTGGGTTCATGCAAGCCACGTACTGACAGTTATGGACTTCTTTCAACGTCAGTTTATTTCTGTCATACCAATGACTGTAGTCGAGATGCTGTCTGATGAGTGTGTGTGGTGATACAGTACCGTAGGTGTCCACCTGAATCATCAATAAATGATCAATAAATGATCAATAAACGATCAATAAATGATCAATAAATGATCAATAAAAGATCAATACTTAACTACAGTTCAACGTTAACTCGGCTTTTATAAAAATGGTCCCTAATAAAGGCAAAAGTGATAAATAATTTTTCTGGCCAATGTACCTCAGGCATGTTCATATCATCGATGAAGTAGATCAACTTCTTAGAGCCCGGTGGTCCGTAATTACGACCAGCTTTCTTCTCCAAGGGTTTCTCCAGCACGCCTTGCAACATGGCCGAGGTCGTGTAGTAGTTGAAGGGAACATTAGCCACCATGATCTCGTCGGGATCCAGAGAGGCAAACTTATCACCAGCCAGAACGGTCTTACCAGTTCCTGCATTACCAACCAACATCACCGGGCGACGTTTCTCCATCAGTAGGTCCATGAAATATCGGACACGCGTTGTCTCAGCCGTGTGAACGAGAACAGCCTGGAGAGAGGGAGAATATATGTATTACGACTAATTCTCAGGTTATCTCGCGAATGAATACAACAGTTGTCGATATGGCGAAAGTACTGCAAAACACACCTGTAATGGCATCTCAGGATCTAATATGAATTTCGTTACTTTCTCCGTCCACGGCGCAAACTTCTTCGTCTCAGGGTCAATGTAGTAATCAAACACCGTACCAGCCGACGGGAATTTGATCGTCTTAAATTCTGTCACCCACCATTTGGAAAATTCGACTCTGTAGTCAACAAGCTATAGAGAGAGACAGAGTATACTGAGCATACCTAACTCTATAACTATATTAAAACTTCTAATGTGAACCCTAATCAGAAACCTAACTAAAACTATAAATCCTCAGCTTAATTTTAATCTGTGAATCTAATCCGAGCGATGTAAAAGTAAACTCACCTGATCCTGGAACATGGCTCCACCAAAGGCCCAAACAGCAGCAAACACGAAATACAGTTCATACAACTCTTTACTGCAATCTGGTGGTGTATTGACAGGTGTCAACAGACACTCCAGCAGGTAGCAAAGACTGGTCACCATTGTTATGTCTGGTATGGGCGTGATCTTCTTGAAACGGTTTCGTAGGGTGTCCAGGCACGATGGTACGTATTTGTCGAAGAGAATTTGAAGATTGGCGCGCTCCGACTGGATTTCGCGGCTGTCGATCCAACTGGATACATGCCTGTGGGAAAATGAGGTGTTAGAGTGTGTGGTATTTGAGGGTAAATCAATTACGATATTGTGGCACTGAATAGGACCAACAATCGAACCTACGCCGAAATTAAGACGCTTCAAACCTTAGCAATAACAGTATGATTTGATAGAATACTTCATAATACGCCAAGGTATACTTTAGCTTGGCATGTCCATGTGTATGATATGATATGATATTAATGGCATTATGCAACGAGCAATAATATGTTTCTCAACTTACGGATTCCAGCCGACATCAGCGTAGTTCAAGAAGAGAATACCAGCTCGTGAGACAGTAGCCGGCGTGGCGGTCTTCAGATGACCGATCTCAAATAACAGTCTCATTGGTGGTGACAATGGTATACGTTCGTTGCTGGCCAGGGTTAGAACTTTGTTGTCATCCATGACGGTGTTCAGAGATTCGATCCACATAGGGTCAATATCACCATCAAGAACGATCCATTTCGGACTGTCGTTTGCAACGTTTGATAGGTCACGCATCGACGTCGAGAATAGACCTAGGGATATATAATACATTTCTCAAACCGTTCAGATGTAACGGCATGCACGAGAGGCGTTTGAACGGCTTGTACAGAAACATCGAGAGGTTGGGGGGAAATTTTCAGCCTATGATCGTACACAGTGGAGAGGGGGGGAGGGGAGGAGAAATCACTGGTCTACCCACCGTCTTTCCATTCTCTAGTAGCTGGGTTGATATAACCGAAAAGTTCATCTGTTGTGACGGCTTTAGGATTGATATCCACCATCATTGGTTTTCGTTTTTGATTTTGGTATGTTTTGAACAATGACTTGATGACCTGAAGCGAAAGATATTTCATGAACAACAAGAAATTGAACGTGACTCTCATCAGATAAAGTTAACGTGGCTCTACCCATGATGATGATGATACAATGACAATCAATTACCTGTGTTTTTCCAGTACCAGCCGGACCCAAGACAAACACGGAGTGACGTACAGCCAACAGTTCTTCCAACTGGACAATCTTCAATACAAAGCTCTCCTCTCCGGTTGTAATTTCAAGTCCTGAAACACGAAAATGAATACAGGTTTGAAAACCTGTTTGTTCATAAACAGTACGTGGCAAAGTATTGTAAAACTCAGTATCGATATCTCGATATAAGAAGCGGCACATACTAGAATAGCCTTTCTGATATTCTCTTCCATGTCCATGTCCCGTTTACGTGGTACATCCAGTGACGGAAAGAGATCACCGATCAGACCCATGAAGATCGGTACGTCATCGGTGACAATCTTCGGAATGTTGAAGTCACGCAAGGCTCTCATTAGAACCTGGTCTTCAGGACGATCTCTGTCGCTACGTTTCAGTGATCCAGCCACGACCAGCACAGATTTGATAGCTCTCAGACCCCAATCGTAATGATCCTGAGTATAAGGGAGGGAATGTGAGTCGATTTGCGTGTGGCATTGTTGGACGTGGTAATAGTTGGAAATAGAAGGAAATCTACCTGTTTTGATAACAATTCTTTGCACAGTGAATACAGGGTGATGAATTTACGTGCCAACAGCCTGGCTTCGATGAAGCCTTCGGCCACCAACATGATTTCACAGATCAGCTCGAAATCTGGTACGACCATAGCGCACGGTCTACAAACAAACAAACAAACAAACAAACAGATATACTTAGCAAAAGAGATGCTTGTATTCACTGCACCTCTCAGAGACAAAGAGCACCTCGACACTTCAGATGGAGATAGTCAACATATCATGATATCAACTAGGTTTTTTAAACAAGTTTTTTTAAACATTTCGAAGTTGCGCACCTGAACAAAGCTTTCAGATTCTCTGGTAATTCAGTACGGCCGGCATAACCAGGATTCATGGTGATGAAAATACCAACAGTTGGTACTAGGGAGATGTCTTCACCTTGAAAGATGAATCTTTCCTTCTTATCTCTGATCGCATCCTGGATGGATTTTACTTGCACAGCAATAACGGACAGTACTTCCACGGAGATACGATTGAATTCATCGAAGCAGCCCCAGGCACCGGTCTGCGAGAGGCCCTTGTAGATGTTACCGCAGGACTGTAATAAAGAGGACATTAAATCATTAGTCAGGAGTCCTAATTTACCATTTCTGTACCAAAAGACCTCCTAGTCAGTGGTAGATCATTGTGACAGGAGGAGTGAGTGGAATTTCGTTTTAAACTAATCGGTATATATATTTGTTTACATTTTTTAGGTAAGTCAATCAGAATGCCTAAATTTTTAATACTTCATGTAAAATGGTATATAATGTACCTTTTTACCGGAAGTAGTCATAATTTATACATTTTGATTGGGCTACTGAAAATGTAAACAAACTTGCTGATTGGTCTAAAACGAAATTCCCCCTTGTTCAACACGATCAACGTTCAAAGCATGAAGCACATGCAGTACCTTGTAGTCCATCTGTTCAGAACAGTTGAATACGTACACCATGATGCCAAGCGCTCGTCCAAGATCTTTCGTCGTTTCTGTTTTGCCAGTACCGGCTGGTCCAGCAGGCGCACCGCTCATCGGGGTAGATGGAGAGACTGCGTCAGAGTGATGTAACACCTGAGGGAATAATAAACAGCGTAAATGAAAGAGCAGCTCTGAGAGAGGGAACAGAGAGTAGACCTAGGCAAACAGGGGACAGTTTCAAGTCGTCTTTGTGCACGTTTTGTGGCTGCGTCAAAGTGATGTAATACGTGAAGGGGAATAAACAGCGTAAATGAAAGAGCAGCTCTGAGAAAGGGGACAGAGAATAGACTTAGGCAAACAGGGGACAGTTTCAAGTCGTCTTTGCGCTGTGGCACGGACAAAACTGTGGCTAAACTGAGCATTTACCTGTCGGTCAAGGGCGTAATGACAAGACGTGGTGTGTTGCCAAGATACTCGTAGGAATACTTGAACTGCGCATCACAGATGTTGGCAAAGCAATGAGCAGAAGCGTCGTCCCAGCGATGCCGCAGTTGACTGAGCCATGCAAACGCCTGCGCATTCTCCACCTTCTGCTGTATGAGCTTTGCGACAACATCACGAGCGTGGACATCGATCGTACAGATTGTCATGATCTTTTGACGATCACCTTTTGATAAATCGCCGATCAGCAGGTTAATGAGTGTCGTCAGTTGAGCCACCTGGAGGCAATGATAAAAACAGGAAATTGATTAGTCACTCGTCGTATATTGGAAGAATCTTTTGAATGTATAAGGAATACTGCACCCCATATGCCATATTGACACCAGATCAAGTATTACGCTAGTATATACCTGTTTCTTGTAGTAGTCTTTCAAAGCATTTTCGTAGCCTTCTTCAAGACGACCAAAAGCTATACCGACCTCTGTTGACCACCAAATCTGGGTACCACACAAAGAAACCTGAAAAATTATAAATGGAAAATTTAATATAAAAGTCTATAAATCATGAGAGGGGCTGGGCCGGGGGAGGGATGAGGAGAGGGGTGAGAAGGGTTGGGTAGGGGGTAAGAGGAGGGGTGAGCTATTTTTCTGACGGACTCGACCATGGTCGAATACAGGGGGGTGAAAGGGGGGGCTCGGTAGGAAGAGGGGGGTGAGGTGAAGGGTTGGGTAGGGAGAGGGGTGAGAGGAGAAGCTCGGTAAGATGAGAGGCTACGGCGGAAAGAGGGTGGGGAGAGGGGCTGGGTAGGAAGAGGTATGAGGGGAGGGACTGGGTGTGGATAATCCAATACTCACTTGGGCTGGATAATCAAAGAGCCATTGATCTCTTGCTTTCTCTTCATAAGCAACAACAGACTCGGATAGTTCATGTCTCACAGTAGATCTCATGGCTTCCATGACCCTGTTCAACCACACCTCAACCTGTCCCTTGCAGTCACACACTTTATCAAAGTTCACGTATTCGTTCTCTTTACTGAACATTCCTATAGCTTCCTTGAGATCCTCTCCTTCGTCGTTCTGCTTGAATTTCAACGCAGCCATGTTGTCGAATAGCTTGGACAAATGACGAGCAACCTGTGCAGAAAAAAACGATAATCGAGGGTTTTGAATTAACATCAAACGAAATCATATCCCATCTCAGTTACACCACACTACGACCAACCATAAACTGCACCACTTCATACCAAACTATCTCTTTCCCTTCTATCTCTTTATACCATACATGAAAACCAGTGTTTATACCATGCATCATACTCCACAAGACCATCTCACAGAAAAACTACCATACACGATAAGCTAAACCATCACACCATACCATACAGCCTCATACTATAAAAAATGATTACCTCAATAGGGATATTCCCTTTGGACAAGATATCCAGCAAATCGGCCGAGGACACGAAGTAGAATCGAGGAAATGCAAGCCGCTTCGTTTCCAAATACTCTGCCAAAGCTTTCTCACACAGAGAAAGTCTACGCAATGAAAAATAAAACACAATAAAAAACAATTGAACTTGGTTTCTATCTCTAGAGCTCTCCTCATATCACAACCGTCGGTATTAACACTTAAAACAGCTCAAGAATGAATGATCCCGTTAAGACACGATGTAAAAATAAAATCAATCTTAAGAGAAGGATATTATTATACCTTTCTTGAATATTTTCCAGTTTCTCGTACAGGCCTTCCTTGCAACAGCATTCAACAACGTTTGGAGTTTTTTCAGCATCACTCATCAATTCCTAGCAAAAAACCAACCAGTTCCATCAGATCTATCTATCTATTCCACATACGATTCAATGGATCGTGCTAGATCATTCGCTGTGGCCATGCGCCTACCTTGAAGTCTGTGTCGATACCATCGAAGCGTTTGGAGTCCTCTGGTAGTTGGTTGCGAATATCGTCAGAACCGATGAAAATACTCTCCAAATGAGACCAGGTTCGCTGTACTTCGAACCAAATCGAGATGACTGAATCAACGGTGGAGAGCTTCTTCTGCCACGTGGAGACCTCCTCCAGGAAATGTCCGATGTATTTGGACGTGATGAGATTTTGCAGTTGAACCTAACGAAACGATTCGAGACTCGAGGGTCAATTAAGATTTTGTTCCACATCGATTCAGTCAAGTTCGACTGTGCTTTCCTTCAGTTTGAATCAGACAAATCATTCCAAGTGTAAAACAATGCTATACCTGATTATCCTCAAGTGTTTCGATGAGTTCCTCGCTAGATTTGAGCAACGAGATGTGTGTGCGTGGATGGGTCTCGTATTCGAATTCCATGGCAGACCACGTGACATCCAGCTCTCCGAGTACCTTCTCCATCCCAAGTTCCTTGGTGGCTTTATCAACAATACCACGAACCTCGTCCTCGTAGTTGTGAAGATTAAGAGCCAGCAAGTCAGCCAAGCATGTGTCTTCGTCCATAATGAATTTCACCTTAGAAAAGGAAAGAAACGATCGATCTTCAAACGGTCTCCCTTACAGAAGAAGTTGTGCTCAAAAGCAAGCTGAGAAGTTGTGCTCAAAAGGAAGCCCAACGTCTTGCTAAACGATGGGATACTTAAACCTCAATCCATTCAACAAACCTGCGTCGCTTGCATCAGCTGTTGCCAATGCCTCTCTCTGATAGCAGGATTCTGTAGCTCGCATACAGCTCGTAACGACGTCACCATATTCTTAACCGTTGAATCAAGCCCAGTGAACGCATCCCACGCTCTCATTTCTTTATCCAAGCTTCGTATCTCCTTCACGAAGCGCTTGCATTCCATCTCCATGGTTTCAACGTTAATATCGCTCCACAGCGTCGTCTTCCAGTCCTCGATACTCGTGAGCACCGCGTCGATCATATCCCACAAGCTCTTGAGAAGCCCCACCTCACGACGACACGCGCGCAGTTGCTTGTAATCAGGGAAGTTGACCTCGAATAACCCCGCGGATTCACCGAGCAACTTCATCTCTTTCTCCATCGCGCAAATCTCACCGTTCGCCTGAAGAAATAAGGAAACCATCGTCAGAGAATGCAAGTGTGTGCTTCAACCTTGCTAAATCAAGGCAGGCGTGTAGGAGGTAACATAATTTCATATCATCTCCTAATTTTGTAATATAAATGATGCAGAATCTCTGGTGTTGATATGAATGCAATCAAGAGCTTGGTGTTATCAATGTGATTTACCTTGTCGAGCTTTTCGTAAACATTCTGAGAATTAAACATGAATGGCGCCGTCTTTCTGAAGTCTTCTCGGAACTCGTGTTGTTTAACCTGCAAAGGCAAAAGAGGTTTTTATACTCAAGCATTCGCACAGACAACTGGTAGAGTTGAACCTTCATAATGCTCAAAGGATCGAACCGAAAAACTCTGCACTTACATCGAACTGGCCACATTTCCTTCGGATGATGGCCACTTCAGCTGCCTGTAATGGAGCGACTTGTTGTTTCACAGTCACTGCATTCTTCTTGCAATTATTCCACTGTTCCGGTAATTCCTAGAAAGAATAAAACGGAAGATGATTACAAAACCATGCTACAAAACATCATACCATACCACGACCATGCAGAAGTTCTAATACGCCGTATATCGTAGAGAAAACCTATAGAAATAAACATTGCGTTTACCTGAAGTTGCATGTGTACTTCCTCGGGTAATTCTTGCCCGTACGTCTTGAGCAATTCAATGGTTTGTTTCAACGGTTCAAACATCTCATCAGTAGCTGCTTGTCGATCTTTTACAGCCATTAAATGACCCATAACAGCAACCAAACCATCGTAATCACCCTCGGGCACCTCCTGAGCGAGACCAACATCAGCGATCTTGATAAACTCGACCAGGTCGTTCAAACTAAATGATAAAGATGAGTTTTATCACTTTGAAGTATCCTCATACGCTCAGCCAGGAGAACGCTCTGAGTATTGCTAAACCATTTAAGGTGCAAGATATTTCACAAAAACGCTGCAAAACAACCCGGCTTACCTGTTTGTGACATGGTCAATAAGATGTTGTTTGAACATGTAACTCCATCGTTTTATGATATTTAGTAGAGCTTGCTTGAATGGTTTAGCATCAACACAGAACCACGTATCAAACATCGTGGTTCCTTTGAAACCGTCCACCTCAACGAACAACTTCTCATACGTGTCAATCTGAAATCACATTGGAATCAAAGTTAAATACATTTACTATCAAAACGTCAAACGATTATCCTCTGGGCCTCGTGCTATAATACCTGGTCCTTGAACTGTTCCAACGTTGGCGGGCACTCGGGTACTCCCTCTTCGACATGAGCTTCGATTTCTTCCGCTGTTAACACGTGATTGTACAACAGGAATTGCCTCATGAATTCGTTTCTGTCATCGACCCACAGATACGCGTAGGTATCGAAGGAATTTCTGTATTCTGTGGCCTTGTTTATGATCGTCGTAACACGTTCCATCAGCTCCTGTCTCATCTCAGATAGCTCTAGCATGTCTTCCAAATCAGCCTGCAGTGAAATATGAAAGCATGAAGAACAGAACGTCACAGAGTTGTAACATGCTAGACAACGAAAACTCTTTTCCTTTTAAAACATCGTGACCTTGTCTTCAAAGGAAACACGTAGGGAAACAACAGGGAGATTTAGCATGAGGACGTGCTAATAATTGACTGTAATTGGCGTAAGCTGTAGCGTATACCCTGCCATGTCCTATATCATTTGTGCTTATTATTGTACTGTGAGTTTGTGTGTATCTGGCAAAGCATAATAAATAAATAAATAAATAAATAAATAAACGTGCACGTCAAAGACGACGTGAGAATGGCAAGTAAATGGCGTGGCATGTCCATATTTGGGCGCATCACGCCATTTATTCGCCATTTTCACGTCGTCTTTGACGTTCACGTCATCGTGCTTAATCGCCCAAATATAAGAGAAATGAGACTTCATGTAAGCTTTTTTTCTTGAATCATGCTTTCTTAGCTCGGCCATCATCTGCCGTTTTATATCACACATGCAGAAAACACACAAATGAATCTCTCTGGCATCATTTTTTTGCCCTTTCTTTGGAGAGGCTCATATTGAACTTTGCATCGAGAATTAAATATTTTCACTTTTTCACTATTTTCACATTAAATATTGTATATACTGTCAGATTAAATGTCCAAACAATAGTTGGACAATAATAGTTGTTTTTTTACCTGATAATGCGAAGATTCGTTGTGATCTGCTAATCTAGCGACGAGCGTTGCCATGGAATAAATATCACTGATGACACTCTCCACCATATCGTAGAAACCGTAGGTGCCACTGACATAGTCTAGCGATGGTATGAACACCATGTCTGGTGCTTGGAGTTCCAGCTTCGCCTCGAATATCGCCAAAGTGTTCGTCTTCGGGTCAGTGTTGTCTAGTATGTAATTGAGCGAGGCGTGGATCGCGTTAAAGAAGCCGTCCACGACCATATCGTCGAGGTAATCGACGTACGCACGCCAGATTTCAGTAGATGCTTCTGCTTTGAACAGTTCAAGGTTTTTCTGAAAGGAAAAGAGAGTATCATGCATTTGTGTGCCTCAAAGACCAGGAAGTAACACAGAGTCGTGGTGGCACAGTGGTCAGTGACCTTTGAGTGGCATTTCTAATCGCTATCTGGGAGGTTAAAAGTCTGTTCACACGAGATCCAATTTTGTCGGATCCAATTCACTTCTGACGTATGGAATATAGGCGGTTATTGATGAAGCTGTAGTTCTGTAGTGCATTGGCTTCAGTGGATTTGCTGCTCATATAGCTACATTACAAGACAGCAGACTATAAAACTTGGATCCAACAAAGTTGGATCGTGTGAACAGACCTTAACAACATGTTTGAAGGTTACGTCAATTCAGCAGAAATCAGACTGGTTTGTAGGAAACGTTTTGAAGTAAATATAGAAAGATATATAATAATATTAAGTACCTTCATTAGGTCGTGGATCTTCTGTCCTGATTCCTCGATCATGCTGTAGCGTTTCTTGAGAATACTCTCCTTCTCCTAGGATACAAGTGAAAAGGAAACATGAGGATCATTGATAAGATACACGATTGTATCTAAGCGACACCCAAAGTACCTCAATATTTAATAGACCCTCTCTCTTTTCGCCTCTTCGTTCATACAACGGTGCATCACACCATTTCGTCATCAGCTGACCGATCGCCTCCACGTTGTCTTTCGCCGACTGCACGCGACGTTCCAAATCATGAACCTGATCACGGATTCTCTCAATGTACTCCCAAACACCTGGAGAAATACATCGTTATATGAGACGAATGCACAATATTCACATGTGTTTGACATTGTGCATGTGCATGATGAAATACCACAAAGGAATCGCTATGAAGCGATTGAGATTTCCCACTCAATGAGTTTGAGTGAGCTTTTAGAATACACACGCTAGTCCTATATAGAAACGGAGTATACTGTGGAACTAAACACGAACCATCGCTATTCCACGTCAATGTTTTTTCAGCCTGTTCCAACTGTTCGTCAATCTCCTTGAGTTGTTCTTTGACCAACGGGAACTCAACTTCAAGTAGCGTTTGTCTTACGTTGTTATACCAAGCGACTGTGAGATCGAGGTTCGCGCAGTATTTGTGAAATGTTTCGTTACGCTCGTAGACACACGTCGCGCTCTCGGGAATCGTCTCGATCACCTCGTTCTGCGCCTGCTCCAAGTACTTCACTTCACGAAGTAAGGCGATAAGCTGCGAGGAATAATAAAACATTAATTTTAGTAAAAACGTGCGTTGTGTTTTGTTTCGTTGCGTTGTGTTATGTTACGTTACGTTGTGTTTCGTTTCGTTGTGTTCTGTTTCGTTGCGTTCTGTTTCGTTGAGTTCTGTTTCGTTGCGTTCTGTTTCGTTACGTTGTGTTTTGTTTCGTTACGTTGTGTTCTGTTTCGTTGCGTTTTGTTTCGTTGAATTCTGTTTCGTTGCGTTCTGTTTCGTTACATTGTGTTCTGTTTCGTTGCGTTGTGTTCTGTTTCGTTACATTGCGTTCTGTTTCGTTACATTGTGTTCTGTTTCGCTGCGTTGTGTTCTGTTTCGTTGCGTTGTGTTCTGTTTCGTTACATTGTGTTCTGTTTCGTTGCGTTGTGTTCTGTTTCGTTACATTGTGTTCTGTTTCGCTGCGTTGTGTTCTGTTTCGTTGCGTTGCGTTCTGTTTCGTTACATTGTGTTCTGTTTCGTTGCGTTGTGTTCTGTTTCGTTACATTGCGTTCTGTTTCGTTACATTGTGTTCTGTTTCGCTGCGTTGTGTTCTGTTTCGTTGCGTTGTGTTCTGTTTCGTTGAGTTCTGTTTCGTTGAATTCTGTTTCGTTGCGTTGTGTTTTGTTTCGTTACGTTGTGTTCTGTTTCGTTGCGTTTTGTTTCGTTGAATTCTGTTTCGTTGCGTTCTGTTTCGTTACATTGTGTTCTGTTTCGTTACATTGTGTTCTGTTTCGTTGCGTTGTGTTCTGTTTCGTTGCGTTGTGTTCTGTTTCGTTGAGTTCTGTTTCGTTATGTTTCGTTGTGTTTTGTCGCGTTCGGTTGTGTTGTATCTCATAAAACTCATGCCTGTTTTCTCTCAGTAAGCTCACCTCAGGATCAAAATTAACTTTGATTAACAATGTCTGCGGATCACGAACGATGAGCGGCTTGTCGAGGTTCTGTTGAGCGACATCACCAACACTTTTTGTCCACTTTTCATACGTCTTATCCTCGTAACTGAAACAAGAAAAACGAGTTTGGAGTTTGTACAGTAAAAGTGACTTACGCGGTGGTAATAATCACCCGCGGTTACGAAACTAGGGTGGTGTTAATTACAAATATATTGAGGTGAATATGGCAAATACTAACCCAGAGAGTAGACTTTCCATTTCATCATATTTATTAAGAATGCTCATCGCCTCAGCGCTTTCAAGAATGCTATAAAAGATTGAGGAAAACATTGAAGAATAGCCTGTAAAATTGTCCCTCAAATTCAAACGATAAAGCATTACCCGTGATTTAGAGATAACTTCAGGCTATTCATTGGAGTCTTAATTCTCTCTCTGAGTTCCTGAGCCCACTTCAGACAGCCTGAAATGGGTGGTTTGTTCTTGTTGATGGGCAGCGTTTCTTCATTGCTTTCGTATGTTTGTTGTTGGTCGTATATGATCTTGGATGTGTCAAGATCGTCCTCAAACATTGTCAAAAGCACCGGATATTTGTGCTCGAAGTCTGCGTGGATGCGAGGCCGATCCATGAGCGAACCGAAGCAATCAAGGAGCTGAAAGAGAAGAAAAGGTTTCCCTCAAATTTCGTTTAAGAAACTGCATGGTCACATCTCACTGAACTAGACAAGTTTATTTTCGGAGCGAAAACCTGTAGCGAACTTGTACTTATTAAAAAAAACAACGTAAGTTCCAATCCACTGTGGGCTTGTAGTTAAATTAAAAACAGTAGAGTTTATATATTTTCTGTGATATATACAAGGTAATCACAATTCCATCATCATTTGTCCTAACCAGAGAGGTGCTGAAATCACCTTACGCTCGCCTGCACTGTTTGTCTAGAATAAGGCTAAACTCTGTATGAAAGGTATCTGTATGAAGCACAAATTACCGATCTTTTTATTACAAATTACAAGGCTAAAATCCGCGTTGGAAGGTAATATTAAGCACAAACTTCAGATATTAGTTGTGACCTCAGAATTACTGGCCAAAACTGGCCTCGGAATTACATTAGTTTTATTTGTGACCAATATTTCTTCCGTTTCTCGCAATCCGCGCACGTGATATCAACAGGTAAGTTAACGGACCAGGCAAAAGTCCCTGCTTTAAGCCGGGCGCACACACAACGATTTTACGGTAGTTGGTCCATTCAGGTTTAGACATATAGGCAGCCCTTGCCCAGACATGTTTTCCTTCTCGCGGCGCTCGCGCCTCGCGCGTGTACGCGACTAACGCGAGTCTTATACTTGGTCTAATCATATGGTCTAATATTATGACCAAGTATGGATCGCCAGTCGCCACATTTTGATGAAAACATCCATCTAGACAATCTAGACAGGAATCGGCCGACTAAAATCGTCGTGTGTGCGCCTAGCTTTATGAAATAAACAAGATTGGATTTTTATATCTACACAAAAAAGGATTATGCATCAAACAACGAAAAGGTATGTACATAAATCTTATAGGTGCTTTAATAATATATTTGCATGTGTATCTACATAAATCATATGCAAATATATGTCACATGCGTTGCCATAATGCCATTTGCCTTTGCATTCCGAGCCTATCGGCTTTCTACTTAGAAATACTTATGTGCTAAAGCTTGTAATTGCGAATTATCTGACAATATTCTTTAAACTTTAACGTTGGACTATGTTTTATATATTTTCACTCCCTGAATGATTTCTATATTAAGCGATTGAATTTTGATACGGCATGTCACAACACAATCTCATAATTTATAATTGTACATGTACAATACAAACAAATGGTAGCATACAGGTGAAAATATTTGAAAGTTTCTCATTTGGCTTAGGGTTGTACAAATAGTTTCGTTAAATATGATTCAGCTACAACTTTGAACTAAAAAAAACAGGGCTACACAATAGCCATGAAAATCGTAATGAGCGTGATAACTCTGGATAACTCTAACATTGACCTTATCATGATGCTAATAAGCTTAACATTTGCCTTATCGTTTGATAATTTTGAGCAAAGCTCTCTTTATTATTGTATAAATGTGTACCAAATTGCACTGAATAGTCACAATGCATATCGATGACTTATATTCAGGGATTATTTTAAGGAAATTTTATCACTGCACAAAAGTGCAAAAAGGATAAAATTTGTATCATTTTCCCCACATTACAGAAAAACTTCTGACTGACCTACTTGTTCTGATTCTTCAACCCATGCATTACACTATATACATGCTAGCAAATGAGCCAAAATCCCAGCTGAGCCTATATCACCATCCTCTATTTTTATAACATTAACAATATTAAATATCAACACTTTCTCACATAGGCCTATTTTTTGCAAAATGTCAATGCATCTACATTACTTAGCATATATCTTTAAAGAATTTTCTAACAAGCAACTATGAAATGTATACTTCTAAAAATATAATAATTGTAAAAGTAAAACTAATTGCCATATACATAAAATATGACAAAAGTGTATTTTGATGAAGATAGAAGATAAACTAGCGAATTAATCAGTATAGCGCTTTCAAAGTAAGATCCATGTGTTTAGCTTTTTGCTTAACAATAGGGAAAATGAACCGTTATTGTTGCTGTACTTTTGAACATTATTTATGAAAAAATATTGGTAATTTGTCGAAAAATACCACATTTATCACTGCACATATTCTCATTTATCACTGCACAAATCTCATTTATCACTGCACAAATTGGTTATCACTGCACACTAAAATAATCCCTGCTTATATTTATGATGATTCCTCTGATGTAAAGCCATAATATTTAAAAAATATAGCATGTTAACATTGACCTTATCATTATGCTAATTAGCTTAACATTCACCTTATCATTTGATAATTTTGAACAAAATTCCCATTATTTTTGTGTAAATGTGTACTAAATGTCACCATATAGTCACAAGACATATCGATGAGCTATATTTATGATGAATCTTCTGATACAAAGCCATAATATTTAAAAAATATAACATCTTAACATTGACCTTATCATTATGCTAATTAGCTTAACATTCACCTTATCATTTGATAATTTTGAGCAAAACTCTCTTTATTATTGTATAAATGTGTACCAAATGGCAATAAATAGTCACAATGCATATTGATGACTTATATTGATAATGATTCCTCTGATGTAAAGCCAAAGTATAGAAAAAATATAGCATTTTAACATTGACCTTATCATTTATTTGTTGTATAATGTTCACTCCCCCCTGGTAAATGGTTCTTTTGCAACAAATAGACTCCTTAAGTAGATAAGTTGAAAATAATGGGAAAATAAAAGTGGCATCTTAACATTCTACTTATCATGTAGTGTGGACGCGGACGAGGACGGGGACGGGGACGGGGACGCCAAGACTATAGCAATAGCTCTCTTGCACTAAAGTGCAGGCGAGCTAAAAACCGTGGCAATGGGAAGACAAGTGAAATGACTTCCACGGTTCCTCCACTCACCTTCAGGACACCCAGAGTTCCACAGCTGTCATCAAATGCTTGACATAAAACAGACGCCAGCCGTCGATCGAGATCAGCAATCTTGCTCGTGAACTCGTTATAATCATCAACAAACTCCTGTAGAAAGAATGATTTTCCGAAATTCCGAATGTCAGAAAAACTATACAAATGAATACCAGAAAGGTGACACATGCAACATGCACATACCTTGTTCGTGGCGTCCAGGCCATCGTACGTTCTGTTTCCAAAAACAGCAAAATATTCCGTGAACTCTTCGAAGATTTCCACGACTTGGTGACTCAACATTTTTCCTTTAATTCCACCAATCTCGACCTTCTCCAGCTTACAAAACTCAATCGCGGTGGAGAACAGCTCCTAAGAAACAGAGGGTTACAGCTAGATGCTACGTTTAACTAAGATTTTTGTCTCTCCTATCGACTCAAGTTGGTCAAAAGGAAAGGTTCACACAATCCAAATTTGTCAGATCCAATTCACTTCAGACGGATGTTTTATAGTCTGTAGACTCGCAATGTATGTGGGCAGCAAACCAGGTAAAGCCAAGGCAGTACTTCTTTATCATAAACAGACTACATTTCATACGTCGGACATAGATGAATTGGATATCCGACAAAATTGGATCGTACGTGTGAACAGACCGTAATATGATGTAGAATTATTCTCCATTCATACCCCGAAAACGCGCACGGCAAATTACAGTACATTTATAATGGATAATTGTAACAATGTACAACATGAAGTATTTCAACCTAAGGTCAATTTTTGGAAACATCATCCGGCATTCCACGAACCTCGACAACAGCGACACGTTCCACGAACTTGTCCAACCTCGCAAACGCAAGTTCATTCGCGAACTCCCAGTTCTTGACATTCTCCGGATCCTTGAACAGCTGGCTCATGTTCGCTCTTGTGTTGAGGAAAAGATCCTTCCACATCGTGCAAACGTTCAACACAACTTGCGTCTTCTCCAGCGATTCTTCAGCCTCGCCTTTGAATATTTCAGCCGGGTCGAGGAACATGCGAGCCTTGCAGTAAAAAATAAGAACAACTGAAATTAGCGAGTTCATTTCACCCAAAAGATGAATATCGCAGCAAATATTAACAGTTCATCTTTTATGTCAATTCAATTCAATTACAATGCCCCCCTCCAAGGTATATTCAGATGCCCCCCACCCCAAGATGTTAAGATGTCCCCCCCCAGATATTCAGATGCCCCCCACCCCAAGATGTTAAGATGTCCCCCCCCAGATATTCAGATGCCTCCCACCCCAAGATGTTAAGATGTCCCCCCCCCAGGTATTTAGATACCCCCCACCCCAAGATGTTCAGATGTCCCCCTCAGGTATTCAGATGCCCCCCACCCCAAGATGTTCAGATGTCCCCCCAGGTATTCAGATGCCCCAAACCCAAAGATGGTCAGATGTCCCCCCCAGGTATTTAGATGCCCCCACCCCAAGATGTTCAGATGTCCCCCCCAGGTATTCAGATGCCCCCACCCCAAGATGTTCAGATGTCTCCCCCCAAGATGCTCAGATGCCACCCACCCCAAGATGTTCAGATGTCCCCCCCAGGTATTCAGATGCCACCCCAAGATGTTCAGATGTCCCCCCCCAAGATGTTCAGATGTCCCCCCCCAAGATGTTCAGATGCCCCCACCCCAAGATGTTCAGATGCCCCCACCCCAAGATGTTCAGATGCCCCCACCCCAAGATGTTCAGATCTCCCCCCTCCAGGTATTCAGATGTTGCCAACTCCCCAAGGTAGACATATCATTAAAAATGTGTTGTAATAAGATATCCTACCATGTCAATGAGCATATTACACATCTCTTGAAGCAGAACAATAATCCTCGCTGGACGACAATAGAACTTCGAGTTGGCCCAAATTAAACCAATTGTGTGCATGAGAGCCGGCAAGACTTTCTCAATCTCTGTGAAGTCATACTGTTCCATGTCTTCCAATTGCCGTCTCAGGGGCTTAAGGAAGGTGTTTATATCACGAGCCTCTTCCAATGCTGTTGACAAAAAGAGAAAATGAGGTCACCCACAATATAGAATTTTTTTCATCAAAATCTTTCTTAACTCTTGTTTGTTTTCGTTCATTTAAATTTTGATAGGAGAACTAGATTTAATTCACCTGATATAACTTCTCTGAATATTGTCTTGAAAGCCAGGAAATAGCTGCTTTGTGTCTTCTCTAAAAGTTCTGCCATACTCCTGACACGATCATCTCTCAGCTGTGCATAATAATAATAATGTATTGTTAACCATTATCTCACATGCATTATCACACGCATCAGTTTCTGTTACAAAACTTGCAACACAGTTTCCAAACTAAGCCATTCTGTTATGAGATGATTGGGTTTTTTTTAATGATTTGTGTTGTATTCCATCAATGTTAGATAGAAATGGGAGGAGAAGCTATATGTGAAAGCAGTCTTGGAATACATACTGTAGTGCACACTTGCTGGTCTAATTAGTCCTACTTTGCATATCAATTTAATACCTGTTCAAATATGCACTCAAGATTGTCAGCTCTTGCTTTCCAAAAGTCTAGTTCAACCATAGGACCAGGATTGGTTCCTTCAAGAAGTGGCTGCGCTGAGTCCCTTTTGAGAACATTCTGTATCTGATGAGACCAGTCGATGATTATTGATTCAATTGAATGGACCAAACTTCTGTCAAATTGCTCTCCTCTGCAATGAAAATAAACCAGATCTCATGTGAATACGATACTAATCTTCAATCTTTAATCTAAATCCCAAACAATCAGCCGATAATAATAATCCCAAATCCAAAAAAAAACTACCTTTCATCAGCTTCACAAGCATCGGAGACCTGGTCTGATCCCACTGGCAATGGCAACAATGTTTTTCCTTTAACTTGGCCAGCAATAACAAAAACATTGCTTTTGAGTGAGTTAACATGACGAAGAACATCATGTGATACGACCGCCGGCCATTGTTCGTGATTTCGTTGATTCGATAATAGTGGGACAAGAATCTGAACAGAAAAATATTTTATTTTTCAATCTAGATACGATTGCATTCATTTTCGTATTTTAGATATTTCTGATGTTAATTTAAATTAAGATTATTAAAGAATTATGAAAAAGTACAAAAGAAAGAATGTTGTAAAAAAAAAAATAGAAACTAGAAAAAAATTTACTAGTTACTAGTCCTTCACTCAACATCATGGTTCCACAACTTATTTGCATATAACTGTCCTCATATACAGGGTGATGTCAATCACAAAAGAGAAAAACAAAGAACTTTTGAAAAGAATGCATAAAATATTCTATTAAAACACATCTATTCCTCACTCATGGTTGCCAATTGCAAGGAAATGTCCTTGCATTATGGAAACCCTGTGGTCAACATTATGACCAACAGCCTAGGCCTCATTATGCAACCAATCTCCTTCGAAGTCTATAGCAGTATCAATAATTATAATACTGATATTAAACATAATTTTAAATATAAGAATGGTATTTGTTCTTAGTCAGGAAATTTTGCAAGGTAGAATAAAAGTTTCATGTCAAGACTTTATAAAATTAAACCACCCCAACCACCCTCATAACCACTTGCTGGTACCATGTAAAAATTATGGTGATAAACTTGATCTAATGTAAGCAAGACAAAATCCAAAATATCATAGATTTTTACACTCTTTTCTCAGAGCTTACTTACAGAAAACATCTACCACAAAAACATTACAATGCATGCAATACGCGTCGGTATAAAATAGACGAAGCAAACAAGAACTGTCCACAAAATGTGATATTAAAATTTATCAAAACACACCTCTTCAACCAGTGCAAAAAGCTGCTCTGGTGGAGTGTAGGACAAATCCCCAAAAGCTAAGGCTGTTTTAACATTGTCTTTTCCAATAGTTCCAGATTTTTCTTTCTTCGTAATGTAGACGGCTTTCGTTTTCAAAGTTAGTGGAAAATCGTGAAGCGGTTGAAGTTGTCCTGCGGCATTTTGCATTATGACAAGCAAATGTAGATCTGGCTTCTCAAAGAAGTTCAAAATTTGTTGCCTGTATTCCTCATTGCCTTCCATCTTCGCCCATTTATCGTTCTTGAGCTTCATGCTCTTCAAGACATAGTCTGACAAGAAGTCAAAACGTGGGTCACTAAACTCCATGTTGGCAAAACTCCGCTGCAAAGTTCTCGGTTTTTCAAAATTTACAAATAATTTAACTACAATTAAACGCCGGCGATACGGCTAGGTACATTACGGTCATCTTTCATCAATAAATAGTACGAATAATACAAAACTTTCTCCAAAAATCCAACAAATTTTCAACGTTTTATTTTCGCTCCGCCGCTCAAATTTGGTCGCTAACGTTGCTATGGTGATAAATGTTGGTCACCAGGAACAATATCCCTGGGGTCAAAAGCCGTACAGCTAAACCGTCGTTTGCACAATAATTCAGTTCCCTAGAACCATATGTGATAGAATGGTACTCTATAGGTACCATAGAACCATATGTGATAGAATGGTACCCCATAGGTACCATAGAACCATATGTGATAGAATGGTAGAACCATAAAACCCTAACCACTGAATTGTGAGCATTAAATTTTACTACCCGTGCAATTATGCAGTTCAGATTTAATTATTATAATATGTTTTGTAACATCCCCCTTAAGTAAAACTATCTGGTCTGGAATCAGATGGAGTAAATACTAAAGAGAATGCATTAGAGTGGAATGCAGCTCAAGGGACTCCTTGTATTTCTCTAAACTACCATCTACTTTTGATAGAGAAAAGAGGCAATCAACCATTACCAGCAAAAATATCATTTATGTCAGACAATTGTTGATATTTTGCTGTACAACTTAAATATAACATATATACACACAATTAGAACTAAATTTACAAATAAGATCTAGTAAATATTTGACAGGGAAATTATGTTATAAATATTTTTCATTTTGCCATTGATTCCATTTATAATTACGCAGACTTTTAAAAATGACTTTCATATATTTCTGGTGGTCTGTCATTCAAAATCTGTTTAACCCAGCTACCTACATCCACCTGAACCTTGTCTTGTTCATATCTCTGAAGGAATGGAAATTCCTGCAGAAACAAGTTGAAGTTAGTAAACATATCGAAATACATGCAGGCGTATTCAATAATAAAATTGGCAAGATACTGACATACTAGTGTACCTCTTTCATTTAATATGTAAGATACTAGACTAAATGAAACTAGCAAAATAGGCAAATCATAGATTGGTATATTGCTTACCAATAATCTTCTGTACTTTGGCCTCTTGGAGACATCTTTAGTTACACTAAATGTACAAAAATATGATTGAAAATATCGAAATGATTACCCTCTGTAATAACATTTAAGTTTCATCTCTATAAGAATGAAGTTTCAAACTCATTGAGTCTTTAATATTAATAAATTATGGCTGACACTTGACAAGTACAGTTGCAGTTTGCCTCAGGCACTCCAGGCCATCAGGGTACTCAGAATTTAGGAAATTCAAAGGTTCCTACCATGTATTAACAAAATCAATAAATTCTGGGCTAAACAGTCTCTTTGAAGGATTGTCATTAGATAATTGTGGTGGATCACCCATAACAACAGCGGTAAGCTGATCAAAGACTGATGTCCATTTTGGATAGGGAAATTTTCCAGTGGCTAGCTCAATCTAGGAGAAACACATCAAGAAGGATTATATTACCAACAAAATACAGGGTTGCCAGTTTAAATCAAACCCACCATTGTCAAGCCAAAACTCCAAACATCTGATCTGACATCATATCCATTTTTCAACGAATCTGGGTCAATTCTTTCAGGCTTCAATGAAAAACATAATTTCATGTTTTTTTAGTCATAGTATCAGATTGAACAGTTTAGAATTGATAAAGCTACCAGAGCTCATTTAGTTACACAACACAACAATTCACTCACAGCCATGTAAGGTTTACATCCGGCATCTCTGGTTTTGGCAATGGAGTCCACCAAATGACCACTTATCCCGAAATCACACAGTTTGATATTGCCACTGAGGTCGAGCAAAATATTTGATGGTTTCACATCTGTAACATAAAACACAGGTATATTGATAAACAGCTACCTAATACATATCTGGGTAATAATTCTATGCATGAAGTAAATCCTAAACAAACAAATTTAACCTAATCCCAAATCTAAAAGAAATCCTAACCCAATGAAGATAATCTCATAGGATAATCCACATAAGCCTACCTCTATGTATTATTTTCAAGTTTGACTTTAAATAATCCAGAGCTTTGACCACCTATTGACCAGCAATTGAAGTGTGAGATGTGGTTCTTGCTTTCTCAACAAGTAAAACAGCTGGAAAATTTTATGTCATAGCTAGTACAGCAATAAGAAATAAAAACAAACTCACTGCTAATGCAATCACTCCAAGGATATCTTCTGGAATCGCTTGTCCTAATTTTCCATAAACTAATTTATATAATATATCCAGCGATGTCTCCATTAATTCCATACAGATCCAAGCATCACCCTAAGAATTATACATAAGAATTGTACATAAGAATTGTACATAAGAATTGTTTTGACAGGCAGATGACCAGCTACTCAGATGAATGCCTCAATGCTTCAGTATGCTTTTGTTAGTGTGATGATACTTTCACGGCTTCCAGCAACCCATTATTGATTACTGGTGTCCAGTTACCTGCTACACTTTAGTATCTCAGTGTACATAATGCTGGATGATACTGTATTTAATTTTGCTTGTGATAGATTGGTAGGGTACAGCTAGGAAACAGTAGGCCTTAATGACAAACCTCAGTAAACAATGCCCCATAAAACTTTACAATATAAGGACATTCACTGCTGTTCATCACGACTTCCAAATCCATCAAAAGTTGTTTCTGTTCTTTTTCATCCACAGTTGAATGTATTCGCTATAAAAGACAAGATTAGAGCAATTCATGGTAGTCAAGTCTCGGAAACCCTTGCTTCAGACATCCCTGCATATCCCTAAGCATTACAGCCTATCAATACAGGTACCTTGACTGCCATTTTTGTCTGACTTTGTCGATGAAGCATCTTGCTTACAGAACCAAAATTTCCTCTTCCAATCTCACCCAGGTCAACCAGATCTTCAGATGTATACTCGTAGGTTTCCTGGAAATTTACAGCCAGTTTCATTCATTAAGCTTTACCCACCAACTATTTGGAACTTACAAAGAAACTTTGGTAGAATAGCTAATAAATTGTAACCTCATTAGGTCCAAATCTTAATTTCCCAGCAGCCTTGTGATCTTTTATTCTTTGTCTTAAAAAAAATATTGCATCAAATTACTTTAAAATTAGTATTTCAAAAGGTGTGTAACTTATTGCTCATATTCTGACTGCAAATTTAGGTGCCTTTTATAACAGGTAACTTACATTTTCACAGAATGCGCAGCTGGTTGAGCTGGTTTGGTTTTCACTGGTTCTTTCTTTAGACGAAGACCACCATCAAAACTCAGCTTCTTTAAATCATTTTTCAAGCTTTCTGGTGAGCTAGAATCCTCTGACAAAATTAAAATACATTAAGATGCTGTTTATCCTGTATGTTGTTTACATTAGTTTAAAAGTAATAGCAACTTTACCCATGTTTTCCTATATTAAGTATTATTATTATAAAACTGTGGGATATATTCCTTGAAGAATGATCCAGTAGCATTATAATAAGTAACCTATCTACCTCAATAATGTCAATTTCTATCGTAACACAATTAAACAAACATATTTTGCTTTCTCCTAACTGAAACTCCCTTGGAGTAGGAACTGAATCGACTGATTTTATTGTTTTCTCAATTATAAACAAAGTTAGTGAGACTGTTTATTTTAGAGTTTTTCCTAATGTAAAATCATTAAACTCGTCAATTTTTTGTTTAAAACTGATGGATTTACTGAATACAAATTGATTTTTCAAATTATATAATAAACTAGACTTGCATCCGTGGTTCAATCGGAGCGCTAGCAGTTGTATGAATCACAAAGCTACAGTATATTTCACAAAAATATACATCATACACACCTTGATTTGACGCCATAAAACCGCACAGAAAAACGATGCAAAGATCTATGTCTTTGCAAACACAATATTCACTGTGTTTTTAGCCGGATTTGCAGAGAACTATTTTATTTATTTTCATTGACGAGTTGCCATATTGGAAAAAATAATATATTCCCCAACAACGCCGGCGAGAAACTGGGAACCAATATCTGCAAATTCCGAGAATTTCTGCTTCACGTGGCTACTTACATGCAAGGTATTCTCATAAACTTACTGTAACCATGGCATAACTTTGGTTCGATCGATTTCTCAAATCCATACATTGCAACATTCGGAAATGTTCAGAAAAGGTTGGGGCGTTGTTTTTGGGGCAAGACCACACAACATGGTCACACATTCATGGGTTGAGGGTGATGAGATACTGTACCATACCTGCAATCCTAAAAATTCACCAAAAAACGAATTTCAGCTGATTAAGTTTAATAAAAATTTCCATTACAATGCTTTTTACAATTGATTGATTGTATTTACTTACGCCTCATGTTACCCGACCAATTGGACATTCCCACGTACCAATTAACTCCGATTGTATCAAATAATGTTCAACAAATATGCATAATAGTAACAATTAAATAGTAATGTTGCAACTTTAAGCGGTTTAAGCTATGATATATTTCGAAATTTAGGCACAAAAATGTGCAGAAAAGTACTAGCAATTCTCGTAGCGATCATTGCCATATTTACTGGCTTAATTTGGTATAATGTTTACCTCCCTGTCTCTCCTAAGTTTAAAGGAGATGAGAAATTAATTCCAATTCTTTTCGGTGTGAACAGACTTCTGGGCCAAATATTCGGCGACAAATTGGGTTTGTCCAAAAAATACGAAGTATACCGTTCGTTTTTTTCAATCATAACAGAGACAGATTGGCTTTTCACTTCAGAAACAAAGGCTGGAGTTACCATAGAGGATTCTGTGATTTCTGGTGTACCTGTAAAGATATTTCGACCAGTAGATAAGGAGGGTGAAGATAGCCTTCATCCAGCATTGATATATTTTCATGGTGGGGGACTGGCAATGGGAAGTGTTAACTGGACATGCTATGTACAACTATGCATCATGTTTGCTAAAGGTTTGTTACTACATATATACTCCTAGTCAAATGATTTTGTTTGTCAACGGTAGACATCACCCATCAGTCAGTTATCAGAAGTTTGTGTTGCAAGCTAATGACAGCATCAATCTTAAGGTTCTCTCAGGTGTTATATATCGATTTATTACTCTAGATACAAAGTCTGTGGTGATTTCAGTTGAATACAGGCTATTACCTGAGCATCCTTTCCCAACACAATTTGATGATGGCTATTTGGTTGTGAACACAGTCGTTAATGAACCAAGCAAGTATGGAATTATAAAAGACAAAGTTGCACTTGCTGGGGACAGTGCTGGAGGTCTCCTGACTGCTGCTATTTCAAATGAATTTGCAAAACAAAACAGATCATCCAATCTTGTTGGACAGATACTAATTTATCCTTGGCTTCAAATAATTGATATATTATGCCTGCCATCATACCATCAAAACAAACAGGGCTTTCAAATGGATGAGAAAGAGACTGCCTACTTTATGTCATTGGTAGCAATGGGTAGTGATAAAATGTACCAGGAATATATTGTCGGAAATGTCACAAAGTATTTCACAAAAACACAATATCAGAAGTATCTACAAATCCCCAAAACTTGTGATGTTTTAACAGAGAACACAAATGAAAACATAAATTTACCATCTGAATTTGTGAGCATGGTGACTGACCCACGGCTATCTCCTCTCCTTGAAGAAAATCTGGAGGGGTGCCCTGCAACCATGTTGGTAATACCAGAGTATGACATCTTGGCGAGTGAGGCGTTTCTTTATAGTAAACGTCTTGAAGAAGCTGGAGTTCCTGTTTCAACAAAAATATACAAAGCCTGTCATGCATTCCTGTTTCTGCTACCTATTCCCTATGTTAATACAACTATTGCTAGACAGGGCATGAATGATATGGTCAATTTTTTAAATTCTGTATTTTATACATAGTTACAACTTTGTAATGCAACATTTATGCACTTTTTAATGTCATATAATACTGTGTGATTAATCCCATTATATATTTTTTGAGAATATTATGTACATGGAATTTTAATGGTTTGAATTTTGTAGACCTTTGTGTGATATTCAATTCTAAGTGCCTGCCATAAAACCAGCGAAGCAAACAGGTCTTTCAAGTGGATGAAAAAGAGACAGACACAGACTACCTTATATCATTATCATTGATACTTGATAGTACCCTGTTTTTTTTAAGCGGATATGTTATTTATCTCGTGAAAATCATGGGTTCAATCAATTAACTGGTGTTGCATTACATTCAATATTTATTTTAACAATGGCTAGGAAAGCACTCGCAATCTTTGTGGCATGTCTTGCGATTATCGTAGGTTCTCTTTGGTATAACGCTTACCTTCCATTATCTTCCAAAATCCATGGTCCATCCTCGAAGTTTCTACCATTCGTACTTGAAAGTGCTAAGTTGATCAGTTCCTTTGCTTACAAGCTGGGTTTGGGTGCTTCTCGCATTGAGAATTTTCGAGCTTTGCTGGCTTGGGCTAGTTTGATAGATTTTAGAGGTGAGCATTGGAAACAAGGTGTTCGGATACAAGATACAAGAATTGCTGGTGTTCCTGTAAAGATATTCAGACCTGTAACCCAGAAAGATGGTACACCACCAGCACTGATTCATTTTCATGGAGGAGGTTTGGTATATGCAAGTCCAAATTACAAAACGTTCATGGCACAATGTATTTTGCTGGCCAACGAAACCAAATCTGTTGTAATATCTGTTGATTACAGGCTTGCACCTGAGCACACATTCCCAACACAATTTAACGATGGTTTTGCTGTTGTGTCTGCCGTCATGGGTGAACCAATGAAGTATCAAGTTGATGGTAAAAGAATTGCTCTTATAGGTGATAGTGCAGGAGGTTTGCAATCCGCAACCATATCACTTGAACTTGCAAAACAAGCAAAGCTGGTGAACAAGCTTGCAGCACAAGTCCTGATTTATCCCTGGGTGCAAAACATTGATGTCAACTGCTTGCCATCCTACAAAGCGTATTCTGAAGGTTTTGCTTTGTCTGCAAGTAGCATGGCTTTGTATGCATCTGCTGTTACTATGGGCAACCGTGACATGGTACCAGAATATCTGTCAGGCAACGTCTCAAAATACTTCATGCAAACACCATATTGGAAGTACATAGCTGACCTTGCAACATGTGAAGTACCAAGTGAAAACTTAGTAATCAACCTTCCATCAAGTTTTGTTGAAAAAGTCACTGACCACCGATTCTCTCCTCTTCTGGCTGAGGATTTGAGTGGTTCACCGCCAACTCATATAACCATAGCCGAATATGATGTCCTTGCAAGTGAAGGCATGCTGTTTGCAAAGCGACTTCAAAAGGCTGGGGTACCAGTGGTCCAAAAACAATACAAGACCTACCATGCATTCATACAAAATATTGAACTAATATTTGGAAATGACACCCTTGCAAGAATAGCTATGAATGACATTGTCAACTTTCTAAACTCTGTGTTTCATAAAAACAATGTCTAGGTCATGTGATTCTATTTCAAATTTGCTTGTAGAATGATTTGTGTTTATTCAAAGGTCTGTAATGTACTTTGTATCTTTTCCCAGGTAATTTATACTAAATTGTAATTACTTTTACTAGAAACCTCAACTTTGACCTTCAATCTAGTTTTCCATAAATCTACTAATCATTATTTTAAAACCTAAACTTTCATTGTGCATTTGTAACTGAGGGTACTAGCATTAAACAGGCACTACTTAGAGTCACAAATATTAAATATTTTAAAACCTCTGGCATGTCAGAAGTTCACCCCTGTCACTATGATTGAGAACCTTACAGGTTGACCAATACAATGGTATTTTTCCATTATTTTTAAAGAGAACAGTCCTATTGGTGCAGATTTATTAGCTTTGCCATTTAATTTGAGACAGAAGAACATCGTACGCTTTCTTCACATTATCTGGTACATGATTTGAGATCATGTTTGGAACAATTGCAATCTTATCAAATGAATCTCTGTCACCATGAATCAAGTCAAACATTGACTTTCTACAAGTTAAAACCAAAATTTGAATTACTTTTCTCAGAAAACCTGGCAAATAATATGACACATGTCTCGTTCAACACCTTGGAAACCTTGACAAAAGCTTTGGTCACTTTGCATAGCTTTATCACAGCCCAGTATACTACAGTAACTAAGTGTCCACCCTTAAGGTCAGGTAAGCTGGATTAAACAACTTATTACATGAACATACCTTTCAATCAGGTGGAGAATGTTTCCAGGACAATAAAGTTTCTCAAAGTGCTCAGCAGTTTCTGATTCAGAAGTGGACGTTTGTTGTGTATTGACATTCAGGTTATAAACCACATTGTTATCATGCGCCAGCAAATGTGACGTTTCACCTAAACGAAAAATATTATCTAGCCTAAAATTTTGGTAAACCATCTGGGTGTATGTATGTAGGCATTCAACACTAAACTATCTGTCAAGAATATACATCATAACCATACAAGATTCTCACCAGCATTGTCTGTACAAGAACAAATGTAGTCACTAAGTATTCCCCAACAGCCACCAAGCAATATTTGATACTGGAAGAAAAGATGTTCATGTGTCATTTGAAGCAAGAGGTAATTTCCAGCACATAACCATAGCACATCATGGTGTAATATTGATGAAATATTTGTATTAAAATTGTTGTATTGCATTTGTAATGGACAATGAGTTTTCCCTTACCTTTGGCATTTGACAGTGCTTCAGAGCATCAATGATTTCTTTCTTTAAAATGTCCACACTGTGTATACTTAACCTATGCAATGAGATAACATGCATCATTCATACTACATACTGTATCTATCATAAAGAGATGACCAATCACCTCAATGACAGTATAATTTGAACGGTGGAGTTTATATTAAGTTGCATGGTTATAATTTCACCACATCTCACCTTGAAATTACATCATTACCAACAACTACTGAAGTAACAAAGTCTTCACAATATTTCGCTGCTTTTAAACTGAAACAGAAAACACAAGCAGATATCTTCATTGACAAGAAAGCTCAAAACAAACATAATGTTGATTATTGCATACTTTAAAGCCTGAGGTGGAGAATAGGCAAAGCATTTAACTGTTTCATATTTCTTCTTCATAAGAATTGCAAGAATTGCACTAGTTCCCGCTCCAAGAGAATGCCCGACAATCACCAAATGGTATTCAGGATATCTCAAAAACAGTGACTCCAAGATGTTCTCTCGTTCCAACTTGTCTCTGATAAACTTTGCAGATTTAGTCATACCCTGAATGAAAATACTTGTAATAACTAGATGTTAATCTGAAGGTCATGTTACACAGTGCAATTTTTCTTGCAACTTGCAATGCAATTCTACTTACTGCAGTTAGTGAAGAGTCTTGCAGAAGAAAAGTGCATGAAGTGTAATAAACACAAAAGTTTCGTTGTTCCCAAATATACATCTCTCAAATGTAAAATTGCATTGCAAGTTGCAAGAAAAATTGCGCACGCTGTGTAAGAGAACCTTGAGTAGTTAGCATTTCTTGGCTACATTGTCAGTCATATTATTTCATGAATGTGACGACTGCACTCATGTATACCAATGTTAAGATAGGAAAACAATGACATACCCTGTGTCCACTGCATTTTTCTTCACAACCATCATCACAGTCAAGCTCTAAGCTATCAGTTTCAGCTGTAAGATCTGTAAGCACATCCTGAAACAAAAACTAACTGTTAGGTCAGTGTGTGATTAGTTAACGAATCATGCACTGCAACGATTCCTGCATGTCTACTTTACCTTCAGAGATAATGTTCCTCTCACAGAAATAACAACTTTCTTCAGTTGATGGTCAATACAAACACAAAATGCAGTTTGGTAAACCTAAAAAGAGAATAAAGATTACTTTAGGTCATCACATTGTGAAAAAAGACTAAGATTTGACATTTCTTCATGTTTGTGCAAGGAAACCAGAGAAATACAAGCACTGTTTTGAAGCTGTAGAAACTTACATCATTTTTAAAACTACTGAAGACATATTCAACTTTCCCATGAGCAGGCCCTTGAGAAATCAAGCCACTTGTATTAGCCTTACAGCACTCATCACCTTCAATAACAATACCATGGAGATTTTGTGAGCAACCACATCTGCAAGGGAAAAAAACAAGAACCATTTCATCATTTCACAGCTTTTTACAGAAGAGTCCTACTTATAAACATTGGCCTTACTTGCAGACTTTACATAAATGACATAACCCGCAGCAAAGATGCATGTAACAATACAAAGGCCAGCCATACGATCCCAAAGCAAAATGATAAAAATAATAGCTTTCATCAAATTTTTCCCATGTCTCCTGCAAGAGAATTAGACCAATGGAATGAACCTCATGTAACTTATGCAGTGGTTAATTAAACAAAAGAATTGAATACTACATATCATCAAGTAAAGACAAGCATACCATGTCATCTGATGTGACAAGTCTATCTTTCACCCATTGCTAAAAAGAGGTAATTAGCTGTGAAATTCTTTTGAATGCAAGTGACTCTGAAACAATTATGACTGAGATTTGATTGACCAAAGGTTGACTGATTAAATCAAGAGTAGTAATTATCACTGAATGACCTTTGGCTATGCTGTATGTAACATTGTTGCTCACCCGAGAAGCTTCTCTATCTTCTTGAGCATTTCTACTCTGTTCTTGATTCAGCAAGATCAATCCAGCTGCAATATCCGAGGGAACAAGATCCACATCATGGAAGACAATAGCCAGACCCCGTGCTATGTCAGAGAAAGCTTGACTTTGGTTTCCTGAACCACCAGAACAGCAGCATGTGTTCTCTAATTGAGTTTCTATAGCCTGAAGGGAAAATTACAATTACAACCTGTTACCCTGTTGAAAAAAGAAGCAAATTAACTTTTACCTTTTGAAACGCAGAGGAACTCTTAACCAGACTTTTACCGCTAGAATCAACTCTCCCCATTGGATTAAAGAGAATTATAAGAAAAATAAGCACAATAATAAGCACCGCCCATTGACAGCCAACAAGAACCCTTATACTCCAGACAATTTCGGTATCGCAATCTACACCAGGGTTGAATATCCATATGCTACCCATAAGGGTGAGTCCGAACTCTGGAATAAACATAGCGAGGCGTATATAGATAAACTTGGTGATTGATGATCGTTGAGTGGTATCCATAACTGTCCCGCGCATGCTTATTGCAGTAATTATGATTTCTAGGAAAAATTCTAGGAAAAGTAGAGGTATCATTATCCAGAAGTAAACCTTTGCAAGTTTGCCTTCATTGCATTCGGGGATATCATGATAGGAGATGCCAAATACAATACAAAGGATAATCAACCTGAAATGAAAAAAGATGCGTAGAACCAAATTAATAATTAATGTGGAAACTACTTTTAGTATTAAGTATAACAAAACAAACTTCTACGAGCCTTCTACCAGCCATTGTAACACGTTGTGGTTTTAAAAAATATATGAACTTACCATGAACCACGCAGAAGTGCGCCACCAAGACCAGGGAAAGTAAAATCATCGCTGCCAAATCGCCAAGCGCGACCAAAGAGCGTTAGAGCAGGCATTCTTTATTCCAAAATAAATAACTTGAAGATGGGTATTGTAAACTGGCTCAAATTCCAACACATGATTTCAAAATGTCTCGATGCATAATCAACTGCATATTGAAATTCGGTTTTTGACGGTTTAGATTTCGGTTTTGAAGCCTTGCGGTTTTTATTTAGTTATCAAGAAAGTGTACTTACAAAACGGTCAGTCTCACATGCAAATTCACAAGACAAGATTTGCATTTGCAGGTAAATTCTAGTAGAGAGGAAGTAGCACTCCCCCCAGCTCAGTGACTCTTCCCCTTTAATGCTTCCCCCCCTGGCAGGTGGGCGTCGGAGGCAGTGAGCTCTATATATATATGGAGTAATAACTTGGTTGCTACCTATGGTTGCTACAAGTGAAGCCAAAGATCGCGGAAATTGAAGGAGCTATTGGAGCACTTAGCTATACCAGAGCGGTTTTACTATATATCTATGTCTTTTACTATTAGACCATCAGCTCTACAGATACACTAGACATTATCACTAGACCATCAGCTCTACAGACAACATTCTTCACAGGATTCAAACAATTGTCTCATAAATTGTATTCTTGCTTAATTAATACTATTTACAAATGTGAGAATGTATACAGTATCCATGTAAGTAGCTATAATTGTTTTTTTTGAATATTTATTTCTGAGTCTGACCTATATATAGTCTGGACACAAAACTCTGAGCCAGTAGTAAAAGGCAGATAATTTGAGTTACAAAATTATGAAACTCCACTCACTAAATTGTTGTAATCTTCAATATTACCTCTAATGTGGGAAAATGCATTCCTCAGTCCAATCTTTAGAAGACCTTCAGTCAACAGGACAAGGATCAAATTAAAATCGATTTAGCAATAATTTGAGTATCCTAATGAAATTCCTTGAACCATTCTAGGAAGACTTACTAACCTGATTTATATGAGCCTTCCAGCATCGACTGCAAAGAACGCTGGGCATCAATTTGACAAAGCACTGTGACTTTGGTATGCACAACATTATCTGCAAGTGAAAGATTGATTCAGTCCTAATAAGGGATGCATATAGGCTGGTTTAGTACATGGGTGCAAAGCAATTGCCAGGCATTGGCTGGGATAAAGCACCAGCTATCAGGGATGTTGTCAATAAATTATAATAATTAAAAGATTAGGTGCTACATGGACTTAAAATTGAGCTCTGATGTCATTTACTTCAGTTTCAAAGTTTTTTACCTTCTAATTCTTCAGGGCAGATGATAATCCCGGAACATCCCAATTTTATTCTCATGTAATCCTACAAGAAATAATTTGGAAACAATTTTATCACTTTATACAGTTCACAGAGCCAAAAAGTATATTCACACAAGAAATATATTAGTTTTCCATGGAGGTTACTCACATTTTCCTTATCCTGCTCAGCTGCCTGAGATATGGAGACAAAAAGCATGCCTAAGGTTTAAAAAATATGATCAAATATGCAGACTAGGAAGAGATCAATCTTTTGCCATTTCTTCAAATAAATGTTCAAAGCTAGGTAAAGGGTTATCAGAACTGGGTGAAGGACTTACCACTCATTTCATCTCGTGCACCTCCAGGATGAACTTTCATTGTTAACCAAAGACAATCACGAGCGGATATTCCTGGTACGGGAACATCAAACTTACTGTAGAAAATGTCCGCTTGAGGATTGCTATCTAAAATTGAGGCAAAGTACGTACATAACACTGTTGGAAAGGAAAGTACATTACATATATAATTCTGTTGGAGCCTTGGAGGACAAGTGCAATATATATTGTTACAATAATAGATATCAATTACCAGTAATCTTTTGAACCAACTTTGCATTTCTGAAAGGGTAATCCAACTAAATAATCAGAAATATCAAATTTTAGCGTATGTATATAATGGTCGACAGAAAAAAGTATTTGGAATGTAACACTGACCTTTCCACCAAGTTGAATAGCTTTTTCTAAATATTCCAATGTGATTTCTGGCAAAACAGGCACTACTCCTTCAGTCTAAAAGATATACCAGAAGTAAATGTTTATAGCACTACAGCAATGATGTGTGGCTGACATGAGATAATGTCACATGATAGTAAGTATAATCCACCTTTATTACTGCAAAAGGATTGTTCTGAAAGCCTTGTCTTGCAACAGTTATGCCATTCTTTGTATCAATTTTCTTCCAACTGCTGTCTGCTGCAGTCTTGCAGAGATTCTGCCATTGCTGTGACAAAAAATGCATTATTTCAGCAAAAATATTGGACATGTGGTTGACAAAAACACTTCTCAATGGTTTAAGATAAAGTTCTGGATCTTAACCAGATGTGATATTTATAGGCTAAAAAACGTTTAAAGACATATTGCTTTTAAATAGTCAATAACCATGTTCATATCAATGTGAATTAATGAATACCACCACCATACCTGCATTCTCCAACCAGGGTCTTCAAAATTACAAGGCCCATCTGATGACAAAGGTCTGACACAAACTTTTCGACCAGACTAGGGGTTACAACAGAATCATATAAACACATTATGGTATGTTTCTGAAAAACAATTGCGTTGCAATGGGCTAAACAAAAATCACTTACAATACGATTGTATCTTTTCCGAAAACTCTTTGCGTGTTTTTTCACTTGCGCTGGTGATCCTTCAATGCTTGCATTTATGGCGCTCATCCAATCCAACTTCTCCTCTTCATTTTCTATGTAAAAAATACATTTGTTTTTATTCTTAACCAAGTGTTTTTCAGGTAAAGGTTGCATGATTAGTTTAACTAAGATACTTCTCAATGTCAGTAGTTGATATGGTTCAATTTTAATGGAGACACATATATATCTTACCACAGCTAACATAATAGGTTCGGATGGAGGGATCAATGAACAATGGACCGATAGCAAAACAATGCGCCTTTCCTTTTTCTTCATTGGTTTCTAATTCCCTTGCGGTATCTGTTTTAAGTTGTTCACAAATACACACAAGGATTTTAGAGCTTGATAAACCTAATAGGTACAACATGGACACTAACTTGACTAATATACTTACAGGTGGGATCAAGACAGATTCTTCCTTTAGGCTGGGAATCATCAATATTTCTATTGGGAAAAATAGTTTAAAAATATTACGATTTTTACCAAACAAATTGCAAGCATAAGACCATTTGCAAGCTTGAAAACATTAAAACATACTTGAAGTAAGACAAGGTCAAAGAGGAATCATCTTCAACAAGGACAAACCATCTTCGCCTCCAGTTGGAATTTCTAAGAAATGTTGTTCCACTTTCCTTAATGCACCATCCTTCTTTAATCAAGGATCTTCTCTTTTTGCCCAAACTAGATTCGTTTTCTAATAGTAATGGATTAAACATTACATAATAAAGTATGGTACATGTGTTGGTACTTTGTACAACTGGAACATGACAACTATGGTACATTTATAGTAAATTATCCTGTGATCTCATGATTGTATGCCAAAAATCATTTTAGGCATGAAATGTGTGGAATGTATCATGATAGAGCAAATAAGCTTCAAGCAAGACCTAGCCAAGCCAAAATAGACAAAACATGACACCTGAGTATCCCTAATACATGCATACCATAATTACCATTTAACTTTTCACCATCTTTTTCCATTTCTTTTTCACATACTAGAGAAAAACAACGGCCATATCAGCTACATATTGACTAAAACACAGACATAGCTTACTCAAGGTTGCGAAAAAGACAGTCAACTATTGAATATGACAATTTATTTCCGTATTTTGTCTGATGAAACCGGCGGTTGGTAATATCAACAAAGATAATAAAGTTTTTTGCTCAGTCAAATATTGAAATAAGACAATTTTTTTCCGTATGTATGTAGCTCAGTGGAAATATCATGGAAAAAAGAAAATACCACCAAATTCCTTCATTTCCAGGAATCATAACACAAGCTGTGGAAACACAGAACACGAGCCGACAGTGTCTCATAGCAGTGGTCGCTTTCATTTCGTATTGTAAGATCATCTAGCGCATACATAAAAATATTTCAGAATTTCAAAACCTTTTTTTATATAATTTTCTTTTGGAGTTTTTTCACCATAATTTCAGCACCTCCGGACTTGGAAATGCCTTCAAAGTATAAAGGATATGAATTTTATGAGAAAATCTTAAAAAAACCACGATATATAGTAGCGCCAATGGTCGATCAGTCTGAATTACCCTGGCGAATTTTGAGCCGCAGACATGGTGCAGAGCTGTGCTATTCTCCTATGTACCATGCCTCAGTGTTCTTGAGAGAGCCTACATATAGAAAAGCCGCTTTAGCTACTTGTGAGGAAGATAGACCACTTATTATACAGGTTTGCCCCGAGAAATCACCATTGTTTAGCACTTTCCACTTACTCCCTTTACCAATTCACCAATGATGAGTGCCTTGCTTGTCAATGCTTGAATTGGCTGCCTTCGAACAGATCTGTTTGGATGGATTTTGATTTTATTGATATATTTTGTATCTATCTATAGTTCTGTTAATAAATGTTTAAAGTTGGGTAAAGGGTACATCAGAACTGGTGAACAGGATTTTGATTTCATTGATATATTTTGTGTTCATTTATAGTTCTGTGCAAATGACCCAGAGACACTTGTCAATGCAGCATTGCTTGCAGAGCCTCATTGCGATGCAATAGATCTAAACCTAGGATGCCCACAGGGTATTGCCAGAAGAGGTACCATCCATAGACGTACTAGTAATAAAAATCTTCAACTCCAAGTATCCAATGTTTGTAATGCCATTTGAAAGATGTATAATACCATGGATTAATATCCTTTTAGGGCATTATGGTGCCTTTTTGCAAGATGAGTGGGAACTTATTAGTAAAATTGGTAATATAATTGCCATGTTTCTGTTAGATTTCATAACCAAATTATAATTGTTTCAAGAAAATTTTCACTTTATACCCTAACAGTACAATTGGCTGCAGAAAAACTGTCAGTTCCAATCACGTGTAAAATTAGAGTGTTTGAAGATGTCCAAAAAACAGTGGACTATGCTAAGATGTTAGAAAAAGCTGGCTGTCAGGTGAATGTTATAAATCTACTCAAACTGATTACTGATTTGTCAGAATTGGACAAACTAAATCACTTTCTTTTCTAAACTCTTTAAACCTCTCACATCCATTTTAAAGCTCTTAACAGTTCACGGGAGAACAAGAGAACAGAAAAAAGAACTGAGTGGTCTAGCAAGTTGGGACCACATTAAGGCAGTGAAGTATGTCATTTTGTTGTGTTTCAATGCTATGCTATGGCATTTCTTTAATGACTGATTTAAAGACATTTAGTGTCAATTGTTTGTTTTAAGAGAAAGTATATCAATACCGGTTTTTGCAAATGGGAACATTTTATATTTCAACGATGTTCAACGGTGTTTGGATTACACCGGAGTCGATGGAGTGATGACTGCTGGTAGGTGTCATTTTGTTCAAAAACATTCATTTCAAGTATCATTGAGGCTGATGTATCAAAATATAACCAGACATCTTATTTCAAACCATGAACTTACAGTACTCTTACACTGATGAGTAAACAATAATGCATCTGGATGCATAGAAAGCCTATGAGTTAATCATTATTCTTAATAAAATCAGATATTTTCTATCATAAATCTATAATTTTCAGAGGGGAATCTTCGCAACCCAGCTCTGTTTTCTGGTAAAGAGCCTACAGCATGGCAAATGGGTGAAGAATACCTTGATCTAGTTGATAAATATCCTTGTGCTCTGTCAGCTGTCAGGGCTCATCTCTTCAGATTATGGCATCATGGGTGGGTGAACTGAAATATATAAAATACAACACAACTGCTGAAAAAACCCCAAAACTATCCCACATATATATAAAAGATCTGTGGTGTTTAGTACAGTCAGACTTGATTGGACATCTGCATGTTGTATGAGACACATCCACCACTGCACTGCAAACCATATGTTGCATAAATTTGAGTTGTGATATCTTTTTCTACAGTTTATGCATTCACACAGACATACGAGAAAGGTTGAGCAAAGCAGGGTCGCTAAGTGAAATGAGAACTATAAACAATGATTTAAAACACTTGGCACAGGTACACACAGCAATTATACATACTTGATTTAGTTTTTTGCGCTTGAATTTAATGTTCTGGAGAACAAAATGCACACATGAATTTACTCAACACATGTCATCTTCAGATGGATGCAAACAAAACAGCAGAATCATTGTTAGGCACAGGCAAAAGGCATTACTGGATTTGCCAACCACATATAAGGTGAATAGAACACATCATCTTCTGTAGATTAAAGGTGGAAGTCAAGTCCATATGTAAATGGTTTGTTTACATTTTGAACTTCTATACTTTTTGAAATAAACTGTGTTGTCTGAATATCAAGTCGACTTGACTTCCAGCTTAATATTGTAACACAATTTGGATTTTCAAAAGTTAAACTATTGTACAATGAATGCTACAGATCAAATGAACCTAAGTCAGTTAAGAAAGATGAAAAGATTGAGAACAAGGAGGGTGTGAGCAAGAAGGAGATGAAAAGGATGTTAAAGAAACAGAGGAAATTGGAACAACAGCAGCAAAAACAATCAACACAACGTAGGAATAACTCATTGAAACCACAACTAAACTAAGCTCAGTAAACTGTCTGGTGCTGGAAACATATTTCACTCTCAAATAAACTGTCATGCTATCGTTTTCACAATGCAATACTGTATTTCAAAAATGCAACATGATTGTTTTATTAATACAGGATCTTTTAAATGGGACAGATGTGAAAAATGCATTGTCAACCCAAAGGTTAGTTTCTCCCAGACTCTGGAAATTGTAGATATGCAGATATTGAAAGATGGGATTAAGAGATTTGTTATTAGATACAAGCTTTAGATACAAGGTGTTTGTCAGGTGTGATCAAATAATCAATTTCTCTTACAGGGACGAAAATGTAATTACATGTTATGCCGTGCATGTTGTCGGGAAAAGACCTTCACAGAGCATTTGAACTGTCGAAGTCATCGCTTCAAATGTGACCAGAAAGAAGAGAATGCCATAAAGAAATCAAATAATGAAGACAAGAGTAACATAGAAATAGAAATAGGAAGTGAAAGTAGAACAGAAGATTGTAGTGAACATGTGAAATAAATGCCAAAAAATATGGCATTACTTGTATTATATTAAATAGCTCAATATATTTAACATAAATGAAACAACTGGTCATAATGTAAGTAGGTTGAGGTAGAAATGACCAGAGTTGCAATATATATTAATATCCATCCAACACAATTCTCTATCTTGCAATGTCTATGTATCAACAAGTATTTAGTTTTTTAATCCAATAAAGACTGATGATACTAAGGCCAAAGTATAATTCATGCAACCTTGTCATTTTCCTACATAATGTGTAAAGGTGTTATGTTTTAAAAACTCTACAACACTCACCCCAATGAAGTGAGCATTCTACTTTTTTGCCTTGGATTTTTCCGCAAGTTTCTTCATGTACAATTTGAGCAATTTCTGTGTTGAATCTTTCTGGGTAAAGTCCATAAACGTCTTCGTATCTTTCTCTCTTCCTGCAAGAAGTTCTTCAAGGATGGGACTTCTTAATATCTTTTTAGTCTCGTATCTCGCAGCAGCTGAAATGAAAGCAATTGTTTAATTAACGTAAGAAGGTAAGAATGAGAAATAAACCATGAATGTGCAATCGAAGTAAATTTATGCCCTATACAATATCACATTGAATGAAATACCTGGAATAGCTAACCATTTCTGCATTTCTTCTCTTGCCGCTGCAATTAAACCACTCTTCTCCACAACACGATCAACCAAACCTATGTCACCTGCCTCAGAACTGTCCAGTAGCTTACCCAAACACAGCAAACGTTCTGCTTGACGGTGTCCGACTGTGTTTACAAGAGTATTTTTAAACCTATTAGAGAAAAAGCCAGTTAATTATCAAACAATTTTAAATACTATCACTGTTATGTTTCAGTCAGATTGAAAACACCGTGGTGTACTCAGCTTTTTAAAATAATGTGCGAGATATTAGTATAACTAATATGGTTAATTGACTTACCAAATTGGAGCAACAATCCCCTAAACCAGAATGAAAAGAAAAACTATGGGTAAAACATTCAAAAGTTAACCACTTGAGTCTATTTTCAAGTGTTCCTAACCAGAAGAGTTTCATTTGGGCCAATATTTGCATCGTCAGCCATGATTCTGTAATCACATGATATCGCTAGCAGACATCCACCAGCAGGTGCTGCTCCCTGGTAAAGGAAAGTTAAAAACGTATGTGAAAAACATTTAGGAATAGTGAAATGAAAAGACAAATATCAAAATACATACATTAATAGCTGCAACAGTGGCCAACCTTGAGCCATAGAGTTTCAACCAAATGCCCTGAAATGACTCCCAAAAGTGTTTCAATCTTTGCTCATCTCCTTTTAGAAATTCAGTGATGTCCAATCCAGCAGAGAAAATCTTGGGTAACGACTACAACAATATTTAATCAATATACTGTCATTTCAAAGTTCTGCATCTTGAATGCATTTTTAACCCATTTTCAAATCTACCTCCAATCAAAATCTATTGTTTCCACTAAATATGCAGTAATACAAACCCTACTAACAACACAAATACTTACTGAAGTTAGAATCATTCCATGACATGATGGGTCTGCCTCAAGTCTTTCAATGACATTTGCAAGTTCTGTAAGCATTTCAGAACTCAGCGAGTTCACTGGCTTTCTGTTCATTTCCACAATGCCATAGCCTTCTTCCTTAATAACATTGACGAAGGAGGGGCTGTCTGAGGACAAATTTGAACGATGGAAGAAAAGAGGTGTGGTTTTTGCCGCATGTCTGAAGGAGCTTGAAAGTAAACCTGAAAAATATTGAAAAAATGTTATATGAACTTCACTTAGTCATATTTACTTCAAGTTTCATGGCACCTTTGGTGACAATCATTAGGAGAATGGAATTTATTTTGTTACAAGTGAATTCCAATAATTCTAATGAGCTTAATTTCATTCATAAGGTGGGAATAATGGTGTTGGGTTGATTTTGTAACAAAATTGAACGTTTTCTTGCAAACAACATAACGACAGTATTGGTTCACATTTTCCAACAAATTGCAACAAATGGTACATTTAAACTCACAGATATTTGTAAACAAAGCCTTCAATCCATTCAATCCCCCCCCCTGGCCCTGGGTTGAGACATTCCAATTCACCATTCTGAACAAGAGTTACCTAAACTAAGAAACAAAGCCTAACGTTCAATAATTTACCCTGTGAAACAGCTCGTGTAAAACATCTTGAAAGAGTCGAAGCCATTTTCGCATGAGATTCGAGAATTTAGTGATGGTATTATTCAGTTTTTTCCAACAAGCTTCACGTGAGTTCACGAAACGATATCGTGGGCAACACGTGGACATCACATGAATGACGTAATGGCATTTGCGCAAGCCGCAAGCGAAAATGGCGGAAAATATTCTACGCGAAGCAGAAGAACTTTTTGAGAAATATTTCAAAACTAAGCCTTCCGTTGCGGCATTCGCACCGGGAAGAGTGAATTTAATTGGCGAGCATACTGACTATAATGACGGATTCGTGTTACCTATGGTAAGATCACTGCGCCGGTGTAGTTGACTGGTAGGGTGTGAGAATGAATATTTTGTCTATTCTGCCCGATGGATTTCTCTTGGATGGATTACTAAAGAGATCCGTCTGGCAAAACGAATATAAGAATACGCAATTTCCAACTTATCGCATTTAATTTTGGCCCTGTCATCAAAATTCGTCTATTACATTCACACCCCCCTGTTTGTTATTAATAGTGTAGTATTGCTAGAAAAAATCCTTTTTCATTGGATGAATTAGATGGGATGTGGAAGAGATAAACAGTTTATTATATTATGGGGTTCATTCTTTCTCACAGGCTATTAGTTTGATAACAGTTATTGTTGGCAGTCCAGTTGACGGTTCTCAATGTCAAGTTGTGACATCCGCTGATGGAACTGATGAACCTAAATTTGTAACATTCACCAACCATTCAGAAAAGCCACTTGCTCCGGGTGAACCGCTGTGGGCAAATTATGTGAAAGGTGTCATTGCTAACTTTGGCTTCAAAACACCATCGTTCAATGCAGCCATTGCAAGCTCAGTTCCCCTCGGAGGTGGTTTATCAAGTTCTGCTTCCCTCGAGGTCGCAACATGCATGTTCTTAGAACAGTTGTGTCCAGAAAGCAAGAACCGTTCACAGAAGGACAAGGCATTGCTATGCCAGAAAGCTGAACATGAGTTTGCAAACATGCCTTGCGGTATTATGGATCAATGCATATCTGTGATGGGGCAGGAAGGTCATGCTCTGTTGTTGGATTGCAGGTATATACAATTGGTCAGTCCTGCCAAATGATCCAAGCTTGCTTCATAAACCTCATAATATTGTATGTTTGTGTTTAGGTCAATGGAAACCAAAGCTGTCCCATTGAATGACCCCAATGTCGCTGTTGTTGTAATCAATTCAAATGTAAAGCATAATTTAGCAGATAGTGAATATCCGAAGAGAAGAAAGTGTTGCGAAGATGCTGCAAAGACGCTTGGTTTAAACAGTCTTAGAGATGCTTCGCTTGCTTTGTTAAAAGGCAAGTTTCTCCAAGCTTATTGGTAACTGCCCACAAGGTTGCTGATGCAAACCTTGCATTCTCAAATGGTACTTGAACATTGTCTTTTTTTGCAGCTAAGAAATCAGAGCTTGATGAAGTGACATACTCACGTGCTCGCCATGTGATCACAGAGATACAGAGGACCGAAGAGGCTGTCGCAGCCCTGCAGAACAATGACTATAAATTGTTTGGTAGCTTAATGGTCCTAAGTCATGCTTCTCTAAGGTAAGATATGCTGAATTCGGACCTCAGATATTGACCTACTGATGCGTATTTCTAAGGAAAATCTAAATTGACAGTGCAAAAGATAATTTTCCATCTCAATTTTGTACATACTTATGTAAATTGTACCATTTCAATACATAAGCCTATTCTCCAGTTTGTAATGAAACTTCTCTTTGGAAAAATTCATGTCTTCTCTGATTAGGATGATCCATCTTTCTACACCCACAGTGTTTTTTCATGCGCAATCTTTTTATTACCTATGAAATATTCTCCACAAGTATTGCATCAAATTAGACCCTTTAAACCTAAAAAATCATTTCTGTCTGACTCTCTTATCTTCTTGATAGAGATGATTATGAAGTCAGTTGTACTGAATTAGATCAACTTGTAAAACTTGCCCTGGAGGTTGAGGGTGTTTATGGATCACGAATGACAGGAGGTGGTTTTGGAGGATGCACAGTGACCTTGGTTAAGAAATCAGCTTTACAGGAACTAATCAGTCACGTCAAGGTTGTTAATATCAAATATTATCAAAATTACAAGTTTGCTGATTCAAAAGTGTACAGTTTCATAGGAATATATGACCTGTGTTTTTTAGGCTGGCTACGACAAGGCAACGATTTATGTCACAAATCCCGCTAAAGGAGCTGGACCACTGACTGTTTGACAATATTGGACAATTATTTAATTCTAATTTTTTATTCCTTCTAATTGATAATTCTAATTCTTCGTGATCGTGCGTAATGGGTAACCCAATGTAAACGTAAAGTAAATGACTACTTTTTCTAACGAATGACTTAAAATACAACACGCTCTAAGAGAGTGTCTAAACATTCATCTATATCTTCCGTAAATTACTACATTTTCTAATGAATGACTTAAAATACAACACGCTTCAAGCCAATATCAATACATTCATCTATATCTTCGTCCAGTTTCCATCATATTGTATTTTATATTTCCAACAAATCTACGCTTTCCCATTTTCTTCATCATTACCATCCGTCTCAAACGAGCTCCCTATCCTTTTACTCAAACTCATCATCATCATTCTTGTTCCCTCTCGACGTAAAGTGGTATCCTTATAGAAGAATATCAAACAATTCACCGATGAATTCACACAGGCAAACGTGCTCGCCCAGAGGCTGAACAGCATACCATTGTCCTTGTGTAAGGTATCTGGATAGAATTGCATTCCACTGTAAACAAGAAGAGGTGCCGAGAATAGGATGAAACATGCGACGGCTAAAATACATGTGGAAACGCCCGATCTGACATCTTTTCGTGCGAAATTTGCGATTTTGTACATTTTATAATTGATGGAAAAGATGACCGCTAGAAGTGCTCCAACGAGAACGGCCTCGGCCGCGTAGCAGATGATACCAAAAACGTTTCGGTAGGCCAGTACTCTTTCGATAACAACCACAATAACTAAGCAGAATAAAAGAGCTGTAAGCCTGTTCTTTGTAACTCGTTGGCGGTGAAACAAAGGCTTGCTTATGGCCAAGAAACGATCGATGTTCATTACAAGCAATGCCATGAACGAGCAATGGAATAGAATGTTCGAGTATTTTTTGACTCTGTGAATTATGTTAGAGGCATCGTCATCGCCAGCAGACCAGATGTAACTGGAGGTGATGATCAACGGATGGCAAACGGTTACGGTGGCGATATCAAAACAGGTTAAAACCAGGATCATAAACGAACTGAATCGTTTCATCAGCGGCTTCGACTTCAGTAAACTGATCATGACGATAGCGTTAAGAAAAATCCCAATGAAAAGGAAGACTCCATTCACGACACAGATTAGGATTAGGTTAAGCAAACGAATAGATTGATCCATTTTAGAGAGAATAATATTGAACAAGGAAGAAACGAAGAGAGGTCACGTCTGATGATGGAACCGTTTAGGATAGAACAAACATATCACTGACATCAAACCAGATGTCCTCCTTAATAACGAGGGCGGGGAATATTTTGTTCCGGTGGACTAAAGTAATTAACTGTAAGAGTTCACCATCCGTAGTATTGTGATTGCATGCTCTGCATGACACTGCCAAAGATTACGTCCTGTTACTGTCGTTGTGAGTGGCCACAGTAGTCGTATTTTATCGAGAAGGCACCGTACAATTGTATCTTAGACTGGGAAGAGCTACAAAACACGGATGTCTTAATAATTCTAATAAATATACACACGTGAAGTATATCAGCACACCGCCCGGTGAATTTCATTAAGATAAGAAGTAGTGATGACGTCGGCGTGAAATGGCTGCAGAGCCATATTCGGAACTAAGTTAAAATACTAGAAATATCGTACCATGCACACGTATTCCCGCCTGAGATCTTCCCAGGCCGTTTATCTTTCCTGTATTCCTGTCCAAAAAACCAAAGTTCTGGCTGATTACTCTGCTTTTGGCCATATGCCAAAGAATAAATATATTACACACATATACTCTTTCGTAGCAGCTATATTTAGCTCAGTCTTTGATATGCAAGTCAAGGTCTGTAAGCTAGAGCTCTGCCGGAATACAATATAAAGTCTTCAGTTCCTCATTTGCGCGGATGAGCATCGTGGGAGATATATAAACATGATTTTGCTCCAAAATGAATTTGGATTTGTAACACAGGTAATAATAATATAGGCAAAAATGTTCTCCGTGCTTACCCTTGACGGGCATATTCAAACCTGAGAATGTAAATTTGTCCCTTTCTCTCACCAGCTCTCTCATATAGCAGCCGTCATCAGGGGTGCGACATCCGAGAGTAGCGTTCTAAAATAAACTTCTGCGTATTCCGGTTCACCTTCTTCTTTTGAACACAATCGTGGATGAAAAGTAATAAAAAAATCGACGGTGATCGATGATTTACGATTCCATTGCCGGTTCCCAGCGATGAAAACGTACGAACGATGCTTTCTTTGTGGTAAAATGTGGAAGGAATATTGGAAAGCTGTGCATGGCTTCCATGAATTAAACAGACAGACCAATATATACCAGAACTATTATTGTGCGTGACCGGCTTTCACGAGTTAAAGAGAGTCAGACAGACCAATATATACCAGAACTATTGTGCGTGACTCTCGATCATTGATAAGTATTCATAAATCGACCTCTTATGATGGAATGAACCAGTTTTTCTGCATATATAGTTTGTGCGTTAAGTTGCCTTCAATTACACAACCGTAGACCGACACTGGTAGTTAACGTCACCACATACACACACGTTCAGTGCAGTGAAAAATCATGTCTTTTGAAATGCGTGAAGCGAATTAAGCACAGTCAACGAGATTTATTTCGCTTGATTGCCCGCATTTTAAGGCAAGCGATCGTGGAATATTCTCTAAAAGAAGAACATCTGGCCTAAAGCGACGCGCATAAAAAAAGAATCGTTTGCTGAGCAAACAAACAATGAGTTCAAGGGGCACTCAATTCAGCTCAAACACAGTCCACACGCGAGAGGATCCAAGCATAGTTCATGAAGACATGCTACGTGTATATATGTACCAACTACCAAACATCTCTCAGCAATCAGAACTAGGGCTTAATCAAATCAAATGATCGATTTTACGCGCTCTTTTTGCGAGCGAAAAATTACCAATGTTGACATGATTAAAAATTTTAGATATGCTAAGTTTGCTTTTCTCCGCTTTCCTTGACTGTTCACTGTTTACTTTGGAGTTTATAGGATTATGACGTGTATGACTTATGTGCATGAATGCATGCGTCATTTCAAATGCTCTTTGGAGCAGCATCGAGCTTGAGGTATATAGCTATCTACCAGCGGTTTGCGCCTCTTTGAATTAATTGTGATGAACGACAGTAAAACCTTCAAAACTCCAGTTCAGATTCAACAAATGAAATTACCTGACACTGCCTTGCAAACATACATCGTGCAATTTTTAGGTTGAAAAAAATTAGAGGATAGTAATGTAACTCGTTCGTACAAAGAATCCCTCTAAAGCGGATATTATCGTCTATAACATTAGCCATAGTGATACAATTTGCCATCGATGTTTGTAGAGTAGTTAAAACAACAAAGATGCCCACATCCCCGCGTGGTCGTGCAGCTAATTAGTCAGAAGCCATTTTGGAAAACTCATTGAGATGAGTTTTTGCTCTTACGGATTAAAAAATTATCCAAAAAATGGTTGCCAGGTAAAATGACTATTATGAAATGTTTGCAAATCTCGGCTGCCTATTAACAACTTAAACAATTGTCAACTTTAATATACAGAGTTAACCGCGGCAATGAATAAAAATACCCGCGGTGATTTTATAGTTGCAACACGCATTGAACAAACCTAGTTTAGTTCTGTATATACGCGATGGCTCAAATAAACTAGGTGCCGAATATATGAACACCTTTACAGCTATATCAATAATTGACTGTTAAAATTCGCGACAATTCAATAAAGCCAAATCAAATTAGACGTTATTGGTTTCTTTTATGGTAATAAAACGTGTCATTTGAATGGGCGGGTCGCGAAAAGGCGATGGCGTGTATAAAAGAGGCAAGTTGCGAGCTGTGATTTTGAGCTGAGGTATTGAAGGTAAGGCAGAATGACGACGTGTTGTTTAAATTGGGAGGATTGTCGGATGTGTGATCCTGAGATTGGTGGCTCGCATTTGGTGGGTTACGAGGCTCGCCCCGAAAGTGGTTTTTTTGAAAGTAGAGGGAAGTTCGCAGCAGAAGAGATGAAACCCGAAGAAGTTTCGACACAGATTGCAGGACCAAGAGCTGGTACGAATGATCAAGGTATGGAAAAAATTATCCTGATATATGCAGGAGATCTTACAAGTGCAAGTTTCTAGGTGAAGATCAACATGCATGAAAGATAGCTCAGGCACCTTTGTTTTATTTCAACTGTTCATCAAAGCTCCCTGAGGGGCAGCGGTTTAAGGCAGGTCTACATTATAGATAAATCATGCAGTTCATGCTGACAGCTCCTCATAACTTGCTCTCCTGAATGGGGGTAGTGAGGCCCCCATAGTTGGGTACCTCGTTTGAAGAGTAAGTAGATCTATGGTATAAGAAAGAACACCTTCAGTGCTGTTGGGCGAGAATCAATTAGAATCGCCATTGAGAAGAAATCAAGTTATACTAAGCACATAATCGGATTGCAATCATGCATGATCTAGCAATATAAACCAGCTCGTATGATTGTGAAAAGAATATTCACCCTTCGAGCTATCGTTTGAGCTACGCAGGTTCACTTTAACTTGAGATGAAGAGTGGATCAACGAGTTTAACTTTGATTTCGAAGAGTTCAAGGTGAAAATATCCCAGGTTTTCACTTGAAAAGCAACCTTGGTTAGAGCTGGCGTGTGAATCCCGTTTGCAAAACGATGCAGGCATACAGCGAGAAGCAGCTGCAGGATTATTTCATTCTCTTCTATACACCATGCAGAGGTGTTAAGGAGATTAGAGGTTATTAGTGACAGAAAGCACGCGAAACCAGCGCGGGTCAGCGAGGAAAACAAAGAACGCTTCGCCGTGGAGAAAAACGCGGTATTGCAGTCTGGCCGCATGCGAGCCACGTGCGTTTTACGTGGGATGATGCAAGCGAGGGTCAACGCATTCATGGTTGAACGCGGTGCCAGGCAACGTCCAAAATATTTTCCAAGTGGTCTTTTTATTTGCACCACGCTATTCAGAAGAACTGACCAAAATATCATCGTTCATGATTTAGGTATATCCCTGTCTCTCCAATAGAGACTCACGTATTTCGTCGATTAATTATAAAACCTCCAGTTTACGCACGGTGATTTTGAATGAAGTTGGTAACATTTTGCAAAATTTTCACGAGAAAATGGGCAATTGAACTTTATGCAAAAATACAGCTCTGCATGAAGCGATTTATCTGCGGAGAATAATCTGATTTCGATCAAATAATCACCATTAATTGATAATTTAGAACAATTCGTCGGCAGAATGAAAAGGGTTTCACAACTGATTACTTTCATATTTGAAAGAATTTCTCATGCCGAGCAAGTTACCGCTTGATTCAAGCGCCTGACGATGCATGATATATGCGTTTAGGAAAACCTGGAACGCGAAGACGACGAGCGACATACAGAAGATGGCAGGTGGACATCCTCGAGGAGGCGTTCGAAGTGAATTGCTATCCTTCGACGTGGATGAAGAGATTCTTAGCAGCAAGACTCGACATGGAGAACATACAAGTACAGGTAATTCATTCATAGAAGCATTGCTACGCCTTGCCGCTGTGAAACTCAACCGGGTTGGTCGCGTAAGGCAGTTGAGCCCAACTCGACACTGTCGTAGAATTGAGCAATTATTTTGGTTATCAAAAGGATGGTCAACTACGATTTAACTACACAAAATGTGGCGAGAAGGTTTAATATTAGCAGGTTTTATATGGCCTGCGACTGTCAAGTCCTACATCAATTGAAAACCTTAGCGTCTATATTCTTTAAATTTTAGGTCTGGTTCCAAAATCGCAGAGCGCGTATGAAGAAGGATGTTCCATCCCCATATGCTCGTAATTACCCCCTAAATTCCCTCCCCAGCCGTCTATATCCCAGGACGACCTCGTATATCCAATATAATCCTACTCACATACCTTACGATGCAGCCGTCTTGACCTCCATCAACACAAGGAGATCGCCTTTCACGCATGTTCCTAGATATCCCGTTGTGACACCAATGTTCTCGCGTTTGGATCTGGATAGAGTGTTGTATCGGCAACCTTACCCACGTCACGCGTGTTCCCCACGCACTCAGACTTCATCCCCAAGGCAGGCTGATGATAACGTTACCCCCCAAGGATATCTGAATGAAAAGAACGATATTTGAGTTTGATAGTCCACGAGTTTCGAGACAAATGTAATTCTTACATTGCGTATCCGGAGATAATAAACATATATAAAGAAAATTTCGTGTAAAATAATATAAAAATGAATGAAAAGAAACTATTTTACAGCACACGGCACAGGAGGGAAGATGGATAAAACGATTTTCAAGATAATTTAGCTGAATAACAATAAAGAACCAATTATATGTGGGAGAAAAATAAAGTTTTGAAGCTATTATTGTTTATGCATGCTCTATGAATGAAAACCTTCCTCACATAAACAAAGTCTTAATATCATTTTGAGAAATTATCGTTTAACATCATACGAGAGAGGTTGAGAAGAGGAAAAGACTAGGGCGGAATTCAATTTTAGATTTCGTAATTCTCATGAAAATTGGTTGTGAAGGCACAAAGAAAGGGAAGAATATTTTCGGGACAATCAATCGCAAAAATGCATCGAATCCATAACATCGCCGTTAGCAAATTGCCCATTCATAAAATCAAATTGATTTTTTAATTGGGTTCCCGATTCAAAAGGTTAAATGATTTTTAAGACTTTAATTTGACAATCTTTACATAGCTTGACATCTGTTTATGACTGGACAATAGTCCTGAACTCATGTAATTATATTTCACATCTAATAACCATTGTTTACGGGAAAGTGTTTGGAAACGCATAAACATACAAGTCAAGTATTCGACCGCCCATCCTATCAGCTGCGGAAATCGCGGCCTTGAGTGTAGTAGAAAGAGATTGCTTTTTGGAGATATTTCATGCGATACATTACCACGTCACCTAAGCTACAGGCAGCTGAAAGTACACGTTTACTGCACAATGATGTCTGAAGATTTTCGACGTCGTGTGTGTGTTTATATGAAGAAATATAGACAGATAATAAAGAGATTTTATCTACGTTTTACTTTGCGATGAAACTTTTTTGCCTCGCGTCGCTTTGTAAACGAAAATGTTAAAAAAATGCGGAAAATGTTTGGATAACGACTAGGATGTCTAGGACACGATGTCCATAAAAAAATTTGATAAATCAAGATGTATTCAATCAACAAAATTTTATATATATTTCATTCATAACACGCTCAAAAGGCTACAAATTTATGGATGTGATTGATAGTCCCGGTAACGTGGAACTTGCTTTACAAATGTTCACTTAGACTCACACGCACATGTGGAGCAAGTGCAAATTACACCAAAACTAGTTTCTTCGTCTACAAAGTATCTTATATTTTCCAATTCTTTAATGATGTCTTTTATTATTATGATATCTCTTAGTTATTTTCTTGCAGATGGCCGCTTGTTTCAAAAGCACTTTGTTCCAACCAAACATCCCAAAGGCTTTGCTTCTTTGCGACATGAAATCTCCTCAACCATCGCTGATACGACATACCGTGTCACGTGTTGTGAGACCAGCCAATCGCCTCACGAGTTATATTTCTTGCAACAACACGAGCAGCCTGTTTGCGATTTTGCTACACACAGTTCGTCTTGCTTCCGAACGATATTTTGAGCATGCGCGCTGCTTTTCATGTTGGAAAGAATGTCAAAATAGGTGGGGTAGATCATGTGCGCCATTGAAGGTTGGGGTGGATACGTACCCCTCACGACAGCTTCATATTGCTTGGGCGAGGAATGCATTTCAGCGTGGGCATCATACGAGAACTTACGAGACAGGTTTACATCCTTCTGTTTATCCTCTTTTCTGTCCAGTGAGAAATTCTCTGGTGAAGAATCTTTGCCGAAGTCATTATAAGAGAGATTTTCTGAAGCTAGCGTTCCCATCATCCCCTGATGACTTGCGTCTACTTCGAAGCTTCCCTCGTTCTTTATCGCACGGTTTCCATCCAAACTGCTTTGCACTTCGCTTTCGTTCTCTTCCTCAACTTCATATTCTACATTAACATTTTCATCGACCTCTCTCACTATGGTCTCCTGTGGCTGGGCGTCCTCGTCCTGGCCCGTACCGCCTGAACATTCCTCGGGCCCGCTGCCCAGAGACGTCTCGTTTCCATTCTCCTCTTCAACAGTTCTCTGCTTTCGACGCCATTTTGCCCGGCGATTCTGAAACCACACCTAACATGAACGAGGATACGGTTAGAAATTTTGAAATAACATGAAACAAATAAACTCGAACTTCAAGTCTTTAACTAGTGGTTTATAAAAACGCATAAGACGGAGTAAATTAAGTAGATTAGTTTAGAAAGGATAGAAATATAGCCAGTAGTTTTGTTAACTCAATAACTGACAGTAAATCACTGGCGGGAAAATCATCTGATGATTTAACGAGTAGCGAAACTACAGTATATAATTATATGGGCATGTATTTATCATAATCCAGCTTCCAACTGACCTGAACTCTGGCCTCGGTCAGGTCCAGTCTTAAACCGAGGGATTCCCTCATGAACACATCAGGATAATGCGTTGTCTCAAACGCTCTTTCCAATTCGTCGATTTGCCATTGCGAGAAGTTCGTACGAATCCGCATCCGTCGTTGATATCGAGGCTGACCTGTTCGCGAATATGCTAGAGAATTGCAGAAAAAAATCAAAGTCAACCATTGCATGGTCAAAGAAGGAAGAACAGTTTTGAACTGATAGAGCTATCCAGTATAAATAAAGTTAGTTTAGTTTAGGTTTCCTCCTGCAGTAAGACTAGATCAATAAGAGATGATCCTTACTAGGCCTCTTGGAAAAACAGTTTAGAACTGATAGAGCTATCCAGTATATCTTCATTTCTTTCTATACCAAAAAACTTAATGCTTTATCCAGTTTAAGAATAATTTGTGTATTGTAAAACCCCAAATCATCATGAAAAGCACTTACCAGGCAAGAACGGTGAAAGGATGACAGCACGTCCTGAGTCCCCGTAGGCGTCATATCTCTGGCTTGCACTTGGATTTGAAAATCTGACAAAATTTTGTTCCGGTGTCAAGGGAATGCCAGTGTAGCCATAAGGCGTGTACAGCATCGCGTGAGGATGGTTGTCCAGCAAGTATGGATGACGATAACGCATGGTTGGATACGAATGAGAAGCCATTGTGATAAGCTAACGTCGGCAACGGCAGCTTCCAAACTGCTTTGCAAAAGGGGATCTTTGTTGTTATCCAATATCTTCAGATAGAGCGGGATCTACTTTACTGCACAGTTTTTTTATAAGAAGTATTTATATCACTAGTTCGACCTCACTTAGTTGTAGTGTAGTAGTGATGCACTTCTCTGAGGATTCCTGTCTCCTTTGAAGATGATCCACAGTTCAACATGCAGTTCATCCAATCTTTTAAGATCGATGAATTCAAATGGTCCGTGAATCGCTTCAATGTACTCTCTAAACTCTGTCAACCAAATCAGCTTCTTCTACACCAACCAGGCTATCTCACCACTCCGAGCTTAATTCTAGTCGCCTGTTGTTAAACTACGGATCAAAAATGCCTTCCACTTTGGTAGCTCCCGAAGCAACGATCGTCCGCGGAAGAGAGTTTGCACAGCCCTCAAGCAGTTCACCTGGACACTTCGTGCATCAAAGTAACAAGCTCATGTGAAACGTTTAATCTATATATGAAGCTTAATCTATTCTAGCCAACGTCGTTAGGTAACAGATTAGGCCAATGAACGTTGATCTAATGACAATACTAATTAACGAGATTGCAAAATGTTTAATCGTGTCCACGGTAATTTAACTTGTCGAAAAGCTGAGAATTTATGTTTGCAGATAAATTTCTCGTTCCTTGGCTCAACTGCATGGCTGTGAAATAGAGCGAGGGTATTCTTCGAATATTACAAAAAAATTCCGAATAGATATTTGGAAAGTGTGTCGACGAGCTAAGAGCAAGAAGATATGAGAGAGAATTGTTTCATTAAAATTTAAAGGTATTAGATATGAATTTGACAGCTGGTCAATTGTACGAGAACAGCTGAGAATACACAAAAAACGAAAAATCTTGTTTAGGTAAAGTCTCAATTAATTACTTTACACCAATCACATGAACCTCGCCTTAAAATATTTCATAAACCCCACGCATAAATATGGCTCAACGAGGCCACGTTAATTCAAATCATCGCTTCAAAAAGACAGCATCTAGCGTATATTCATTCACAAAGCAAGTTTGATGCGTTTTGGAGAAGCCATTCAGATTAAGCAAATATATTATTTGCTTTGATTAGGCTCCAAATGCAATTTTAAATAGAACCAATTTAAAGTTTAAAAGTTGTTTGTTCAATTGAAAATGTGTTGGCCGATGAAATCCACGACAATATGCGGATCTTCTGGAAGCGATGCACTCACAATGTTGCGAGCAAGAAATTATACCTGACGAAATTTGAGAATCCTTATCGCACACACATGTCTGGAAAGGCCAATATATAGACCATGCATGCTAAATGGGCTTCGTGATAATTGTTTAAATGCTATTTGGCAATTTATCATTTGATTAAAAAAATACAAAAGCGCTTGGATAATTAGGAAACGAAAATTGGATGACACAAAGTAAAATCCTGCATGCATAAGGACTTTAGGGAAAAAATTTTAGGAAATACTGTTAGCAATGTTTTGAAATGGCACAAAATGTTTCCTTCGACGAGTCGCTTTGATTTTTGAGATTTCGCTTATTTACTCTTGTGAAAGTGAAATGCAAAAATGATAGTTATATAGTGTTGCATTGAAAAGGAATTGATTTCGCTCTTGATAATCTCATTATAGCTTCTGACTGTTCTGTATGTTTTCATTACATATAGCCAGGCTAATATGAAAAGATTCCGAGTTAAAATAAAAGGGATTATCGCATTTTAAGGCGTTGATATTTCAAGTCAAGCAAGCTGGAGAATGGACAAGCTTTGAAGTTTGAAGTTTGAACTCCAGCACTTAGCCTTAGACTTAACAGAAACGTTTTGTGTTTTATGTAACAATATTATCGACGCGACTGTGTGTATTTTATGGTCCGAGTCCGTCTTACTGCCTTACATTTAGCTGAATTAACGAAATAAAGAATTGTACAGTTTTTACAGAGCATCGTTATTCAGTGATAACCTAATTCTTTTCTCAAAACATGCGATGAACTAGTTTTCCTTAGTTTCCTTAGTTTCCTTAGTTCTTGCTATTGGCTCCTGTCAAATGGCTCTGGGACTGCATTTATATTTGTTTTTGAAAGTCATACGTCAAAAGAAGTACATATTACACATACGCCATCATAAGAATTGACTAAAAAACATATCGTGCGAGTTTTACCTTTTATTGAGGATGGATAAATTCGTATTTTTTATGGATTAGCACAGGTTATAAAACAAGCTTTGTAATTGTATACAGTAGCTACGTATGAAGAATTGCGCGTGGATAATCAAAATTGTATTGTTGAAAGAAATGGCGAGAATCCAAATACAATTTGAAATCCATTAAGTTTTATTTAAATTCTGAAAAGCCTTGATTATTAAAGTGTATTCACCAACAACAGTTCTAAGATGAGGTTTATTTAGCTTGAATTTATATTTACTATACATGTCACATATAGATTATTGCACGTGTTTAATAAATCGTATTTGATAAAACTTCTTAATGCAGTAGAATAAACAGCCAAATGAATTTATGCACACATTTCACTTTGTCTTACACGGCACTGCCCATTTCACACTATCCTTCCCTATTTAATCCTCTCTAGTTACACCATTTCACCTTATTTCACACCCATTCACCCAATCTTACAGTCATTCACCCCAATTTACCCCAATTCATATTAATCCTCCCTATTTCACATTATACCAATTATCAGTCTTACCCCCAGTTCATCCTATTTTATATTAATTTTCCATATTTCACCCCCATTCACCCTCAATTCTCAAATTATTTGAAAGATAAGGAATGATATGGTCCATACAAAATAATTTTTTGATAATTCAGGCCTATTTTACTCCAAGAGTTTCTTGTTTTTGCATTTCTGCCTTTGAAATGGAGAAGAGGTGCACACAGTCAGACTAAAGAATGCATATTTCAATACATGAAATGCCGCTAAATTTCTGGGAAATTTCTGGTGTTGCTGATAATGGTTATGGTAAAGCTGTACATTTTAGGTAGTCAAATTTATTGGAAACTTCCTAAGCTGCCTATGACTGAGAGTTAACCTATCTTGAAAATCTATCTTGTAAACAATATAGTTAGCACTCAAAAAAGGTCTGTTCTGGTCGCAGAATGTGTAGGATACAATTACTGATCATAGCCCAGGTGCAGGACAGAAGCATTAGTCATGAAAGCTATATGGCCATTACAACAGCAAGAAAATAAAAATGTGACTTAGAAAAAACATTCCTACATTATGAAACCTCGCTTGATTGTCATTATATTTAAACTACACAAGTTAGTTATCCTAAATAACTTACAGCACAAAGCTCTAACTCTACTTCAACTAGCACAAGATTTTGCACACTGCATCACACTTTTATGGTATGTCTGATGAAAGATATAGCATATTATTGTTGGGATACTGTGTAAGGACTAGTAGAGCAGTTCTACCAAGTCATACAATTGACGTGTAATTTGACATGTACCGGTTACAAACATTGTAATGATAACAAATCCTTCATAATAGTTCAATATACACACAACATAGCATTAAAAACTTTGGAACAAGTTAAAAACAGCAGTAAAAATTACAAAACAACAATTTATAAAATACAGTTTTCAAAATGCAAGTTGATAATGGTTTAGAAACATATGTATTATATCCCACCAACTGATACGAGTAGATTTCTATGAAGTTTGGCACTTATTTTCAGAAAACATATATTCAAGACTGATACTATTTCTGAATGTTCTTAAAATTTTGAACAAATTTGATACAATGTTGTACATAATGGTAACATTAGTATAAAGCCTTTGTGAGATTATATTTGAAAGCTTATATATTTATTAAAAATCTTACTACAAAAAGAATTCGATAGAAAAAAAATATTTCCGTCATAAACATGTAGAAAAGTCTGCAGAAATGTGATGGGATTCCTCCCTAACCCGCCATTGTTGAACAATATCGGCAGTCAAAGCTAGGAGAAAATTGTTTGTAAAATTCTTGTAAAATCTTACACTTGGACATTCTTAAATATCTAAAAAAATTTTAAATTTATATTTAATGCGATTACTTTAATGAAAATGTTGTAAATTTGATCAGAAAGTTCAAAATTCTGGCATTAAGTTTGGGCGCGCAATTCAGAAGACACGTCCGTTGCTTCGCCAAAGCGGAGAAGAAGGACCTTCGGTGGTGAATGCAGCTTCGCGGTGATAAATGCAAGCTTGACATACTTTAAAAGATGTTATACAAAAAAAAGGAGTAATATCTTAATCCAAAAAATTAAAAATTTCTAGCTCATCCACTGTATCAATAGAAAAAAAAAGAAAAATATATTTTCTTTTGAGCCCCATTGTCAAAGCCCTTCGACAACTGTTGCATCAAAACACTAATTGGTAAAGTGGGAAAATACGTTGTAAAACATTGTCCAAAGCTAGCAAATTCGATAGAATGTGAACGAAAATTCCACAAAAAGCCTTTGTTTCTATTTTGTATCGATTAAGTCGCTTAGAAGGCCTAGAAATTTTGAATAAGACCTTGCACGATTTGAAATATCCTTTGTAACACGACAACAAACGTTTGAAATGTTGTCGTTCAAAAAGAAACTTTGTCTCCAATTTGTGAGAAATCTATTACGAAAAAATGGACTGTTTCACTGTAAACATTGGGACACAAGTATAAACTCTACAAATTTCGTGTTATTTAGGAAAAATCGGGCAAATTTGTGCAGAGATATAGGATGGAAAATTTCGTAGAACTTCCTTCACAAAGGCAAAATGGCGCACAAATCTTGACAAACCCAAAATTCATAAGTCATTTTTATCCCCTTTCTCTCCACAAAATTTAAGCAATTTTAAATTCATTTCGAAGATCTTATCCCACTTAAAAGATAAAACTCACACTTTTATCAAAATGTAATAGAAGTGACACAAAAATTATCGATAAAATTATTTGCTTGTCCAAGCCAAGTTTGCCGATTTGTTATCGACGTAAGCAAATTGAACGTAAACTTCTTTCTACGATTTCTGAATTATTTGACTGTATAAGAGCATGATTTTTGGATCAGAAAAAATTCTTAGAATCGATAGAAGTACTTTTGGACGATTTTCGTCTAATTTTGTGCAATAACTGGCGAAATTTTAAAAAATTTAGTAAAATATAATGGATAGTCATCAAATTTTGATCCCATCCATGGGCAGATTGAGGGATCGAATTTGCAAGAGCCAACATGAAATTCAAAATTTTAAGTTGTTCTGTTGAGGGGAATCCATATTTTACAATCCCATCACAAATCAATATCCTAGATAAGTCGTTTAGGTTCGTATGGAGCGATTTCCTCTTGTTTTAGACACAATTTTTGCCAAAAAGTGTGCAAGTGCAATTTGGACTGTCATGGCCGCGACGACACGTTTGTGTTTGTTGCCCAAATTCATCGCAAATTTTCTCCCGAAAAACATCAAGTTTTCGAACATCTATTGCTTTGGACATCTAGATCGATAACTAATCTTCATAGAAACACCGAAAACGGTGCGTATTTACCATTGATCGCAATGCAGAACGAAGATGAGTGAACTAACCGTAATTACTTCACATAACAATTTGTCGGATTTTACCAAATTTCAAGCGATAGCGTACGCAATTTCCACGAATAAAAGCTAATATACATACTTTAGGTATCAAAGATTAATTATACCTACCTTTGGCAGCTTCACGTGCTCCAACGTGTGCGTAAAATACGGTCAAAGTTGGCAAAGAAGCACAAGTTGCAGGATTTTGTCCTCCATGATGCTTGAATTTCGCGTTGTGTTGGGGTGCTTACACAGAGGTCCGACCCGAAGCATATATAAGCGCGCCAGCATTCGTGTCGCTCAAACCGATCCGAGACGCGAAGAAGGGCAAAGCTGTCGCTGAAAAGATTTTAAATAATTCAAAACAAACTCGAAGATGTCAGGTAGTGGCCAAAAAGCGAAGACGTCTACTGCTAAGCCAGCAGAACATCCGAAGTACCTCGACATGATAACCGCAGCTATCGCTGCCTTGAAAGAACGTAACGGTTCCTCGAGACAGGCTATCATAAAGTACATAAAGGCAAACTACAAAGTCGGAGATAAAGCTGGCGGTCATGTCAAACATGCTCTGAGAAAAGGCGTAACAGCGGGAGAACTTCTTCAAAGTAAGGGAACAGGCGCATCGGGATCTTTTAAACTTGCCAAAAAAGCTGTTGAAGCTAAGCCAAAGAAACCGAAGAAGCCGGCGGCGAAGAAGACAGTCGCAAAGCCAAAACCCAAAGCTAAGAAGAGCACAACGAAATCACCCAAAAAGAAAGCAGCTCCTAAAAAGGCCGCAACAAAGAAACCAGCAGCGAAGAAATCGCCAAGCAAACCAAAGAAGCCAGCAACGAAGAAACCCGCTAGTAAAAAGGCACCTGCGAAGCCCGCTAAAAAACCAGCGGCGAAAAAGGCAGGAGCGAAAAAACCAGCCGCGAAAAAACAAGCAAAGAAATAAATGAACAATCTCTGAACTGAAACAAAACTAATACACTGGAGTAGTCTTAGCTAGATTTTATTTATGAGAGAAAGACTCTAACATTTTAAAAGAATAACATTGCTGTGCAAATATAATTCTGCTCATAGTTCCGTGAAATAAGGTAATGCTGTTTTTTTAAAACGTTTGTGTTAGCTAATGCTACTTTAAAACCTTGTACATAGCCTTGAAATTATACATTGATATTTTTAAAACATCAAACATCTTGTGTTTCTATATCATTTACCTTCAATCTCTGGATGGTCGATCACTGACAGTAAATCCCTGGTACCAATGTCCTTATGTATCTTTCCTAGATTTTAAGAATCATCTCGGTTATGAAGAACTGATTAGTCACACACGACTCGAGTACGTATTTTTACCCACACACCCTCCCATTGAGCGAATTTGGGATGGATCTAGAATTTAGAAAGATGGATTATACGTTTTCTGTGATTGTGAGATACTTCTGTTGGTCAAAAGTATTCTACGAACAATGAATGCAGACCTTTGCTGAACGCAAACTCTCAATATTATTGTAATTGAATAAGTATTCTCACGTACCTGGTGGTCAATGAGGCTTCAATTAAGTATTCATCAATGAACAGGACCAGACACTAGATAGATTTTTCTCGTGCCAAACCAATCCATCCTTACCATATTACATTTGCTAATACGGTTAGGTTTACAACACCGAAATAATGTGAGGCGACGTGTCAGACGATCATTCAAGTCGTGAATTCACATGCAAAATACAGCCTTAGATTCATCATAGCAGTGGGCAATAGCTAAACTTGCCGTAGCAAATCGAAAAGCTTCAGAAAGAACCACATACCTTATCTTGACAAACAATAAATACATAACAACAACTATGAAAGCACCCATTTTTACTGCAAAATCTGCATTTAAAAATCTCAAGACATAGAACCCTAACTTTGTACGTGAAAAATGTTCCAGATTTATTGAACAGTCATTATTTACAATGGCATTGTTTTTATCATTTAATACCGCCATTTCACTAAGTTGCTAGCTAAAACCAATTTGTTGCGTCCGGCTTTGCCGGTCAATAGGGTAAAGCCATTATCCTGCATGCGTAAGTTAAAAACTCTATGCCAGGGGGGAGAAGATTGAAATACTTTACATTGCAACACAAGATGCCTCCCCCCGTCGCATGCTTCCAGACCGAGAATATGAAAAAGTGTTGTGTTGGGGTCATGTGAGTAGACATACGTCGTTGATTGGTTCTCGTTGGATTGGTCGACACACATTTGTGATCAGGGCAGATCCTTATCTTCCAAATATCTGTATTCAAACGTAAAGCCGTCTTTTTTCCGTTGCATCCATTTTTCATAATCAAAGTATATATATGTCCCCTAGAAAACAAAAGATAAGTCAGTAAAGTCACGTAAACTAAACGTATTCATCCTGGATAGCTCTATCAGTTCTAAACTGTTCTTCCTAGAGGTCCAGTAAGGATCATCTCTTATTGATCCAGTGTTACTACAGGAGGAAACCTAAGCTAAACTAACTTTATTTATACTGGATAGCTCTATCAGTTCTAAACTGTTCTTCCTAGAGGTCCAGTAAGGATCATCTCTTACTGAACCAGTGTTACTACAGGAAGAAACCTAAGCCAAACTAACTTTATTGATACCAAACAAATATCTATCCGAAATAATTTCTTCTCACCTGTTCGTACTCGTCTGTTATAGCTTTGGGTTCTTCATGTCTTTGAAACCACATCATGTACTTCGTGTGAAATCTCCACGATTGTTTCTTCAATGCTTTTGCAGCTAAATATTGTGCCCGGGTGCCCTAGAGTGGAACCGTACAATGCAAAGGTGAGCAAGAAAAGTTTCACGACGCGCCATCTAGATTTACCCATGCAGTATTACTATACGACATACCTCCTGATAATAAAATATAAAAAACAGTGTTTCGGTTGAGAGTCTTTGAAAGAAGTCAATTGAATCTAAGTGTGGAGGCATTTGGTGATGATGGTGTCCAGCAGTGGGGTAGGGAGTCCGAGGCAGATATGGTCTAGTGAGAAAACAATGATATCCTTGTGTTAATACGTATTTAGTAATGAAATTAGACATAAACTATGCCTGCTTTGCATATCCTGCTATTTTTTGGTTGATTCTTCAAACGATGTGTTGCGTTTTAGGAGGCACTTCGATCAAAATACGATTGGGTAAACATGGAGAATGATACACAAGACAAAAGCAAATCAACTCGGTTTGTTTTCGTGAAAATGAGAACAATCAACCAGGTTAGTGAATAGCGGCATACTTAGACAGGATAGAATAGGGTAGGGCTAGGATTTATTCTCCTGTTGGGAGATGGAAATGAATGAGGATTAGAAGACACGCAATGTATAATAAAGGAACAACAGCTCATTCAAAACGTTAGAAGGATATCAGAGCCTGTATTGTGTGGAGTCAGTTTCAAAAGGAACGACTCTTACCTTACTCGTTCCGAGTCGCTAGGAAAGGGTAGATGGTGAAACGCGGGCTCAACTAGGGCTAACTGATATACTTTATCTTTATTCAGCGGAACAGGACCGAGCGGTGCCACTCCTAGTAGTGGTTGAAGGTGAGCTGTGTGAGTCTCCGGTTCACGTCTCTCCTGGCCCGCGGTCGTGGCCGCGCTCTCGAAGAGAACTGGAAATACAGTGAAGATGTAGTTACTTGCAGCTGAGAGCAGAGAGCGGGACGGGGTGTATTTACCAATGTTTTTTTATTTATTACCTCTGTTAGGAAGGTTTCCCAACTGTTTCGGTAAAGAACTGTTGTTATCGACTCCAGCATGAGCCACAGCTTGGGCTGCCATTGTTTTGAGGGTATTTAATGAGTTTAAAACCTGCCATAATAGAACAAGAACGATAAAATTAATACACTGTCAGGCCTCAAGTGATAGTTTAGGGGGACATAGTTGATGGGACTCTCATATTAACTCTTTTTTGTTAACTCTCAAACCCCCCCGTTCATGGTTTAACTAGAGGAACTTGCTAATGAAACTCTAATACAAACTCTCCCTTGGTAATCTTTTACCCGGGGGATGGATATTTCAACCCTATTATTACCTGTGGCGGTCCAAGGCTTGCGGGCTGCATTATTTGTGGTCTATCGTCATTTTCCCGCTGATTTACATCCGCTATGTCGTCGTTTTCAAGAAGAGTGCGAGAAATCTAGAAAAAAGACGATGTCTTTTGTGAAATTTGTAAAATTAAAAATCTTCAATATCACTTCATCCCGTCGTAGGTTAAGGTAAAGCGACCGCTGTAGTCACATGCGAGTGATTTTTAAAACGCAGAAAGGAAAACTGAAGAAAGATTACGATATTCTTGGAAAACAACTATTGAAAATCCACTGTTGTTCTTAAAACAAATGCTAGAGCCTCGTTCAGCCACGACTGGGTTCAAAATCGACAGGATAATTTATTAAAGACCTTCGAAAAAGAAATAACCCTTTTAAGAAAAAACTTGATACTTAAAACACGTTTTAATACAATCTTAATAACTTGAAGATGGCTCAACCGGGCTCACTGTATTTGTTTTTATAACTTGTCAAGTATAAAAACCATTTAAACGTATTCACGCCCACATGAATCTAGAATTGAACTCGCGCATTCAATTTAAAACAAAGGCGAATTCTTGAGGCTACACAACTTAAGACACCCTATTGGTAAATGGGAATTTTAAACACACGCCAGGATAATTTAAACTTTGAAGAATACAAATGAAAGCTCTCATAACACTGCCAATAAAAATAAAGACCATCCAGAAATAATCCTTTTGTCTTGTCTTTGTATTTGTAAGCCACTTTGAAAATGTTGTATTCCGTTTGATAATACATAAAAAAGTTTACAACGCTGTCTGGAAAGTTGTTTTTCTACCCTTAAGCCTATTGTGATGCATTTGGGTGAACTATTCGAACGTTATATTCTTTCATAGGTAGATAAACTATATTTCTAGCCCATATAGGCGATGGAGAGGCTGTTTTCAACCGGGAAAACACTGCAATCAGATTGAAATAACTCGCTCGTGCTGGTATAAGTAAACAGTGGAAAGAGACGATACAAAGACTCGAGAAGATATAATCTTGATCTGACTTTCTCCTGGCCTTCTGTAAGCATTGACCAGAACAAAGATGCTCCAGCGCTGATTTTTTACAAGTTCGTAGGAGAGAGATAACTGTGAATAGTGAATACATACAACGGCTTACCTCGTTCTGTGTCGGCACTGACATGCTAAGGGGTCCATGAGATGGCGAAGTGTCCTCTAGGCAATCGTTCACATCACCTAAAAGCGTCGTGGAAGGCACAGTTGACGAAACGGAAGCACTGTTTGTCGTCTGACCAGACGCCGTGAACGAGTTCGCGATGTTCGTCGAGGTGCTCGTGTGGTGGCTTGGGGACGAGACTGCTGGCAGCTCAGAGGTCGTGGTATCAAGAGAGGGCTGGCACGAGACCGCTGGGAGACTGGGTTGAGGAAGTGAGTTGACCATTGTGGTTGTGGAGAGCGGCACTGATGATGGCATTGATAATGAGGAGAGTGACGTAATGAGGTCATTCACATCGTTTTGTTGTTGTTGCTGTTGTTGCGAGTCTGGTAAATGAAGAACACGTATTTCAAACGATGTACAGATATAGGACTTAACGCAACTAACAAATTAACTCTAAGTGGACTTTGTGAACTGATAGCTTGTTCAAAAAAGTGTAAATCAGGAGAAATTTCGATATTCTTTTACTGTCAACAGACAAGTATGCACGACTCAGGTAGTTATGATGGTTCTACAGTGAGCTAGCTCCTGGCAAAAACTAACCTGAGTCCGTGTGTTCGGGGTTTGAATTATGCCCCACGACCACAGGAGGAGCTGCTCTCTTATTGCTCGGCGTCGTATTTTTAGCAATCACATCGTTCGGTGTTAGAGGGGCGGGTGCAGCCGGGTTGTGGTTATTCCCACCTACAACCCCCGCATAACCTGAGATAGGTGGGGGAGTTACTGGAGGCTTCACCTCACTCGTCGGATGGTCGGAATTTACAATAGTTGTACTGAAAAGGAAAATATTGATATTTAAGTAATGCTTGGGGTGAGATGTCTGGTATATACATAAACTTTACGTTCATTTATCTACATTGTATGCAAGGCTGTCATTATAGACCATATTATTGTGGCCTGAAGTTCATGTTGAAAACACGTGCATGCACGATGCATAAACTCTCTTTAAATCAGTTGTTAACATACTTTACAGTTTTAGGAGGCAACGTTGATGAACCTTAAAAGAAAAGGAGAGAACATGATATTAAAAACAATTTATTCATGACATTTATTGTAATTGATGTAATGATCATGACAAAGAATATGGTCCCATTCCATCATGTTTGAAATATATTCTAGTTTTTTCAGCAAAAAGTTTCCAGACATATTGCCAGATATTTTTAGAAATATATTGGTCGGTTGTTTGGTCTACACACCTCTATTACTTCCATTTCCACTGTTGGAAGTGTTTATCTTTGGTGTGGTAGGAACCTTGGTTACAGGTGATCCATTACCAATGTTGTTCACAGTTGGAGGTGCAGTTGAACAACTGCCTTTGGAGTTTTTCCTGGGAGAGTTTTGCTAAAGACAAAGAAAGCAAAGCTCTAGTGATTTGAGGAGAAACATTTCCAATATTATGCTCAATACATATTAGCTAGCATACAGACAGCTGGTGGTGACATGCAATTAATGAATATTTGTCTCATGTTTCAAGGCAAATCACTGGAAACGAAAGTCTCTATCTTTCTCCCATAAAAGAGTCAAGATTTCTCCAATAAAAGTGTCAAGTCAATAAACAAAATGTGCTTGGTAACACTTCATAGAAACCATTGAAGAAGCTAAGAGTGTTTTAAGCTTACCGCAGATATTTTATTGTTGTAGTTGTTGGTCAATGTTGTTGGTGAGTTTGGTGGAATAGAGTTAACCATGTTATCTTTTTGATATGAAAATTCTTCTTCATTATCCGTAGGAGAGGTTGCCAAGTTATTGGCTGGTGGAAACATAAAAGAAATACATCAGTTGAATGCATTCTAAGGTCATGCTTTGGGTCTTATCTTTGCAGTGATGTGTTTCATAATACCTGAGTCAGGATCTGCATCATCTAGTAGTAAATCATTGTACATGTATTCGTTTTCTTCAAAATCAGGTTGCTGAAATAAAAATATTAGCAAAACTGTGATTGGCACTAAGAACACAATGTTTCATTGTTTTGACTAGATAAATTAGCAGATTTTTTGACCATATGACGTACAACAGAGAAAAACCCTGCTGTTAGCCAATTCTAGATGCATCAAGGATCACCGTTATACATTTTTATCTTCATATTTTTATCTCTCATAGCATAAAAACAATCTCTTGTATGGGAAATAAGTCAGGAACAAGCCAACAAACACCCATATAAGCCTCCAGAAAGGAGTGCAAATGCATTGCTAAGTAATAAAATAATTGAAGCCCAATTAACAAGATTATTTTCTATGTAACAACCTACCATGCTATTTTCTATATAGAACTCCATATCATCCTGTAGGTTGTTCATCTAAAATAAAAATACAAACCTTGTTATTAGGCAAGAAGCGACACATCTGCAGCAAAACATAAAGATTATTATTGACTAAGGCTATTCTAGTTTATGAACTGGCAACTCACATCAGCTGGTGATATAGTTGAGTTATCCAACATTCTGAGAATCCGCTGGAAAAGATGCAACAATTTCTTGTTAAAATGTTCCGGTGCAACAATTACTAGCAAACAGATTAAGCTGTCCATTGGCTTGGAATGAAACAGATTTTCAAAATTCTCACCTCTAGTTGTTTGACGTGATAGTTATGTTGGCCAATAAATCTATTTAATTCTTCTATTCTTTCCAGTCGCTAAAGAAGAATCGAAATTGATGAGAGGGCTTGGAAGAGATTGATTTAAGAGGATGTTTCGAATTATGAGAGGCTTGGAAGTTTAAGCAAGAGACTGCTTTGTTAGAAGTTTTGACTATCATTGATATTTACCTCTTTATCGGCCTTTCTTTTCTTTGGAGCAGAATTCAAAGCTTCCAGTTCCGATTCAATCTGGTCAACTTGAACATTCAAGCGATCTATGGATTCCTTTATACAAAAATATAAACATTAAAATTTGGAGAAATATGTTGGGAACAACAGGAAACATTTCAATGTTCATTCTTACAGTTAACCAGTTTCTGAATTCTTCTTTTTCCTTGGTTGCTGGATCAATTTTGGTGGCCAAGCCAAGACCCTCCTTTGAATAAGCCTTGGTCTTTGTCTCTCTTTCTACCACCTTAAACCTTTCCATTTGCTAAGTTAAATGAAGACAAATTTGTGTCAAACAAGGGGATTATTAAAAATAAAAAATACACAGCGATCTTGACAAAAAGTTGATATAACGTGTAAACATTCGTCATAGGATTTGGAGCTCAGAAATGATGTGTAACAAAAACAATGGTTGCTCTATTCAAAGTCATTATGCAAAGAGAATTACAATTTAATTTTTGCCTCTTTTTTATTTCAATTAGTGCAAAACCAATTAAAATCAACAATATTATTACCTCAACATGCCTCATTAAAAATATTCAAATTCAACTCATTTCAATATATAAACATTAAAATGAAAGAAAACGTTTAAAAAGAAACCGAGCAAGAATAAATATTCTACAGAGAATCTGTAGTTGGGTATATTTTTTTGAATTTACTAAAGCTAAGACACTAATCCAAGTACTTGCCTCCACTAAGAACAGCACAGACAGGGAAATACTTGACGAAGTTTTAAAATAGCTGGGGGGTTTTCCTATTTATATTAGGCTACACACACATTATCGCCTGATTCAGGGCAAATGCGAGAGAACCTTTGCCCAAATATTTTTTACTATCCATATTTACCGAGACTTTAAAAAACAGATTAAAAGTTCATGCAAAGTATTTTTACATGTAAACAATGTCTTTGCAGGTCCTCCAACACAAATACAGAAAGAACATATCCCAGAACTGACCGTTTCAATAAGCTTCCTCTTGTCTACCAGAACTTGTTTATCTTTGATATCGTTGGATGCAATCCATGTCTTAATCTGGTCACGAAGTCGCTATAAATAATAAAAGGTTAGATATAATCTGGCAGCAAAAGACTTTACTTGACAAATATAGAGTGATATACGTTGAATTAGTCACCTGTAATTTCTTAATTTCTTTCTTAAGATCTGCTTCATATTTTTCCTTCTGGTTGGCATTAGCTGCATTGTGTACCTTATGAAAAGAACACATAGTAGCACTATTGGCACAATGTGCATGCCAATATAATTGCAAAACAAGTACAATTCAACTTTTGTATATAATTATGGGCAAGAATACAATCACAAATGTGCTCAAATTTCGTGAACAAAAAAAATGACCAGATACCTTTTGCCAGATATCTTCAAATGTTTCCACACCTTCCGTAATCTTCTTGAGACATCTGTCGATCTCAGCTGGAACAAAGCAAAGACAAACGGTGAGTGTGAAGGCGAACGGTAGAACGACTTGACACACGAGGAACAAAATGCTACTAGACTATTCCACCATGTTTACCTTGCAATTTTCGTTTGTCGGCCATCACCTGGTTTTCGAGCCTTTTCTTTTCATTATTTCGCTAGGGTGAAACGTCAAGGTACATCTGAATACTTCCACTTTCTCGTCTTTCAAATAAAACGACGTGAAAAAAGGAGAAAGCTACAATATATTCGTCCAAAATCCATATTTCTTTCATTTGCGAGTTTTGATGCCTCTCCAGATACGCATTGTGGGATAGCAATGGCGGCATTAAGCCATTTTTAAGGTGGCGCCCTGCAGTTTTGATAAACGCGTTACTTTTCGTCACGTGACGGATTGTTGCAAAAGGCGTGAAATTTAAAACTCAAATCACAGCTCAAATTATATGCTTCTGCTTACCTGAATTAAATGAATCGGTCCGGACTGGTCCGCACCGAGTAATTGGCCACATAAATCTGCGAAAAATTTAAGGGGGGGGTAGGTATGAATCAATTTCGAGGGGGTACACTTTACTCACCTTTTTATCTATTGTAACTTACCATCTTCGTTATTTTGGGGCCCCTCTTCAGCTTCGAAGCGAGTTTGACCCCTCCGGACCTCTCGCCTCAAATAGGAGCCTCTATAGACATTGGTAAACGAGACATTGAGAAACCACGGTTGAACCATGCACTTTATAATTTTCATACAAGTTGCTAGAATCATTATTTACTGCTTACTAAAAATATCTTAATCCATAAACTAGGAATATTTTGCTATATCTACGCAGGTCTACACGATGGTTTAACGACCGAACGACCAAGCTGATTTCCAAAGACTGCTTCTACCATCTACCACCCATTAACACTTTTAGCGTAACACTCGTTAGACCTGTTTCTCCTCCAGAAGTTTCGCTAATTCTTCTTTAGTTGTGACAGGAAGCTTGCAGGCAAAGTTTTCACACACATATGCAGTCGATTTATCGTCCACCTTTTTTAAAGTCTTCAGAACGCTGAGCTTCGACGATAGGAAACTGTTGTCTTTTTCGTTGCATAAAATAAGAATCTTATTCGGATTGAAAAATGAATGAACAGTTTCCAGTAGTTTTTTGGTATCTTCTGTGTCCTTTTCACCGGCAATGATTATCTGTAAAATATGTTAGAATGGTCATAGATTACCAGACAATATCCCTCTTTATCTGCGAATTTAATCCCATTATTGAAGTAAAGAATCCCGATCAACTATAATCAAAACTTACTTGTTTTTGTGTTCCAGTGTAGACGATAAAGGAAGCCATGAGCTGAGGCAACGCGTGTGGCATTTTACTCAGTCTTGGTTCAAACAAAGCGTAAATCTTCGCAGCCTTCTCGCGATATTCTTTCTTATCAAGAAACGAAGACAACCTCATCAAATTTGTGGCAGCGATGGAGTTCCCGCTTGGCTCTGCGCCATCTTGATCTGAGGATAAAATACAAGAATATATTCCTGAAATAATCATTGTATAAAAGCACATCAATTCTTCACTTCTACCAACCTTGCTTCAGTCGAAGTAACAGTTTAGACTGTTCGCCTCCTTCAAAGTATCCTCCAGCCTGATCATCCCACAGCAACTCGTTTTGTCTCTCTTGCAACTGAGCGGCCCATTCCAACCACTGTTCGTCGAATGATGCTTGATAGAGCTCCAACAACCCGTGAATCAGAAATGAATAATCGTCCGAAAAACCATCGACAGGTTTCTCACTAAGCGTATATATAAACACAATAACAGATACACATGCAATGTTTTGGTTTGGGAAAAAGAATGGTTTAAAATAAACAACAGCGCGCACGATATATCTTACAGTTGAACTATTTCCCCATCGTCGCCTTTGTAACAACTTCTTATCAAGCTTCCCGACTCTTTATTCCATAAATGCTTCCTCGTAAACGAAGCAGCCTTGATGGCCCGCTTCAAGTAAACGTCATCCTTCAATATACAACCAGCTTTAGCAAATGCGGCGATCATCAGCCCTGGAAGATAAAACAGCGTGTGATATGAGATCCTGAGAGAAACATACAAGAATACAAAGTGTTTGCATGCATACCATTCCAAGATGTGACCATTTTCGTGTCGAGGTGCGGTTTGGGACGTTTTAATCTTTCTTCAAATAAAATTTCGCAAGATTTTCGTAAGGCATCTTCAGTCGTGGTGACATCTAGTTCAAAATGTTTCGCCGTTTCTTCAACACTGCCGCGGACGATGAGCACATTCTGTTTCTTTAGTTCACCATGAGGGTCCTAAATAAATAAAAAAAGATATATGGCTTGTTTAAAGGCACAGGCTTTCACTGTTCACAGTACAAGCGGACCTGCTGTTAGTGAATACACAAGAAATGAAATAAACACAGCCATTATCCAAGAACTGACGAGAAATAGCAGAGATTTACAAAGGCAAATAAAACTTAACCTGTGAAGATTTCACATTTCCATCGTCTTTGACGCCATAATGTTTCGCAAAAAGTTCTGCAAGAGTTGTCTTAACTTCGCTACTGACAGGCTCTGATAACAACGATTTAATCTCGTTGCTTTCCCAAACGCAAAATGCACCTTCCTTTTTGCTGTTTGATTCAGAGGTTGGCAAGGAATCAGCGTCCTCAGCTGCATAAAAACCACCATTCTTAAAAGAAGAAACAATGAACCAATACAACGAGAAGATATAGAATAAACGAGTGCCTAGGAAACAGTTTGATGTCTCCGTATATTCTAGTTTTCATCTACCTTGTCGCTGAGATCTCGCATAACGTACAGCAGAATATCTTTGGCAGTCTCGGCATATTTTTCATCGCGAGTAATCTTAAAAAAAGAACAAAAAAACTAAACATACGAGAGAGTGGTTAGTTGAATGTCAATACAAGAAATGCGAGACTGCTTGTGTTTCAAGTTTGATCAAAGCTCATGGAATCGTTAGTGTAAGAAAATACTGTAGTATTGAGTAAATATAAAGTTAACTATTCTTCAAATAAGCTAAACGAGTTTCAAACAACTAGATTTTGGATATCTCACTTGATAGGCATTGAGATACGTGTCAGCCAGCTGACTCTGGTCGTAAAGCATCTTCTCAAAATGTGGAACATGCCATTCCGCGTCAGTCGAGTAACGATGAAATCCCTGATAGACAAAAAAAGAAGATGTTCAAATCCGTACACGCGCTGTCTGCTTCAGATGATGCAATTGAAGCACAGCTGTGATGGCATATGGTTGAAATTCAAGACGTTACCTGACCAACATGATCGTGTATCCCTCCATCGTTCATCGCATCCAGAATTCTCAACGTCATCTTCAACGCTTTCTTGCCGTTTTTCGTTTCAGGACACCACGAATGATAGTTCATCAAAAAACTAAAATTACCTAAAATATTTTTCGAGATGAATATAGTGACGATGATGCTTGAAGGTAAAGGAAATAAGTTAAAGAGATTGTTGCAGAATATACAACGAGTTTGAGTTGATTGAGGAGGAGAGAGACTGGAGTTTTATTGCAAGAGGTTGGTTGTTGATTACGTCAGGCCACAACAACAAAATCACGAAAGCCAGTCATTTTACTGTTTGTTAAATTTAACCAAATCTTATTTCTTTTCAAACACATACTTGGTTGCGGGAATTTTGGCGCGCCACCAAATCCGCCAAGAGTTTCATCAAACGAATCTTTCAGCTTCTTGAACAAGCTTTCGATACATTTCGTCTCAGGGGCTTTTTGTTGAGCGCTCATGATCACTTCCAGCTGTTGTTTGATGGCCGTCATCACAATATTTCCTTGCATGCCAAGACGACTTTGATTCTCTTTCCACTAAAAGAAAATAACATTTGGATAATCAGTCTTTTTGCGATCCAGTAAGGAACATTCTAGACGTGTTGATCCAGTGTTACTACAGTGTTACTTGAGAGTTTTAGGTAAAAATAGCACGGGGTTTTTCCATCTAAGAATCGAGTCAAACCTGTTTCACAAGGAACAGTAAAATTGTCTTGAATCCGTGTCTCCCCGTGATATCCGCAGGAGGAAAATAAGTGCCGCCAACGAAGGGTTGAAGATCAGGCATTAACCAAACATTCATTGGCCATCCACCATGACCTGTGGTTGCCTACAGAATAGGAAAGTTTTATAAAGCTTTGTGCTTGTCTTCTCAAGAAGTAAATGACAAGGGCTCCTGGATTAGGAGCTCATACTTTGGGAGGCATGCAGGAGCAACTGGAGTAATCAAGCTTTTTATCTCAAACTGCCTGGGAGAGGAATGAATTGGTTGAAACGGAAGTGGAACAAGAACTGACAATAATAACATAGTTCTACCTGTACAAAATTCATGTACACTCTGTCAACATCAGGCCTCTCCTCGCGGTCGACTTTGATTGGCACAAAATGTTCATTTAGTATCTTAGCGATCTGAACATCTTCAAACGACTCTCGTTCCATGACGTGACACCAGTGACATGTTGAATAACCAACTGTAGAGACATCAATTAAAAATACAGTAATTCAACCTAATTATTCAATTATAATTAAACCACGAAAACGAATTCCAAGAATATTTAGCATCATTCCCTGTTTTTCATTGGCTGGCTTTGATGTAAACCATCCAATAAGCTAAGTGCTTCGTGATAAAGCTGAATTCTTCAGAGCAGCTAATGTTACAATCGAACGTGCCAACAACAGAAACAGTGCGATAAATTTTTACAATATTTTCTTTTGAGATATTAGTTATAACTATCCTTTTTGAAAATGACCCGAGCACTGAAAGAGAACGATCTATTGGAATTGTCGAAGTTGTACGAGACAGAGTTTAATCAGCCTGATCTTCACGACAGAATTTTAGTGTTTGATGTTGTCTCTTCTTTGTCGCTCGGCGATGTCGAAGCAGATGACGAAGAAAGCGCAGAAATCAACAACAAACAGAGTGATATTGAACGGGAAAGCGTCGCAGACGAAATTGAGGGCAACGAAACAAGCACGGATGATCAAAATGAAGCCGGAAGCGATGATTGCGAAATCATTGCGAAATATGAAAATGGTTTGTATTAACTTGTAGTGCTTGGTTGTACGATATGTGGTAAGCTTGATAGAAATAAGGGTGGAGCCATGGAGGTGGGGTAATAAAGGAGGGTTGCGGGTAAAGGAAAGGTTGAGACTAATTAGTTGAATTGATCCAACAGACAAGGGTTGATTCAAAGAGTCTGGGGTTCAAAGGAACAGATTATTATATTACTAACAACTAAATTCACTGTTTGGCACAGGTGGACAAAAAGGAACTAAGATCAATACTGAGGCTGGGATTGTCATTGAGACAATAGAATCCAATCTAAATGAAAAATCGAGATCGAATGTTTGTAGTCACAAGGAAACTGAAAACACAGGAATTTATGAAGCAAATAATCATCCTGAATCTGAAATTCCCAGCAACCAAAATGGAAACTTCAAGAAGACATCCAGTGAGGATCACATTGACAGAGCTTTCAATCCTTCCAGCAAGAAATTCATTCGACAACATCAATTCTACATCCACAGCTCGTGGTTGGCCCTAAATAGCTCATATTTTCGTTCCTTGCTTTTTGGTGGAATGAAGGAATCAAATTCCACAGAAGTTCACATTCAGATCACAGTAAGCGAGGAGCAAGCTCATTTGATGTTATTTGAAGCAATGTACAAGATTGATATTTTAGACAAAGCTAGTGTTGATGAACTTCTTGAGGTTTTGAAACTTTCTCAGAAATATGACGTGAAATTTGTCTTTAAAAAAAGCAAGTATTGTTTACAGGCTGCCGTGGATTCCCTTGACACCTGCAAGCAGATTATGAAATTTATCAAAGTTGATAACATCATCATAGATGTTGAAGATCTTGCCAGCACACTACAGTCCTTTCTTGCAAAAGAATTCAGCCCATTAGATAAAACATGGCAGACAACAAGCTTCAAAGAACTATCTGAGCCTTCAGTGAGATACCTTCTAAGCAGTGATGAACTGGTTGCACACAGGGAAAACACCATCTTTCATGCCTTGGTTTTTTGGATTCAGCAAACAGGAATTGACAAAGTCTTAAACTGTCAAAAGCTCCCGTCATTGTTGTCAGTTGTGAGATTTGAGTTGATCCCTATTGATTACTTGTACAACATTGTGCAACATGATTCTGTTGCAAAGATGTTCACAGATTTCAATGAGTTATATCTAAGAGGGATCACTTATCATGCATTGCCTTCTGACATTCTACAAACCCTGCCAAGTCAATCCCCACGAAAAACACCAGATTCACAAGATATGGTGCCGTACACATGGGTTATACCAGAACAGAAACTGTATAACCTAGCTGAAACTGAACAGGAACTAAAATCACATGAATTTTTTTACTGTGGCTATGAAATGATTTTTACCATCAATAGTGTGAAAACGGCTGATAAAAGATATTTGGGAAATTGTACTGCAGCAGTCAGTGCAACCCTTTCTTTGGAAATTGTGAATCTCAAACAACACAGTGCTGTTACCATTTCATGGCAACCACAGAGTAATGCTTTTCAGTGCAACCCAAATAAACACATATTCAAATATGATCATTGTGTACAATCATCATTGATTTCAACAATCAAACTTTTCAGTAAATTGGAAATTAAATCACCATCAAGTTTTGTGCCAGCTACAAGTACATCACTTTTTGGTTCAACTTCAGTTCCTGCATTTAGCTTTGGAGTACAGGGTCCTAGCACAGCACCCATATTTTCTAGTAGCACTGAATCTACCATAAATGACACCTTGTCCATTGCCATAAAAATGAGACTGTAATAAACTGTGCACATGCTTTGTTATGTGATGAACATTAGGAAATGTATACTTTTTAATTTAAACTGAATGTTATTGTGGACATAGTCTCTAGAACAATTAGAATTTATGATCGAACCACTGTATTAAAATGATTTACAATACAAATTCCAATAAATCCAGAATTCTAGTGATAATTCTACTTGGGCAAGATATTCGAAGGTTGTTTTATTCTGCTATTTTCTTTTCATTCATTGTTCAACCAAAAATCCCACAATGGATATTTAAAAACCCATTTACACTATGCAATTTGTCGTATACAATCCGTACCCCAGCGTATGCGAATGTATGAACACACATATAAATGTGACACTTTAAATTTTAGCCTGAACAAAATTGAATGAAGATTGTGGCATAGGCACTCTTTTCATTAGTCAGAATGATAATTGCCAAAACTTATCCTGTAGTCTAAATAGGCCTTAATGATTACTGCAATGTCTTTCACATTTGCAACTATTACCTGATAAAAAGATGGGTTTCTGTTCCTTTTTTGATTTTTCAAATGCTTCTTCACCCCAAGGATACCTGACAATGAAAACAGAACTTCAGTCAGTTGTTTATTTACAATGTGCTGAACTCCCAAGTCTTTATACTCTAAGAACAGGTACACACACAATAAACTAGTACAAAATTATTGCTTATACCAAGAATAATGTAAGCTTTTTCACCAAGATCTTGGTAATCAGGATTCAGGCATATAAAATCTTTTTCCTGTTGACAAAAGTCTGGCAGCAAATTAACCTTTTAGCTACACCCTAGTTGTGAGTTGATGTGGGGAAGATGTAACATATTAATGTTACATATAAAATATACTAATGTATAGGAGATAACCATGTGCCAGGTTAATCAGGTCTACTTGTGGAGGGTATATTGCACAACTCAGGTATGCTAAGACTTTATAACAAGACTTTATAATTATTCACATCTCTGCAATCTAGCTATGGTGAAATCCATGTTAATAATCCAAAAACCATAATGCAGAACTCTTCAGGAAAAATACCAAAATATTGTGAATATATTTCAAAGCGCCTCACATCAAACAATTTTATACACCTCCTGTATATTTGTTCCCACACAAATTTTGTTACTTAACTTTCACGTAAGTTTGTTTTTGAAATTCAAATATTAACATATAAGTATGAATACGTCAAATACTCACCAGTCTACAGGATTATAAGCATGCTGTAAAAGATACGGTGATCTTTCTTTTAACAAACGGTTAGCCTTCTTCCCATCGTTTGAACTTGTAGCCATATTTTGACGTTTCAATCCTCCCAAGGTTAAGACGTTAAACTTTGTTTTACAGCAAAATGGCAAAGCAAATGAAGTCCTTCCGGGTTCAACACTCACTTGATAATGTACAAATGCTCGAAGAGAGTGCAAAACCTGCCTTTTTGCTTGAAATTTAAAGAAATGTTTATTTGAAAGTTTCCAAATTCTAAGAAAAAACATTGAAAATTTGCAGCATGATTCCCAGCTTGCCAAATACTTCATGTCACAAAAATATAAAATTGTGGGTTCAGAGTAACTAAATAACATACACCAGAAGGCAATGCAAGGGAGATTACATTTATTCAATTTACTTATATATCATAAAAAATTTAATTTTCTGCAAAATTATATATACCCAAATGTTGATCTATGAAAATTATTTGTACAAAGTATAGTTTTTGTGTTGAATTTGATAATTGCATTTACTAGTCTCTAATGAAAATTATTAAATAATATATGAAATATTCTTCATGCCTGATGCCTGACTTTGATTGTAATTTTTTTAAAATTATAACTAAGCCATTCAATTTTCCTTTGATTTACTTGAAGGTGTTGATCAAGTTAATCTCAGCCTGTTTTAGCACTGTTTTATAGTGCTCAAAACTAAGTTTTTAAGTCTGAAGGGAGAACAGATTTCAGCCTTATTTCGTTCACATTTTTTTCTATGAAAGCATCACGCGTCATGCACACGTTTTAGCAATTTTTTGAGCGAAATAAATGCCATCTTGCTAAAAATTTTTTAGGCCCAGCGCTTCAAATACTGATTGCTGAAAATTGATTCTTATTTGCATGTTGGACCTCTATAGTGGCAAATGGAAAACGTTGTAGCCAGGCATATTTTACAAGTAACTACCTATCTTATTTGAAGGCGTTTTGTGATTAGTTTTTTCAAACGTTATCATTTTAAGATCTTTAGAGAGATGATTCCTCTAGTTCACCGCTCTCTTTGTTAGAACCAAACCAAGCACTGAAATGAAATTCGTTTCATGTAGGTGGGGTTGGCTTTAGTAGTTGGGCTAGAGGGAGGGAGGCCCTTGCTACGGCATATCAACCGGCCGTAACGACCCCGTTCCATATTTATCAATGAAATATTTCCTGTCTTTCAAAGCGTCGACCTCGTCAACTTTACTGACAATTTCCTCCATGGCCTACGAAGAGTTGAACTCAATTAGAAATACATTTTTTTTTCACGTTTGCTTTCGTAAAAATCGTATACAAACGACACGTCTGGATATTCATAAAAATGCATTTCATAGCGGCACTTTTCTATACCTTTTCACATATCTCATTCACTTCTTTTCGCAGGAAAACATAAAGCATAATTTGTTTCTTGAGAAAATCGACTCTGTCGACTTCTTGCTTTTCCAAAATCTGTAAAATAATAAATTCAAAGCGACGTTTATAAATTAGGACGTCGGTTCCACGAGACAGCCAGCCTAAACACATCTGACAAACCAGTGTGAAACTGATGCAATATCCAGATATATTAATCTGGATATTTTTAGATTTCCTGGTTGCCTTTGAAGCATGAAAATGAAATGGCATACCGAGCACGCGGAAACCATATCGTCGACCCACTTTCGTTGGCTTGCGTTGTACGTTTCAACAGCTTTGCGATGTCCGTGACCTTCGCATGGAAAAAAAACAATAATTGGATGAACAAAACCAAAATAGATCTTTCTCAAAATGCGGAAAGTTTGATTGGCTTTGCAATCAAAACTAACCAGCCAATCAAAGACCTCCCGCGTTTGACGTCATCGTCACGGGAAAGGTCAAAGGTCTATTACCATGAGAGGAAAGTTTTAAGAGCTGTGAAGATGATTTACCTGCTTGCACTGTCTTCTTCACTGCCTTCTCGTATTTATCCAAGGCCTGGATAAAGGACATTTGGGAAGAAAGATCGTAATACGAATGTAATCTTTATAAACTGCACCATATTTATGACAAATCAATAGATTTTTACTTGAAATAAAGAAACGACCATAAAACATTACGGACACTTCAGATCTTGAACGATATAAGGGTCTGGTCACTACCTTTGAAGATTGTTGTGCAGTTATTTCTTTCTCACCGACAGCCTTTTGCTTCTCCGCAACACTTTCTCGAGCCTAGATTTGAAAATGAATATGATGTCTTATCTGATAGCGATAAAAAGATTCTTCCACTTTGGATGTCTACTACGGAATACTATATTTGACAATTGTAAATCATGTATAAGCACAAACATCTAACCTTCTCAACGATTCCGAATGTCGATGAGATGACTTTTCTGTCCTCGTGAAGTAAATCTTTAAACTGATCATGCTATAAAAATGCAAACCAAAAGATAAAAATATCCACCTATACACTACCGGATAATCTTCTAAATCAAACTATATCTATCTCTTTATTAAGACTGGTTTCTTTTGATTGACTTGAAAGCAAAGCAAAGTAATTTACAGGCATTATAATTTTTGTTCACCTTCTTTCTGTCTGCCTTCTGTTCCTCCGCGTCCTTTGCCTGAATTGGTTTCTGAACTTTATTAACCAACTACAAAGTAAAAAATTATAATGAATACACTTCAGTTCACTGTAGTTGTGACCAGCGATAATAGAGATCGTCGACTGTCTACGAGTGGTGTAAGCCAGGGGATGGTTGTATCAAATCCGTTTAGCTTAAACGGTGCTTAAGTCAAAGTTAAATAACCCAAATACATGCATGTCTCTCTTGAATTAGTTAACTTTAATATTATGCACTGAATATGTAGTTGAAAAGCATCATTGTATTACGGTTAAAAACCTTTATTTTGCTTGTTGAATAAAACGATAGACTTGTTTTATGTTATGAGCTTAACCACAGTAAACTAAACGGGCTTGATTCAAAATCTACCTTAACTGCAAAGGCTTGATGAGCGTTGGCTTCGTCCTGTAGTTTCGCTTTCAGATGTTTCCAGGCTTTTCCAAGAGTTCTTTAAAACAAACCGAATATAAACTCGTCATGAAAGAATCCTCTAGAACTGTCACCTCCCGAGAGAACGAAAGCAATATCATACCCTTCTTCCTGATCACCGTAAATAGACGCTGCGAGCTTCGTTAAACTTTTAGCATAAGCGTCTTCGACAATAGCTCTTGAAAGAAGAACATAATAAGAAGAACAAATGAAAAGAAGAACAAATGAAAAGAAGAACAAATGAAAAGAAGAACAAATGGAAGAAGAACAAATGGAAGAAGAACAAATGAAAAGAACAAAAGGAAGAAGAACAAATAGAAAGAAGAACAAATGTGGAAGTTTTATTTACCTTTCTCTAATAAATTCTGTCATTTCTTTGTTGACTGTTCTGCCAAATGTATATCTGCCAATAAGAATATCTAATCCAGAAAGATCTTCTTTATCATCCTGATCAAGATGAAATACCATCAATTATATCACTGATTACCACACAATTGTCAGCTGTTACAGATCTCATGGTTTCGTCAAAGTTTGTAGCATTCTGAATGGTACATGGTACTTACCCAGAAGTGGTCACAGTAACTGTACTGTCCTGGGTTAAACAATGTCTGCCCATGTCGGGAATCAGCGTGTGGAAATGTCATGAAGTTTCTCTGCAAAAAACAAGAGTTTTATGAGTTTGTAGTAGGCACTGGAATTTCAGGTTGCTTTTTCAGGAAAATATCAACGGTCTACTTACAACAACAGTCGTAGGTCTTTTTGAAAAGCTTGGTTTCTGAATTAGGAATAAAATGTAATAGGTTAAACTTGCTGTTAGAGAAATTGGATGAGAAAACTGAAGATGCAATTCATCACCTTTCTTAGACTTCTTTTATCTTCTCTTTCAAGAGATTTTGTTTTAGCACCTTGAGCTAGAGAAAGATGATCGAAACACGTCAAATGTCATAGTAATGGATCGTGGGAGATATTATGTACCAAAGGCTGAACCTGGAATTAATTGACATGTTAATTTTTTATCAAAATACCCCAGTTTACCTGGCTGAGTTGAATGAACATTGTTATTATTGGTTGTTGGTAATGTCCAAGTTCGTTCTAGTTAAATAATTGAAAATATATTAACAGCTTGATCTGTAGGTATTACCATGGATTTCACTGAGCTAGTAGATAACCAGAAAGTATCTCTGTTAACATAGGGGTATTGGGTAATGGGTATGGGAGGTATTGGTGAATGGGTATGAAAGGTATTGGTGAATGGGTGAGGGGTATTGGTGAATGGGTATGAGGGGTATTGGTGTATGGGTATGAGGGGTATTGATGAATGGGTATGAGGGGTATTGGTGAATGGTATGAGGGGTATTGGTGAATGGGTATGAGGGGTATTGATGAATGGGTATGAGGGGTATTGGTGAATGGTATGAGGGGTATTGGTGAATGGGTATGAGGGGTATTGGTGAATGGATATGAGGGGTATTGATGAATGGGTATGAGGGGAAGGTGGACCCCATATACATGCATTATCTGACACGTACCTTGTGTGGCGGAATTAACATAATATGTCTTTCCTTGCTCGGTCTGAAATGCTGACCAGTTGGGGGGCAGATCAATGCCGTGAACAATTTTCTACAAGGTAAAAAAATGAAGGTAAACATTGGGATATATGATTCCAAGTGCACATAAAGTAGCTTAAGAGGTGTGAATTATGATGGGGATATTAGCAAGTGATATATTATAAAGGCAAAAGGGAAATTCTAATATGCATAATGAATATACTTGGTTTCAGACTGGGAACCAAAGAGACAACGCCACCATTTCATTAGTATATTTATGACTTGGGGTTGATCAACTTCAAATAAGTAAATCTCCAATTAGTACCTCTATTTGTTTCCATATTTTTTTATAATCAACACAGTTTTGAATAGATAAGGATTACTGTAATCCTATTAACCCATCCCAGAAATATATCAGATAAAGCTTATTGTTTATGTTCATATAACCATCAATACCTATATATACTTCACCTAGCAATCTGTTGCAAATATCACAATATCACCTCAATATAACCTCTTAGTATAATATATAACTGCTGAACTAAACTATTATAATGGCCTTTCAAACCACATGTGGCCTTCAATTGACCCCATTCTGTGTGGTACTCTGTTAGTTTTGTCTTGACAATGAAAAAGTATTTAGATTTAAAATGGATTAAAATAGATTCAGCAACTATGCGTTTGAAAAGTTTGAATTATTAATGCTATCCGAAAACCTGGCAGACAAACAACAATTCAAGAAAATTGGGGAAATAATTATCTATTTCCCATATCACGCTGATCAATTAATCCTGTTAGGCGTAAAATTTGGCCAAAAAGACTGAAAACAACATATTATATTTCATATTCTTTATCAAAACAATTCGAAAAAGTTTAGTTTTATCAAAGAAACTGCGTATTCAAACACGCTTTCAAGCCGTTAAAATATTGATTCATTGCGCAGACAATTTGCATTTTATTTTGACGCCAATCTAAGAGGAGACAGGCGCCCATTTCGATAGCCATTTATTGTCTTCTTTGAGATATCTTTTAGGAGGGATCAGTGATTTGACACATTTCGTGCATAGTAACTTTATTTTAATACGTTTGGCGGTAGTTAAAATAAAATAAAATCCAATAAAACCGTTTAAAAGAGTTCCTTATTGTCGGAATATTGTAGCAGGAAGTTACGCATGGTATATTTGTATGTGTTACTACGAATAGTTTCCATTTATTGCACGCAATATTTTAGCGTGTTTACAAATGTACAATAAGTATTTTAAACCGGCTGTAGACGAGTTTAGGGCGCGTTTTCTAGCCTTTTCTTTGCATTCCGAATTAGTCCAAAGCACAAAATGTCTCATTAGAATAAACCGTGATTGTTTAATCAAAACATATCTGTATTATGCAAATATGTGGTTTAGAAATAAAACAAGTTTCCCCTTGAGATATTCGCTCGCTCTTTCTAGAGAAATATAATCCAAATTCCAACCTTATTTGCTAAAGGAATAGAGCTTAATAAGGAAGTGCGTAAAGGGAATATTGCGCCGGTATAATACCTCGCAAAAGCATGCAAAATCTTTTTAGGAACAAGTCTCATACCTGTTCCAACGTCGACACATATGTGGCTGGGAACCATCCTTCAATTTTGGAGTTCTGAACTTCGCCCCACCACCATCCATCTTCACCCTTTTCAAAAACGTTCAAAAGTTGCCCAGCGTCAAATTTCATTCCAGTATTACTGTCGAAAGCGTATAGAGCCCGTGCGATCTCGCAGACCTCCATAATATCGGCTAAATAAAGAGAAATACCAATATAAAGTTTACTTTGGTAAAGTTGATCGCGTTCAATCCTGACTCGCGAATGAATGAACACGTCGTGTACTACACGTTGTATTCGTGTACTCCACGAGACTACTCGATGTTGCGCAATTGAGCCGAAATGGACCTTTTTATCAATTTGGATGCCATTTTAGAGCGCAATACACTGTGGTATACTTGGGGGGAGTTGATGGCTTGTGTTACAGAAGATAGAGAAATGAAAAATAACACATAATTTACAATACGTACATCAGAAATGCTACAACTTCAGTATTAACTAATATTAAAATCGCTTACTTCCAAAAAGAGCCACTGAAATGATTGTCTTCACTAGTTGTATCTTCTGACTTGTTCCGTTTCTCAACCACCTTTCTCTAGCGAGTAATTCTTATCGTAATATCTCGGGGAATAGTTTTAAAATTGAGAAAGCGACTGTCCCCTTGTTATCTATCTATGAATTATGATTCCATATCAGACGATTTAATATTTCCTCCCGAAACAAGTGCAATATGAAAATCATAAAAGGGATGCACTAATATAAGCCTGGATAGCCCCGTCACAAGAGTCTCGTTTGGGTATAAACGTTTTCCCCCTGGTCGAGTATACCATATTATGCCGGTCTTAGCGTTCTTCGCTCACAAACCACAGCATCTTCATAACATCGAAATACGAGGATAACAGATCCACTGTGAGATTTTCTTGGCTTGTGTCCAGGCAGTTCTTTCAATGTTGCTTGCGTCTACATTCCCTATCACCAAAACTCCCTTCTCTTAGTTATGCGTGATGATGAATTCTTGTGTGTCACCATGTTATAAATTATGTGTTACTGGAACCTTTTTCTACAGTTATACCCACGGTACCTCGTTTCATTTTGGTTGTATCAGCAAATCTTGGTAGTTTTCTGTATAAACGAGTTTGGTTTTCCTTTTACGGCCTTCTTAGTTGGCTCCTTGCTTTGAAAGGACTAAAGTCTTCCACTTCAAGCATCCAAAATACATTAGATCATTTAGATGTGACAGGAATATCAAATAATATATAATGGAACAATGATTTTAAGCTATTTTGACCATGCAATGCGTCAATAATGCTTTTAAACACATTACTATCGCCACAAGTAGATAATTTTTGTTCAACAAATTATTAGAAAAAAAACAAAAAAGTTGTATTGAAGAACTGGCTCGTAATGTCTTGAAATCAACGTGTTTTTAAATCACTGGGTTCAGAACTATTTTTTATTCCTAGAACTCCAGTTGATAATCATTTCATCAGATCGAGATCTGCCCTGTGAGATTGCGAGAGTTAGGCAAATTTGAGAGATAAGTACAATCGGCCATATCCGGAAACCTTGATAAATGATAATCCATCTTCTAATGACGTCATCTATAGGAAGACATTTTACCCCAGAGAAAGCCTCGTCGGGAAATGCGTAGGAACAGTCGAAAAATAGATTACAAATATCTTGTCATTTCAAGTCGCTCAAGGTGAATAAAGTTACTTTATAAGTACGACAAAGCAACGTGGATTTTATCGTTTTACTGTTAGGCAAATTGGAATGCGAACTTCCGTGATGTATGCGCTGTGAAGCGTGTTGTTTTTTTGTGTATACACTTTGGAAATTAGTAGCAATTCATAGTGTGTGCGTTGTTTTTTAACGATTTATTGTACTGAAATACATCATTACATCAAGATGGCTACATCTGAGAATGAGGACATGTGTGCTGTTTGCGGGGCACCTTCGACGGGCTATCATTACGGGTGCTATGCTTGTGAGGGATGCAAGAGCTTTTTTAAAAGAACCGTACAAAAAAATCTCATGGAAAAATACCAATGTCAGAACGGCGACGATAGCTGCGAGGTGACGCTCGAATCTCGTGCGAAATGCCAGTCTTGTCGCTTGAAGAAGTGTCTTAACGTTGGAATGGTTTTCGGAGGTGAGAATTTTGGCTTTTACTATCACGACAAATACGATCTAAACCTATGTATTTCGTCTAGATATTGTGATATTTAACCACCATATACAGGACCCCAAAGGTCTCTGCATGTCTGGTCATGTTATACAAAACGAAAGTGGTGTTTATCGAATGGTTATCACATGTAACAACATGTCAGTGTGTACAAATGCGCCAATTGTATCTTTCACAATTTAACAAATGTGTTACATTACTCTCACGCGATTCATGATCATTATGTACATATAAATATAGCCTGGCCTTGTTTTGATTTCTTGTCATGTGATGGTCAGTGCGGAATAAAAAAGCAGTTGGTTAAAGTTGAATCAGTTTGAATAATCCAGCATTGGCTATCGAGCTATTAATATCATATATAGGCTTCGATATTGAAAATAATTGGATACGGTTTAGTGTTTTCTAGTATCATAAATAAATATTTTTGGAAGTTAATGTATATAAGTGGTCCCTACGTAACAGGAAGCGTGATAGATTGCTCTGAAGTTCCGTTTTCATTTCTCATGGTGGAACACGTGTGTTGTCCACGTGTTTGATTATCATGCGCAAGGGACATTGAGGTGGGGGTTATCTATCAATTTATTCTTTCTAAGGTGTCAGAGGTGATCGACAGAGAGGTGGAAGATCTTTTTATCCACTCAAAACACCTGATGAAGACTCTCCGCAGTCCACAACAGATACTGTTAAAGAAGAAGCTATGAGCCCTACAAGCGAACCAAACACACCAAAGGAAACCTCAATCGTCTTACAACAGTTGTTGGAAGCATCACCAGCTATAATACCTCCAGGCGAATATCTACTCAGACCACCTTTGGAAGATCCAGAAATTAATATCCCGCTCACTCGTTTATCAAACGGACTGTCCATCGAACTTAAGTTAATTGTTGATTGGGCAAAGGCTGTTCCTGGCTTTTCTGAGCTGGTGAAAGAAGATAAAATCAAATTGCTATCATCAGCTGCCATGGAGCTCCAGGTCTTTAGAGTTCTGTATCGATCAATGCCCTATGACCAGAGTTTGCATTTGAATCAACCGACTGTGCTGACGAAGGATGAGTGTTATATCTTTCTTAGCGAGGAGTTGGTTGACGGAATGTTGGAGGTCGTTCAACGTTTGCGAGCACTCATGATTGACGAAAGTGAATTTGCTTGCTTGAACGCAATCCTGTTATTCAATTGTGGTAGGTTTACAATCTACAGTACTGTGCAAACGTTTTCTCCTTTACAAACACAATTTGTCTAAATTTTCAAACGTAGAATATATACAAACTATATATATTGGAGTAAGCTTGACATGTACACATTTTGTATTGAATTGTAAGATAATTTTACCATCTAACAAAGCCGAGAAAAGTGTCAAGTGTCACATAAAGCTTTACTACATATACTTTATATTTTGAGAAGGATAAAATGAACTAAAATCATTGACCAAATTGTAATCACTACTTTCACATTTCAGACACAGAAGGTCTTGTACATCGAGACACAGTTGAGACGCAGCGTCAAATCATTATGGAGACGCTCAAGGAATACACAGAACAAAAACAATCCGGACGCTTTGCAAAGATATTGCTTCGTTTACCTGTCCTTCGTCAAGTTTGCAACAAGGGCTATCATTACTTTGTCAGAGTACAACTGGAGGGCGAAGTTACAATGTCTACATTACTCACACAAATGTTTGAGAAAGCTAGAATTTAAATAAGATTATTTTAGGATATAGTTTTTTATACTTGATCTGCCAGGCTTAGAGTTGCATGATAAACTTCATGTGCCTCATAAAGGGAATCATAATCGGGATGCATAAAGACTAACTAATGAGGAGAGGTGAAAGTAAGGGGAGAGGTGAAAGTAAGGGGAGAGGGGGGGAATGACCCTACACTCTCAATACCACCAATAGTATAATCTGTTCTTATTTCTTATATCATTTTGACCATTTTGTGATTTGTCTTACAATACTGTGCATAACACGACCATTAATTCACAAATTTTATGTAATAATGAGATTAATGTTATATAATAAAAAACTAGACTTTACTATAATAGTTCACAATTTCATCAACATTTTAGTATAGAATGGATATATTTTAATTTCTTTTCTTGCCTTATACTTCATTCTATTGAATTTGAAAACTGATAATAAACTTGATGCCAATAATAGTCCATCTAATTCTCATATAAATTGCAAATTTGCTTGCCACTCATTGTGAGAGTGCAGCATTGACACTGTGAGTTAAAGCTTCCTGACTTCTCAGTTTTCCAACATCTTGTTGTTTCACAGAAGTACTCAAAATTTGGCAAACCTTTTTTAGAATTACCTCCAAGCACATACACATTACCATGGTAGATGGTTACTGCAGCATTCCGTCTTGGTGTGAGCATGTTATCTATCAATGACCATTCGTTGGTTGCATTGCTGTAAACTTCGCAACTCTCCAACTCAGTTGGGAAGGAACCACTATAACCACCAACAACATAGATCTTATCATTGTGTGCAACCGCGCTGGCCTCAATCCGACCGATAACTGTCTGAGGCATATAAGTCCAGGTCATTGTATGGGTATCATACTTCTCGACAGAATAAAGCGACTCTGTTGTGGGTGTGTTACCACCTACAACAACCAGGAACCTATCCTGAAATGCCACCATACAATGGTACATCCGCTTGACCAGCATTGGCGTGCCAAAGGACCACTCGTCTTTGAGAGGGTCATATATTTGCATGTTGTATTCAGGATTTGGACCTCCAGTTGCATAAAGCAAACCATTCAATGCAGATACGTCAAAACTTGCAGCTGTTTTTAACATTGGTGCAACTGTTTTCCAAAGGTTGTAGGTATGGTTGTATTGCCACACAGTGGAAGTTATCTTATCGTCTATTGTTCCGCCAATAACATACACAAAACCATTCAATGTTACGACCTTAAAGTGTTCCCTCTTCTTGGGCATGAGGGTAACTGGATGCCAAGGAACAACCCCAGGTGTGTAAGCTTGACAACTCTCATTACCAAAAACTAAAATCACTTCCTGTCCTTGTCTCCCTGGAACACCCCCTTCATAAGATTCATCCAAAGTTGTTTTAAAAAACTCCTTATCAAAAATGTCCACTACGCCTGCAGTGATATCATATTGACACAACAATTCCTTACAGCTCTCTTTGGAAAGGACTTTGATTTGGACATAATCATTCAGCAACTCCTCAAGATGTTCAAATCTTGTCTCTCGTGAATAGACCACCCATCTTAGAATGCTCTCAAATCGCTCATACTCATTGGCTGAAAGCTCATCAGTTTCTAGGAAAGATTCCAATTCTCCTAAATTTAACTCCAAAAATGATGGAGTCTGGGAGAGACGATAAAACATCGCATTAATAAAACAGTTTGCAGTTTCATACAGTTTTTTACACCCGTAAAATTCTGCAGCCCGTCTGGTCTCAAAGCACAAATGGGACATCTCTAAACTTAAATTATCTGCAAGGAATTGACAAACATCCGTCTTCAACTGATTGAGCAACATGTAATCTGCAACAGCAAGTAATTCAAACGCATTTTCCAACTCTATTTCGATAACTTCGCCATAGATATAATCAAGGACGAGGCTTACTGCGGCCGGGCTGACAGACAGAAAAGCCAGATCGACACATTTGACTTGAGTATAGACTTCGGACATGTTACTGCGAAACATCCCAAGGAAATACGGGCTTACCGCAGCTAAAACGCAAGAATGGGCATAAAAGTTTCGCTCACCACACTTTAAGGTTATATCACAAAACTTTTTCGTACGGCGAAAGTTGGCCAGGACTGACAGAACTTTGACAGATGAGACGCATCGAGATGCAGTAATTTCCACATTGGCAGCCATATTTGCTTTCCCGGGGGCCGAACACTGAGCTCAATACTATAGCCAGTGAACTGGAGTACTGAACATCGATGATGACACATGACAATCACACATGCTGATGCCGTGATGGTGTAACCAAGGGGATTTTTTTTTGTAAAATATTTCATACATCCACGTCATACATCCACGGCTACAGCTTTGAGAAATATCGCGATAAATTTACAGCTCGTAAGTATTTCTCATATATATGTGATGATAAGATTTCTATGTATGATTTTATACTGTAATTTAGACTACTTCTCAGTTCTCATATTTTGTTTTGTCTTTCCAAGAATTTGCAAAGACATGCTTTTTCAAAAGCTTTGATATTACGGAAGGCAGAATATCAAATTATGTGAACAAGAGTTAACACATATTATTCTACTTTGTCTGTGTATCAAATTGTTATGTTTGTGTATATGTTGCAAGCATCTGTGAAGGACAGTACTCAGAGTAGTATAGAAGGCATATTTCTGGGAAATATTTCAGTTATGCAATACAAAATATATCATAAAACAATGGTTTCAATATTAGATTGGGTTTCATCTGGTGAATTGCATTAAAAATTGGTCCTTTTTGCAAGTTTGGTTTACTGCATAAAAGAATAAAAGTTATGTACAAGAGGCAATCCCTGAATTTGCCATTCTTAATTTGAATCTGATTTCAGGTAATTGCTCCACAGACAAATGGGCGTTCGGGGTTTAACAAGTTACGTTAACAGTTTGCCTTGTGGCAAACATGCCGTTTGGAAATTTTATAAACTACAGGACACAAACCTCATCATTGACGGCTGTGGTTTATATTATTATATTTACGCTTCCAATGATTTAAACATGAAATATGGAGGGCAATATGAGCAGCTGCAAGACAAAGTAAGGGAGTTTGTTGCAAAGCTTCGATCCAACAATGTCCTCCCATATGTGGTTATCGATGGCATCATGGCAAAAGACGAAAAGAAGTTTGATACGTATCTCAAAAGAAAGCAAGATTGTGTAAAGCGAATGAAAGCTATGTGGTTATCCAGATCGTCTACCAGTGATATGGTTATTCCACGCCTTGCCCAAATTGCTTTTGTACAAGTTTTGGAAGAACTTGGTGTCAAATATGCTGTGGCTGATTTGTAAGCATATAATATAAACCATATTCATTTATAGGTTTATAGCCTTTTCCCTATTTTAATGCTTTTTCCGCCATTCTCTATCAGTATCAGGGACATATATGCATTCATTTCTTTTTTTAAGTGAAGCGGATTGTGAAATTGCATCACTTGCAAATGAACTGGATGCTCCTGTGATGGCAAACGACAGTGATTTCTACATTTTCAACGTCAAAGGTGGCTACATTCCATTCCAACAATATGATTTCTCTGGCGGAAACATCACAGTGAAGAAATTCAAATTCCGAAGGTTTGCCAAATACCTTGGCATTGACCCTGGTATGCTACCCCTGCTTGCCTCGTTGATCGGAAATGATTATGTCTCTGACACAGTGTTGCAGCCATTCATGGCTTACCTTCAACATCCAAGAGCTAAGATTCCAGCCATTGCAAATTTCCTATCTGAATATAGGAGCATGTCAACATCAACAGTATTTAAGGTTGTCGTGAAGTCAATTCCAAGCGGTCTCCAGCAAGAATTTGAGCAAGCATTACGTCTTTCTGTTGAAGAATACCAAACAAAAGAAAGCAATCTGATAGGATATTTCAGCTCTAATGACCTCAGTTGCAATATTGTTACATTTAATGATCATTCTTTACCGCAATGGGCTGTTCAGTTGTTTCGAGCTGATTCAGTTGCACCGTCAGGTTTCGCATCTTTGTGCAATCGAAAGGTTTTCCTCAGACCCCAATGTGAGGACACATCAAAGCCCTCAGCACAAGAGTGTGTTCAGGATCTCAGATGGTACTATTATGCCATGCTTCAGCATTTCGAGAATGCAGCCATTGGTAGAGAGTTGGAGCAGCCCCAAAGCAAAGCTGGTGCACAAAGCCTGGTAACAGAGAAACACCAACAAAGTCACCCTAACACCGACCTTGTTGAAATGATAGAAGAATTTCAAATCCAGGACGATGCAGAGAATAGCCTCAGCAATAGTCCTTGCAAACCTCATCAAGATATTTCCTCACCATTGGAATGCACTAACAGAGAAACAAACTCTAAGGAAATAACTGTTGCAGAGTTTGACAGAGAAGGGTCAACACTTGCTACTAGGAAGGTTAACTTAACGCAGATCATCTCCCAGATTAATATTCAGATTGATGACATACAAGAGATGTCCAATGATGCCAAGAAAAGCCACTTATTACAGTTACTTGATTCTGATCTACCATTCATACACAATCTTGCAATCAAACACCAGTTAGTAGCAGCAGCCTTGAGGTACTGGATAATACATTGTGATGTCAATCAAAAGCAGCTGGCTGCAATTTTGGTCCACTATGTTGGTGAAAAGCCACGGCCATTAAAACCAAACAAGTCTCTCCAAGATGTTTTAATTCGGACAGTTCATGGTTTCTCACAGTGGCAAAATGTTGTGTACTGGACTGAAAAATTAAACTCCTTGTTTTCAGCTCCATTTCCACATCTGCAAGCAGCAAAACTGTACAATGGTATTGAAGTGTGTTTGGTACATGAGAGGCTGAACAATGCAGGTAACTATAATGTATATTTTGAGGAAAAGCTTTCTTGATGGTTATAATATGAAAGAGTTAAGAATAGAGCTATTCAGTATGAACAAAGTGATCTACATAAGTACAGTACAAGTTAAATTTTTTCACTGATGTGAAACTGGACGAATGAAGAACTGTGAGAACGGACGAAGCAAATATCTAACATTAATTTAGTTTAGGTTTCCTCCTGTGAAACACACATAATTCATAAATTATATTCTATTTCAATTTCAGGTATCGAGGCAGCTGAGTCCATCGTGATCAACCCTAACTTATATCGCCTACTTCACAACGTCATCACGAAAGATATACCAGATGATTGCCAGTTCAACCAACTACGAATGGAAAAGAAGCCAGAAGAAGACTAGGGCAAAAAGCTCGGATGGAGGAGTGATTGGAAAAAGACTACAAGTAAAGATTACTTGAAAGGAAACAGATTTGCTTTTCTGGAGGAATTAGATTCTGACGAGCCTTGAAAACAATTTTTTGTTCCACTTTCTGGTAATTTGAGCACGTTTTGAGCCAGTTACGATAAAAGCGATATTTTAAATGATTTACATTGTTTTATTGTTATATATAATACATATATGTATCACATTTTAAATAACTGATTATAATATAAATATACCGTTGTAATTATTACTATTTTTACAGTTTTAACTGCGCAATGATTTATGATATGTCTGTGCTCTGAACTCAACTACAGGCATATGATGAGATAAATACATTGATATTTTGTTATGAACTTTTTGGGGAATAAAAAGGGACAAAATGCAGACTGTTTATTCGTTCACTTCACTGAAAACATCAGTAAAGGCAGTATGAGGACAACTCCACTGGGGTTGGTATTAGTGTGAAACATCCCAAGGAAATATGGGCTGACCGTAGCTAAAACACAAGAATGGGCATAAAAATTTTCGCTCACCACACTTTAAAGTTATATCACAGAACTTTTTCGTACGGCGAAAGTTGGCGAGGACTGACAGAACTTTGACAGATGAGACGCATCGAGATGCAGTAATTTCCACATTGGCAGCCATTTTTGGATTTCCCGGGGCTCAATACTATAGCCAGTGAACTGGAGTACTGAACATCGATGATGACACATGACAATCACACATGCTGATGCGTAGCCAAGGGATTTTTTTTTGTAAAATATTTCATACATCCACGTCATACATCCACGGCTACAGCTTTGAGAAATATCGCGATAAATTTACAGCTCGTAAGTATTTCTCATATGTGATGATAAGATTTCTATGTATGATTTAACTGTATTTAGCTACTTCTCAATTCTGATATTTTGTTTTGTCTTTCCAAGAATTTGCAAAGACATGCTTTTTCAAAAGCTTTGATATTACGGAAGGCAGAATATCAAATTATGTGAACAAGAGTTAACACATATTATTCTACTTTGTCTGTGTATCAAATTGTTATGTTTGTGTATATGTGCAGCATCTGTGAAGGACAGTACTCAGAGTAGTATAGAAGGCATATTTCTGGGAAATATTTCAGTTATGCAATACAAAATATATCATAAAACAATGGTTTCAATATTAGATTGGGTTTCATCTGGTGAATTGCATTAAAAATTGGTCCTTTTTGCAAGTTTGGTTTACTGCATAAAAGAATAAAGTTATGTACAAGAGGCAATCCCTGAATTTGCCATTCTTAATTTGAATCTGATTTCAGGTAATTGCTCCACAGACAAATGGGCGTTCGGGGTTTAACAAGTTACGTTAACAGTTTGCCTTGTGGCAAACATGCCGTTTGGAAATTTTATAAACTACAGGACACAAACCTCATCATTGACGGCTGTGGTTTATATTATTATATTTACGCTTCCAATGATTTAAACATGAAATATGGAGGGCAATATGAGCAGCTGCAAGACAAAGTAAGGGAGTTTGTTGCAAAGCTTCGATCCAACAATGTCCTCCCATATGTGGTTATCGATGGCATCATGGCAAAAGACGAAAAGAAGTTTGATACGTATCTCAAAAGAAAGCAAGATTGTGTAAAGCGAATGAAAGCTATGTGGTCATCCAGATCGTCTACCAGTGATATGGTTATTCCACGCCTTGCCCAAATTGCTTTTGTACAAGTTTTGGAAGAACTTGGTGTCAAATATGCTGTGGCTGATTTGTAAGCATATAATATAAACCATATTCATTTATAGGTTTATAGCCTTTTCCCTATTTTAATGCTTTTTTCCGCCATTCTCTATCAGTATCAGGGACATATATGCATTCATTTCTTTTTTTTAAGTGAAGCGGATTGTGAAATTGCATCACTTGCAAATGAACTGGATGCTCCTGTGATGGCAAACGACAGTGATTTCTACATTTTCAACGTCAAAGGTGGCTACATTCCATTCCAACAATATGATTTCTCTGGCGGAAACATCACAGTGAAGAAATTCAAATTCCGAAGGTTTGCCAAATACCTTGGCATTGACCCTGGTATGCTACCCCTGCTTGCCTCGTTGATCGGAAATGATTATGTCTCTGACACAGTGTTGCAGCCATTCATGGCTTACCTTCAACATCCAAGAGCTAAGATTCCAGCCATTGCAAATTTCCTATCTGAATATAGGAGCATGTCAACATCAACAGTATTTAAGGTTGTCGTGAAGTCAATTCCAAGCGGTCTCCAGCAAGAATTTGAGCAAGCATTACGTCTTTCTGTTGAAGAATACCAAACAAAAGAAAGCAATCTGATAGGATATTTCAGCTCTAATGACCTCAGTTGCAATATTGTTACATTTAATGATCATTCTTTACCGCAATGGGCTGTTCAGTTGTTTCGAGCTGATTCAGTTGCACCGTCAGGTTTCGCATCTTTGTGCAATCGAAAGGTTTTCCTCAGACCCCAATGTGAGGACACATCAAAGCCCTCAGCACAAGAGTGTGTTCAGGATCTCAGATGGTACTATTATGCCATGCTTCAGCATTTCGAGAATGCAGCCATTGGTAGAGAGTTGGAGCAGCCCCAAAGCAAAGCTGGTGCACAAAGCCTGGTAACAGAGAAACACCAACAAAGTCGCCCTAACACCGACCTTGTTGAAATGATAGAAGAATTTCAAATCCAGGACGATGCAGAGAATAGCCTCAGCAATAGTCCTTGCAAACCTCATCAAGATATTTCCTCACCATTGGAATGCACTAACAGAGAAACAAACTCTAAGGAAATAACTGTTGCAGAGTTTGACAGAGAAGGGTCAACACTTGCTACTAGGAAGGTTAACTTAACGCAGATCATCTCCCAGATCAATATTCAGATTGATGACATACGAGAGATGTCCAATGATGCCAAGAAAAGCCACTTATTGAAGTTACTTGGTTCTGATCTATCATTCATACACAATCTTGCAATCGGACACCAGTTAGTAGTGGCAGCCCTGAGGTACTGGATAATCCATTGCGATGTCAATCAAAAGCAGCTGGCTGCAATTTTGGTCCACTATGTTGGTGAAAAGCCAAGGCCGATAAAACCAAACAAGTTTCTCCAAGATGTTTTAATTCGGACAGTTCATGGTTTCTCACAGTGGCAAAATGTTGTGTACTGGACGGAAAAATTAAACTCCTTGTTTTCAGCTCCATTTCCACATCTGCAAGCAGCAAAACTGTACAATGGTATTCAAGTGTGTTTGGTACATGAATGGCTGATCAGCGAAGAAGGTAATAATACTGTACATTTTGTAACTATACTCTATACTGTTTAATTTTTTCCACTGAAGTGAAACTGGATGAATGAAGAACTGTGGGAACAGACGAAGCAAATATCTAATATTAGTTTAGTTTAGGTTTCCTCCTGTGAAACACACATAATTGATAAATTATACTCCATTTCAGGTGTTGAGGCTGAGTCCATGGTGATCAACCCTAACTTATATCGCCTACTTGAGGAAGTCATCACGAAAGATTTACCAGATTATTCCCAGTTCAAGCCAGCGTAAGACAAGAAAAAGACTACAAGTAAAGATTACTTAAAAGGAAACAGATTTGCTCCTCTGGGGGAATCAGATTGGGACAAGCCACTTACAACGAAAACAATATTTTAAATGATTTACATTGTTTTATTGTTATATATAATACATATATCACATTTTAAATAACTGATTATAATATAAATATACCGTTGTAATTATTACTATTTTTACAGTTCTAACTGCTCAATGATTTATGATATGTCTGCATGTGCTCTGAACTCAACTACTAGCATATGATGGGATAAATACATTGATATTTTGTTATGAACTTTTTGGGGAATAAAAAGTGACAAAATGCAGACTGTTTATTCGTTCACTTCGCTGAAAACATCAGTAAAGGCAGTATGAGGACAACTCCACTGGGGTTGGTATTAAATTGGTATAGTGTGAAACATCCCAAGAAAACACGGGCTTACCGCAGCTAAAATACAAGAATGGGCATAAAAGTTTCGCTCACCACACTTTAAGGTTATATCACAAAACTTTTTCGTACGGCGAAAGTTGGCCAGGACTGACAGAACTTTGACAGATGAGACGCATCGAGATGCAGTAATTTCCACATTGGCAGCCATATTTGATTTCCCGGGGGCCGAGCACTGAGCTCAATACTATAGCAAGTGAACTGGAGTACTGAACATCGATCCAGTGATGCTGACACATCACCCCCAAGCTGATCTGGGATCATGACGTCATAAAGCGTCTCGACAAAACTGAGTTATCATGTGCCTGGTGTTTATATTTGTCCTTATTCGTCCAGCTAATAGTATAAAGGGTGAAAAATTTTTATTCTAATATGCAGTTGGGAAAGAAATAAACGTGTTTTTACATAAATATAATAAAATTACTTGATATTTTCGAGTGTCGATGTCATATGCAATGAAGGAAATGATAATTATGTTTTGTCGAAGATTTGGCTTCCGATTGGTTGATTTTTATACCCAGATCAGCTGGCACATGCTGATGCCGTGATGGTGTAACCAAGGAGATTTTTTTGTAGCAAAATATTTCATACATCCACGTCCTACATCCACGGCTACAGCTTAGAGAAATATCGCGATAAATTTACAGTTCGTAAGTATTTCTCATATGTGATGATAAGATTTCTATGTAGATATGTAGATATATATGTAGACACTTGATTTAATAGCCTTGATCTCAGTTCTCATATTTTGTTTTGCTTTCCAAGAATTTGCAAAGACATGCTTTTTCATGCTTTAATAACGGAAGGCAAAATATCAAATTATGTGAACAAGAGTTAAAGTGGCTCCCTACAGTTTCAAGAATATTGAAAACTAATGATTTAGATTGAAATTTTTGGCAGGAAATTCTTGCTAAACGAAATGAAATTTTCCAGATATATTAACCAACATTCTAAAAGTCGAAAATTGTCTTTGAGTACACGTCATTGCCGTTGTTATGGTAACAATGGCGATTCAAAAACCGTCGTTTTACCTATTTACGCATTTTACTCGAAAACAAGTTCGGTTACCCCAATTTTTTATTTTTTAAAAAGTTTTCTTATAAAAAAGATGGGAAATTTGAGCAAGTTTAAAAAAATTCTAAAGAGCCAAAAAATTTCTATAACGAAAGATCACGTTTTTTAATTTTCAATAATTTTGGCTCTATAGAATTTTTTTTAACTGGTTCAAATTTTCCATTTTTTTGTAAAAAAACTTTTTATAAAATAAAAAATTGAAGTAACCGAACTTGTTTTGGAGTAAAATGCGTGAATAGCACTTGAATAGGTAAAATGTCGGCCATATTGAATCGCTATTGTTACCATAACAACGGTAATGACGTCATGATTATGGGCAATTTCTAGTGATGGGCGATACCAGCTTTTTCAAATCGATACGATACCGCTTCGATACCAGACAATTTGTAGTGGTATCGATACCAAATTTCGATACCGATACCAGAAATTTGAGCCGTTTTTTACAGTTTGTAATTTCATATACCAAACCATAACGTGCATTTATCCACTCACATTTTTGGCTTTTCCCTTTGTTTTTTCGCGAAATGAAAAATGGGCAGAAATTATTGTGATTGGTAGCATATAATTAAAGAACTAAGGAACAAAAAAGTGACGAACAAAAAAAAATAAATCAAATTTTTTATACTTTTTGGTGGAAAACGCTGACCTAAAATACTGTAGGCTCAGTATCGAAATTTTGCAGCTACTGGTCAAGTATCGATATTTACTGCAAATCATAAATATCGGTGAGTATCGATACTTGGTATCGAAGTATCGCCCATCACTAGCAATTTCTGACTGTTAGAATGTTGGTTAATATATCTGGGAAATTTCTTTTCCTTAGCAAGAAATCTCCTGCTAAAATTCTAAATCAAAACCACAAGTTTTCAGTATTTTAAAAAATTGTAGGGAGCCACCTTAACACATGTTATTCCACTTTGCCTGCATGTGTATCAAATTGTTATGTAATTGTGTATATATGCAGGCATCCATGAAGGACAGTACTCAGAGTAGTATAGAAGGCATAATTCTGGGAAATATTTAAGTTATGTAATACAAAATATATCATAAAACAATGGCTTCAATATTAGATTGGGTTTCATCAGGTGAATTGCATTAAAAATTGATCCTTTCTTCAAGTTTGGTTATATTTTGAGAAAAAGCCTGAAACTGGCATAAAAGAATAGAATTTATGTACAATTTGCAATCCCTGAATTTGCCATTCTTCACTTGAATCTGATTTCAGGTAATTGCACCACAGACAAATGGGCATTCGGGGTTTAACAAGTTACGTTGACGGTTTGCCTTGTTGCAAACATGGTGTTTGGGAATTTGATGAACTACGGGACACAAATCTTATCATTGATGGCTGTGGTTTATATTATTATATTTACGCTTCCAATAATTTAAGCATAAAATATGGAGGGCAATATGAGCAGCTGCAAGACAAAGTAAGGGAGTTTGTTGCAAAGCTTCGATCCAACAATGTCGTACCATATGTGGTTATTGATGGCATCATGACAAAAGACGAAAAGAAGTTTGATACGAATCTCAAAAGAAAGCAAGATTGCGTAGAGCGAATGAAAGCTATGTGGACACCTAGATCGTCTACCAGTGATATGGTTATTCCACGCCTTGCCCAAATTGCGTTTGTGCAAGTTTTGCAAGAACTTGGTGTCAAATATGCTGTGGCTGATTTGTAAGCATATAATATAAACCATATTTATTTATAGGTTTATAGCCTTTTCCCTATTTTAATGCTTTTTCCGCCATTCTCTATCAGTATCACAGACATTCATTTCTTTTTTTTTAAGTGAAGCGGATTGTGAAATTGCATCACTCGCAAATGAACTGGATGCCCCTGTGATGGCAAACGACAGTGATTTCTACATTTTCAATGTCAAAGGTGGCTACATTCCATTCCAACAATATAATTTCTCTTGCAGAAACATCACAGTGAAAAAATTCAAATTCCAAAGCTTTGCCAAATTCCTTGGCATTGACCCTGATATGCTACCCCTGCTTGCCTCGTTGATCGGAAATGATTATGTCTCTGAGGACGTGTTGGAGCCATTCATGGCTTACCTTCAACATCCAAGAGCTAAGATTCCAGCCATTGCAAAGTTCTTATCGGAATATAGGAGCATGTCAACATCAACAGTATTTAAGGTTGTAGTGAAGTCAATTCCAAGCAGTCTCCAGCAAGAATTTGAGCAAGCATTGCGTCTTTCTGTTGAAGAATACCAAACGAAAGAAAGCAATCTGATAGGATATTTCAGCTCTAATGACCTTAGTTGCAATATTGTTACATTTAACAATCATTCTTTACCGCAATGGGCTGTTCAGTTGTTTCGAGCTGATTCAGTTGCACCGTCAGGTTTTGCATTTTTGTGCAATCGAAAGGTTTTCCTCAGACCCCAATGTGAGGACACATCACTGCCCTCAGCACAAGAGTGTGTTCAGGATCTCAGATGTTACTATTATGCAATGCTTCAGCACTTCGAGAATGCAGCCATTGGTAGAGAGTTGGAGCAGCCCCAAAGCAAAGCTGGTGCACAAAGCCTGGTAACAGAGACACGCCAACAAAGTCACCCTAACACCGACCTTGTTGAAATGATAGAAGAATTTCAAATCCAGGACGATGCAGAGAATAGCCTCAGCAATAGTCCTTGCAAACCTCATCAAGATATTTCCTCACCATTGGAATGCACTAACAGAGAAACAAACCTTTCTAAGGAAATAACTGTTACTGAGTTTGACAGAGAAGGGTCAACACTTGCTATTAGGAAGGTTAACCTAACGCAGATCATCTCACAGATCAAGATTCAGATTGATGACATACGAGAGATGTCCAATGATGCCAAGAAAAGCCACTTATTGACAGTTACTTGATTCTGATCTACCATTCATACACAATCTTGCAATCAAACCAGTTAGTAGTGGCAGCCTTGAGGTACTGGATAATCCATTGTGATGTCAATCAAAAGCAGCTGGCTGCAATTTTGGTCCACTATGTTGGTGAAAAGCCACGGCCGTTAAAACCAAACAAGTCTCTCCAAGATGTTTTAATTCGGACAGTTCATGGTTTCTCACAGTGGCAAAATGTTGTGTACTGGACTGAAAAATTAAACTCCTTGTTTTCAGCTCCATTTCCACATCTGCAAGCAGCAAAACTGTACAATGGTATTGAAGTGTGTTTGGTACATGAGAGGCTGAACAATGCAGGTAACTATAATGTATATTTTGAGGAAAAGCTTTCTTGATGGTTATAATATGAAAGAGTTAAGAATAGAGCTATTCAGTATGAACAAAGTGATCTACATACGTACAGTACAAGTTAAATTTTTTCACTGATGTGAAACTGGACGAATGAAGAACTGTGAGAACGGACGAAGCAAATATCTAACATTAATTTAGTTTAGGTTTCCTCCTGTGAAACACACATAATTCATAAATTATATTCTATTTCAATTTCAGGTATCGAGGCAGCTGAGTCCATCGTGATCAACCCTAACTTATATCGCCTACTTCACAACGTCATCACGAAAGATATACCAGATGATTGCCAGTTCAACCAACTACGAATGGAAAAGAAGCCAGAAGAAGACTAGGGCAAAAAGCTCGGATGGAGGAGTGATTGGAAAAAGACTACAAGTAAAGATTACTTGAAAGGAAACAGATTTGCTTTTCTGGAGGAATTAGATTCTGACGAGCCTTGAAAACAATTTTTTGTTCCACTTTCTGGTAATTTGAGCACGTTTTGAGCCAGTTACGATAAAAGCGATATTTTAAATGATTTACATTGTTTTATTGTTATATATAATACATATATGTATCACATTTTAAATAACTGATTATAATATAAATATACCGTTGTAATTATTACTATTTTTACAGTTTTAACTGCGCAATGATTTATGATATGTCTGTGCTCTGAACTCAACTACAGGCATATGATGAGATAAATACATTGATATTTTGTTATGAACTTTTTGGGGAATAAAAAGGGACAAAATGCAGACTGTTTATTCGTTCACTTCGCCGAAAACATCAGTAAAGGCAGTATGAGGACAACTCCACTGGGGTTGGTATTAGTGTGAAACATCCCAAGGAAATATGGGCTGACCGTAGCTAAAACACAAGAATGGGCATAAAAATTTTCGCTCACCACACTTTAAAGTTATATCACAGAACTTTTTCGTACGGCGAAAGTTGGCCAGGACTGCCAGAACTTTGACAGATGAGACGCATCGAGATAGTGCAGTAATTTCCACATTGGCAGCCATATTTGATTTCCCGGGGGCCGAACACTGAGTTCAATACCATAGCCAGTGAACTGGAGTACTAAACATTGATGATGACACATGCTGACGGCGTAGCCAAGGGATTTGATTTATAATATAGCAAAATATTTCATACGTGCAAATTATATCCACGGCTACAGCTTAGAGAAATATCGCGATAAATTTACAGCTCGTAAGTATTTCTCATATGTGATGATAAGATTTCTATGTATGATTTAATAGCCTTCTTCTCAATTCTGATATTTTGTTTTGTCTTTCCAAGAATTTGCAAAGACATGCTTTTTCAAAAGCTTTAATAACGGAAGGCAAAATATCAAATTATGTGAACAAGAGTTAACACATATTATTCTACTTTGTCTGTGTATCAAATTTTTATGTTTGTGTATATGTGTAGGCATCTGTGAAGGACAATACTCAGAGTAGTATAGAAGGCATATTTCTGGGAAATATTTCAGTTATGCAATACAAAATATATCATAAAACAATGGCTGCAATATTAGATTGGGTTTCATCAGGTGAATTGCATTAAAAATTGGTCCTTTTTGCAAGTTTGGTTATATTTTGAGAAACAGCCTGAAACTTGCATAAAAGAATTATATAATTTACGTACAATTTGCAATCCCTGAATTTGCCATTCTTCGTTTGAATCTGATTTCAGGTAATTGCTCCACAGACAAATGGGCGTTTGGGGTTTAACAAGTTACGTTAACGGTTTGCCTTGTGGCAAACATGGCGTTTGGAAATTTGATAAACTACAGGACACAAACCATACCGCTCATAACGGCAATAACGCTCATAACGGCAATAACGCTCATAACGGCAATAGCGCTAATAACGCTAACAAGACGCCGTTCTGGCGTTAACTCCGGCGCACGTGCCAGTCTTCAATATAGAGCTTCTGAACATAAACAATACAGTTCGCGTATTGTTTCGCATACATATTCGCATTTAGATGCCTTGCGAACCTAAATGTTCAATCGCGAAATTCAGAAGCACATCGCAGTATAGGAGTTCAATTGTTCAAAAATGTAAATAAACCGCATGAAACATTCGCTTCGTCTTACAGTTTGCCTTTGGAATTTGCGCTTATATAGTTATATTAAATCTTCGATCCTGTGCAAACAACGCGACGTGTCAACGCGCCCATACACGACCACATCATCTTGTTAAACGGCGAAATAGCAGCGATATTATTAAAATAGGACCGGAATCTACATGTATTAAATATATTCTTACCCCAATTCTATCTAAACTTAATCGAACAGCATGAAAAGAACGGTTTATTTGTTCCTCTTGGAGAAATTGCCGTATCATGCGAGCGAAATCGAATCGCGCATTGGAAAATTAGCCAAAGCTGTGCACCACAACTCTTGGGAGATAAAACTGGGACGTAGATAAATACGGTCACATACACGTTTTAAATACAAGTAATATTTCGCGCCATTACACACTTGCGACGACGAAAAATAAAAAACAAAAACAAAAACAAAAACAAAACAAAACCGGGGCGAATTTTCAACTCCGTCGCTGACGCCGGAGTAATAACGGCAATGACGCTAATAACGGCAATAACGCTCATAACGGCAATAACGCTCATAACGGCAATAACGCTCATAACGGCAATAACGCTCATAACGGCAATAGCGCTAATAACGCTAATAACGGCAATAACGCTAATAACGGCAATAACGCTAATAACGGCAATAACGCTCATAACGGCAATAACGCTAATAACGGCAATAACGCTAACAACGGCAATAACGCTCATAACGGCAATAACGCTCATAACGGTAATAACGCTAATAACGGCAATAACGCTCATAACGGCAATAACGCTAATAACGCTCATAACGGCAATAACGCTAATAACGGCAATAACGCTAATAACGGCAATAACGCTAACAACGGCAATAACGGCAATAACGCTCATAACGGCAATAACGCTAACAACGGCAATAACGCTAATAACGGCAATAACGGTAATACAAATTGCCAATTCGATAAATAATATATGAAGTATTCCACTTTTAATGACGTCATTTGGTTACTTTTATATGGAAACCAACCCAAAATATTTCATACGTGCAAATTATATCCACGGCTACAGCTTAGAGAAATATCGCGATAAATTTACAGCTCGTAAGTATTTCTCATATGTGATGATAAGATTTCTATGTATGATTTAATAGCATTCTTCTCAATTCTCATATTTTGTTTTGTCTTTCCAAGAATTTGCAAAGACATGCTTTTTCAAAAGCTTTAATATTACGGAAGGCAAAATATCAAATTATGTGAACAAGAGTTAACACATATTATTCTACTTTGTCTGTGTATCAAATTGTTATGTTTGTGTATATGTGTAGGCATCTGTGAAGGGCAGTAATCATGGTAGTATAGAAGGCATATTTCTGGGAAATATTTCAGTTATGCAATACACAATATATTTTAAAGCAATGGCTGCAATATTAGATTGGGTTTTATCAGGCGAATTGCATTAAAAATTGGTCCTTTTTGCAAGTTTGGTTATATTTTGAGAAACAGCCTGAAACTTGCATAAAAGAATAGAATTTATGTACAATTTGCAACCTTTGAATTTGCCATTCTTCATTTGAATCTGATTTCAGGTAATTGCACCACAGACAAATGGGCGTTCGGGGTTTAACAAAATACGTTGACACTTTGCCTTGTGGCAAACATGGTGTTTGGGAATTTGATGAACTACGGGACACAAACCTTATCATTGACGGCTGTGGTTTATATTATCATATTTATAACGATTCCAATCATTTAAACATTAAATATGGAGGCCAATATAAGCAGCTGCAAGACAAAGTAAAGGAGTTTATTGTAATGCTTCAATCCAACAATGTCGTGCCATATGTGGTTATTGATGGTATCATGACAAAAGATGAAAAGAAGTTTCATACGTCTCTCAAAAGAAATCAAGATCGTGTAAAGCAAATGGAAGATATGTGGGGGACATCATCTACCAGTGATATGGTTATTCCACTCCTTGTCCAAATTGCGTTTGTGCAGGTTTTGCAAGAACTTGGTGTCAAATATGCTGTGGCTGATTTGTAAGCATATAATAAAACTATATTCATTTATAGGTTTATAGCCTTTTCCCTATTTTAATGCTTTTTCCGCCATTTTCTATCAGTATCAGGGACATTCATTTCTTTTTTTAAGTGAAGCTGATTGTGAAATTGCATCACTTGCAAATGAACTGGATGCTCCTGTGATGGCAAAAGACAGTGATTTCTACATTTTCAACATAAAAGGTGGCTACATTCCATTCCAACAATATAATTTCTCTTGCGGAAACATCACAGTGAAAAAATTCAAATTCCAAAACTTTGCCAAATACCTTGGCATTGACCCTGGTATGCTACCCCTGCTTGCCTCGTTGATCGGAAATGATTATGTCTCTCACAAAATGTTGCAGCCATTCATGGATTACCTTCAACAACCAACAGATAAGATTCCAGCCATTGCAAAGTTCCTATCTAAATGCAAGCGCAATGCAGCATCAACAGTATTTGAGGCTGTAGTGGAGTTAATTCCAAGCGTCCAGCCAGAATTTGAGCAAGCATTGCGTCTTTCTGTTGAAGAATACCAAATGAAAGAAAGCAATCTGATAGGATATTTCAGCTCTAATGACCTTAGTTGCAATATTGTTACATTTAACAATCATTCTTTACCGCAATGGGCTGTTCAGTTGTTTCGAGATGATTCAATTGCATCGTCAGGTTTCGCATGTTTGTGCAATCGAAAGATTTTCCTCCAAACCCAATGTGAGGACCCATCACTGCCCTCAGCACAAGCGTGTGTTCAGGATCTCAGATGGCACTATTATGCCATGCTTCAGCACTTCGAGAATGCAGACAGTGGTAGAGAGTTGGGGCTGCCCCAAAGCAAAGCTGGTGCAGAAAGCCTGGTAACAGAGACACACCAACAAAGTCACCCTAGTGTGTCAAGGACTGATACTGGTCTGACCAAAGACACCCCCCACCTTGTTGAAATGATAGAAGAATTTCAAATCCAGGACGATGCAGAGACTAGCCTCAGCAATACTCCCTGCAGACCTCATCAAGATATTTATTCACCATTGGAATGCACTAACAGAGAAACAAACTTTTCTAAGGAAATAACTGTTACTGAGTTTGACAGAAAAGGGTCAACACTTGCTGAGAAAGAAAGGAAGGTTGACTTAACGCAGATCAAGATTCAGATTGATGGCATACGAGAGATGTCCAATGAGGCTAAGAAAAGCCACTTATTGAAGTTACTTGATTCTGATCTACCATTCATACACAATCTTGCAATTGAACACCAGTTAGTAGTGGCAGCCCTGAGGTACTGGATAATCAATTGCGATGTCAATGAAAAGCAGCTGGCTGCAATTTTGGTCCACTATGTTGGTGAAAAACCACAGCCGTTAAAACCAAACAAATCTCTGCAGCCAGTTCATTGTTTCTCACAGTGGCAAAATGTTGTGTACTGGACGGAAAAATTAAACTCCTTGTTTTCAGCTCCATTTCCACATCTGCAAGCAGCAAAACTGTACAATGGTATTCAAGTGTGTTTGGTACATGAGACGCTGATCAGCGAAGAAGGTAACTATACTGTATATTTTCTAACTATACTCTATACTGAATGAAGAACTGTGGGAACAGACCAAGCAAACTAATATTAGCTTAGTTTAGGTTTCTTCCTGTGAAACACACATAATTGATAAATTATACTTCATTACAGATGTCAAGGCAGAGTTCATGGTGATCTACCCTGACTTATATCGCCTACTTCACAACGCCATCACGAAAGATATACGAGATGATTGGCAGTTCAAGCCAGCGAAAGACGAGAAAAAGACTACAAGTAAAGATTACTTGAAACGAAACCCATTTGCTGTTCTGGGGGAATTAGATTCGGACTAGCTTTGAAAACAATTTTTTTGTTCCACTTTCTGGTAATTTGAGCGCGTTTTCAGCCAACTTACGATAAAAGCGATATTTTAAATGATTTACATTGTTTTATTGTTATATATAATACATATATCACATATATACATTTTAAATAACTGATTATAATATAAATATACCGTTGTAATTATTACTATTTTTACAGTTCTAACTGCTCAATGATTTATGATATGTCTGTGCTCTGAACTCAACTACAGGCATATGATGGGATAAATACATTGATATTTTGTTATGAACTTTTTGGGGAATAAAAAGTGACAAAATGCAGACTGTTTATTCGTTCACTTCGCTGAAAACATCAGTAAAGGCAGTATGAGGACAACTCCACTGGGGTTGGTAATTGGTATAGTGTGAAACATCCCAAGGAAATATGGGCTTACCGCAGCTAAAATACAAGAATGGGCATACAAGTTTCGCTCACCACACTTTAAGGTTATATCAAAAAACTTTTTCGTACGGCGAAAGTTGGCCAGGACTGACAGAACTTTGACAGATGAGACGCATCGAGATGCAGTAATTTCCACATTGGCAGCCATATTTGATTTCCCGGGGGCCGAGCACTGAGCTCAATACTATAGCAAGTGAACTGGAGTACTGAACATCGATCCAGTGATGCTGACACATCACACCAGCTGATCTGGGATCATGACGTCATAAAGCGTCTCGACAAAACTGAGTTATCATGTGCCTGGTGTTTATATTTGTCCTTATTCGTCCAGCTAATAGTATAAAGGGTGAAAAATTTTTATTCTAATATGCAGTTGGGAAAAAAATAAACGTGTTTTTACATAAATATAATAAAATTACTTGATATTTTCGAGTGTCGATGTCATATGCAATGAAGGAAATGATAATTCAGTTTTGTCGAAGATTTGGCTTCCGATTGGTTGATTTTTATACCCAGATCAGCTGGCACATGCTGATGCCGTGATGGTGTAACCAAGGAGATTTTTTTGTAGCAAAATATTTCATACATCCACGTCATACATCCACGGCTACAGCTTTGAGAAATATCGCGATAAATTTACAGCTCGTAAGTATTTCTCATATCTGATGATAAGATTTCTATGTAGATATATATGTAGACACTTGATTTAATAGCCTTGTTCTCAGTTCTCATATTTTGTTTTGTCTTTCCAAGAATTTGCAAAGACATGCTTTTTCAAAAGCTTTGATATTACGGAAGGCAGAATATCAAATTATGTGAACTAGAGTTAACACATATTATTCTACTTTTTCTGTTTATCAAATTGTTATGTTTGTGTATATGTACAGGCAAGCATCTGTGAAGAACAGTACTCAGAGTAGTATAGAAGGCATATTTCTGGGAAATATTTCAGTTACGCAATACAAAATATATCATAAAACAATGGCTTCAATATTAGATTGAGTTTCATCAGGTGAATTGCATTAAAAATTGGTCCTTTCTTCAAGTTTGGTTATATATTGCATAAAAGAATAGAATTTATGTACAATTTGCAACCTCTGAATTTGCCATTCTTCATTTGAATCTGATTTCAGGTAATTGCACCACAGACAAATGGGCGTTCAGGATTTACCAAAATACGTTGACACTTTGCCTTGTGGCAAACATGGTGTTTGGGAATTTGATGAACTACGGGACACAAACCTTATCGTTGATGGCCGTGGTTTATGTTATTATATTCACTCTTCCAATCGTTTAGACATGAAATATGGAGGGCAATATCAGCAGCTGCAAGACAAAGTAAGGGAGTTTGTTGCAAAGCTTCAATCCAACAATGTCGTACCATACGTGGTTTTTGATGGCATCATGACAAAAGACGAAAAGAAGTTTCATACGAAACTCAAAAGAAAGCAAAAATGTGTAAAGCGAATGAAAGCTATGTGGTCATCCAGATCATCTACCAATGATGTGGTTATTCCATGCCTTGCCCAAATTGCGTTTGTGCAAGTTTTGCAAGAACTTGATGTCAAATATGCTGTGGCTGATTTGTAAGCATATAATATAATCCATATTTTTTATAGGTTTATAGACTTTTCCCTATTTTAATGCTTTTTCCACCTTTCTCGCCTTTCTCTATCAGTATCAGGGACATTACTGTAATTTATTTTTTTTAAGTGAAGCGGATTGTGAAATTGCATCTCTCGCAAATGAACTGGATGCTCCTGTGATGGCAAAAGACAGCGATTTCTACATTTTCAACATCAAATGTGGCTACATTCCATTCCCACATTATAATTTCTCGTGCAGAAACACCACAGTGAAAAAATTCAAATTCCAAAACTTTGCCAAACACCTTGGCATTGACCCTGGTATGTTACCTCTGTTTGCCTCGTTGATCGGAAATGATTATGTCTCTGAGGACGTGTTGGAACAATTCATGGTGTACCTTCAACAACCAACAGATAAGATTCCAGCCATTGCAAAGTTCCTATCTAAATATAAGAGCAATGATGCATCAACAGTATTTGAGGCTGTAGTGAAGTTAATTCCAAGCGGTCTCCAGGAAGAATTTAGGGACAAATTGCGTCTTTCTGTTGAAGAATACCAAACGAAAGAAAGCAATCTGATAGGATATTTCAAGTCTAATGACCTCAGTTGCAATATTGTTACATTTAACCATCATTCTTTACCGCAGTGGGCTGTTCAGTTGTTTCGAGCTGATTCAATTGCACAGTCGGGTTTCGCATTTTTGTGCAATCTAAAGGTTTTCCTCAGACCCCAATGTGAGGACACATCAAAGCCCTCAGCACAAGCATGTGTTCAGAAGCTCAGATGGTGGTACTATTATGCCATGCTTCAGCACTTCGAGAATGCAGCCATTGGTAGAGAGTTGGGGCAGCCCCAAAGCGAAGCTGGTGCACAAAGCCTGGAAATAACTGTAACTGAGTTTGACAGAAAAGAGTCAGAATATCCTGAGGAAGGAACTTGGAAGTTTAACCTAAAAGAGATCATCTCACAGATCGATGTTAAGATTGAAGACATACGCAAGATGTTCGATGATGATAAGAAAAGCCACTTATTAAAGTTACTTGATTCTGATAAACCATTCATACACAATCTTGAAATTGAACATCAGTTAGTAGTGGCAGCCCTGAGGTACTGGATAATCAAATGTGATGTTAATCAAAAGCAGCTGGCTGCAATTTTGGTCCACTATGTTGGTGAAAAGCCACAGCCAAAGATATCTCTCAAAGCTGTTAAAATACAGACAGTTCATGGTTTCTCACAGTGGCAAAATGTTGTGTACTGGACTGAAAAATTAAACTCCTTGTTTTCAGCTCCATTTCAACATCTGCAAGCAGCAAAACTGTACAACGGTAAACAAGTGTGTTTGGTACATAAGAGACTGATCAGCGAAGAAGGTAACTATACTGTATATTTTGTAACAATACTTTATACTGTTTAATTTTTTCCACTGAAGTGAAACTGGATGAATGAAGAACTGTGAGAACAGACGAAGCAAATATCTAACATTAATTTAGTTTAGGTTTCTTCCTGTGAAACACACATAATTGATAAATTATACTCCATTTCAGGTGTTGAGGCTGAGTCCATGGTGATCGACCTTGACTTATATTGCCAACTTCACAACCTCATCACGAAAAATATACGAGATGATTGGCAGTTAAACACTAATTTCTCGACAGGAAACAGATTTGCTGTTCTGGCGGAATCAAACTATTAAAGTCGGACGAGCCTTGAAAACAATTTTTTTGTTCCACTTTCTAGTAATTTCAGCGCGTTTTGAGCCACTTACAACGAAAACAATATTTTAAATGATTTACATTGTTTTATTGTTATATATAATACATATATCACATTTTAAATAACTGATTATAATATGAATATACCGTTGTAATTATTACTATTTTTACAGTTCTAACTGCTCAATGATTTATGATATGTCTGCATGTGCTCTGAACTCAACTACTAGCATATGATGGGATAAATACATTGATATTTTGTTATGAACTTTTTGGGGAATAAAAAGTGACAAAATGCAGACTGTTTATTCGTTCACTTCGCTGGAAATACCAGTAAAGGCAGTATGAGGACAACTCCACTGGGGTTGGTATTAAATTGGTATAGTGTGAAACATCCCAAGAAAACACGGGCTTACCGCAGCTGAAATACAAGAATGGGCATAAAAGTTTCGCTCACCACACTTTAAGGTTATATCACAAAACTTTTTCGTACGGCGAAAGTTGGCCAGGACTGACAGAACTTTGACAGATGAGACGCATCGAGATAGTGCAGTAATTTCCACATTGGCAGCCATATTTGATTTCCCGGGGGCCGAGCACTGAGCTCAATACCATAGCCAGTGCACTGGAGTACTAAACATTGATGATGACACATGCTGACGGCGTAGCCAAGGGATTTGATTTATAATATAGCAAAATATTTCGTACGTGCAAATTATATTCACGGCTACGGCCTACAGCTTAGAGAAATATCGCGATAAATTTACAGCTCGTAAGTATTTCTCATATGTGATGATAAGATTTCTATGTATGATTTAATAGCCTTCTTCTCAATTCTCATATTTTGTTTTGTCTTTCCAAGAATTTGCAAAGACATGCTTTTTCAAAAGCTTTAATATTACGGAAGGCAAAATATCAAATTATGTGAACAAGAGTTAACACATATTATTCTACTTTGTCTGTGTATCAAATTTTTATGTTTGTGTATATGTGTAGGCATCTGTGAAGGACAATACTCAGAGTAGTATAGAAGGCATATTTCTGGGAAATATTTCAGTTATGCAATACAAAATATATCATAAAACAATGGCTGCAATATTAGATTGGGTTTCATCAGGTGAATTGCATTAAAAATTGGTCCTTTTTGCAAGTTTGGTTATATTTTGAGAAACAGCCTGAAACTTGCATAAAAGAATAGAATTTATGTACAATTTGCAACCTTTGAATTTGCCATTCTTCATTTGAATCTGATTTCAGGTAATTGCACCACAGACAAATGGGCGTTCGGGGTTTAACAAAATACGTTGACACTTTGCCTTGTGGCAAACATGGTGTTTGGGAATTTGATGAACTACGGGACACAAACCTTATCATTGACGGCTGTGGTTTATATTATCATATTTATAACGATTCCAATCATTTAAACATTAAATATGGAGGCCAATATAAGCAGCTGCAAGACAAAGTAAAGGAGTTTATTGTAATGCTTCAATCCAACAATGTCGTGCCATATGTGGTTATTGATGGTATCATGACAAAAGATGAAAAGAAGTTTCATACGTCTCTCAAAAGAAATCAAGATCGTGTAAAGCAAATGGAAGATATGTGGGGGACATCATCTACCAGTGATATGGTTATTCCACTCCTTGTCCAAATTGCGTTTGTGCAGGTTTTGCAAGAACTTGGTGTCAAATATGCTGTGGCTGATTTGTAAGCATATAATAAAACTATATTCATTTATAGGTTTATAGCCTTTTCCCTATTTTAATGCTTTTTCCGCCATTTTCTATCAGTATCAGGGACATTCATTTCTTTTTTTAAGTGAAGCTGATTGTGAAATTGCATCACTTGCAAATGAACTGGATGCTCCTGTGATGGCAAAAGACAGTGATTTCTACATTTTCAACATAAAAGGTGGCTACATTCCATTCCAACAATATAATTTCTCTTGCGGAAACATCACAGTGAAAAAATTCAAATTCCAAAACTTTGCCAAATACCTTGGCATTGACCCTGGTATGCTACCCCTGCTTGCCTCGTTGATCGGAAATGATTATGTCTCTCACAAAATGTTGCAGCCATTCATGGATTACCTTCAACAACCAACAGATAAGATTCCAGCCATTGCAAAGTTCCTATCTAAATGCAAGCGCAATGCAGCATCAACAGTATTTGAGGCTGTAGTGGAGTTAATTCCAAGCGTCCAGCCAGAATTTGAGCAAGCATTGCGTCTTTCTGTTGAAGAATACCAAATGAAAGAAAGCAATCTGATAGGATATTTCAGCTCTAATGACCTTAGTTGCAATATTGTTACATTTAACAATCATTCTTTACCGCAATGGGCTGTTCAGTTGTTTCGAGATGATTCAATTGCATCGTCAGGTTTCGCATGTTTGTGCAATCGAAAGATTTTCCTCCAAACCCAATGTGAGGACCCATCACTGCCCTCAGCACAAGCGTGTGTTCAGGATCTCAGATGGCACTATTATGCCATGCTTCAGCACTTCGAGAATGCAGACAGTGGTAGAGAGTTGGGGCTGCCCCAAAGCAAAGCTGGTGCAGAAAGCCTGGTAACAGAGACACACCAACAAAGTCACCCTAGTGTGTCAAGGACTGATACTGGTCTGACCAAAGACACCCCCCACCTTGTTGAAATGATAGAAGAATTTCAAATCCAGGACGATGCAGAGACTAGCCTCAGCAATACTCCCTGCAGACCTCATCAAGATATTTATTCACCATTGGAATGCACTAACAGAGAAACAAACTTTTCTAAGGAAATAACTGTTACTGAGTTTGACAGAAAAGGGTCAACACTTGCTGAGAAAGAAAGGAAGGTTGACTTAACGCAGATCAAGATTCAGATTGATGGCATACGAGAGATGTCCAATGAGGCTAAGAAAAGCCACTTATTGAAGTTACTTGATTCTGATCTACCATTCATACACAATCTTGCAATTGAACACCAGTTAGTAGTGGCAGCCCTGAGGTACTGGATAATCAATTGCGATGTCAATGAAAAGCAGCTGGCTGCAATTTTGGTCCACTATGTTGGTGAAAAACCACAGCCGTTAAAACCAAACAAATCTCTGCAGCCAGTTCATTGTTTCTCACAGTGGCAAAATGTTGTGTACTGGACGGAAAAATTAAACTCCTTGTTCTCAGCTCCATTTCCACATCTGCAAGCAGCAAAACTGTACAATGGTATTCAAGTGTGTTTGGTACATGAGACGCTGATCAGCGAAGAAGGTAACTATACTGTATATTTTCTAACTATACTCTATACTGAATGAAGAACTGTGGGAACAGACCAAGCAAACTAATATTAGCTTAGTTTAGGTTTCTTCCTGTGAAACACACATAATTGATAAATTATACTTCATTACAGATGTCAAGGCAGAGTTCATGGTGATCTACCCTGACTTATATCGCCTACTTCACAACGCCATCACGAAAGATATACGAGATGATTGGCAGTTCAAGCCAGCGAAAGACGAGAAAAAGACTACAAGTAAAGATTACTTGAAACGAAACCCATTTGCTGTTCTGGGGGAATTAGATTCGGACTAACTTTGAAAACAATTTTTTTGTTCCACTTTCTGGTAATTTGAGCGCGTTTTCAGCCAACTTACGATAAAAGCGATATTTTAAATGATTTACATTGTTTTATTGTTATATATAATACATATATCACATATATACATTTTAAATAACTGATTATAATATAAATATACCGTTGTAATTATTACTATTTTTACAGTTCTAACTGCTCAATGATTTATGATATGTCTGTGCTCTGAACTCAACTACAGGCATATGATGGGATAAATACATTGATATTTTTGTTATGAACTTTTTGGGGAATAAAAAGTGACAAAATGCAGACTGTTTATTCGTTCACTTCGCTGAAAACATCAGTAAAGGCAGTATGAGGACAACTCCACTGGGGTTGGTAATTGGTATAGTGTGAAACATCCCAAGGAAATATGGGCTTACCGCAGCTAAAACAGAAGAATGGGCATACAAGTTTCGCTCACCACACTTTAAGGTTATATCACAAAACTTTTTCGTACGGCGAAAGTTGGCCAGGACTGACAGAACTTTGACAGATGAGACGCATCGAGATGCAGTAATTTCTACATTGGCAGCCATATTTGATTTCCCGGGGGCCGAGCACTGAGCTCAATACTATAGCAAGTGAACTGGAGTACTGAACATCGATCCAGTGATGCTGACACATCACACCAGCTGATCTGGGATCATGACGTCATAAAGCGTCTCGACAAAACTGAGTTATCATGTGCCTGGTGTTTATATTTGTCCTTATTCGTCCAGCTAATAGTATAAAGGGTGAAAAATTTTTATTCTAATATGCAGTTGGGAAAAAAATAAACGTGTTTTTACATAAATATAATAAAATTACTTGATATTTTCGAGTGTCGATGTCATATGCAATGAAGGAAATGATAATTCAGTTTTGTCGAAGATTTGGCTTCCGATTGGTTGATTTTTATACCCAGATCAGCTGGCACATGCTGATGCCGTGATGGTGTAACCAAGGAGATTTTTTTGTAGCAAAATATTTCATACATCCACGTCCTACATCCACGGCTACAGCTTTGAGAAATATCGCGATAAATTTACAGCTCGTAAGTATTTCTCATATGTGATGATAAGATTTCTATGTAGTCATGTAGATATGTAGACAATTAATTTAATAGCCTTGATCTCAGTTCTCATATTTTGTTTTGTCTTTCAGTCTTTCCAAGAATTTGCAAAGACATGCTTTTTCAAAAGCTTAAATAACGGAAGGCAAAATATCAAATTATGTGAACAAGAGTTAAAGTGGCTCCCTACAGTTTTAGAATATTGAAAACTAATGATTTAGATTGAAATTTTTGGCAGGAAGTTTCTTGCTAAACGAAATGAAATTTTCCAGATATATTAACCAACATTCTAAAAGTCGAAAATTGTCTTTGAGTACACGTCATTGCCGTTGTTATGGTAACAATGGCGATTCAAAAACCGTCGTTTTACCTATTTACGCATTTTACTCGAAAACAAGTTCGGTTACCCCAATTTTTTATTTTATAAAAAGTTTTCTTATAAAAAAAATGGGAAATTTGAGCAAGTTTAAAAAAATTCTAAAGAGCCAAAAAATTTCTATTAACGAAAAATCACGTTTTTTAATTTTTAATAATTTTGGCTCAATAGAATTTTTTTTAACTGGTTCAAATTTTCCATTTTTTTGTAAAAAAACTTTTTATAAAATAAAAAATTGAAGTAACCGAACTTGTTCGAGTAAAATGCGTGAATTGGTAAAATGTCGGCCATATTGAATCGCTATTGTTACCATAACAACGGTAATGACGTCATGCTTATGGGCAATTAATTTCTGACTGTTAGAATGTTGGTTAATATATCTGGGAAATTTCTTTTCCTTAGCAAGAAATCTCCTGCTAAAATTTTAAATCAAAACCACAAGTTTTCAGTATTTTAAAAAATTGTAGGGAGCCACCTTAACACATGTTATTCCACTTTGCCTGCATGTGTATCAAATTGTTATGTAATTGTGTATATATGCAGGCATCCATGAAGGACAGTTTGGTTATATATTGCATAAAAGAATAGAATTTATGTACAATTTGCAACCTCTGAATTTGCCATTCTTCATTTGAATCTGATTTCAGGTAATTGCACCACAGACAAATGGGCATTCAGGATTTACCAAAATACGTTGACACTTTGCCTTGTGGCAAACATGGTGTTTGGGAATTTGATAAACTACGGGACACAAACCTTATCGTTGATGGCCGTGGTTTATGTTATTATATTCACTCTTCCAATCGTTTAGACATGAAATATGGAGGGCAATATCAGCAGCTGCAAGACAAAGTAAGGGAGTTTGTTGCAAAGCTTCGATCCAACAATGTCGTACCATACGTGGTTTTTGATGGCATCATGACAAAAGACGAAAAGAAGTTTGATACGAAACTCAAAAGAAAGCAAAAATGTTTAAAGCGAATGAAAGCTATGTGGTCATCCAGATCATCTACCAATGATGTGGTTATTCCATGCCTTGCCCAAATTGCGTTTGTGCAAGTTTTGCAAGAACTTGATGTCAAATATGCTGTGGCTGATTTGTAAGCATATAATATAATCCATTTTTTATAGGTTTATAGACTTTTCCCTATTTTAATGCTTTTTCCACCTTTCTCGCCTTTCTCTATCAGTATCAGGGACATTACTGTAATTTATTTTTTTTAAGTGAAGATTGTGAAATTGCATCTCTCGCAAATGAACTGGATGCCCTGTGATGGCAAAAGACAGCGATTTCTACATCAAACATCTACATTCCATTCCCACATTATAATTTCTCGTGCAGAAACACCACAGTGAAAAAATTCAAATTCCAAAACTTTGCCAAACACCTTGGCATTGACCCTGGTATGTTACCTCTGTTTGCCTCGTTGATCGGAAATGATTATGTCTCTGAGGACGTGTTGGAACAATTCATGGTGTACCTTCAACAACCAACAGATAAGATTCCAGCCATTGCAAAGTTCCTATCTAAATATAAGAGCAATGATGCATCAACAGTATTTAAGGATGTAGTGGAGTTAATTCCAAGCGTCCATCCAAAATTTGAGGAAACATTGCGTCTTTCTGTTGAAGAATACAAAACGAAAGAAAGCAATCTGATAGGATATTTCAACTCTAATGATCTCAGTTGCAATATTCTTACATTTAACGATCATTCTTTACCACAATGGGCTGTTGAGTTGTTTCGAGTTGATTCAGTTGCACCGTCAGGTTTTGCATGTTTGTGCAATCGAAAGGTTTTCCTCAGACCCCAATGCGAGGACACATCAAAGCCCTCAGCACAAGTGTGTGTTCAGGATCTCAGATGGTACTATTACGCCATGCTTCAGCACTTCGAGAAAGCAGCCATTGGTAGAGAGTTGCGGCAGCCCCAAAGCGAAGCTGGTGCACAAAGCCTGGAAATAACTGTTACTGAGTTTGACAGAAAAGAGTCAGAATATCCTAAGGAAGGAACTTGGAAGTTTAACCTAACACAGATCATCTCACAGATCGATGTTCAGATTGAAGGCATACGCAAGATGTCCGATGATGATAAGAAAAGCCACTTATTAAAGTTACTTATTAAAGATTCTGATCTACCATTCATACACAATCTTGCAATCGGACACCAGTTAGTAGTGGCAGCCCTGAGGTACTGGATAATCCATTGCGATGTCAATCAAAAGCAGCTGGCTGCAATTTTGGTCCACTATGTTGGTGAAAAGCCAAGGCCGATAAAACCAAACAAGTCTCTCCAAGATGTTTTAATTCGGACAGTTCATGGTTTCTCACAGTGGCAAAATGTTGTGTACTGGACTGAAAAATTAAACTCCTTGTTTTCAGCTCCATTTCAACATCTGCAAGCAGCAAAACTGTACAACGGTAAACAAGTGTGTTTGGTACATAAGAGACTGATCAGCGAAGAAGGTAACTATACTGTATATTTTGTAACAATACTTTATACTGTTTAATTTTTTCCACTGAAGTGAAACTGGATGAATGAAGAACTGTGGGAACAGACCAAGCAAACTAACATTAGCTTAGTTTAGGTTTCTTCCTGTGAAACACGCATAATTGATAAATTATACTCCATTTCAGGTGTCAAGGCAGAGTCCATGGTGATCTACCCTAACTTATATCGCCTACTTCACAACGCCATCACGAAAGATATACGAGATGATTGGCAGCTCAAGCCAGCGAAAGACGAGAAAAAGACTACAAGTAAAGATTACTTGAAAGGAAACAGATTTGCTGTTCTGGGGGAATCAGATTCGGACTAGCTTTAAATGATTTACATTGTTTTATTGTTATATATAATACATATATCACATTTTAAATAACTGATTTTAATATAAATATACCGTTGTAATTATTACTATTTTTACAGTTCTAACTGCTCAATGATTTATGATATGTCTGTGCCTGAACTCAACTACAGGCATATGATGGGATAAATACATTGATATTTTTGTTATGAACTTTTTGGGGAATAAAAAGGGACAAAATGCAGACTGTTTATTCGTTCACTTCGCTGAAAACATCAGTAAAGGCAGTATGGAGACAACTCCACTGGGGTTGGTATAGTGTGAAACATCCCAAGGAAATATGGGCTTACTGTAGCTAAAACACAAGAATGGGCATAAAAGTTTGGCTCACCACACTTTAAGGTTATATAACAGAACTTTTTCGTACGGCGAAAGTTGGCCAGGACTGAAAGAACTTTGACAGATGAGATGCATCGTGATGATCGTGATGCAGTATTAATTTCCACATTGGCAGCCATATTGGATTTCCCGGGGGCCGATCACTGAGCTCAATACTATAGCCAGTGAACTGGAGTACTGAACATCGATGATGACACATGCTAATGGTGTAGCCAAGGGATTTGATTTATAATATAGCAAAATATTTCATACGTGCAAGTTATATCCACGGCTACAGCTTAGAGAAATATCGCGATAAATTTACAGCTCGTAAGTATTTATCATATGTGATGATAAGATTTCTATATATGATTTAATAGCCTTGTTCTCAATTCTCATATTTTGTTTTGTCTTTCCAAGAATTTGCAAAGACATGCTTTTTCAAAAGCTTTAATATTACGGAAGGCAAAATATCAAATTATGTGAACAAGAGTTAACACATATTATTCTACTTTGTCTGTGTATCAAATTTTTATGTTTGTGTATATATGCAGGCATCTGTGAAGGATCGACAGTACTCAGAGTAGTACAGAAGGCATATTTCTGGGAAATTTTTTAGTTATGCAATACAAAATATATCATAAAGCAATGGCTTCAATATTAGATTGGGTTCATCAGGTGAATTGCATTAAAAATTGGTCCTTTCTGCAAGTTTGGTTATATTTTTGAGAAACAGCCTGAAACTTAATTGCATAAAAGAATTATATAATTTATGTACAATTTGCAATCCCTGAATTTGCCATTCTTCATTTGAATCTGATTTCAGGTAATTGCACCACACCGAAATGGGCGTTCGGGGTTTAACAAGTTACGTTAACGGTTTGCCTTGTGGCAAACATGGCGTTTGGAAATTTGATGAACTACGGGACACAAACCTCATCATTGATGGCTGTGGTTTATATTATTATATTTACGCTTCCAATAATTTAAGTATGAAATATGGAGGGCAATATGAGCAGCTGCAAGACAAAGTAAAGGAGTTTGTTGCAAAGCTTCGATCCAACAATGTCGTGCCATATGTGGTTATTGATGGCATCATGGCAAAAGACGAAAAGAAGTTTGATACGTATCTCAAAAGAAAGCAAGATTGTGTAAAGCGAATGAAAGCTTTGTGGTCATCCAGATCGTCTACCAGTGATATGGTTATTCCACGCCTTGCCCAAATTGCTTTTGTACAAGTTTTGCAAGAACTTGGTGTCAAATATGCTGTGGCTGATTTGTAAGCATATAATATAAACCATATTTATTTATAGGTTTATAGCCTTTTCCCTATTTTAATGCTTTTTCCGCCATTCTCTATCAGTATCACAGACATTCATTTCTTTTTTTAAGTGAAGCGGATTGTGAAATTGCATCACTTGCAAATGAACTGGATGCTCCTGTGATGGCAAACGACAGTGATTTCTACATTTTCAATGTCAAAGGTGGCTACATTCCATTCCAACAATATGATTTCTCTGGCGGAAACATCACAGTGAAGAAATTCAAATTCCAAAGCTTTGCCAAATACCTTGGCGTTGACCCTGGTATGCTACCCCTGCTTGCCTCGTTGATTGGAAATGATTATGTCTCTGACACAGTGTTGCAGCCATTCATGGCGTACCTTCAACATCCAAGAGCTAAGATTCCAGCCATTGCAAATTTCCTATCTGAATATAGGAGCATGTCAACATCAACAGTATTTAAGGTTGTCGTGAAGTCAATTCCTAGCAGTCTCCAGCCAGAATTTGAGCAAGCATTACATCTTTCCGTTGAAGAATACCAAATGAAAGAAAGCAATCTGATAGGATATTTCAGCTCTAATGACCTTAGTTGCAATATTGTTACATTTAACGATCATTCTTTACCGCAATGGGCTGTTCAGTTGTTTCGAGCTGATTCAGTTGCACCGTCAGGTTTTGCATGTTTGTGCAATCGAAAGGTTTTCCTCAGACCCCAATGCGAGGACACATCAAAGCCCTCAGCACAAGTGTGTGTTCAGGATCTCAGATGGTACTATTGTGCCATGCTTCAGCACTTCGAGAATGCAGCCAGTGGTAGAGAGTTGGGGCAGCCCCAAAGCAAAGCTGGTGCACAAAGCCTGGTAACAGAGGCACGCCAACAAGTCACCCTAACACGACCTGTTGAAATGATAGAAGAATTTCAAATCCAGGACAATGCAGAAACTCAACTCAGCAATACTCCCTGCAGACCTCATCAAGATATTTCCTCACCATTGGAATGCACTAACAGAGAAACAAACTTTTCTAAGGAAATAACTGTTGCTGAGTTTGACAGAGAAGGGTCAACACTTGCTACTAGAAAGGTTAACCTAACACAGATCATCTCCCAGATCAATATTCAGATTGATGACATACAAGAGATGTCCAATGATGCCAAGAAAAGCCACTTTTTAAAGTTACTTGATTCTGATCTACCATTTATACACAATCTTGCAATCAAACACCAGTTAGTAGTGGCAGCCCTGAGGTACTGGATAATACATTGTGATGTCAATCAAAAGCAGCTGGCTGCAATTTTGGTCCACTATGTTGGTGAAAAGCCACGGCCGTTAAAACCGAACAAGTCTCTCCAAGATGTTTTAATTCGGACAGTTCATGGTTTCTCACAGTGGCAAAATGTTGTATACTGGACTGAAAAATTAAACTCCTTGTTTTCAGCTCCATTTCCACATCTGCAAGCAGCAAAACTGTACAATGGTATTGAAGTGTGTTTGGTACATGAGAGACTGAACAATGCAGGTAACTATACTGTATATTTAGAGGAGAGTTAAGAATAGAGCTATTCAGTATGAACAAAGTGATATACATACATACAATACAAGTTTAATTTTTCCCACTGAAGTGAAACTGAATGAATAAAGAAGTGTGGGAACAGACGAAGCAAATATTTAACATTAGTTTAGTTTAGGTTTCCTTCTGTGAAACACACATAATTCATAAATTATACTCAATTTCAATTTCAGGGATCCAGGCAGCTGAGTCCATCGTGATCAACTCTAACTTATATCGCCTACTTCAAGAGGTCATCACGAAAGATATACCAGATGATTGCCACTTCAACCAACTACGAATGGAAAAGAAGCCAAAGAAAGACGAGAGCAAAAAGCTGGGAAGCAGAAGTGATCGGAAAAAGACTACGAGTAAAGATTACCTGAAAGGAAACAGATTTGCTTTTCTGGAGGAATCAGATTCGGATGAGCTTTGAAAACATGGTAATTGGAGCGCGTTTTAGCCAACTTAAGACGAAAGCGATCTTTTAAATGATTCACATTGTTTTATTGTTGTATATAATACATATATCACATTTTAAATAACTGATTATAATATAAATATAGCGATGTAATTATTATTACTATTTTTACAGTTTTAACTGCTCAACGATTTACGATATGTCTGTGCGGTGAAACTCTCGGTTAACTTCTAGTACGGTAGATTCTGTGACTAACTCAACTACTAGCATGTGATGGAATAAATACATTGATATTTTTGTATATGAGCTTTTTGGGGAATAAAAAAGTGACAAAATGCAGACTGTTTATTCGTTCACTTCACTGGAAACACCAGTAAAGGCATTATGAGGACAACTCCACTGGAGTTGGTATAGTGTGGTGGTGATATTGTGTCAATGCATGGTAACTCGCTAGAAGCATGAAGAAGTATACGTTGGTACTGAGACATAAGATGATTACCACGCCCATAACCATGATTGAGGTACTTTGCTACGGTCGTAAGAGAGAAAGCATTCATGTTGCCGCTCTTCCGTTGTTGATATTTATTTCTTTTTACCACTAGGAGCGGATTCATCTGATGCACCTGTTTTTGGCCTGTCCTCGTTTTCTGAATCGTCGCTTCCCTTCTCACTGGCTGTATCGTCTTTCTTATCATCATCATCACTGTCATCATCGGATTTCTCATCCTCGGATTTCTCATCCTCGGATTTTTCATCCTCGGAGTCTTCATCCTCGGATTCCTCGTCCTCGCTGTCGTCGTCATCACTCTCCTTCTCTTCATCACTCTTATCCTCGTCGTCGTCCTCTTTTCCACTTTCATCTTTCTCACTTTCCTTATCTTCCGTGCTGTCGTCATCATCTTCATCTTTCTTATCGTTCTCCTCCTTTTCACGGTCGTCATCAGTGACAGGCGTCTTGCTCTTATTCGCGACAATATCAAACCATGCCTGTTTGTATTTGAGCATTCTGTAAGCCTCATATATTCCCCATCTGTTGATTTTTAGCAAAGCCAGATGCATTGAGTGAGCTTCCTGTTCACCGTCCTTTGTTAGATCAGATCTGTACACCCGGGCATCGCTTGGACGATGTTTAACAAACACACGACGTTGTTCTCTCATGAAATAATTTACAATTTTTTCAATGTCTCCACTAAATATCTCTCGCAGTTGTTTTACCTGTGGATGAAAAGAAAGGAGGATTAGGTCAGTTGATTATTTTTAAACAATCATACTAAGAAATTATATCTTTTTAGAGAAAACAGTTTAGAACTGGTAGAGCTATCCAGGATAAATAAAGTTAGTTTTGCTTAGGTTTCCTCGTGTAGTAACACTGGATCAATAAGAGATGATCCTTACTAGACCTCTAGGAAGAACAGTTTAGAACTGATAGAGCTATCCAGTATAAATAAAGTTAGTTTAGTTTAGGTTTCCTCCTGTAGTAACACTGGATCAATAAGAGATGATCCTTACTGGACCTCTAGGAAGAACAGTTTAGAACTGATAGAGCTATCCAGTGTAAATAAAGTTAGTTTAGTTTAGGATTCTTTCTGGATCAATAATATCCTTATGGATCAAGCGGTTAAGGCAGAGGTTTATTTAGAGTTGGTTTAGGAACAGTCTAACAAAAATAACTCTTTATGTCATTTCTTTATTGTCATTTATAAAGAAAGTCAGAATTATATGCTATTTTATATTTTACAAAAGCTTTCTCAAAAATATTGTCAGTGCTATTTTATAAAAAATATAATTACTTTATACCTACATAAACTCTATTTTCAATTCAGGTTGCCTTGACATTTTTAAAGAATTATAAAATTAATCGATAACAAAATAGAAGTATAGATTTACAAACAATATTTTATATACATCTATATAATTCAAAATTTAGATTAGGTTTACACAGATTACGAATCATACGATATTCAGATAACTAACTTATTTAAGCAGAACTAACAAAACTTTATATTTTTATAATTATCGTACATTCCTATAAATCTCAGAAGTCGTTGTTGGTGTATTTTTCTCTAGTTGTAAATTGTTATTTAACCTCAACAAATTAGATTTAGTGTTGATTATATTGTGAATAACTTGTCGATCTTTAAGATTACGATCCATTTTATCGTCGTTTATCAGTCGATTTTATCCGTTAATTTTCTTGAACGTTTATAACACACAGCACGTCAGGGTTTAATTCAAAGAAAACAAGAACGATCACCTCGAGATTTCGGAGAAAAAATCTTATTCGTTCTTCGACGCCTCTCCAGTGTTTCCGTTGGAGTCCTTATTCCCAGAATCTTTCTCAGAATCTCGATCATCATTCTTCTGATCGTCATTCTTGGAATTCTCGCCACCATCATCCTGATCATCTTTCTTAGAATTTTCATCATCAGCGACATTATTATTCTCGGAATCGTCTGCGTCAATCTTCTTCTGAATCTCTTCCAACCGTTCTTTAAGTTCCGAAATTTCACTATTCCTCTGCGGGTTTCACAAGTATTATCGAACCAGAAAAAAAATTATAGGTAAATAAAGATTCGCCGATCTTTTCTTCTCAAGTACCATTAAGGCAATTCATTAAAATAGCACGCGAGCGAAGGGTATATGCATGTCTACAACCCACGTTGTGGATAGACAGGTGTGGTGAATGACACTGCCCCTCATATTCAATCATAGTTTAGCGCAGACTACATAAAAACGTTTCCGTATTTTTAAAATTTGTTTTCAAAAAAATGCCAGGTCTTCTTAACCTGTTTATACGAACACCGCTTAACCACGCGTGATCTAGACTCCACGCGTGATCTAGACTCCACGCGTGATCTAGATCTCCACGCGTGATCTGTCTCTCTATAGAGAGTTTCTACAGCAGCTGAATGCAACGTGTGATTCGCGCAAAGGTACATCCAGAGCGCATACGAGGCATATTCAAGAGACACATGCATGCGTGTATAACATTGTTCACACAAAACTCAACGTGTACTTACGGTTTCAGCTTCAGTCGATATTTTCTGTGAAAGCACAGTTCTTAACGTGTTTACAGTGTTCTCGAGTTTCTCCATTTGCAATGTTACCTGAGATGAACAATAATAAGATAAAGATAAGTTTGTAGATGGGAAATCAAAGAGGAGTTTGTATACAATCTTACACCTAAGGACCGTTGTGAAAAACTATAATTCAGGTTAGAAAAACAACTGGTGATTATATATACCTTTTCAACATCGTCTTCAGCCTTTTTAACTTTCTTCTCAAGTTTCGGATCGTGTGCTGCTGTTGTTGTTTCATCAGGTGCTGTTGGTTCAGATGTGTTTTCCTCGGCCAGACTAGAAAGAACACTTTTGTTAGAGAACAGTTTGATAAAGTCGGTTCCAAGTAGCTATGTTTGAAGCATGCTTTAATAAGTATGAACACAGAGGTATGGAAATGGCAGGGCGTAGGTGATACCATCTACAGGTGAAGTGAGGACACCATGTGCAGGTAAGGTGGTAATACCATCTACGGGTAAGGTAGTAGTGATATCATCTACAGGTAAGTTGGTGATACCATCCACGGGTAAGATGGTGATACCATCTACGGGTGATATGGTAAAAAACGTCTAAAATACCTCGCAAGGCGTGCCATTCTCCTATCTTCTAGTTCATTTTCGAGATCTTCAATGGCATTTTTTAATTTGGATATCTAAAAGAAACGAACGAGATCAAATATTGATAAAGATATACAATGATATAATATATTTATAGCAAGGCTTCATGCTTTATTTTCTTATTGAACAAAACCTACGAACCTCGCCATTGACCGGTTGTAATTTAGTGCTCAGATCCCTCAACGTTCTCTCGGCCCCTTCCTGCCATTTGTACGCGCGATCAACGCGTTTGTTCAATCTTTCGTAATCATCGTTGTTGCTGGCGGGGACCTCGTGTCCAAAATTAGGAGGGGGAGAGGATGGGGGAGGGGGACGACTGTCTATAGCTTCTTCAAGATCAGCGACGTGTTTATTGAGATTTGTTAGCCGGATATCAATGTCAGCAAGACCCCTAACGCCAGTGCTTGTTGAGTTGTCCAACACCGCAAAGATTTCGTGCTTCGCCTGAAGGAATTTACGATAAACGAATTTGTCAAACAAGGTAATGTTCTTCCAGGATGGTGCCTGGGTATGAATGAATGGTTATAACATATTGGAGGACCCATTCACCCCTTAAAATACCTTCCATACGTTGCTAGTTCTTTCTAGAGAAGAAGAGTTATTACCTGGAAGTATTTGACTACTGGCAGTCATGATACCTAGCTAGCACCAAGGTTTGGTTCTAAACCAGGGTTATTACCTGTTCAACTGCTTCCTCTGTATGCGACGTCACACTAGAGATGGCTTTCTGTAGTGTTGTCACGGCAACACTTAGTTTCTCGTGAAGTTCATTGCATTTGTCCAGTGTCTGTTCGTTCTGCGTTTGTCTCGCGACAATCTCAGCGTGTAGAACCTCCTCAAACGCCTTCTTTCCAGCCTCGACCTCGCTTTCCAATAACGCTATGCATTCGTTCATTTTCACCAGAGTTTGGTCGTCACGGGCTTTTGTCATCTGCGCGACAAAACATGAAATTGAGGTTTTGAACTTGTCTAAGAAGACACTGGATCAGCTTTGCCGATTGCATAGCTTGAAGGATCTTTTCCAAAGCATTTTCACTCGATAAAAAGCCTCATTGCGATGAATAGAAAATATAGTTTATTACTTAACTTTACGATTTTTAACTTCAAAGTTTAACTTTTGGTTATTTACGCACGTAGGTTTATGGTTTAATCATTATCTTTCAATAATTATATTGAAGAGGCATTTAATCTGACGGTTCCAGACGATTAGCTATATGTGTTTAAGAGTAAGTCTAGAAGGGTATATATGCTTTATAGGAGATTTTCAATCATCCTATTACAATATATTTGTTATTAATTAATCTAATCTTGCGTGAGTAACTTCATCATTGTGTAGTAGATTAGTTTTACTTAAATGAAGTATACCTCTGTGCGGACAGGGTCCATATTATACTGGACTGCATCTTCTCGAGGCGAAGTTTGGGACACGAACCGCGGGGATACTCGAGGCGAACCAGGTCGAGAGTGGCTAACCTGGGAATGACGTCTGCTCGAGGGACGTGAGACGTGGAGAGGGGAACGTGGGGACTCGCTACCCTCACTCTGTTAATAAATTATGATTATTTTGGTGTAATATAGCTTAGTATGTTAGTAACTACATGATTAGTTTTTAGAATAGTATAACATTAACATAACTTTAGGTAATGATAAAGATATTCCTGTCTCGTAACAGAACGATGATTTTAAGTTGGAAGTTTAAGGTTTAATTAGTTTATTGAGGTAATATTATTCAGGTGCAAAGAACTTCTCTATATTTGACAGTGAGGTACAGATTTGACTCTCGCTACCAGAGAGAGAGAGAGAGAAAAAGAGAGAGAGAAAAAGAGAGAGAGAACATCGACCAATCAAATGCGATGACTCTCTCAGATCAACCAATCACAAGTGATTTGAGAGAACATCGACCAATCAAATGCGATGACTCTCTAAGATTAACCAATCACAAGTGATTTGAGAGGACATCAACCAATCAAATGCAATGACTCTGATCATATTTTACCTTAGTACTTTGTCTCATGTTTTGAATCTCTTCAGACATGTGCATTTTCAAAGCATCCAGGATTTTTTCCATCTCGTGTCGAACAGACTTCTCAAAAGCGTGTCTAGCTGACTGTTCCTCGCGGAATCTCTGGCAATTAAAAAGATGAACGAACAACATAAGACAAAGGAATTACCTTCGTATACCTTCGTAATCATTCGTATACCTTCGTATACATTTGTATAGAGTATACCTTCGTAATCATTCGTATACCTTCGTATACATTCGTATACCATCGTAATCATTCGTATACAAGACAGGAGAATTAACAGAAGGAATGAGATGGTATATTTCTTTTGACAAAGTCATTATCCTGGGATGAGTTACACGTAGACAACTCCAAAACACTCGATTTGCTAACGCTGTCACCAACTATAGTCAGGAGAAGCCTACCACGCTTTCATATACAACTAACAATCTATAGATACCAAATTATATCCGACCCACCTTGTCGAGAATCGTGAATTTCATCTGAGCCTCTTCTCGTAGCTGCATTTCCCTTTGCAGTGCCTTTTGATTGGTTTCCTCGGTGAGTTCAGCCATTTTATAAGTCAATTTACTCTTCTCCATCTCGCGATCGTTGTCCTTCTCTCTCATGTTCAAACTTGCCGCATGACTGACCTCTTGACATTTTGTCTCCAACTCACGGACCGCTACCTGAACTTTCTCCACGCTATCAAAGACGAATGAACGAAACATTAGCCAAGCCATAAGGTCTATCAGACGAGCATGGAGTATGGCCCATATATCCCGCATGCATTGCCTGATCGATTGTTTACGAAGACCCTCTTTAAAAATATGCTTCGGAACTCGTGAATTACATTTGATCTTATTGGTCTGATTTATACTAGAGACGGATCATCCAGACGGATCATCCGTCTGGACGAACTTGGGCAGGCAAAAGATAGTTCGTCTTCTAGTTTGTCTGCGTGGAAACGCGGGCAAACAGACGAACCATCCGGCTGTAGTATAAATTAGGCCAATCATTCGAACTTACTTTAATTCCGTCTGTTGATCAGCAGCCCTTCTCTCTGAGGCTTCCATGTCAGTTTTCCTTTTTACCTCGTTAACCACCTCTCGTATCTCTGACAACCTGCATGAGGAAAAAAAATCCAGAAGTTCCTAGACTTAGTAAAACCCTGGAACTTGTATTTTTTATAAAATACTGCGATCATTCTTCTCACCTTGATTCGATATTTTGCTTCAACTGCGACGTAGATCCATCATAACTATCTCGAGTCGTCTTATTTCTTTGCAGATTTTCAACCTAATAATTAGTTCATTATATAAAAAATTTAATTTCTATGAAGCTGAAATTTGCCCACTACAGTCAGGCACTAGGCAGGCACGCGGCAGGCACTAGTCAGGCACGCGGCAGGCATGCGGCGATTTGCACAACCGTAGCTTTACAGACAAGATTTGATTAGTTGCAGCTAGGATCGATCGAATCATTGAACACATGCAGGTGAAAAGCAAGCACTCACCGCTGCCATACTTTCCGTCTCAATTCTCTTCACTTTCTGTTTCATCTCCTGGTTAACGCTGTCAAACTCAGAGCTCTGCATTTCAAATCTATGCTGTAAGTTCTTCACGTCCTCTCCGACCAGCCTCAGAGAGCTCTGCACCTGTTCATTCGACTGCCTCAACTCCGAGAGTTCGTCCCGAAACCTACTAATATATCGATCAATCTGTTCTCCTTTCATCAACGAACGCTGTTGCCCGCCTGCAAGAGCACGCTCTACCTCCTTGGATTGATTCAACAGATTCGCGAGCGTTGTATGTTCCATGTTAACCTTCTCCTCCGTTCTTAAAAGTTGCATGGAGACTCTATTATACATGTTTTCGGCGGCTTCAACCTTGTCTCGTATGACGAGTCTTTCTTGTCTTTCCTTATTCACCATCTCCTCGTTTTGCCTCAAAGCGAGTTTCAGGTCTTGCTGGAGTTTCATTAGCTCCTCAAGTAGGATGCGGTTCGATTGTTCGCTAAGTTTCACCCGACTTTCCAAGTCCTGTGCGCGCGCGTTCTCATGATAGGCGATGTTTGCAATCGCTGGAAGAGATTGCGGCACTTGCTTGTCCGTGTTGAACCTAAAAAATCCAAAAGCATTATGATCTAAAACTTCTAGCTATCATATGGACACGGATAGACGACCTAAAAATGGCTTTCTACTTCAGTCTTCACAGTTTTTAGCTAATATCTTATTCCATTTGGCGGAACGTCAAACAGAGCGATTTTAAGCGAGTTTTTAGCAGTAATCGCTGAATAACCGACAATAAGTCATTAGGAACTGATGAATCTCGTTTGAACCCAATCTTGTTTCTGCTTTGATCTATACATAATCTATAGATAAAGCTGTGTAGTTGCTGAGCAAAGCTGGGTAATTGTTGTCACAAAATGCCCATGAATTATCTCATCAACTATTGCTTGCATAAATGGGCTTAATTCAGGCCAAAGTACAGATTGTCTTTATTCATTTTTTTCTGAAACTATAAATTAATCAAAACATCTCTAATTTAAGGTGTCATTAGCCTTGCATTTTGTTCCCATGGATAATATAATGATAATTAAAAATTTATGCACAGAGTCCACATGCAAGTACTTGAAATCAGCATGCATGCATCCTTGGAGAAACTAAACAATATTTCATTTGCCCTAAATATTGGTTTCTTACAAAAGTACTGACATTATGCTAATTGCACACAGAAAGCTGGAAATCATCTTGGGTGAAATTATCTTTTTTTACTGCTCAAAATTGCTATGATAATATTCAAAATAATTTGAAAATAGCTTAGAAGGCCAACAGGCTTAGGAGATGATCTCTTAGATAATATTGACTGTAGCTTAAGCTGCATGGTAGACATTGTGTTGAGATAGTGGCATAGCAACCCCGCAAGAAACTGCAGAACACTGACAGAGTAGTCTAGCAAATAAAACAAAAGATGTGCTATGCACATACTGAACACCTTTTCATAAAATATATGCAAACAGCTGCCAAATAAGACAACTTTGATGGAAGATTATATTATACAATCTTTAATAAATCTGCCCTAATCTGCACAATCGTAGGACATATTTCAAACTAAGCTTTATGGATATAAACTTTAGATCTCGTAGTTCGTCTTTAAGAACATTTCCCTGGACTTGCTTTTAACAGCACGAAAATATATATTAAACTAGTCAAAGAGACAAGGGAAGATCAAGAAAGAGCTGGGTAAACAGAAAGGAATTTCAGCTGGAATATTTTGTACATATCCAGCACTCGTTTCGATCGCCATGCGAACAAGTGTATTATAAAAATTCTTTAAGTAGTAAGTTTTACAAAATCATTTGCAAGGAACCTCGCAAGAAATAAGCAGAAATACATTGGCTTACAACGAACGCGGGTATAACTTAATATCCGTGAAGAATCTTGTATTTACTTAAAGTATAAACCGTATTTGCATGAAATATTTTATCTTGACACATTAACCCCGACAGACTTGCCTGAACTCGAAGTGTCGAAAAAGTCAAACAAATTTACATGTTAACTTTTCGACTTTTCAAAACAATCCAAAAACCTATTTTAATAAGAAATACTTTCACCACTTATTTATATAAATCCCGTTTATACAGAGAGAATAGATATCTATCGGCGACCCGTTATAATTTTTAAGACGTTTTTAACCCGGTTGTGCTGAAAACCACAGAGAGTATAAACTGAATTTACTATTGCTTAAAAACTAACCTTTCAACGGCGGGAAGGGCTTTGATATCTCTTTCATACCGTCTCCACATTTTGAAGCGTTAAAACTTGTTAAAATGTGTTTCTTTTTAATTTTATTTTACGTATATTTACTGCCGAGTTTTGCAGCTGCCGTCCGTCATATTGTTTACCTTGCAGCTTAGTAACCTTTTTACATCACTCAGCAGGATGTACAGGTGCTCGGATTCGTTTCGTAACGCATTCGGTAGCTCGGCTGCTGTCGGAATCATGGTACAATTACCAGACAGCGAAAGTGAAACTCACAGAATCCTGGTAGTTAAGAAAATCATTAATGGCCGCATCTTTGGACCGGAACGAAACTATTATTTCGGACGAATACAGGCATATGCGTAATGCGTTTTGTAATACGGTCGACAAACTTAATTAATATTTCACATGCATAAAATAAATTATCGCTACTTTTATACACAGACAATTCAATTAATTCAGACATAATTCGTGTTCTTATCCGAAATATCTAGAAATCACAATGCGACATAATTTCGGTCGACGAGCCGTCAGACTAAGTAAGTTAAGTAACAAATCACACTAATTGCGAAAGATATTGAAAAAATACATATCCGGTTTGAAATTCCCAAACGCTCTAACATAATTGAAAATGCATTCTGAATCATATATAATTCATCATAAAAAGCCACAATTTATATACTTGGCTTTATCGCCTTACAACTTCCTATTGCCGTGTGAAGTCATTGAGAATTTGGAGAAAAATCCAATTGAGAATTAGAATTTTTATATCTATCATATAATAAAATAGTAAAAATTATATAATAAATACCCGAAAGGACTGTATCTTCGTCTGTTAATATCTCTATATGTTCCCCACGGAGGATTGGCCATTTAGTTGTTTTCTTTCATTCAAACCGAAGAAAATATACGTATTTCCATTTCACATATTTGCAGCCATAAACATGCAATAATATCGCGAAATTAAATTGACACCTAACATTGTTTTTTTCACGAATTCGCCCACAGTTTTGCCAAGTTCTCAAATGTAGAGTAGTATATTCGAGAAACGTCTCGTTAAACGAAGACTTTAAGGTCGAACGTCTTCATTGCATGGACATTTCTTATCTTTGTTTCAATGTTTGTACTCGTGCCTCATTACTGGGATTAAGCCGAAACACGGCTGGTACAACGGTTAACACAATTGACCTGTCGTCTCTGTCACGTCGGACTGTAGATGTCAGTTTTAAAAAAAATTGCCTGTCACTGACGCATATGTGAATAAACTTTGGCAATATCACAATAGGATATCGGATCATCGGCATTGTCAAAGAAATTGAAATTCTGTGTTACTCTGTATTGTCGCTACGTTACCTAGTTTAATTATATGCAGCCAAACAATGTTACAAGAGCTATTGAAACTGGGTTTTATAACAAAAATAACCCACCCAAGTTGATAAATAGATAAAATTATTGTATTTGTTATGCATGTATTTTAATTATGCTTGATTGACAGCAATATTGACGACTCATATTGACATTTAAAAACGAATAAACGATCGAACCGTTTAAAGCTTACTTGGACTACTTGCCGGTTTTTTAAAGGCAAATTGCAGCAAATATTTTGCAAAAAAATAAAAAAAATATTTGCGAAGAAAATAAAATGATGGCTGGAAACTAAACTTTACGATGTCGATACAAATCTTTGGCAACTATTGCAACCATGGAATGGTTGTAACCGACATACAACGTGAATGTAAAATTTATTTGAATTGTTACAAAATTAATTTTTTCTTGTATGATTGCATGGCGACTTTAGTAATTATAATAACTTGTAGGTACACCACGTAAGTATTAAATACTGCAAAGCTTTCGGTCCGTTAACCCGGACCTTCATCAGTGCAATTACTTGAATACACGTTTGCGCGTCACTTAAATATCATGTTAGTCGTGATTAGTTTGCTCGCGCTATTAATTAAACGGTTTCATTTAATTAAGTTCTAATTAATGCGCGCGCCCTAGACAAGTATTTGACTAAGAGACACCGAAAAGAGCACGCCACGTACTATTAAGTGGCTTTCCCTCTTGGACGATAGTTTGATGTTTATAAATTTCAATAGATTCTCTCATTTTACGAGAGACAGTAAACTTATCGTTAAACAAAAACATTTGTCTCATTTTACGAGAGACAGTAAACTTATCGTGTATTCAAGTAATTGCACTGATGAAGGTCCGGGTTAACGGACCGAAAGCTTTGCAGTATTTAATACTTACGTGGTGTACCTACAAGTTATTATAATTGTTACAAAATTGTTACAATGTTTGACGATGTAACAAATTACGATGAAGGAAGTTCGATTAGGGAATGTTGCATGTGGAAACACACACGCGCGCGCGTGGGGAAAACACTACGCGAGACTTTCGCGGGACACCGTTCAAGTATGGAGGACAGTTCAGAAGGTTTTTGCTCAATTCTTATATTTTCCCTCGCTTATAACTAAACAACGCGCTTGTCTATTTTATCAGCTACAATTTTAAGTATTAAAAATTTCTTATTTCAACTAGATAAAAGTTCCCTAAGGTCTGTGCAACACGTTATTTTGGTCTTATCTGGAAAAGGTGGGGTGGGAAAAAGCACCGTGGCATCTCAATTGGCTTGCACGCTATACAAGATGGGAATGAAGGTAGGATTAACATAACCTTGATAATCGGTTAGGACTTAATAGTGATGTATATGGCAGACTGGAAATTGTGCAAATTGCAAGGCAGTGCTGTGTATTTAAGCACTCATGTTGGTGGTATATATGGACACCTATGGACATAACATTAATATTTTGTTGAATTAGGTAGGATTGTTAGATGTGGACCTGTGTGGCCCAAGCATTCCTCGGATGATGAAATTAGAAGCGGCAAATGTTCATCAATGTTCCGATGGGTAAATACAATATTGTGAGCATGTTTGTATTATATAAAACATGCGAATATATGAAGTCTTAACAACCTGCATAATACCGGAAAATATCCTGTGAGCAATGTCTAGCCTTGATCAGATAGAATTGTATTTATTAAAGCATGCCTTACCTTACAGATGGGTGCCAGTGTATACCAGTTCTGACCAAAGGCTCGGAGTAATGTCTATTGGTTTCTTGCTCTCAAATCGTGATGAGGCAGTCGTATGGAGAGGACCTAAGAAAAATTGTAAGTAAATAACATCAAGGAAGATTAATGAGGATTTCTCTCAAATAAATGGTTTATTCTTTGATCCTGTTTGTCTTTTGCCAGCCATGATAAAACAGTTTATAACAGATGTTTGTTGGGGAAATTTGGACTATTTGATTATTGATACACCTCCAGGTATGTGAATTCAAACCGGACTACAATAAAATGACCACAGAAACAGATAATTGCATAGTTTTGCAATGAACAATAAGATCCACTGCTTTATATTTTGGTCTATAGGCACTTCTGATGAACATATAACTGTTGTGGAAAGTTTAAAACATTTCAATCCAGATGGGGCCATCCTTGTAACCACACCACAGGTTTTTAGAATGATATAACTTATAGGGACAATTCTTAACCTTTAGCAGAAAACAATGTTTTAGAAAAACATGGCTAGGAAGTAGATTTATAATGTCAAAACTGTATCAAAATGTAGGGAATAAGGGATTGATAATTTCAATGACTTTTTTGTTGTCAACGCAGGAGGTTTCTGTAAATGATGTTAGACGCGAGCTATCATTTTGCCATAAGACAGAGGTACCTGTACTTGGTATAATAGAAAACATGAGTGGGTTCATATGTCCGCATTGTTCAGTAAGTATACTAGTTTGAACTTCTTGCACATTGTGATATATTCATATGCAGTCATTAATAAATCAGCCTATTAATGATGTTTTACCTGTAGGAATGCAGCAATGTTTTTTCAAGTGGAGGTGGTGAAGCTCTTGCAAAGCAATGTGGTGTCCCATTCCTAGGTGAGACTATTCAATAAATCCTTTTATGTATTATATTATAACAACATCCCAATGATTCCCAACTGATCCATTTCATATCCAGGCTGCATACCTTTGGATCCAAATCTTGCCAAATGTCTTGAGGAGGGCGAGGATTTTCTACAGTCATTCCTAGAGTCAGAAGCTAGCAAAAGTTTTAACAAAATTGTCACAGACCTTGTTTATTTAGGTGGCAGAATGAACACTTCAAATTAATATAGAATTGCAAATACTATTTGTGTTCTTTTGTATATAAATAAAACTGTTTTGGTCCTTGAGTCTTGGTTTATACATGGTGTTGAAAAGTGCAGATAATTTCATCTAACTTGTGTAGATTAATACACCAAACAAGAGGTTCAGCCATTAAAAGAAAACATTCTCCAAAAGTTATATCTTGGATGGTTTATGAGGTGAATTAGGGATATGACCTTCATCACCATATATCACCATCCGTACAAAATTCTAATAAATAAAGGATAGTCTACACTAGTCTAAAAAATTATTAGTATTTTTGCCACAAGCCACAGTCACTTGTGGCATTCAGTATCAAATTATTACATTCAGTATCAAATTGTTCATCCATTTTCAACAATATTGGAAATTTCTAATTGTTCACATCACTTCATAAACATGCAACCTCTCATGAACCACATATGATAACAACCCACTTCCAAATTATTTGTCAGGGTAAGATTGAATCAAAGATAGGACTGGAATAATCGGTATGTGCATATCAAAATATTTAACTGTTTGATCATTGACGTCTCATACAAAATGAATTAAAAACCAATTTTTATAGTCACAGTAGCATGTGACGTGTGCAGTCTTTTGTTTGAAACAAATGAGGTAGAAATATAATACTATAAATATAATATATTCTCCAACTTGACGTAGGTTTTCCAAGGCAATAGTTGAGCATTTCAAAATCAATCTTAACCCGACACAGACCACATTTAGACGATTGCTGGATTATCATTTGAATGGAATCATTGTGTTTGAGGTTGTTTATCATTGCTTCAAACTATCTCGTCTCATTGTGTATAATCATGCGATGTGATGGTGCTTGCTTGAGTCCACTAAACACTGCTTACTAGAATATCTCAGCTGTTACTGCTACTGGAGTCATCACTAAACGTATCTCCACTGTCCGATGAACTGTCACTGTCGTCAAGGTTTGTGGTAGGCACAGTACTATCATTCAAAACATTGATTGGCATTGCATTCGATCTGAGGAACATAAAAAAGCACTTGTGAGAAAAGACATTAGTTGTTTGACTTTTATGCTTTGCAAAATGCTCTGAAAAGATTTTCTAAAGAGTCAATCTATAGCTCTATCATATTTAAACTGTTCTTCCTAGAGGTCCAGTAAGGATCATCTCTTATTGATCCAATGTTACTACAGGAGGAAACCTAAACTAAACTAACTGTATTTATACTGGATAGCTCAATCAGTTCTAAACTGTTCTGCCTAAAGCTCCAGCGTGAAACCTAAATTAAACATTCATACAACCTATCTACCATAATCATTCTGAGAATATTATAATGAAGCTGACCTTCGAATTGGCTTTTTGCTTGAACTTGTCTTGGGACTCTGAAACAACAAGAATGAGAAACGTTTATTATTTTACATTTCAAAAATCAAAAAAGGTTGCAAACTTACCTTCTTCTTTTCCTCAGGAATGGGCGCAGTTGCCAGATATTTCTTCAAAGCTTCAGTGGCTTTATTAGGGTAGTCAATAGCTGCACCAATGGCACCAATGTTCCACACGCCCTGTTAGTGAAAAAGAGTTTTGTTACAGCCTGAAGGCAAATGATTGACATAAAAATATTTGATTTTTCAATGGAAGAAATGAAAGAGATAACAAAATGATCAGTTAGAGTGTTCTTATCAAATACCTGCGCAAAACATCTTCTTAATGCCTCATCTGTGGTCAATCCAACAATAAGATCTTCTGCGATACCCCATTCCTAGAAAAACCAACAAAAAGATCATCAATAAATTACCATATTCCTAACCTTTATCTCTACAATTAAAGATATTTTAGATGGATATAAAGTGGAATATGACAATGTTGTCCCAATTTATCCACAAATCACCCACATTCAAGCCCTGCTCCCCCAGACCTGAAGCTGTTAGACTTTACCTGAGCTAAATTTTCAACAACCAAGAACAGCTCGGTCAAACCTCTGAGAGCCGGGGGTACCAAGGTTGGGGGGACCCCATCTGTCTCTTTCTCTAGCATTTCTGAGTACAGAGCCCAAAGCGAGTTCAACAGGTTTAGATCAGGCCTTTCGCTGGGTGGCAAATTACTAGAAAATGAAGAATATCCATGAGAAATCTCAAAACATGTTCTTGTAATACATGAGGAATAACAAATACTAGGGCAGAAAAAAAAGAAAGTTTTGTTGAGTTCTTGTGTAATTCAGTACCTTGAAACAAGGAGAACCCTCAAGAGAAGTCCTGTAGCCATGAGACGCTGCTGACCAGTTTGGCTGCAGGCAACAGAGACTAACCACGCCCATAGTTTCTTAAGCGGCAAAGATCTAAATAATATCAATAAACATAGAAACCTTTCCTCATGATATAAAAACTGTATTAGCCCCCTTAAAACTAACCATCTGATACTCAAGAAATTTTATAGATTACAATCCAATACCTCGCTAAGCTGGCATTAGGAACCAATAAGGCTTTGAGTATTGTGTATCCGGTCTCAAATCTGAACAGAAACAATTTGAAAATTAAGATGAATTTGAATGGCAATAGCAGCGAATGATGATGGATACTCACCTCCCAAGCTGACCACCAGTTACGGTGAACTTCCAACCCCAGTCAGTGTTTGTCGAGTCTGATTGAAACACAAAGTACAGAGTGTCGCCTGAAAGGAAAAGAAAACGCGGCTTAGTTCTCTCACAATAACCTACCATAAAGCCCAACGATGTGTAAGGCAGCCTGTACAACAGCATATCTAGCGGGTGTGCATATCAACCTGGTATTTCAAAGTCTATCCATCCACTCTGACCACTGAACTCGTTACGATGTTCGGAATAGTTCTGGGAAGTGGACATAACAAGAGTATCACATCCATCCTCGCTCGAACACCTGAAATAAACCATTTGAAAACCTTTCAACACAGTTTTACCAAAAAAGATGATCTTCACTCTCTGTCCTCTACACGCCCTGGCGGTATTACATACTGTAGTTCCTAGAATTCCACACTACATACTGCAGTTCCGAAAACCTTTTTGTAACAAAACAAAATCTTTCACTGACTTACCTTGGATCAAATTTTATTGTCAAGGTGGCTGCTCCGGGAATATGAACTTTGTCCTAAGCATAGAAACGTGGAACTCAGAGCTGTTTCAAAGTCATTGTGATCAATTTCAGGAATCGTACCTCTTGGTGGACATCGTTCTTGTAAGGATGTTCAGTTTCTTTGGTTTCCGAGGATAATTTAACTTCGCCCATGCAGTGAGCCGCTGCGAGCGAAAGTGGTTTGATTAACTTCTCCTCCCCTTGATTCACAACTCGTGTTACAACCTAAAGTTTACGAGAAATCTCAACAAAACACCATCGTGAAGCTCACCATGAAACCTTCTCTCAAATGAGACAAGTTGATTCAGGTAATTCCCCGAAAACCAGGCTTAATGTCAATTTCTAAACAATGTTTCTTTCCTGCCTACCGTTTCGAAATTTTCCTTGGTCTCAATTCTTTGCAAAAGATCTAAAATTCCGATCAACTGCACTTCATCGCCGCTATCCAAAACTTCTGACGTCAGCGCTCGGTCCTCGGGCCATTCCGCCAACAAACGACTGAGAACGTGACGAGAGTACAGGATACACAATGCTTTGTTTACCTTGGAAAGTAAATGGTATAAAGATCATGGTGGACCACACTAGACTCTGTGGCCTCTTCCTTTTTGAGTACACGCACTACAGGGAGAAACTACCCGAGGAATGATCTTAAGGTTTGATCGAGGAGAGATTTTCATCATCATCAATAACCTTCTCATATCAGACGACAGAATATTACAGCCTCAGTCACGTACATAAAGTGAAAAACATAAAGTCATACAGAAAAACACGATTAAGACATGCTCTACCAACCTTTTTAATCATCTCAGGCGGGCTGCTCTCCTTGTCTAGTTCGGTTTTAAGAAGATTTCCTGATTTCAGCCTGGACAACGATCTCTGATTCTAGCGACAAAAAGGAGCAAAAATACATTAAAAACTTTTTTTTGAACTTTTTTAGAAGACGAACCATATTAAAAGTTGTTCAAATAAATTCCCACCTCAGCAATCTCCTGGTCGGTAAAGGAAGGCATTAGTTTCTCACAGGTTCTTTGGTCCTCTTCCTTTGCTTTGAACGTCTTTGGTTGGAGTTCACCAAGGGAGTATCTCACAACACCGATATCTATGGAGTGATCTTCAGGAACTTCGGGAATTTCTTTTGATTTTGAGCTAAATGAAAGAGACCTTGTTTATGAAAGGGTAGGAAATGGCATGGTATGGTATGGTACAGTATGGTATGGTGAGGTATGGTATGGTGTGGTGTGGTGTGGTATGGTATTGCATGGTATGGTATGGTATGGTATGGGTAGTATGGTATGGTATGGTGTGGTGTGATGTGGTGTGGTATGGTATTGCATGGTATGGTATGGTATGGTATGGTATGGTTTGGTATGGTATGGTATGGTATGGTATGGTATGGTATGGTATTGTATGGTATGGTATGGTATGGTACGATATGGTTAGTAATTGATGTGTATTTTCAAACCTGGCTGGGCTGCGAAGTCTTCTCATGGCTCCCTCGTTCCAAAGACTACATGAAGATAAAAATATTCGTCACATTATGTTACAACAACTGACAAGCACCAGTAAATATTTCAATACCAACCTTCGGTGGACTTCTTCCAGTAATCTTGCTTGATCATTCCTGGGTAAGATCGTTTCTAGTAAAGCCATGGGAGCCTGGATAGCTTCCTGGAAACTCTATGAAAAAAATAGTAAATTATACAATACCATATCATACCGTACCGTTTCGTACCGTGCCGTGCCATGCCGTAACGTAACGTACCGTAACGTACCGTACCGTACCGTACCGTAACGTACCGTAACGTACCGTACCCTACTCGTACCATTACCTGTATTAGTGATCTCAAAGGCTCGGTGGTGGTTGTTTGAACAGCAGCATCCGTATTCTCTGAGTCCATTCTCACCAACTCAGGTTTAGGAATGTTCCTTGTTCCGTCCAGTTGTTTCTTGTATAACTTTATCGACAAAATCTACGAAGAAATAAAATCCACTTCGAATCTCGTTCATTGAGGACACAGAAACTATACTGTGTCACTAACACGCAATCGTATTCGCTTTTCAAGAACCAAGGTACCTCTAAATCTCGCAACAACCACATTCGACTGAGGTCAGTGCCTTGACAAGCCAGAGAAACTAACGAGGGAATGAGTGCACAATCCATGATGTCATTCCGAAGATCGTCAGATTTACTTCCCTAAAGAACAACAACAGAAACCCATTAGGTTCACAAGTTTAGCTTGGAGTAGAATAAAGGCGATGTTGTAAGACAAACACAAGGACCTTTTCTCCGCTTTTTCGTCCTTTGAAAGATGCGAATGAGCGCGCTACCTATGGATTATCTGATTGTATGTGTGCCTATACTGAGTCTTCATAACGTAACCACTTATTCATATCGATCAAAAGTAGGTTATGTGCAACTAAATGGTGACTGAAATGATAAAACCGCCGTACCTTCAAATTTGACAACATGGCTTTTAATACTAAGTACAGAACCCACAATCTCTCAACTGAAACTCCTTCACCTGGGAATGATACAGACAGGAATTATTGGACAATTCAAAATACCACCCAACAGTCTGCAGTGTTTTACCTTGCTCTTTCAAAGCATGTAATATATCTTGTGCTATTGTCAACAATATTGAGAACTGAGAGGTACAATACAACTCCATGAGAAATGACACTTCTTGAAGGTTGGATTCTTTAATCTGTAGAAAAACACAAACAATAAAAACCAGAAGCAAGTATCACAGCTTTTTCCCCCCATACCCCCTTTCGCCAGGTACTTAAATTTGTCCTGTATCAACACTGAAGTCTATACGATAAAGGTAATTTCTGGAGTCATGGTAAATTAGAAATCTTACACTGGTTCGTTTCCTTGTTTTAATGTCAGCAACAACTGCAGAAGCATTGGCTGTTGAATACGACAAAGCGATCCCCTCTTTTCCTTCACCGCTCTGGTCTTTTATTTCAACTCTGGATCCCATTTGAAGAACCTGAATGAAAAGACAAGAACAAGTGAAATTAGGAAAGACATGAATCCTCGAACAACATGCAATCTTTTGGCGTTTGTTCGCGGTAACATGGAGTATCAAGGCTTGCGGGTGGTTGAGGATACTCACATTTGGAAATCCAGCAAAGACTAAGACTCCGAATATATTCGCCAGTTTAGGATTCTCCGAGTTCTCCGTGAGCAGAGTTAGTGACTCGGTGATCTCGAATGTTATGCTTGCCTGCCATTGTGGAGACTGAGACAGCTGTTGTAAACAGCAAGCAACGCTTGAGGCTGACTCAAGATCAGACCTGGTATGAATAGAAGAGAAATCACCTCTTAATAAACAAAGAAAACAATAGCTCCTGAGTTCTATTAACCGACAAACTGCCAGTAAAGTCATAGATTAAAATCACCCAAAGGTTGCGTTCAGACCATTGCTGGTTCAGACTGAGTGTATGCCCGTCACCTTTTCTGGCGCCTAAGTTGAACATGACGCTTGCAAATGAAATTGGGCACGATGCACAAGGAAGGGCACAATCTCCAGAGGTACGGTAGTTCTCAACAAGGGCACTGTGCTCAGCATGTTTTGACTTCAGACACCGGAGCCGGGCATTCAGTCTGAACGCAGCCCAAGTTAGACAGAAGAGGGAGAGGCATTCGTGGACGTGATGGCTGTTGAAGGAATCGAGAAAGATCGAGGTAGATATTTGAATTGAATGGTTAACTCGAATCCTAAATACCTCGCTAGACACTCAGCACCAAACTGAAACAGCGACTGCACTGTTTGCCTTCCTTTGCGATCATTTTCATCCGACTCTTCTGTTTCAACACAATCATCTTCTTTTCCGCCACAAATCCCTTGATCACATAACTACACAAATAAAAAAAACCATACGTCAGCTTCACAAGACACTTTTCGCCTCGACGCTGTCAATATTCTCCTGCTTTGATTAACTTCAGTTCAACACGAAACCATCCACAGCTAAAGGGTATCAATATATTGATCTTTCAAGCAGTATTAGGTGCCTACCTCTGGAAGAACGCACTGCAAATATTTTCCCAGGACACCAATGGCCATGTTTCTGTGCGTAAATAATACATCAGGAGACCTAGAAATAAAATTCGAATCGCATTAAAAGACCTTGTCTTTCATGCCGTCTATTCATCTGCAGTGTCCGTGGACAATTCGTAAGCCGTCGCTGATGAATTACGAGGTGCATATAAAAAGACTTTGGGAAAAAACAACCAATTCAACGTACCTGGCGATTTTAAGTAAAATTGGAATAAATTCTGAAACAAGATAGTCTTCGGTAGCGGGATTGTGGCTTGTCCAGTGATACAACTGATAAAAAAAGAAATGACACACTTTCATAGGGTAATACAAGTCATCCACCCGTGTCCCATAGGGCCAGGTAAACTATCCACCCTTGGCCCTCAGTAGCCATCACTCCTCCTTGCAGTTTTTTTGCATGTTAAGGTCTGTTCACACGATCCAATTTTGTCGTATTCAATTCACTTCTGATGGATGTTTTATAGTCTGCTGACTTGCAATGTTTATGCTCAGCAAATCAGCAGATAATGAAGTAAATGACGGTACAGAATTGCGCTGGATCGTGTGAACAGACTTTAGAAGAAGAATAATTTTCTCAGGTGGAATCTTTTAATAAAACTGGGTACCTTTGAATCCTTTGGCAACATGGCCCCAATTAAACCCAGTAAATTCTCTTGAGTTTCTTTAACAAATAATATATCAAGTTGTTCTTGGGTCAACTTTGTTGTAGTTTCTGCCCCCGGCAGTTTCTTCCCCCCAGTTAATGCATCCGAGGTTGCCGTAGCAACAGTGCCGCTATTCTCCGCACCGCTAACCAACGTCTTGCTATCAGTAGGCTTAGGTGTTGAGGCGACAGCTTGTGGCGTTACATTTTCAGCGTCCTTACATGACGTTATTTGTTCGTTATCATCGGAAACATCGCTGACCGACGTCTTGCTATCAGTAGGGTCAGGTATCGAGACCACAGCTTCTGGCGTTACATTTTCAGCGTCCTTACATGACGTTACTGATTCGTTATCAGCTGAAACATCGCTGACCGACGTCTTGCTATCAGTAGGCTCAGGTTGTGAAGTCACATGTTTACTATCACTAGGGGACTCTGGAGGATTAATGGTGTCCGAATGAGATTCGCTGGGCGTGGTTGTAGGTGCTTTGGGGATAGTGGTATCAGAAGAACTCTCCTTTGGAGACAAACTTTCATCATCTGTACCCTCCACTGGCGTTTCTGGTATTTTAGTCGCATCCTCCTCGCTTGTCGAGGTTGGACTTGGTTCCAAAGCTTCTGGCTTCGCTATTTCACCCTCTTGTGTAACGTCTAAAGTCTGCTCAAGATTCTCAGAATTTCCACCAACAACTGTTTCAGAATCCGGAGTTTCGTCTTTCTCAGAAATATCAATATTTCCTTCAGAGTTCTCGTCTTCTTTCTCAGCTTTCGAGAAAGCAGACTCCAATTCCACATTGTCCACCGCATCGTTCTTAAATTCCGAGATATCTGTGTTTGTTTCAGACGACTTCTTAGAAACTATGCCTTGTTCTGAAGTCCCTGGTTGTGTTGTGCTCGCGTCAATTTTCAGTTGGGTGTCTTTGATCACAGCATTAGGACTCACGTCTTCATGGTCTTTTTGAACTGTGACTAAAATAAACATGACTTTATCTCAAAGATGTTTGCTGTGTGATTTAGAGAACCTCTAGGAAGAACAGTTTAGACCTGAAAGAGCTATCCAGTATAAATAAAGTTAGTTTAGTTTAGGTTTCCTCCTGTAGTAACACTGGATCAATAAGAGATGATTCCTACTGGACCTCTAGGAAGAACAGTTTAGAACTGATAGAACTATCCAGTATAAATAAAGTTAGTTCAGTTTAGGTTTCCTCCTATAGTAATACTGGATCAATAAGAGAAGATCCTTTCTGGATATCTAGGAAGAACAGTTTAGAACTAATAGATAACACTGGATCAATAGGAGATGATGATAAACTTAGACTTGACACTTACGTTTTGAAACTGCAAGAACCTCATGTAAGCATCTTACAATCAGAGCAAGACATTTTCCATGAAGAATCCCGGTAGCATATAAGTAATCTCCGTAGGCATCTAGGAGAAAGATTATCAATATTAAGGATAAATCCTCATAGTTTATATAGGAAAAACTTTCTTATTCAATTTAAACTTTGGTTTAGCATGAGAATTAAAAAGAAAACAAATACGTGTTGGTAGATTATATAACTCAGAAATACACGATGGTCATTTCCTCACCGGAACAGCCTGGATCATTGAGGGAATTTGCCAGAGAAAGCGACAGAGATGCAAACTGGAACCACGCATGCGTGTGTGTGTAAGCTGGGATCCTCTGATGAACGAGAAGAGCTGAAGAAAAAGAGAATTATAAATTACTTTGTCACTGACCACATGTCTTTAAAAGTGATTGGGCTTGAAGTTACTATGATATTCCCACAAAACTTAAATATCTTTCGAAATGAAGAGCAGATGTAATAGAACTAGCCGAAACAGCTACAGTTACACTATGTTGAATTGTAATAATTTCATACCGGTTTTTTTAGTGAATTTCTTCATTGAATGTGACGCCGAGTGACTGATGGAAACAAACAAGATTGCACACTTAATTTGAGAAATATTGTCGTGATTTTATCATCAACGAAGACTCACCGATCAGGCCAGGAGTTGGCGGTGTAACAACCCAGACATACATCGAAGTCTGAGCAAACGTTACAATGGAACCGAGTTCCAATAATGAAACCACCGCAACCGTCACATCTCCATCTGAAACATAGATTGGATATTTTTCGACATACAATTTGATATTGTATATCCTAAGGCATCTCATTCTATCCCATCCTATCCCACCTAATCCTTTGTCATATAATCCCATTCAATCTAATCCAATGCGATATCATTCCAGTAAACTTAATCCATCTTTGCCATATAATCCCATCCGATCTAATCCAATGCAATATCTTCCCATTCAACCTAATCCATCGCCATATAACCCCATTTAATCTAATCCAGTAAGATATCATCCCATTAAACTAATCCACTGCCATATAATCCCATTCAATGTCATGTAATCCCACATTTCTTTGTAGAAAGACAAACAGCAAATCCACTAAATCCAAGCACCGAATCTCACCTTAACTCAACTACCTCGTGTTCGCTCGTGTGACCGTTGGGTTTAACATTACCTGTAAAACAGATCGGGATTAAAGATTTGGATTAATGTGGCTTGGTTGCTCTGCTAATCAGATGAGCTTTCATCGACTTATTTCGTGTCGAGGTTCCTAACTATCATCTTACCAGTGAAGCAGGTGGTGCAAAGATCAATTTCAAAGCAGTTGAGACAGCGATATCGAGAGCGAAGCAGCTGTGATTTGCAACCATCACAAAACACGTCGACCTCGAAGAGGGTAGCATACCGACTTAAAAACAAATGTAACCTCTAAACAAGGAAAAAACAACGATTAAATGAAATAACCTGAGCTGTTTCCTCCTGTAGTAACACTGGATCAATAAGAGATGAAAGCTAGTATAGTTTCTACATAATTCATAGTTCCTCGTACTCTTTTTTCATCAGGATTCTTGACGCCGGAGTTCATGGTATCCCACCAATCATGGAATCCTTTCGTCGCTTCCTCTTTCCACGCCATATTTTCTTTGTATTCCTCCAGTTCACGTTGGTCAGAGAGCTCAGAGCTGCATTGTTGCAGAGCACTGGCAGTCGCTGCAAATATAAAACAACAAGGATTATGGTGAAAAGCTTGATCATCCATCGTTGTCTTTGGAGATGGACCGTTCGAGACTTTCCACAACAGTTTCACATTTCGTGAACTAAAATCTCATGCACTAAACTTTAGTAACAAACAGAACTGCACTTCTCTACTCAAAATCTTCTAGCTTATTTCTTTGTCTGATGAATGTATAAACTTCTCCAAAGTTTTCGACTATCAAGCAATTATGCAAGCTTCCATAATAATGTGTTTTTCGATCCTATTTGAAGTTACCAAGGCGAGGACCACGTACCTTTTGATGTATTTAAGAAGAATTCCGGAAGGTTAATATCATTAAGAAAGCCAAGATCGTATGGTTTCCACTCAATATCAAGAAAATGAAGCAAATAAGCGCGGATACATGAGAAGGCCTTTGAAGAAGCACTAAGTGAAAACAAATGAAGATATTTTCTTCTGTGTTGAATTATCAAAGTTTATAGGAATTAAAAAAACCTGACTCTGATCTGGTAACTCGTGAATGATTTAGCATAAGCTTCGTGTAGCTACAAACCTGTCGTCATCAGGGTCACCAGAATATGCTCGAACACTGTCCAATAATCGTCTCAAGAAAGTATAGTAAGATTTTCTTACTCTGCCCTCGAGTTCTAAACCACAGCCATCCAAATTATCACCATAATGTCTGCAACGGAATGCGTTACGTTTCAATATTTATGGGCGGTGTAGGGTATAGGAAAATAAAATATTTTCTAAGGGAAGTGCCACAAGATTGCTCAAGTTCTTCTTTGAAAATTTAACAGCCGAACCTTGGAAAGATCTTCTGATGAATAAGCATTTGCTGAAGGAATGTCACAACTGGCGCCTACAGAGAAAAACCGGGGATTATTTCGTACGGCTGAACCAGTATGAACGGTCTTGGACTGTCTATAACAAGACACCATTGCAGGGTCCCACGGATGACAGACAGCTCAGCGAGAGGTTTTTTATTAGAAGTATCAAGACATAACGAACTCAACGAGACGTTTCATTGTTGTCTAAGTTGAAGCTGATTCGGTTTGATAACACAGTCTAAACAACGCTTGATTCAAGCCTGTCTTTATAAGTCTCCAACTTACCTGGAAAATATCCGGTTTTGAAAACAATCTTATATACTCCGCAGCAAATAAATAAACTTCGTTAAGATTAAGAGCGAAATTCTTCCTTTCTTCAAGTAATGACGTCACTCTGTAGTTAAGGTAAAGATAATTATACAACGACATCTTAGCGGCATGGCATTGCATGACATAGCAATTACACACTGGTCATTCAAAATGATATCTTATGAAAGTCTCTACCTGGTGTGAGAGTAATTCTGGTTGCTCACGAAATCCACAATGAGAGAAAACGAGGGATATTTATCTGATGTCTTGGCATTCTCACCAGCCGTTTTCCTCTGAAAGTTTTAAAATTTGTCAGCTGAAGACTACAAAAAAGATGATTTAAAATATAAAAGAGATTTTACCTGTCGTCTGTGATGAATCGATATCCTGTGAAAAGCTTTCTTACTTGACATGGGACCAAATTTCTCCTTACTCTGAAAGAAAGAATTTCAGTAAACAACACTGACTTTGCAATGACTTGCATTCACTAATTTTTAAAATAAACTTTCAAGTACCTCACTCGGGGAAGCAATTCTCGTGAGGCCAGAGAACTTCAAAAGAAACAGAGCTTTATCTTTGCAGCTCGTGACTAAAATAGAAAAAATACTAGTGGGTATTCACCCAGGCCAAATAACTACGAGTTTGAGTGCGAATATGAATTAAAAGTAAGAGGGATAAAATCATCTTTACCAACTTCATCCGGATCTACAGTCTTTCCGTTCTTCTGTTTTCCTTCTTCAGCCTCAAGAATCAGTTTCTGTCGTGCTTCAACCTGACCAAAACAGCAGTTAAGTAAATTCGTGAAATGGATTCAAATATGGTCTGGAGATAGATAATTCTACTTACCAGGTTCATTCTCAGTGACTCTGCAGTTTTATACGCCTCGGATATTCCGGTTGGAATGGTTTCCGGAGGACAATCTGTCGCTAGACCGTTAAATACAAAGAAGAAACTCGATTTTAGGGACGAGGAACTCGCAATTCAACCGTATTATATGACGGCTTAACAGAAAACTCATTCACTATGCTTCGTTGCAAAAATATGAATCATCTGATATCTTACCAAACAACACCAGCTCATCGCGTAGTCTCTGTGAATGCCATAGAAGTGCAGCAAAGACGCATCGTATTGCTTCATCAACCTTCGCTCCTCCAACACGAGGCAAACCGCATGATTCTTGACATCTGAAAAAGCATCAAATCATTGTAAATCGTCAGACTCACCAAGGCTTTCCTCACAGCTATACTCAAAACTCTCAAAGAGCTAGTTCTTAATATCCTAAAAAGTCAAGCTTTGTCAACTGATAACAGGTTCCAAAATCAGCATTTTGTGAATACAGCTCGTTTAAAAGTACCTTTTCAAAAGATTTTGCCCTTTGCCTGATTCGTCTGTGGCCAGAGATTTTGCAAATGAGTGGATATTATAGTCAGCACTGAATGTCGTCGCCTAGAGACAAAATGAGACAGTTATTTGGATAAGGTTTATTAGAGTTGGCTAATTGGGTGACGGATAATTGGTGGGCGTGGTTCATTAGATGTGGCTAGTTGGATAATTGTAGGGCGTGATTCATTAGAATTGGCTAATTAGATGTGGCTATTTAGGGTGGTAGTTCAATAGAGAGACGTGATGACTGGAAGTTCCTCAACGTACGTGGTGTCCAGACAGAGACCGCTGAAGCTTGCCGTTATTCGTGAACCCTCCTCGGAATAAAGTTGTCCAGATATTGCTTTGTAATAAACCAGTATCGCTTTCATCTTTCTTCCGTTTATTTTTCTTGTTATCTACATCAAAATTAGGAAATATTCTCTCCAAAAACCTGGTCTATTCGGGCCATCTGACGTGCATCTTGTGTGGTGGAAATTGAGTTCTGTTTTAGACGAACATACACACCTTTTGGATACCCAGCCATGATTGAACTACAGAACAACCCGAAAAGACTTGCCATGCCCAACTGAAGATCGAACAACCACGAGAGGGTGATATCAGGACAACCCCGAGCAGTCACCTAACGAGCAGAGATGATGAATTATATTTAATAACACATAGAGAAACTGTGAGATTTCATATTCTTAGGGGCTGTTTACATGAGCCCGGTTACCCGAGATTCAACGAAGCGTGAGATGATTTTGAGGTATTGAAATGAGCAGATAACATGATCCTGGCAGTCGTATAATCACCACAACAATAGCATGTGCTTGTTTGGTGTCATAAAAACTTATTTCAATACCTTAAAGTCCTCTCACGCTTCGTTGAATCTCGGGTGACCGGGCTCATGTAAACAGCCTAAATTAGGTCAACCTAAATTAGGTCAATCTGGGCCATTCAGAGATAATATGGATCATATTTTACTAACAACCTTATCAAAGAATCATAAACACTCACAGTAAACTTATATCCCCACTCGTTATTGCTACCGTCCGAATGAAAAAGGAAATTCAGTTTGTTTCCACCGTGAAAGACAACTTCCTATAATCGAAAATAAACATGTTAATACGTGAAGAAAATCGTGGAAACAAACCTCAAGGAGAGACGCTATAAAATTGCCTTTATTTGATCGTAAATATGTGGATCTTACGTTTGGCCATTTCTCTGTACCAACTTTTTGATCAAATCTTTTCTTTACACCATTTGAATCAGTAAACTCGAGATAATCATACCTGGAGAGAGAAATTATAGATTTGGAAGAGTCAAACCAAGAGGGCAGATAATTTTGTTTCTTTCGCAATGTACCCAAGGGAGAATTAGTCTTCTTGTTTGCCATAGGCTGAACATCTTGAGAGGGTTTCAAGGTTCACGGGAGAAATGCATGAGGAATAGTAATTCGTTATTTTTGGCAGAATCTACTCTCTCTGCATGAAGGGTAAAATCAAACGAAGAAGACAAGTGACAAGACTCGCCTTCGTTCAGTCTCGCATCTTGCATCAAACTCGACCAAAAACTCGCTACACCCAGGACAGGAAAACACCTGAAAATTTTATAAAATTGCTTCATTATAAAAAGCTCAGACTCTCAGAGAGAACTTTTCCAAAAAAAGATCAAACCGCTTTATAAAGACCATATATCTCTAAATCACACCAAGATCTTATCGCGTCGAACTCTCGTTATACGTATATCAATCGTAGCCTGCATGACCAACCGACTATCACTCGAAAGCCACACAAAAAGACACATGCAATAACATCGCAGATATTTCCTGAATTACCTTCGTAAAATTTTGATTGTTTTCGTAGTTATGCGAAGATTCCATCTCCCAGGTTCTCAAAATCACGCGATCCCCGTCGCCCATGTCTTCCGACAAATTTGACTGAAAACGAGCGAAGAAAAATTGAAGAAATTTGCGTGTACGAATTTGATTTGCTCGTATACTCATACCTCAGCGAAATATCTCGGCAGATCTTCAGCAATGGCTCTGATCTCACCAGCAACAGGGCAGAGATTACGCAGGATAATGAGACATAGTTCTTCAACAGAGGCCAACGTGTTCAAGAACAAAACCTTCATAGACATTAGCTCAAAGTTATTGAAATCAAACATAATCAATATTCTAAGTCGTGCAAACAACCTTATATATAGACTTGATGGAATCACAACAGTCTGTTTGACAAGCAAGCTATAGTTTGTTGTAGACAAATGCTTATGATTTTTCACACAGACATGAAGAGATGAAGCCGATGAAAATGAAAAGGTTTGAAGAGATATTTGCAAGTGAAATCACGTACCATTTGTCTGAAGGTGAAAGCAACGAAAGAATTTTCCATGATTGTTATCGCCTCATCCTAAAATGAAATATTTTCAAAAATTAAGGAATAAGTTTACGAGAAGACCATTGCTTCAGGATAATACCAACCTTTGTTTTTGATTTATCAATACAAGATAACGCTTGTCTTGTTTTTTCAGCTATCAACTCTGTATCTTAAATCACACAAATTTACATGAAGTTAGAACCGTGGTTGACTAACTCTCATTCATGTCCACGCCATCTACAAAGACAGCAAAAGTGAAAGAAATTCAAATAGATACTCCGTACATCTTGCAACGATTTCAATAGCGGCTTTTTTTCCTTCCACGTTCTCGGCTTCAATCTGTTGTCTTCCCCAGGTCAACAAACTCTTCTGCATCGCGCTTAGCAACTGCACCAGGTTCGATGTCTTACGCTCCTTGTGCGGATCAAAATCACATTGCAAAGCAGATTGACACTAGAATAGAGAGTATTACACATGAAAACAGTTTACAACTTCCCTTGGACAGTTTACAACTTCCCTTCCAACGGACCCTTCATATCCTTTGTAATGATGACAGTGGGTGACAGTTAATGACAGTCAATGACAGTGGGTGACAGTTGGCGATAATGACAGTCAATGACAGTGGATGACAGTATGGTATAAAGACAATTTAAAGAATCAGTTTCGTACCTCTTGGAAGGCCACTGACACAAGGGTAGACATCACGGATAAAACAGATTGGTAAGCGGACGCCGACTGTTAAAAAATAACGTTGAAATATGGGACATGAAATATGGGACATGAAATATGGGACATGAAATATGGGACATGAAATATTCACTTGTGGTGTATTCGTTCTAGTTTAGTTTAGGTAGTTTTATTCACAAGTTGTTGATGACGCGATACCTTTGTTGAAGTGGTTGGCAAACCAAGGAGGCCTGAGGCATCTTTGTTGCTAAAAAACTTGCAGAGTGATTCAAATGTCAGCGCCAACGACTGCGGTTTCTTTTCCTCCATGACGTCATCGACCATTGACAACAAATGGTCTCGTCTGGTATTTGCGTCTGGGAAGAAAACCTCGGTTCCTGAAGAGAAAGGAATTTGCTTCGACCGGTATTCCTTGTTGCTAGCTAACTTAGCTTACCACACGGCCTAACAGCAGACGTTTTATCCGTCAGCAGTTAGAGCAGAAACGATGATGAAGGAACATGACTTACCATCAAGAATAATATCCTTAGCGATATCCACAATTTTCCTGTGATATTTCCCTGTGGCGTCATCAACCACTTCACAAAGATGTTGAAAAACTCGACCGGAGAGTTCTTTTGCCTAAAGAAATACACATGATTGCATATGAATTTCTCCATTCTTTGCATCCAATAAGGTCTGTCCCATGTAAATAGAGATGGGAAAGCTGTGTACACGTGGGCACAAGTAAGGATAATTGTGTACAATTGAGTACAATCACGGATAACTGTGTACACAAGTGGAGATAACTGTTTATTCGGTCCTTGAGTACAATTAGAGAGAGCTGAATACACAAGTGGGGATAACTGAGTACAGGTGAACACAAGTAGGGATAATTTTACAAGGATATCCACGTACATCACCCTCGGCTCTCTCATGTACATCATGTTTCAAGAAAGGCAAAGCTTGATGAAAGAGCCTCAATACAAGACTCGATGCAAACACGGTGTTCTCGTCTTCACTGAAAAAACAAGGGTGGTTTTGATGAAAATTCTATCTTAAAGCGGGGGAAATTTCATCACATGGAATGTACCTCGCGACAATAGCAGAATAAACATCCCAAATTTGTTTTAACGAGATCTTGGTCATATCTAGTCGAGCCTCCTGTTGCAAAATAGAATATCTTTAAACCAAACAAACGAGGTAAAATAGATAAAAAGAGTCTTTCATTTACGCTTCGAGCAATGAAAATCGCGACAAATAGTTGTTGTTACCTTTTCAGCAACCTCTGCATCTTTTTTCTTTTTAGCACAAACTTTCTACATTTTGAGGAGAATAAGACTAAGAGTTTCTGACGTGGTAGGTTGGATAAGTAGCAAAGCAAAAAAAACAGTCAAAAGGCGATCTTACCAAATCTTTCGCCATGCAATCCAGGAACAGAAGAACCTGTAAAAATAACGTGGAGCCAGAGACCTGCTCGTTTTCTGGTATAGATGTGAGTGTTTTCTAGATGAGAAATGAAATGAAAAACATTGATTTCATCAACAAGCAAGTTGACTTGCCATTGTGCGAGAGTATTGAGTACTTAACTCTGACAGTCTAACGTTAGGCAGTAAACACGAACACTCACCCATGTCTCACTTTCTTGCATTTCATCCAAAGTTTTCTCGTAACCGTAGAACTGAATTCCTAGAATTCCCATGCGTTCTGCTTTGGGATCGCGTGTTCCCAGGAACTTCATGACTATGAACTAAAAGAAAAGATTACAAAAATAAGGTTTCTAAGAATTCTAACGCGGAACGGTCTGTTAAAATGGACAAAATACCTTCCCTACAGCTGGTTTATCAAGATGAATATCAATCTCATCCCTGTGGAAGAAAATACAATCGAAGCTCAAAAATGAACGCGATTTCTTAAGGCTAATGCACTTCAAAATATATTTCTCTTCACAATGCGAAAATATTTGCAATACCATTCATTATCCATGAAAAATATGGCCACAGGTTCATCTTCAGCTGCTAATCTTTGGGACCTATTAAGAAAATGCATAAAGCATTATTCCCTGATCTTATCTTACTGGAGTAATAACAACGTTTAACTGTGCAAACATACTTCTTGAGATATTCTTGATACTTGGTGTTATCCCAATCATTGTATTTGTCAAGATGGCTCACGTCAAGTTGACCGTTGTTACTGAAGAAGAATTATGTTTATCAAGATGCAAAATTTAGTAAAAAAAAAAGGGTACTGATATAAATAAACTGGATAGTCTATTACTTCTAAACTGTTCTTACTGGAAGACCAGTATTGATCTAATGAAACTACAGGAGGAAATTCAGTATCAAAAGACAAGGATCTGCGTGAAATAAAACTAACATTTGAACTTCGTTATGCATGAACACTAGCCCACAACGAGGCCCAATTCCGCCCTTGCAAACCTAAACAAACCATTGAGAGAGGTCATGATTACTGAGAACAAGAAAAGGTTACTTAAACGTGTCTTTCATGAAGTATTAGTTACCTTTATCGTTACTTTCGTCAGCTGAACGGTTGTTGATCTCTCGCTATTGAACGCCATATTGAGACGCAATGTTCCAATCTCAGAGTAATAGGCTAGGAATGAAAGTGCGTAGATTAGAAAAAGACGTATGATCATAGCTAACACCACATATATGATCAAAGAAAATCTCAATGATTAAACGGGAAAACAGGTAGAATATTCACGAGAAATTGAGCAGGGACACAAAACTAACCTTCAGAGGTCCAGTTTTCACTCAGAACATTCTTAGGCGCTGAATTTTCATCCTTGCTCCCTCCGTCACAACCAACGAAGCCGACGGCCAGTTTCCCACCTGAAATACGAAGTTAAACTCTTATAGCCATTCATTCATTCATTCATTGTACCAGCCAGAACGGTGCGGCGTTGCCGAAGAGAACTGGGGAGAGGGAGGTTGTAAATGCATCATGGGATAGGCTTTTAGACGTGAAGAAAGAAGCTCGTCCAATGATGCATTGTCAATCCTGTTATAAGTATTACCACTCCTCTGCCATCAAAAATAAGGCAATGCAACTCTGGGTGCAGCGCTGTAACCAACTCAGTTATAGAGTCCGGTTGTTGATCCATTAGTACCCCATAGTATCCCATGGTACTCCATAGTATCCCATAGTATCCTACCGTGTCTCTGTATTGCCCTCTCTTGTTCCTCAACTAAAGAGTTGACGATGGTCTTCGCTGTGAACTTCAAATGCATGTTATCTAAAAACCAAACGGAAAATAACTAAAACTCTCTTCCACAATCTGATCATCCTAAATTCCCACACACAAAAGCAGATACCATAAAGTAATCGTAAAACTTTGAAAATTCCACCAAGATTTCCTCGAACTAACGAGAATTCAATCAAAACTTGCATTCCTTCTGAGTCTAACTTGTCATCGTAACTGAAATAAAAGAAAAGAACCAAGCGTGTTATACCACATTTGATGCTAAGTTGTTTGAAGACGCTGCCACGCTGCTCCTTGGTTATATTGATATAAGAATAGTTTAGTTTATTCACAAACCAAGCAAGGGAGTAGAGAAATTTTTCCATTTCATCCAAGACACTGGTACTAATGTAGCTGGGTCGTACTGGAGAGGTGAGGGAGAGTGATAGCGGAACCATATGGCCAAGAGTAGTTCTGTGGAAAAACATAGGAGATTGATCATTAGAATGCCGTAGTATATCACGTTCCTTGCCGACCTATTCATGAAGATAATTTACCTGGTGTGGTTTAGAATTGTTTCCCGTAGTTTTGGTGCAACAGGAATCGCCATTGTCGAGGTTGCAGTAAGAACAGACACGTACCACACTGCAGTAGCGTCAGCAACACTTACACCCTTTGACTTCACAACCCTATGAGAAACAATCCACACTTAAACAGTAAATATATTTGCCTATGAGGTAAGGTCCCTCCCCTCATCCAACTCTGCTACCACCCCCCTCATCCAACTCTGCTACCACCCCCTTCCCTCATCCAACTCTGCTACCACCCCCCTCATCCAACTCTGCTACCACCACCCTCATCCAACTCTGCTACACCCCCTCATCCAACTCCGCTACCACCCCCCTCCCCTCATCCAACTCTGCAACCACCCCCCACCTCACCTACACCATACCCCTCTCCCCCAGAGCAAACTTAAACAATTCCTCACCAACCTGTAACCAATAGCATTCACTCCTCTAACTCTGGTATCGCAACCATCACTATGACAACGTCTGATGTTGATCTGAATAACTGCATCATCAAATGAAGAAGGTTAGATCAATGGTAATTGAACAAGGCGTTTACTATAAAATGGTTTCGTGAATAATCCAAGGTACCTGTGTATGGCATTTTAACATTTTCTAATAACACAACATTCCCAGTGATATGACTGTAAAATACAAAAATATACTATCTATTTACCACAGACTATTGCTCAGAAAAATTGTACCATGATGTTGTCTAAATTGTGTCCCTGTTCGTTCAAAATGGTACCTCACTATGTCCACAATTGTACCTCATTATGTCAACAGTTGTACCTTGGTATCCTGACATCATTCAGCTCTCTCATATTCATCTCATCACGACCCCCAGACACAACAACTCGCTGTGGCATATAACTTTGATCTGCTGAAGCAACGTTTATGGACAACTCTTTGACAACAACGTTTGATCTCATTCGCAACCTGAATTATAGTTTTAACAATATTTGATGGATGAACCAACAGACACAGCCAAAGTACTGTAGTTTTACCTGATCCAATGGGACCTTGCTGGACCATCTGATTGCCAGTAACTGCTCTGATCCCCATTTGTTAATCTAAAATATAGAAATACTTAACTACTTACAACTGTAATAGACTAATAGAGCACATGGATCATCAAAAATCCTCTAAAATTATCACCTAAATCTCTAAAATGATGAATAAATGTCAGAGTTTTAACAAACCTGAAAGCATCTGCTTTGTTACTGGATGTTTCAGTTGAACTAAAACATTTTGTCAATGGACGAAGAAATTCACCAGCTTCGCAAGATGGCTCAATTTTCTTTAATTCAGCTAATTGAAATATAATATTGTGACAAAACAATAAATTCTGACTGGTCTTTTTAAAACTCCACACCCTACCCAGAAACAAGTGTTATGAAAAAAAGACCTCCCCCCCCCAAAAGGATCAAGGTCTCCTCCCAATGCATCTCTCTTCTTGCATGGTTGGTTGGTTCCAAAACTCAATCTGACATATCATATACGGTAATTCATGAGAGTTTACATAACCATAAAGTCGGCAAGCTTACCTTTATCCTTGATGGTCTGTAGGTGGGAATGCAAAACCTTTAACCTCATCTCAGTTGTATTACAGAATCCTTCTACAACTGGGGTTTGAATTGACGTACTTGACGCTCGGTTACGAAGAATAACCTACAACAAAATCTGTCAATGTCAAGGTCTTTCTCATGTGCATAGTGTGACAAATACCCTATGACGTATTCCCAATAAGTTTCTTGCAAACTAGAATATATATCTGAGCCATCATAAAGTTCCTGATTGATTGATTGACTGATTGAACAAACCTTTAGAAGGCGTTCACCATGATCAGGTATAGAATGTTTGTTCGCAACAAAAGCATCAACAATTCCTATAAGAAAATGTTAAAAAAAATCACATGAAAAGAACAGAAGTTAAATTATGTTTTCCAACACATAGTCAAATATCTCACCTGGACAAATGGAGCAAGCTTTAACGTTTTCAACACAGCACGCAATTCCCCTCTCTGGCCTTGAGCCGAACTTGAATTGTTTAAACACTGCAAAAACATTTATGAAGGGTTAGTTTTACCCAACATTTCAACTGAGGCTTGCATAACCAATATAGACAAACTGCTTTATAGTGCTCACATTCTGAAGAGTTTCTCGGTCAAGAACACCATCGCCCTCAGCATCAAACTGGTCAAACAGCTGAAAATATACAAAGTTCACAAATAATAAGTTAATGTACCACAACTTCATGATATGCAAAGAAACCTAATGTTATTAAACAATAATGTACTTACTTCTACAGCATCATCTTTCTCCACTCCCCTGTCAATCAACATGTCTATGAACTGTGCTAAGGTAATCGTCTCCTAAAAGTTAATGATCAATGAAAACAAATGGTTTATTAACAGGGAGACTAGCAAACCACCACTCAATTAAATTGCAATGCCCAGAAAGAGAACTGATCCAAAAGTGTTGCAGAATGTTCTCAGCCAGAACTGCATTTTCATGCAACTGCATTGCAACATTCCAACTAACCTCATGCCTTGAGCGTCTCTCTTCAACCCAACGTAACAGTTGGCCATGATGCTGCTGTAATATAGATACTGCAGGCTCCTCCCTTGCAAAAGGTAATGAAACTTTAAAAATAACAAAATATTATCTGGAAGAAAACATCTTGTTTAATCTTTCGCTATACATCTGCTTACTTTATTTTGGACGTTGCTTCTCGTAATAATTTATGGTTAAACAAAACACCCAAATCAAAGGTACTATCCAGTTCATCTTCTGCAAAGAAACACAAAACCTTGCTAGACTCTCTGCTTTTAATATTCATCATTCAATATTCATTTTTGAACCAGTTGATATTTTAACTTTAACCACCATCTATTTATTGCACAACCAGTCCCCAAAAGCATTCACCATAATCAGTAACATAATTGGGAGAAATACACTTACTATTTAAGCCATCCAAATCTGTGATGTCCTAAAAAATATTTATTTATCAATTTACCGGTTTTGTCAAACCTGATCAGTCAGTCTGTTATTTTGCTCTGGACTTTATCAAAGGTTACACTTGGACCACAGTTTGAAAAGTGCTGTTTATCATGTGTATTTGCAAACATTTCCCAATACATTATTAGAGATAAAGACTTTGCACACACTCACAAATAATAATTCTATATTCAGCAATTCCTAAATACATAATATTCAATCGTTATTTGAGATAAGATTAGGGTGAGGATCAGATTTGGGATTAATGTTAACCCTGATCAATCATAATTATAATCCAAGACCTAATCCTAACTCAATCCTAACCTAATCTCAAGGATTAAATTATCAATAACAAACTTTATTCCTTATGTCAAAAGTGAATTGGATCTGACAGCTGGTCTGGCCTTAAGACAAACATGTGTTTTGTAAAAACTTTCAATGACATCCCCATCAATACAGAAGTGGTGATTGATAACTGCATAATTTGCATTTGCATTGTTCTTGCATGTTTGAACACATGACACAGCAGTTTCATTTATACAACAACCCTTACAGCCTTACTGTTGCAAGTCTTTCCTAAGTTAGCCAACATTTCAGCATTTTGCAGAGTGAATGCATAAAATACCTGCCATCACAAACCTGTTAAAATTTATCTAATGAACACTATTTAGTGTCTTGTTTTAGTGGCAGTTTGTACAAACATACATATTTTTAGAAGACAAGTTTCCTATACTTTCCATTGTCAAGGTGACTCAAGGTTATATTTTTACAGTTTCCCTGTTTCAGTAGAGCATAATAATGTCAGGAGAGCAACAACTGCTCAAATTCTGCGATATTTTAACCAAACTTTACTGAACAACAGCTGTAATACTAAGTTTATCAAATAAGAACCTCTCTAAAGAAATTGTAACGTGGAAGTCAAAAACGAAATTAACCTTTTGTAAACAGCACATTTCAACTTCTAAACTATTTCTTATAATGTTATTAAAAACACCAAACACAATCGCAAAACCTGCAGTAAGTTTCCTTCCTCCTCGTCGCTATCGTTGTTCACGTTTGACGGAGAATTTCCCATCCTTTCTTTATGCTTTTACCACGAATAACATTTACAGGAACTCCATTTTGATTCTAACAAACAGCTCCCCCCCCCTGGAAATCCACGGCGCTTCTTCCCTGGTGGATTTTCTATCTATGGGTTGAACAAACCCGCTCCGGTGTTCCGGTTACCAGTTTATTAATTAATAACCATAGTCTTTTAAATATACCAACATGTGATGTACCATAGCATTAGTTATACCATCTCACATGACATTAGGCCAATGACTAATATATTTCATTATATACACATTACAACAATTGATTTATGATAAGGAAAACATAAATTTCTCAAAGAATATCTCCCAAAATGGCTCCAAAAGCAAAGAGATTGTTATTCACAAGCATTTAATGCTTTTTCCCCACCATTTCAAGCATTGCATTAGCCAGGCAACATTCACAAAGTCAGACAGAAAGTCAAATCCAATTTCCATCTATTCACATTTTATTGTTTTAATAAATTAGTTTAATTCACATTTTATTGTTTTATTAGTGCAGTGAGGAGATGGATTTGGATGCTTTGCAAATTTTTCCAGCCATATAGAAATATGCACAACTAAATACAATATTATATAGTTTACAATGTACAATATTTAAAAGTTATCATCGCTGTCATTCAAACTTTCGCCATCTTGTGATCCACTTCCTGCATTACGGATATCATCCACATCGTCATCATCATCGATAATATCCTCATCATCATCATCATCCACTCCAATATCACTATCACCGGATGACAATGAACTATCACCCTGGAGGAAATACAGTGAAATTGTTTATGGAATTTATAAAGGATGTAGTGAGATAGATTAAAGAAATTGTTTCTCAACAACTTATCTATAAGTGCATGTGATATTTGTAATCTTTGATTGGGAATATGAAATCTGAGAGAATAAACAAAAAATGATCATCACTATGTACGATACCTCGTCAGACATGTCTCCGCCACCCATGGATCCAACCACACGAGGCCCATCTGAAATGGAAAATCATATTCATATTTTAATCAGGAAGCATTTGAGGCTAATGTCAGAGATCTGCAAATAATCTGTGGATCTCAACATCAGAAAAGCATATATTATGATGATTTGTAACCATATCTTGTCTCAAGACCTTCCTGTCCCCACCTGATTTAGCCCCAGGGGGCCGTCTTCCATTTGTATCAATCAAAACTTCATCATCCTCTTCATCATTGTCATCATCATCATCGGCCACAAAGTCATCCAAACTGTTGAAATTATCCGACTGTAAAGATTTCTTCTCCTCGCTACGAATTTTCTCTTGTATTTCACGCAAGTTTGCCTCAGTTTCCTACAGCAATGTGTTAACACACTAGAGTTAGAGCAGTATTAAGTGCCCCTCTTTACAGGTATCCCTTCCAACCCCTCCATCACCCTCAGGAGTAACCTGAATAGTCCAATCCCTTGCTTCAATTGTCCATACACAGTACAAGGCAAGCTTGTTGTTCAAATAATTCTGACCTCAAATTTATTCTGTTCTGTTCGATTGACTTCCTCCAGTAAATGTTCAAGGTACGCCAGATTGCGATACTTCTCCATGTAAACCTATATACAACACACCATTAATTTTCATCAAATCACCAACAACCAGTATTCTAAGAAAGATAACCAAATATTCCACCTCACCTCATATATACTCTTTAATTCCACTTCCAATTTTTCATATTCATCCATAAATGCTGGTCTAAAATACATGCAAAAGTATTAAAGTATTGAATAACCTTGCAAGCCTTTCTTACAAGAATCAAAGCTATGGCCCTGGGGTTCTAATGCAGAAGATTAGGATATGTATTACCTCACACTTTCTAAGCTCTTCAATCGCTTTTGGTTTCTCTCCAATTCTGCTTTTTTCTTTTCAATTTTTGTCTCAAGATTTGCCTCGTCTGAAGCGATGTTATCCAGCATGTGGTTTGTCTTCTTTATCTCATCCTATGCAAAAGAAGGACTGTCAACAAAATCTCATTCAAATCAGGAAAAGATCATCCAATAAAATACCTTAACATTCACAATGCTACTGCTTATTCCACTCTCCAATTCATTCAATTCCAGTGGTTTGGAAATGGCAATCGATCTCATTTCCTTTCAAAGAAAAAATACTTATCAGCTAGAGGATGATTGTGGATTAGAATTAACTTTTTTGGACCATTGAGTCTGGTTTGTGGGCTGTCCAGTACTGTAAATGTACAATCTAAGAATTCTAATATTGTTCTTACCCTTAGATCAACTTCACGTCCCAGGAGATCATGAAGACTGGCACCTTTCATTGTTATTTCAGATGCAAGTGTTCTGCATTGCTTCAAATCACTGATCTAAAAATTATGCAAAGTTAGTGTTTCATATTCTCACACATGAGATATCTTTAAATTAATTTGATGCAATTGTGTGCTAAATAAGTTGGATAAAGGTAATCCTTACTGACCCTTGATGATATATCAAATGAAATTTGGTTGACATTCGAATCTGAATCTGAGTCCTAATAGGAGATGAAACAAAATTATTTTACTTATGCACCAGGTGAGGACTGGTTGATGGGGCAATTCAAAGGAGAATAAAGGGTAAAAAGCATGAGACAAGATGAGCTATAAGTAATGAGGGAATAAATAAAGAAAGAGAGGGTAGGAAATGAAGAGAATGCGCTATGAGAGAGGTAAGGGATGAAGGTGAAGTTGGTACCTACCTCTGTTACATTTGTCTTCATTGCATCGTATAAAACTGAAGTGACTTTTAGGAGCTCTTTGACTGCATAGCCATCAGCACCATATAAACGCTTTGTGTTTAGTTTGATATGTGCTTTGGTTGCCTGGTGGGAAACATGAAATCATAATATCAATAGTGTAAGAAATATACTGAGCTTATGAACCTTCAAATAATTTATTACTTACCATAAATTGGGCAACAGACTTGATAAAGATCACTCTGTCTTGTTCTGTATCAATATCAGTTGGTAAATCAGCATTTGGGTCATACCTATGATTTTAAAAATACCATAAGACACCATGCACTTCATATTCTGCAAACCAGGGTTTAATAAAGTTTCCAGTGTACAAATTCTGTGTAAGATTTCATATTATTGGGCAATTTGAAAGCTTCTCTCGTCAGCCACTAGTTTTCACAGGAACAGGATGTTATTTACCTTTTAACCAGCCATACCAAGACCTCCGCAACCAAGGAGAAATTTGGTGATCGAAAATTTTCCATTGAAATAAGCCTTGAGTAGCCCAATGCTCTCATCATCTCAGTAAAATCTAAACAGACAAAATTGCTAATTTTACTGCAAATTAAAAGGCACTTGTACTGATAAAAGCATGGATTAATTGACTAAAAACTTTGCAGAAATAATTATATATTGTTGTTTCATGCTAAAATATTAAAATGTTTAGGTTATTTTATAATAAAGTTATTTAAAAAAGTTATTTAACAAGTTATTGTTAAGAAATTGTCACATTTTAGGGATTTTTACATCATTTGTTCCCAAGGAAATAAAGTGTAGAAGCATATCTCAGGTAAAGCATAAATATTTATTTTATTAATACGTACAAAATCCTAACAACCAATGTACAAAAATTAAGAGTGGTTAACATATTAAATCTGGACATAGAAATAAAAATTTAGGTTTGCTCTAAGCTAGAATTGAAGCTAGACTTACTTCGCAAGTCCCTATAAGACATTTTAGTTGAAAACTGTATCTTTCACAGCCAATTTTCGGAGTAAGTTTTAGAGATAGAATTTACCAAATTTATATATTTCTCGATTATTTCCCACTACGCATGACCCGTGTCCTCGTCCGCTGAACCTCGTTTGTTTACGTTTCCCTGGCAACCGCGGCTCACCTTACATTTTGTAAACAAAACATCCTCGACGATTTGTTGTTGTTTATATTTTAATTGTGACTAATCATGGCTGTAAACAACGCTGATGATAGTTTCGGAGATTCTTCAGTGAATCCATACGAAGCAACGAGATTATCGTTGTTTGATATCAATATGGAGAAAGCAAGAGCTATGAATAAAGTACATAAAATTACTTTTCGTTTTTTTTGAGATTCATTTTACTCTGTTGATCGCAAAATATAGCTTTGAAAAGATATATATTCAAATGGTGTACCCTTTTCTTTCACTAGAAGCATCTAATACATCGTGTTATATTTGTTGCCAAGATACGCCCTGCTGTATCTGAAAGACGGGAAATTGGAGGTGGGTGCAGGGTGATGACCTGTGATCTGGGGGTGAAGACGTATGCATATCTCACCTCAAGGCCATAACAGATCGTCACTTGTTTCTTACCAACTATAATGACATGCCATGATTGCATATCCCCTTTGGTTTTGCCAGAGTTGGACATATTAATATGATATCATACACCAGCCGCTGTTAAAATGATACCATGTCATTAGGTGGTTGTAAGCAAATTATGACCACTATAACATGGGATATTTACCATATCAGCATCTCCTACCATTGGTTTAGGTCATTATGAAAGACTTTTCAAACACCTTCATTCTCAGATTCAAGGAGAGACATTTACTGGACTGCTGCTAATCTACCCATCACATATCGTCCATATTGTTGAGGTTCCCAGTTTAAATTTTGTGGCTGCATGTATTTGAAAAATATACTGAGAGTTAACTATACCTGTTCCTTAATAATCTCTTAGTTTATTTCAAGCTGTGAATATTTGATTCCATAGACATCAACCAATATACTACAAGAAGTAATAAAAAGTTTGGAAAATACAGAAAATAACAAAGAGTAGGTTGGACAAAATACTAAAGCACACAAGGAAATTGAAAATCTTATAAATTAGTAATATTCCAAGCTGTTGTTTATACTAAGGTTTAAAGTTTTTTTATTTTAACAGTGGACTTGTTCACCAAATAAAGATTTTAGTTTATTCCCACGATGTATCCTTTAAAATATACTTGTTTTCTCCCATTTGAGGATTCTCCTGTTTGAGGCTTTGATCACAACAGTCATTTATTTTGCAAGGACACATCCTTGACACTACTGACTATGCAGATTCCAACTAGGCTTTTCACCCAATGGAGTTTTCGTGTGTTGAGTATCCCAACAACAAGAATGGAGAGCTATGATGCTTCACAACCATGTGAAACTGTTGTAAGTTAACATCAAACAATCAATAAACTGCATCATATCACAGTTTGGTAACATATATTTTGTTATATATAGGTATCTGAAGCAATTGTGCTTATGTTAAAACTAGGTCAATACCTGGCCAAAATACCAAAGGTATATTATATATTAAAAAAGTTGAAAATTATGATTGAGAAAGGAATGTTCAATGTTTAAGTGTTTCCAGTCAACCAACTTACTAAATTAGAAATCTTGCATTTAAGGTAAATCTCAAAGCAGCTATGGATCAACTACATGAAAAGGTGCCAGATTTACTATTACCACAAGGTAAAAAGAAAATTTGTTTTCCTAAACACATGATCAATTGTGTTTTAATCCTGCACTAGGATGCAAAGTGTTTTTAGATCTGTTACAGGGCATATGGTATCTTTTGATATTGAAAGTAACCACTTATTTTTTTCAGACATGATTGATTTTTTCTGTGAGTGTAATGATTTGTGTTCACCAAAACAATACCTGGACCATTATGGGAAACCATTTGAAATTGTCTTGGATGGTGGTAAGAAACAAATTATACCTTTGCGCTCCTCAGAATGTTTTAAAATTGTTCAAACTTGTCTTATTCTTCTCTCCAATTACATTTCAGAGCTTGTATGGCCAATACCAAGTTATCTTTTACCACTAAGTTAGCATGAGCTGTCTACAACAACATTTTGTACTATAGAGACTTTGTAAATACATTTAAATACTAAAATTGTTATATCAATTGTTAAGAAAATTGCAAATAATAACTGCACCAATATTTAGCTTTGGTGCAATTATTCTGGAATATTAATTAGTATGGTACTTATTGTTGCTATGGCGACCAAACGTGTACTAACCACCCTCGAAAAGAATCGTGGTATAGCAATGGCGACTCGGTTTTCTTCAAAAAAATGTCAAATTTTGACTTCAAAGCTGTTTCTTGTAGCGGTTCTTCGCCCCCGAAAGTCGCTTTTCACACCTGTTCGTTAGTACAAAACAAGTTCTATATTTTTGGCGGGTTAGATGACAAGAAATCCGTACAAAACAGGGTATATTGCTACGATCCTTTATGCAATGAGTGGAAAGAAATAACCCGAACTGACAATGATTTCGCGCAGAAAAGCCACTCGAAATCGCGACATTTTGGTGGAGTCCAGATACATGAAGCGCCTAAACTTAGTCACCACACAGCTAATGTAATAAACGAGTGTTGTATCGTATTTATTGGTGGTTGGACGGGCCACAAGAGAAGTTCTGATGCATATTATTATGACACTGTTGACAATACCTGGTTCCAAATACAAGTGCAAGGGGACATACCAGCAGGACTCAGTTCTCATACAGCCACCCAGATCTCAGACAATGAACTGCTGGTAATTGGTCGGGAGGGTGGGATCAGGACACAGCGGCGGTCTGGTGATGCATTCTACTTCAATGTAAAAACAGGTGCGTACAAAGAAGCTCACCTCCATGTGTCATCGAGATCAGGTCATACTGCAAATCTGGTTAAAACACATCTTGGGAAAAGTTATGTATTATTTGTACAAGGTGGTCGGAAAGGAGATGAATACCAACTCATTGGCAGCTGGAACAAAAAGCCAGGACAACAACCTGTGCTTGACAATGATAAAATAACTAGTTTTCTTTCAAAATGGAAGGCTTGCGAGAAACCTTCTGGGAGGCAACATTGTGTTTCAGTTGAGCTAAGCGATAGGTTTTTGTTACTTTTTGGAGGCGAGACATGGGCGGGGGTTAGGAATAATGTCACAAATGAGATCTACATACTAGACTGTTGTAAGATGAAGTGGTATAGTCCTTTAGAGGTAGGTAAGGGAATACCATGTCTTACTGGTCATACCATGGGTATGGTGAATGACAAAGTGTTTGTCTTTGGTGGGTTACTAGATGGTAAGTGTACAGACAATGTCTGGATGGTGGATTTGTAAAGGGTTGGGATACCAGATGCAACCCAATGCATTGTAAATGTATGTAACCATGCACTGATACAAATAGACAAATTTGTTTAAATACAATAGTTTAATACAATAAAAAAACCACAGTATATTGGATTTACATGTTATATATACAACAAATAAAAATTATTAGAATATTTATCTAGCTATAAATAATATGTATGTTTTGCTGAATAATATATTTACAATGTACATTAATATGTTCAGTTTATGAAAGTTTTCTTCCGTCATCTCCTTGTTCGAGAGAAATGAGTCACGCTGGTTTTTGGACGCATAGCTAAGAGCAAGAGGTGAGTTGGTTAATAAATATTCGTCACATATCTCACTTAGAGGTTCTGTCAAATACACTCCAACTGCAGTTGTCAATAATGAAAAGTAGGTCTAAATTTGAACTAAAATGTGTTATTTTGTATTCTTGTTTATTATAAACTAAAAAATGCTCACCTTGATCAACTTCTTTATTTTTCTTTTCTTCCTGAAAATCTTGAAAATCTCTCTTGTCATTCACCAAAGCCACTTCCTGACTCTCAAAAAATCCGCCACCACTTTCAAAAACACAGATTTTTTGTCATATTTTTGCAAAAAAAAGTTTCTTTTTGTTAGTGAAAAATCAAGGCCTCCAATGCCCTCCACCTTTGTTTTTTGTCAGTAGAATGCCAAGGCTTTACTTTGCAATAAATACCCTATGTATTCTGCTGAGTCTCAGTTACATTTTAATGCATAAAATTGTGTAAAAAGCCAGGGCAAGAAAGAATAAGAAGATTCCAAAGTTTATGTTAAACAACCCCTTACTTGATAACAAAAGACTTCTCCTTTCTTCTGATAGTTTCATCATCTGTGAACAGGATAGCAGCATGCGGCACTGGGATATTCATGTTTGGTAGAATGCCTCTGGATCCTGTTGGTACTTGAGGAAGAATACCATTGAACACCAGCAAGTCATCAACAAGAATCTGAGAAAATAATTTAAAATCATCCAAATGCAGGCAAATGTTACGCGAAAGTTTGAATGGATTTTTCTGACTGCTGTTCCGCAAACCTCAGTTGAAATGGCTGTTGTAAGAAACTCAACATTTGATAAAAAATATTGATCATATTTACCGAAAATTGTCGAACTCCACGAATTGGTGTTTTGCGATAATTCCAGAGTTTGATCATTGATATTGTGGTCGGCTGGTCGAATACCACGTATAATAAGTTAGTCTGAAAAAAACGCGAATTGGAATCAGAGATTTATATAAGCATATGCTTCATATAGTGAAAACATCTTAGTATATTCTGTTGGTTAGATATTAGAGCTTTCCCTGGGAAGTTCTTCAATCTTACCATTCCTGGAAAGACAGGAGCCAACCACATGTGTCTGCCATCGTCAGTGTCATTGATTCCGTCGATTAATTTTGCTGGTGTTCTCACATCATCCTTTACTCCTTCTAACACATTGACACTGTCAGGGTATGCTGTGACATCTGGCTGTGAGTTAAGGAAATACTGTGTGGTGATGGTCATATCATAGTATATGGTGATATAATAGTATGGTGATGGTGGTATCATAGTACGGTGATGGTCATATCATGGTATGGTGATGGTGGTATCATGGTATTTGTGATACCAGGGGTTTGGTATCACCATCATCGTTAGGTGTTGGTCATATCATGGTTTGGTAAAGGTGACATTGTGTTGTGATGGTGACCTTATAGTATTGTGATGGTATAATATCATAGTATGGTGACAGTGATAGTAAGTTCCTGGTATTGGTAGCAATGGTAATGGGTATCCCAGAGCATGAGCAAAACTTCATTCAAACAAACGAATATCATTAAACAAAGGATACTCTTCTGACTTAGTTCAATAAGTTTCCCATCTTCATCAAAAAACTGCAAGCCATTGAGGCCAAGATAATATGGATCACCCCATGATCCGAACAGCTGGAACTGAAACACGACTAAAAATATTCATTAAGGAAGAAATCTTTGCAGGAAAGTAGTTTATTCACCCAAGTCAAAACCATTAAACATTACAATTAGAAAACTTGTCGAGTGAATGGTCTTCATTCAAGGACGCAAGAATTCTTTTTGTTGAATCTTGCGAAAAAATGTTTGATAAATTAATCCATACAAAGGATACAGCCACAAGGTTTAACTGTAAGTTCACAGTCGCCTTTGTTTTGACTAAACAGAAGAGATGAATGACGAGAGGTATATAAATTGCATTCATTCTCAGGATAGTTATTGTATATCGTTTAGTTTTCATGCTTACGTTGGTGTATAAACTTGTTTTATTTCAGGTTTCCTCGGCGACTTTACGAATGAGATCTCTTGACCAAAATCAAAGTTGCAATGACCAGGACCTAGAAATACAAATAAAACACAGCCGCTCGGTCAAAACATACTGTATGTTCATCCAGGAACTGACAGAAACCTTCGAATGAACTGACGGGTAAAATAATCTACAGCTAGATTTAAAATAGTTTTGCTAAAGGACCAAGTGAAATTCGTGATTTCTGCAAATTTCCATGGGCGAACTGACACAAGAAAATTTCATGAATATCCATCTAAATAAAAACATTTTTCTTTCAAACCTTTTCTGACTAAAATTCCTTCTTTGTTTCCGAGTTTTCGCCCATCAAGTTTCACATATATTCTTTTAACCTTTTCAACGAAAATGAAGTGAAAATTTCTATCAAATTCCCACATAAAAATTTCAGCCTCTGGAGATCAGTCATAAGTACAAAAGGAACCATTATATCAGCACTCCAACCCATCAAAGGCTTCCAATGATGATATTATTGATAAGGTACTCATACTCACCCCTCTATAAGTGCTCTCAGGCGATTTATTGTAGTTCCACACACGCAGTCCAGTGATCTCCATTGGTTGTTTTAAACTGACTGTAAGAAGATGATTTTCCCCAAGAACGAATGGAATCAGCCACATGTGTTCGTCTGACATCGTCACGTTAACACCATCCAATAACCTTAAAAAATACAGAATGATTACCGTCAGAGGGTGGTTGACTTGTGAAAGAAAGCAAATAAATGCATGAATATAGGTTTGAATATTACTTGTCTAATGTCCGATCATCATCTTCATATTCTGGTAAATCATTGAGATCCTTTGGACACGCCTTGAACAAAATATACAAGATAGGATATATTGGATTGAATAAGAAAGGTTTGGGGGCATTCCTTATCAGGTCTGGGTCGAGCTAGTTCATCTGCATGCTACCTAGCAACTCTCTTTTATCGACAAGCGTACCTGGAGCATATCTAATGTGATATCAATGATCTCGCCTTGGCTACCAAGAATTTGTAGTCCTGACAGACCAAGGTAATATATATCACCCCACGTCTCGACCAGGTTTAACTCCAGGACTAAAACATAATGTCATATGTAGGAATGCTTACAATTAAAATATTTACACTAGAAGATGTATCAAGTATAGTGTATGTTAAGTGTATAGACTATAGTGTTGTTACCTTGTCCAAAAACGTTCCCGCTACCCTCGTCGACGAATCCATCAGTAAAGTCTTCTGAAATGAATCAAAATATCTTATATCACACGTAAGGTTTTGCAAATTCTCCATTTTTAACATGTACTGCATACCTTCAATAACTTTATTTGGATACGTGGCTTCCAACGTTGGCTTTCTCCGTTCTTTGGGGCAGGTAAATGGCCTTTCTAACGATTCCTAGAAGATCATGCGATGAGTAGAGTAAAATTCAGCATTAGGATCAAGTGATTTAGCTGTAGGACTCGTTCTTTCCAACAGGTAGGTAAACAAAGACACTCGTGTCTCGAGGCATAAAAGAACGAGCGGTTAAGATTGGATCTAGCTTCATATGGTTAGAAGGATGAAGGATCAGAAGACATGGATCTTCTTTTGCGTGGTATAAAGGATTCAACAATCACAACGATTCCTTACCATCTCAGCACCAGTGTCAGCGGTCACGGGTCGTCTGAAGTTATTACTTGTCTGTAAGAAATCCTCGTCATCGTCAATGTCTGGTTCGTACGTCTGATCATTGGCAGCCATTGCTTCAAGAATCTCTTCATTTACTGTAAACAGGATCGTCTGAAATAGAAGAATATATTCACGATGTTAACAACAACGGCGATGGACAAGAATCAAGAGACCCAGCTTCTATATTCAGCCTCCCGTTTCGCGAGAAAGGTCATATATATTCTTCACGTACATCTCCGAACGTCTCCGATGATCCAAGCTCTCCACTCGCTCTAAAGAAATAGAAACACACCAATGATAAGAATGAGTAGGAACAGTCAAAACACATCAATTAATCCATAATGACAAACCTCGCCATCTCTCCTCGAAAGATCAAATTGTCATCTAGAAAAATCTCGACATCTTTGACACCACGAAATGAATGGATTCTGGATTTATTGTAGTTCTGAAACGAAACATTTCAGCGATATTACTCCGGACTCTGCCTGCGAAATATATCGATTTCACCTGTACCGAAGTAACCTCGTGAGTGAGTTCTCGTTAAATTAGATTAACTTACCCATATTCGTATCATAGCCAATGTTGAGGAATCTTTGAAATCCATAGTAATAAGATGATTTCTTCCCTCAGTGAATGGAGCCAACCACAGGTGCATGTCATCCCTACGTAAATAGCTTGGTTAATTCTCAAGAGAAAAATACTTCCATATTAAATTGTAGCACGGAGACAATGCCAAGGAAGCCCCCCGTCCATCCCTTCGCCCGGCACCCCCTTATTCAGATAACCCCCTTGAACACTTTTATCCCTCCTTTCCAATGCCCCTCCACTCTGCCTGCTTCTTTAACCCTTGTGTCCCTGTCTTTCCCCTAAAGGCCCTGTTCTTCCCCCACAATACCCCTCCCTTCATTATAAGACCCACTACAATCCTAATGTTCCATCGTTACCTGGTAAAATACACTCCATCAATCAGGTTCGACACAACTCGTGGATCCTTGCTGTATTCCGGAAGAATGTTGATGTCTGAAGGATCGGCGGTTATCTACAACGAGATACTTCATGTTAACACGAGAGAACCACAAATTGCGCATCACTGGTAAAAGCAAAGCTCGATCACCTTCGAAATTTGCACAGGTTTACCAGAGCTGCTGAACACCTCAATACCGTTCAAACCCACATAAAGTATTGATCTCCCCAGGTTGTGAGAATGTTTATGACAAGACGTCGACCCGTTGGCAGCTCAGGAATGATGAAATCATCCGTCGGACTGAAACAATGGATTGTTCAGAGTGAATAATCATCAAGTACTGCTTGTTAGCTAGCGCAGTACAGCACACGAGTCAAGAGAAGACCGTTTGAATTATTCATTTATTTATCTGTTCAAATCTACATCGTTTCACCTGGAGTTTTCATTCTCATCTTCACTTTGTCTAAGTATATCATCGAGGGCATCTCCTATGAAAAGATGTGTTTCATATAAGCATTACTACAAGAGATCAACTCACAATATCTCTCATGCACACACAGATGGAGTGTCCCAGCCAGCCAGCAATCAAACTATTTTCTCTCGTGTTCCCTACCTTGACGATCGATTTCAATTTTATTCGAAGGCGTTATCCTTCCTTGGTGACAGCGTCTGAACTGCGAGAGAGAGTTGAGAGATTCCTCCAGCCATTTTTCTTGTTCAACAGGATTCTCTTCAGGTGATGATGCATCCCCAACACTGGAAGGTAGTTAAGTATAGCCATTAGTGCGTTGCAGGGCTACGTAAGATGACCAACTACATAGAAATAAGCAAACTAATAGAGGGAAAAAACAACTCCACTCTTCAATGACATACTTTTGTCTTCAAGTACAGAACTATTTAGTGTGGTGCTCAGTAGAACAGTAAATATATTCAGAGACTTGCAATGGTAACTCCAGCTTGAGCTAATGTTTCTTATCCAGAGTCCGCCAATACAGTTGGTACGGAATGTGTGTATTAAAGTCGCCCTTTCCACCACAGAGCAATGCTAGTGTCTTGATAAATAACCTTTTCACAAAGCAATCGTACAACTGTTTTTTATCTTACCATAGTTTTGTTAGTTGTTCGTGTAATTCCAAGGGTTCTTGTGTTTGTTCCACACTGCGTCTGCCGCTTTCAGGACGAGGAGTTGTTCTTCTTGAGCTCTTTGAACTGTCAGGAGTCTGGTTTCGACTGCTCCGTCGTCCACTCGTCGGCCTTGAACGAGTCCTGGGTTGCTCCAACAGGCTAAGATCGTCTGCAATCCCGGATTCCAGGTCTTTTCTTTTATCTGCCAAAGAAAATATGGATTCACGATACGATATCTCACTGAAGAATGTTTTTGATGATTGAATGTATTCGTACCATTTTCTGGTTGATCTAACCAGTTTACAGGAGTATGTGGATGAGTGGATTGAACACGACTTGAGGAAGATCTAGCAGAAGAAATGAAGCATTGTTTATTATGCCACAAAAGTATCGATTTCATACACTATATGTATACCGTTTATCCTTCATTTCGTCCAACCAAGGTGGTTTCTTTGGAAATTTAAAGGTTTCCGTCCTATAATGACGTAAACAGTCATCCGTGAGTCTATAAGATTCATTAAATGGAATTGAATGGTTGAGAAAACGAGGGATTGGAAACATACAATGGGAAATCAATCTGGGAGAAAAATATTTCCTTCAAGGTAGACAATTGTCCTACAGAGAGGTCATATAGTTGATTTAATATGGAAAAGATTTACTTCAAGAGTTGTTCCGCGTGTGAAATTTCATCTTTATCCTCCATGGCAATCTCACGAGATCCACTATTGAAAGAAATAAATATATTTATAGCCATAGTAAGTTGGACAGAGATTGTGGAAAGATACAAGACATTTTGTCAGGTTAGGTTTCTTACTCTGATTGTAAAATTGGTTTTGGTCCTTTGTTTCGTGAGGGCATTATGATGGATGAATCTATGACAATATCGGGAGATCTAGGTGCATCTTCACCAGGATGAAACGTGGGCGACTCACGATGAACAACCATGTCAGAATCGTGTCCCTGCAACGATACAAGAGTTAACTCGTGCGCAACGCTGGAGGGGTTTCAGTGTTCGACAAAGTCGTGAATCGTACGCACCTCAGTATTTCCTCGATTCTCTCTGGTGGATTTCAAATTAATCTCTTCGGCATAATCGTATATCTGATTGCCACAACCCTAAAAAGATCAAATTCTTTTGACGACAACAATTGAAAGTAATACTACGACGATTAAGTGGTAATTTAAGAAACCTTTCTTAATAGTGTACCTTATCAATGACACCATCCCAGGCCAAACTTCCGCTTGTGAAAATTCTCACTTCCTTAGCCCCAATACTCAAGTCCTACACAACCAAGGTTCATGGTCTTGATAAAAGCAACACTAACAAGAGTAATTCTTACGACACAGGACATTACTTCTATGAAAACAAACCTTCATTTTCTTGTTATAATTCCAAACTTTGATCCTGCTTATGTTGTGCTCCCCAGCCTCCCACTCGCACGGTACTTTAAATGTCAAGGAGATCACTTCCCCCGTTGTGTACGGACACTTCCACATAAATCTGCCATTGGTAGTCTGTTGAAAGCAATAAACAAATTGGGTTTTGAACACTTTGAATAAGGTGTTTGCTTTCTCCTCATATACCAATCAAGTTAACTTTACTAGCCAGATGTAAGGTACCGAATGAACGGCTTATATAACCTTTGTTTTTCCAATGACCAGATTTGATAAAGAGGTTTCGAATCTGTCTTTGTTTGATGAACTGATTTCATTTTTGGGGACATTTATAAGCAAACCATTTTTGTCGAAAAACTGGACCTAACAAGGAAAAAAAAGGATGAATTAACGAGGTCTGCGCTTGTGCTGGGTAAATTCTTTGATTCGTTGTGATGGTTCTCAGATAGAAAATGACACTCACCTCCGTGAGGCCAACATCTGAAGGGTGGCCCCAGTTCGATCGTATTTCTAAAAGCACTTCCAAGAAGTTGTTTTTATCCAATAACGGTGCCTCCCTGATTTCCTGTGAAAATAGGATAATGGTAAAGTCTAATATGGATGGTCATGGTGATTCACATGAGATGGTACATATGGTACATATAGTATGGTATGTGGTATGGTGATTAGTGATTCCATATGGTATGGTTCATATGGGATGGTACATATAGTATGGTATGTGTTATGGTGATTAGTGACACCACATGGTATGGTTCATATGAGATGGGATGGTACATATGGTACATATAGTATGGTCATGGTATAGTACTGGTGCGGGGTACCGTACCCAAAGATCTTCTCTGGATGAGCCAACATCTTCTCTTGGTGACAAAGATTGTGTTGGTGATGATTCTGAAGACCCAAACGCAATTGATGGCTGCACTCTCGTGGCAGCTGAGATACTTTCTGCGGCAGTTGGATCCAACTTCGCTAACAGATCCATCAGCTGTTTCTGTTGACTGCAGGAAAGATTTATTATCAATCCCACGGCCTTTTCCTCAGAGGTGACACGTTTACATAATAACGAGCCTTCACTCTTACCTAGCGTTCATAGTGCGGACTTTCTTCGTAACCATGGCGACCGTTTCATCGCTTATCGGATTGGTCAATTCACTGCCTGTTTTCGATGTATCTATTTTACCGGAATGACCTGTACGCTTTGAAGAATCTCTATAAAATTCTAGGAAACAGGATAATATACGTCAAATTGATTTCAGTTTTTTCAAATTTCTGAATGCTTGCAACCCACCAGCTTGGTTGTTCTCCAATGCAACAGCGTTGAAAACATCCTGAGAACTGTGAACTAAACCAGACTCTTGTTTCTTCCGTGAAGTTTTTGACAACGGCTGCGGTCCACGGGTGTTTGAAGCTATGCAATGAGACAAACGTATTTATTAAATATTGTAAGCAAGTCGCGACAAGCCAACGCCCCAAGCGTTCATACAGCTTTAGTACCTTTAGAAAACGACAGAACAATTGTGTCTTCCTCAGGTTTTATATTCTGACCAATCACAGGTCTGGCTGATCGCAAAGCTTCGTCCGCTGTGTCCTCATATATCACATAACTTCCCCTCAACTGTGGAACATCTTTAAGAACATCTCTTAAGTCAAGGCTTGTATCAGCAGTCTCAATATCCTCTTCTATCTCTTCATGTTCATCATCATCATCTTTGATATCCTCTTCTATCTCATCTTCATCCTCAATGTCCTTGAGAGCAAGAGCATCAAGTGGTTTATCCTCGTCACTTTCGATAAAGGAGTCACACTGTAAAAAAGAACAAATTTGTAAAACCAAATGACAGTATAGATTGATACTTCAGACAAAAACAAAATCACTTTGAATGGAATGCAAATACAGTAAACCATTTTCTATTGTTAAATGCTTTTAGTTTAGCTAAGATATTGTTACAAAGATTGTTAATAGCTTTGTCTTAGATGTAACAATTATTATAACGCACGAACCTCAATGACAGTCTGGATACTCTCTTGTATTCTACTGTCCCTTTCTAAGCTTCTTCTAAGTTTCTACAATGGTCACAAAATAAAACACACCTTATTAACGTAACATTCTCAACACAAGTGTTTTAACAAGATTTAGGCTGCTCTTGATCTGAGGTTCAATTTATGCACTCAGTCTATACTGAAGGTACTCACAGGAACATCATTGAAACTCAAAGACAATTCTTGAACTTCATCATCTTCATCATCGCTATCTCCATCACTCATCTCTGATTCTTCACTCTAATAACCAGTGAAATGCCTTAGTGAGTCCACAAACGCTATTGCTTTAAATAGAAGTATTGGCAAAGTTATGATATCAAATCAAGATTATATGTAGTTCCTTCATACCTCACTGACATCATCTGCTACTTCATCAAAATCTTCACTATAAATTCCTGTTATGTTGCCTAAAGCATTCCCATACAATAGAAAATAACTTCAGAGAAACATTTTATATGAGATGATTTGGACCACTTCAAAGAAAGATGGAAGAGATCCCATACCTGGAACCTTTACTTTCAATTTTTCACCCTGGTCAGTTTTGATTTTGAAACCCATCTATGATGGATAGATTTACCATTAGGTAAGAAACATCAAATTTAAAACAAGCTGAATAAAAATTAAAAGTTTTCAAGATTACAGAAAGAAGTTGAATCTTACTGGTTTCCATTCCTTTCTGGTCAGTTTAGTTGGAGCAGTTTTTGCTCTGTTTTTCTCCCTACAATCAATCAAACACAAATATTAACAAACTGTGTTTAATGTCTATAGTTATTTCACCTATAATTCCTGCAATTAAATTTGAACCTGCTCCTTTTCTCTTGAAGAAATGTCCTTGAATGATTTTTTCATTCTAAATTATGTTTATTTTTTAAACTTACTTTGCATCCTCATTTAACTCAAGCTCACTTGCTAACAATTTTCTGGATGAAGAATGCTCTGAAACAAAACAAATTTCTTTTTATATAAAGTTTTCAGTCATTTTGAATTGAATAAAAAAGATATAATTTCATTTCTCTTAAATAGGAGGTACAACAGCTAGCGTCCAGCCATAATCTGAATTGGAATTGCTTTATGAAAATCTCATGGAGATGAAATGATAATCTGGAGATGCTTCACCCACCGTCTGCTGTCTTGGTTTGTCTTGATGTTGGAAGACTTGGAAACTCTCTGTTTGCGCCATTGATATAAACAGAAAAACCTTGTTCTTTCTTCTCCAGGGCAACCTGCTGTTCATCCTTTGTCTTTAGTCTTTTTAAAAGTCTGTGATCGCAAAATGATTAATATTTAAAATCATTATTCAAAATCCCTCCAAAAATGTAATACAGTGAGTGACAGTAGAATATTTAGCTATAATTTAGCCTGATTTTGTCCAACCAAGCTAATATTTTGATGTTGTGATTGACTGTGAAATGATTGGCACCAAATCCTCAGGCTGGCTATGTCACTAAATACAGTGTTGGTTGCCAGTATACAGTATAACTGTAACTCGTATCCCATGTAAAAATACTTGGCCCATTCTAGCAAAAGTAGGTGCTTTCCTAGATACTTGGCAGGTACCAAAAGGCAGGGAATTTTAGCTTACCGATTCCTCTTTTGCAACAACCACAAGTATTCATCATAAGCAGCTGACGCAATCTCTTTACCTCCACTACGCTGTGAATGTTAAAGAATATTATTACTCAAATATATACCCTGAAAATTAGAGCACTGTTCCAAAATACCAGATATGTACAGTTTCAACTCACCTGATCTGGAATTGATTTTGGAGCATTAGACTTTGGATTTTTGGCTTTTGAGGCCTGTCTATGTGATCCTAGATGCAATATACAATATCATCTTATATTGGTTACTTATTAGAATTTATATAATAGTAATACTATATATAACCAGGTGGTTTCTTCGAAGTTCATTGGTTGCTACTATTGGTACCTATGGTTCATTGGTTCACTACCTTTGCTACCTGGAAGTGATTGCTCATTACCTTTGCTACCTAAAGTTTATTTCTTCAAATACTAACCGAAGGTAATCCTTTTGGGCTTGCCAAGGGTTAGTCAATGTGCATTACCTTTTCTTAATATTAGAGAGAAAATGCTACACCACCGGAGTTTATCATATAAAGCTTTTTAAAATGGCTTTCATCTTGGTACTTTTAGAAATTTCAAGGGCAATTAATCATTATCTTGCAATAATTACAACGCTTGCAACCATTTTTCAAATTCCAAAGAACTTTTAACAAGAAATCCATGACAACAAGTTTATGAACAGAGCTATATACGGTTAATATAGTGCATTCAGTCACATTTAATTCTCAAAGCACGGCATTATCAAATGAGAACCACAATGAATTACTAGGAATAGACATATTACTATAAAATAAACACTGAAAATAATACGGAATAACAACAAACTTCATCGTAATATATGATGCTTCAATTCATGCGATCACGAACTCGTAAAAAACACACATACTTTCCATCATTGGCTTGCAATATTAAAAGCATCTTCAGCTCCTCAAATCTCACAAGGGAACAGCGTTAAAATATTGTGAAACAACAAAATATATCAAATTTAAATTGCATATTTTGCATTTGAATGATTTGATATAAAACCAAAAACAAAGACTGCAGTTGCTGTGGTTTAGTCAGAAGGGACTGAGTACCACAGAAATGTACGGCGACACTGATCTCGATAACACCTGGAGGCCGGCTGAGCAGTGAGCATGTTTTCAACTCCATGCTGTTTGCGCGTTTGTTTGCAAAAAACTTTAATACATAATATGTAACCGCTGTGGTTGGAGATTATAGGATTAGGCTACGCACAAAATTGTATAATTTTAAACCATTGTTAGTGGGTAGTTGCTAGCAAATTTAGTAATTTACAAACGTTCTTACATAGCAAAGATTTTGGTTCATACGCGCTGTTTTAATATGCATATAAAAATATCGGATTACTGTATTGGATCAACCCAGATATTGATTTATTACACAATCTTTTGGAGTTATCTTATACCCTAGGCTTTTAAAGCTAAACTTAAAATGTTATGTGCAGCACTATTTAATATATATATATATAATGTTATTTGCTAAAATATATATGCTGTTTAATGCATATTTCACCGTGTTTATTGTCATAAACTGACATGCATTTAATCTGAGTTTGCTGTCTAATTTTCCCACGAAAGAGCTGTCTTTCATACACCATATTTTTTCTATGCAAAATACATCGTAGAGTTCATTTTATCGTGGATTTTTATAGCTTGAATCATTTTACTTTTATCCAGGGTGACCCCCTCACCTCCAGAGGCTGAACTTCCATCACTGCTCCCACGGTCGACCTCACTGAGGTGGTAGCGGGCTCGAAATGCCACGTGGTGGGCGTAGTAGGCGGGAGCAGGGATGGACACTGACCTGGCACAGCGCACATAGGTGTGACACAACTGGTTGGTCAGGATCTGCAGGTCGTCGGACTTGAAGTTGCTGTCGTCGTACAGGACGTGGTAATGTGCTGGTTTACTGGTACCTTGGATACCAGCGTGACTGCAGAGGTACCAGTCGAACTCGTACGGGTGGCAAACCTGGGTGTCGACCACCGTCCCGGCGGGTACATTCTTGCTCTTTCCACGTTGATCTCGTGTATCTTCAGCGAAGAATCTAGCGTGATGTCGCTTCTGAACAACGATGAAGGTGATTTGGGGTTTGTAATCTCGATGAAGTTCCCTGCAGGCCTGTTGGAAAGCTTGTAGTTCATGAATGAGCACATCTCTGAACTGTCCCTCACTGACACCATCTCGATAGAATATAATCTTCTCTGGCGCGACTTTTGTAGACGCTCGGAATTTCTTAAGTAAGATCACAACCATTTCCTTTAACTCGGCGATGATCTCAAGACGATGTTTCTGAATGCGTACCTCAGCGCTGTAGAGGTTGGGATGGGAGTCCATGCTCGCTACGACCGCAGCAATCGAGGGCGTGGTCGAGTCACGTGGCGAGGGATGGGTGACGTCAGCGCCGAAGATGATAACGGGGCGTTTGAGAATCGGGGAGCGAATACCTTTATCTATAACAGCAGTTGTTCCACCGAGTTTGGCATTGATCTTGAGGCAGATGTTCGCCATCGTCTGCATATCGGCTTTCTTTGCGTTTTTCGACTTCACGCACTGGGTGCGAATGCCATATTCAACATCTCCGTAATGCTTTACCTCCTCATAATATTCATCCGTGCTTCCTCTACCGGGAAAAACGACGACGATAAGTTGAAGGTTGGGATAATCTTTGTGAAGCTGGCCAAAAAGATATCCGATGCCATCGTAGCCACGTTTTATTAATTTTTGACAGGGTGATGGGTGAATAAGGAGGTGTTTCTCTTTGCCAGCCATGACAAGCCTGTTGATGAAGTTGTCAATCGCGCGTTCGTCGAAGAATTGTGGATTTTCGTACGACACGAGTGCCCATTCTTTCAATTCTTTCGGTTCAAACATCGCTTTGTTTTGCATATTCCAAGCACCATCTTTCGGTTTTTCGCGGGTTGGTTGACTAGCTGGACCATAGTTCAGGAGAGGGGGTTCTAGTACACGGCCTTGCACAGCTACCATTTCCGTTCCAACCTTGATACCAAAATCCCGACAGTACGGGTCCTGGTCATATTTAGCTTCTCTAATCACCCTTTGGATCTCCTGTTGGCGTCGAGGAGCTGGTATGGCCGTGTGACGGATCATTTCTCGTGTCTGGTCTGCTGTTAATTTGCCCTGACGTCGCTGACCTTGCATAATATTACACACTTCCATTGGAAGAAGATTACCTTTGGCGCCGATCTTTAAGCAAGGCAGGTCAGGGTACTTCAGAGTGATGTTATACTGGGTTTTGAAATAATCAAAAACGCTGATCATTTTGCCACTCAAAGGAAACTTTGATTCTATGGCAGATCTCTCAGAAAGGCCACTGACCCTTTGTTTTCTCTTGACATGGGTTGTCTCAATCTTAATAGTTTTCATCTCTTTCCGAAACAGCTTAGCTTGACCCTTGTTAAGTCTGGCTGGGATGTTCCGAAGATTCAGGTAATCGCACATAAAGTGAAGAACCGGTTGTGATTTGTAAAAGGCAGTGGAACTTGTGTCGACGTTCAACATCATTTTCCATTGGGTCGGACGAATGCTGACAAAACGACCATTCCACATTTGCAGTCCAAGACCAAGGTCCATCTCATTTCCATCTGGGAAACTGAAGAATGATGGCCCCACAGGGATATTGGTCATTGATGGTAGGAATCTGAGAACAGTCTGTATAGCTTGCATGGTGTTTCTGGGTATCTCAGTCAACCTACCCTCTAGAGCTTCGTTGAGATCATAGAGGCTTACCTGAGCTGCCCATTGGATTGCAACCGTATACTCTCGTTCTTTGCCAGTATCCGTTATGAATTTAATTTTAAATTCTCGTTTGTCTTTCCCAATTCCTGGAATTGGCGTGCGGCAATACATATTCTTTCCGTCCTTGTCGTAAACAAGTTTGGGCCCGCTCGGATTAGCAGTCTCGTACTGTTTGACAATACTCTCTATTATCTTTGGTGCTTCAGTTTTGGTGTAACCATCACCATTCGTTTTGAAATTTGGTTTTATAGAAGTGTCATAGTGGTGGATATCATTTTTTGGCAACTGTACTGGTAGGAAGTTTACTCTGAGACGAATCGGTCGACCAACCGTGCCACCTTTATCAGGTCGGAGTGGTGGTCGCAGCTCACCTTTCTCAGAACGAGGTGGACCAGTCGGTTGTTGTGGGGCATGGATCTTTGGTTGAGCTGCTTGAGGTTGTGGTTTGCCCGCTGGTTGGCTAGGTGGGGGTGTCTTGGATGGTTGTTGCTGAGGGGTTACTGGTGTGGTTTTAGGTGTTGCACCACCGTGGGCTCTCAAGGGTGGTTGATCTTCTCCAGGCTTGTTTGGAGACCCACCATCAGTTGTATCTGGTTGCTTTGGTTGTTGTTTTTGTGGCTGCCGTTTTTGTTGTTTCTGGTGCTGTTGTTGTGGTTGTGTGTGGGAAGCTGTGCCCAATGGCCCTCTACCATGTTCTTGCGAAGCAGGTTGGGTTCCTCCATGCTCTTGTCTTTCCGCATGTTTCTTAGGAGTCTGTGCTCCCTGTTGCGTTTGGTTCTGGTCTGGGGTGTCAGAAGATGTCATTTCTGTCCCTGCTGTCGTTCACAGACAAAGCAGTTGCCCCTCTCTCCTCCTCTCCATGCTGCTGTAGACCACCAGGGGCACTGCTTTCACTTTGCCCACCTCCTCGTCCACGTCCTTTTCCACGACGGCCCTTTCCACGTTTTTTACCCCTCCCTCTACCTCCTTGTTCCTCAGACATTTGAAATTCAATTCTTTGATGAATTTGAATGTAAGATTTCAATGATAATTCGTTGAAAACTCGTTCAAGTAAACATCTACATACGTGATTCACTGCGCTCTTTCTTTTGATATGAGTTTAACACGTCATTTCTTAGAAGGTATTTTCCAGGAAACCTATAAAATTGTTAACGAAACGGAAGTAAACAAAATACGAACTCTGACAGCCTGACAAGTATCGCTTTGTATCCAAGGTTTCATTAAATTCTTACCTGTTTTAATTGCACGACAGGGCATAAAACTTTTCCCTGAAATAATATTATGTCTCCTTTCAATAGATTTTCCTTTTTGTTGAATAATATCGATGCTCTTTCTTGGTTAAAAAAATAAAATAAAACTTTACATTCATCTTCGTTGCGAAGCTTGCCTTAAAATGCCCTGTGCCCGCGCCTGATCAATTTTCACTGACTGCAATGAAAAAAATATAATTCGTCATTTTACTTCTCACAATTTACATCTGTTGTGTTTTTATTGATTCGATTATTTAAAAGGTTTTCACGGTTGTATTCTATAGAAAATACTGTTGCTACCTACAAACATTTGCGTTTTTTCTGTGTTAATAATCACTGTAGTTAAAGCAAGAATTTTTGAAAAAGCAAACCCGCGACCAGGCCGGGTGTTAAAATTGCAACGTAGTCGAAGGGGAAATCCCAAGAAAACGAAACTTAAAATATGTGTTTGTTTACAAGTTATTTTTTCATCAATCGCAGTGGAAAAAACTGAAAATCCTGAATTATAGCATATCAGACGTGATTCCAAACCCTTAAGGAAGGTATAAGTGCAATAAATCGTACAAATTTAGTGCTTAAAACATCAGCACATAATTTTGTTTATTACGAATTATGTCATTTATGTGAAAAGAATCTATGACTATGCATTTTACGCCATATTTCATACAATGATGTAATCGTATCTCAAACTTTTCTTTTTTACCCGGAATAAGGGGCTGACTTCCAAGAAAAAAGAGGAACAGTTATTCATTGTATGAATGGTTATGCGGTAGTCTCATGAATATTTTTTCATGCTGAGAAGAATAGAATAAACAAGTCAGAATACAAGAAACTTCATTGTCAATTATTATGAGTGAGCCAGGACGTGGACGAGGGGGGAAGAGGGGAAAAGGAAGGGGAAGAAAACATGGTGGAAAGGGAGGCAGAGGACAACAGCAGCAGCAACGTGAAAGTACTCCTGGAGGTCTTCAGGAGTTTGGATATGAACAAAGGGGTGCTTCTGCTATGCCTGAACGAAGACCAGGGACAGAACAACCTCAGGCAAGTCAACAACCAGAGCAAGAAACAAGACAAGGATCATCCGTACAGCCTGAAGAGAGACCACCAGAAAGAGAAATAGATCAGCAACACAAGATGACTAAAAGCCAAAAACGGAGAGCAAAAAAAAAGGCCAGAGATGAACCGGAAGAAGCAACCACATCAGCAGAGTTAAAACCACAAGAGACAAAAGCAAGATCTGAACCACAGCAGCAGCAGGTACAACAGACTCAGAAACCACAGCAAACAAAAGAACAGTCAAGGGGTCAACCAGATGGGGCAGGCCCTAGCAAGCCACAGGAACAGCCTAGCGCAACACCATCTCAAAAGGTGCCCAGGTCAGCTCAAACTCCCCCTACCCGCAAAACACAACCATCAACACAACCACAGCCATCCACACCAACAACTAGACCTGGACCCCCACAACAACAACAGCAGCATCAGCCTCCTCATGGAGCGGAGAAACCAGAGCCCCGTGGTGAGCAACGTGGTTCCCCAACATCACACAAGGCAGTACCAAAGCCACCACGCCGACCTGACAGTGGTGGCAAATCTGGACGACCGATTCAACTCCGAGCCAACTTCCTACCAGTTGAATTGCCAACTGAAGACATCCATCATTACGACACAGATATCAAAGAAAAAGGCAAAAAAAGTGGGGAAGGTTATACCAAGGCAGAAGCTCCAAAAATTATAGGAAAGATTGTGGAATTGTATGAGAAAGAGAATCCAACAGGTCCCAAGTTGGTGTATGATAGAAATGGCAAGAACATGTACTGTCGCACTTTGATTCCTAAAATAGGCAAAGACCGTCGACAGTATACAATACAGCACACAACGGAAAATGGAAAAGAAAAGACATTTATTGTTGAAGTGCAATATGCAGCTCCTTGTAGTCTCTATGCTCTTAACGAGGTTCTGAAAGGACGTCAAACGGATGTGCCATATGATACCATGCAAGCCATTGAGGTTGTTCTACAACAGTTGCCAAAGATGAGAAAGGAAACTGTCCAAGTGCGATCATCATTTTATGAGTTGCTGGGACATGGGAAGGATCTTGGTGCTGGGGTACAAGTCTGGAATGGGACATTTGTTAGTATCCGTCCAACCCAATGGAAAATGATGTTGAATGTTGACACATGTGCAACTGGATTCTACAAAGCACAGCCTGTCCTAGATTTCGTGTGTGAGTTCCTTAACCTGAGAGACTATCCAACTCGTTTAGATGAAAGACAACGGAGAAAGTTAGCCAAAGAAATAAAGGCAATCAAGGTGGAAACGACACACATGAGGCGTAAACAAAAGGCAAGTGGTTTGTCAGTAAAATCAGCACGGGAAGAAACCTTCGACTGTGAAGGTCAGAAAATGACGGTGATGAATTACTTCAAGTCAAAATACGGTATAAATTTGAGGTATTCTGATCTACCATGTGTTAAGATTGGTCAGAAGGGAAGTCTTATCCCAATGGAGCTGTGTGTAGTTGCCAAAGGTCAGAAGAAACAAGGGAGGTTGACTGGAAGGCAGACACAACAGATGATTCGCCACACAGCCATTCCTGCTCCAGATCGCATGCAGAAGATTATGGATCTTATCAGAAAGCTCAACTACGAAAGTGACCCGTATTCCAGAGATTTTGGTATCCGTATCATCAATGAAATGGTGACCATTCAAGGCCGGGTTTTAGAACCACCCACTCTGATGTATGGTCCAGGTAACCGACCTGCGAGAGAGTTGCCTCGTGATGGTGCATGGAAGATGACAAAAAAAATGCTCGATCCAAAAGAGTTGAGAGAATGGGCTGTGATTTCGTACATCAATGAAAATGCAAAAGGTCGAGGCCCTCTTTACTTGGACAACCAGGGAATTGATAACCTAATTTATTACCTGGTAGAAGTTGGTCGTGAAAAAGGTGTTCGTGTTAATGAAAATCCATGCTTTGTTACGATAGAGAAAGGTTTCTTTGGTACAAATAAGCTGTTTGGCAATCTCAAAGCTCGTTATCCTAATTTGCAGTTAATTCTTGTCGTCTTACCTATCGATGGTGATGACTTTTACGAAGAAGTCAAGCACTGTGGTGATGTTGTCCATGGTATAACCACTCAATGTATCAAATTTGACAAAGCATCAAGTGACTTCAGTGACTGGAGAAAAAAAGAGACGCTTGTTAACTTATGGCTTAAGATTAATGCAAAGCTCGGAGGAACAACTTGTGCCCTTCACAGAGACATAAAATCCCCAATCCTCCGGGATCCAGTAATCATATTTGGTACAGTATTTTGCTTTGAAATTTCAATAGTTAAAATTTACAACAGTGGAAACACCATAATGGTAACTAACATTTGGAAAAATATAATTTTCTTCCAAACTATAGTCATCAGGAAAAGAATGTTGATAAACTATAGTTTAGTTAAAAACTTGGAGAATTATATTTTTTAAAATGTTTACTCTTTACAGAAGTTCTATTGTTCATTACTTAATTACCGCACTTTAAATTGCCTGGCTTTCTACAAAAATGCAAAAACATACCCTTAAACCATTTGGATTGCTGCAGCTGTAATTTATATCGCTAAACATCATCATTTGTCAATGGTTTAGGAGCTGATGTAACTCATCCTGGTGCTGGTGATAAGTCCAACCCATCCATAGCAGCAGTGGTAGCCAGCAAGGATTCTTACCCAACCCTGTACAATGCTGAAGTTCGTGTTCAGAAACACCGCCAGGAAATGATTGAAGATCTAAAAGACATGGTCAAAATACTCTTGAGGAAATTCAGGGCCTCAACAAATGCAATTCCAGGAAAGATTATCTTCTACCGGGATGGAGTAAGCGAGGGCCAATTCAAAGATGTCCTCATTAATGAATTGTCTGCAATTCAAAAGGCATGTCTTGAACTGCAGCCTGGATACACACCTGCAATAACCTTTGTTGTTGTCCAGAAACGTCATCATGCTAGACTCTTTGCAGTTGACCCAAGGGATCGAAAGGGCAAGAGCCAGAATATACCAGCAGGTAAGTTTGTTGGTTTAATTGTTTAGCTTACAAGTTAAGATATTTGGTGGTGTTCCCCCTTTATACCAGAAGCCATGTATGATAAAAAAAAAACTTTCAATGTTTCAATCAGGATCTTTCACTATTATACAGGTACAGTGGTCGACCGACAGATCTGTCATCCATCTGAATTCAATTGGTACCTTTGCAGCCATGCTGGTATACAGGGTACCAGCAAACCAGCTCTCTACCATGTTCTCTACGATGATAGCAACTTCTCGTCCGATGAGCTGCAGATCTTGACCTACCAATTGTGCTACACCTATGTGAGATGTGCAAGGTCTGTGTCAATCCCTGCCCCCGCCTACTACGCCCATCATGTGGCATTTCGAGCTCGGCATCATTTAAAGATTGAGAACAGCACGGAGGGTAGTACCGCATCCGATGACTCTGGCCCCAAAGAGGTGACCCAGGAGATGAAGAACTTGGTCACAGTGCATCCAAATGTGAACTGCACCATGTACTTTGCATGACATTGCTTGATGCATGACATTAATTGCTTGATGCATGAATTGCTTGATGCATGACATTGCTTGATATATGTAATATCTATTATAAGCTTTCTTTTATGCAGGGATGGGTTAAAATTATGGTTAAAATGTTCAGTTTGTGAACTAGTTGATGAACAGATTAAAAACAATGTATTTACAACATGCTCATCTACAAATATATATTAAAAGAGGTGTTAAATATGTATCACAATATTGCACCATAATTGTGTGAAATTTGTTTTGCCATTCAATTCAAACGTATATTTACATGTAAACGAATCTGCTCACATCCGAGGTGATTCTCTTGCCTCCTCCTAAAATAATTTAATTTCAATTGAATTTGACGAATTCATGGCCAAACAAAATTATTTCCTACTGTGGTAAATGCGAGGCAAACGTTTGTTTCACTGAAGCAAGGTCCATCATACCTCATCTTTTTCTAAAAGCTCTTCTTCGTTAATCCTGGTCTCTTTATTTCCATCTCCAGTCAAAGTTTTGTTCATTTGTTTCAGAGACTCCATCTGCTGTTTCTCCTTGGCTTCACGGACCTTCATCTCTGCTTCAATAACGGCAAAGAAGTCGGCTTCAGCTTTTTGAATGAGATCTTCCTCGCTCTCCTCTTCCTGCTTCTCTGCATCATCTCTGAACGAGGATATTTTGACAACGATCAATTTAATTCTGACCATCTAAATAAACAACGTCTGCGAGAAATAACATTCGCAACAATCTTACTTTTCTTGTTGACTTTTAGATCTTTCTTTCAACTTCATTTCGCGATGTCTCGTTTCCAAAATTTTTTCCCGTTTTGTTTCACGTTCAAACATCTCAAAACGAACACATATACACTTAGTTTTCATTATCATCTTAATTTTACTGAATTTTATTGTCCTCTTATCCAGCAAACTAAATGCTTACCGCGTTCACAGACGATTTCTCATTTCTCTGAATGTTGCAAAGACCATTAGAGAGTTCAAGCAGGGTGACTGTACCAGCGTGCGAGCCACACGCCACAAGACGACCCTGATCTTGGACACGGAGAGAGTTCAGAGCTTCGTCACAAACCTGTCACAAATGGTAGTTATGAGAACTAGATTAGTAAGTACGTGGCTTTGCAATCTGACCCGCGCACGGACAGAAAGAGGTCTGTCTTACCTGTATGCTGAGTGTTGGGTCATTTTGTTTAAAGAGGTAATCCCATACATCAACAGTACCGTTCATCTTCGTCGTGAAGAACACAGCTGGTCGCACGGGGCTCCAACAACCGTCTGTCATGTAAGACATGTTCTCTCTGCAACAAAAATTCACAATCATTTAGTTTTCGGCAGTTTTTCTCTCCAAAGGCTGACACACATCGGACGCGATCCATCAGTTTTCATAAGCAACTAACTTTGTTCATGTCAGACATGTCTGGGGCCCATAACTCCAGATGTTTCCTTCCAGAATTGAATTTATTTGGCAGGCTTTTACCTATACAAGCAAGTATAAGTAACCGCCTATAATGTTACTACATAGTACCTTGTCCACATGATGGAAGAGTCCCGCAAATCTTCGGACCAAATCTGAAGGTGAAGGTAAGAAGTAGTCACCATCTATGTACTAATTATCATGCTGGTGAAAACCATCCATCTATACCACCATAGCATACTTACCCTGGCTGCCCAATCACCAACGCTCAAAAATTGTTTCGGGAAGAATGGATTCCTCTGTCAAAATAATCAAAATAAAAATTTTCGCTCGCAAACACCCTCTAAGATGCGCTGGCTATATAGCATGGGACATTCAAGAGGAATCACACGGCTCCACAACTACAGGCATATGGCTGAATTATATAAACATACTTGCACAGCATAAACAGGACCGTAATGTTGAGTAAATGAACACACAATCTTGTCACTTGGCGACTTGGCTTTCCTGTTGCAAAGCAGCACCGAGCCTTGTTCTGTTCCCACCATAAACTTGGTCGGCATCGTGGGTTCATACTCCAGCGACATTCCACCCATGGGACGAGGGTTTTCTTTAGGGTTTGGTACGAGTAACAGGCTTTCCGTCGGTTCTCCGAGCTTACGAATGTCCCACCAGAGAACCTGGCCATCTGTGCTGGTCGTAAAGCATTCCGTGCCTGAAGAAATTGAAAACAAAAAGGCCAGTTATTAACAGGTTTAAAGGCGGATTTTTGTGCGATTTTCTTCTTTTAATAGATGCAAACGAGTGAATTTGGATAAATTAGTTACTGATGTTTATATAAAAGCTCTTATACATCAGAGCATTCGTAACTAATTACTCATTAAGAGGAAAATCGCAGGTAACATCGAAAGCGTTAAACGGGCCTTAACAAAACAAAAACCGTAACTAAAAGAACTCGCACCTGTTTTTGACTGCAAGAATATTCCTTTGTAAACAGGATCTCGATGGCTCTTCTCAATCGGCGTCATCTCAACTGGATGGGAGCCTTTTCGTGTATCCCAAAAACCTAAATGGTAGATATCAAAATATGAATATAAAAGGCACACACATGTCTTCTTAAAGGGAAATTAAACACATATTTCTTGAGGTGAACTTACCTATTTGTCCATTGTAGCAGCCAGCTATCAAAATATGAGGATCTTTAGGATTATACTCCAGGCAAACCAAGGGTGAAACAGGTTTTAAGGCCAACTCCGGTTTGTTTGGGTTTTCTAAAAGCAGATGAAACTTGGTTGAAACTTCACATAGTTGCTGGGCTAAAATTTCTACATTTTGAAGTAGTACTCTACTGTACCTACCAATATCCCAAATATATGAGTCCATTGGAGTGTCTGATTGAGACTTTTGGAACTCGAGAATGGAGTAGGACACTGCCAGTTTTTTCGCACCGTCAGGGTACCATGATAAACTGGTCGCGGTCCTCTTCATTTCATTTGGATCTCTGTGGAATTCAAATAGAGCTAGTTAGCTTGTATTATCTTGAGGGTGGCTGGTTTAATAAAGATTAACTTTAGGCTGGTTTAATAATTGACTTTAGGATGGTTTAATTAAATAAAGATTGACTTTAGGCTGGTTTAATAATTGACTTTGGCTGGTTTAATAATTGACTTTGGCTGGTTTAATAATTGACTTTGGCTGGTTTAATAATTGACTTTGGCTGGTTTAACTAAATAAAGATTGACTTTAGGCTGGTACGTTTATTAAAGATTGGTTCAAATATGGAGCTTGTAAAGTCTTTAGGCTGGTTTAAATTCCAATAAACTGTCAACTGTGCTAATTATGTTTGAAAGGGCATTCTTAGATATCATTGTTACATTCAAGAACTATGGGTTACGAACCTGAACACATTGATGGTTTTTGCAGATGGTGGTTCCCCTGAAGAATCACTTTCAATATCATGAAAATATGTTTCATAAATGTCAATTGCATTATTCTGCTGGATACAATGTTCCATTACCTGAATAATGATCAAATTAAGATGGGATTATGAGGATAAATCTGAGGCCATACAGTATATATATAACAGTTGTAGGGATAATTAATATGAAATTGTATTATCTTACTGATCCCAGTTGCTGGATTATATTGATGTAATTTTCATCCTTCTCAACTTTCTTTCGAAATCGGATGGTTTGTTCCACCTCAGCAGGGTTGATATCCTTTGGCCAGCCGCCTTCAACATGGTTTATCCCACGGCTTTCTGTCTCAAATCTTTCTGTGTTTAACTAGAGTTGCGAAAGGTCCCAATTAGGCTATAATTTACGGGGTTGGTAGCAAAATCCAGATTTATCCTTGTTGATCAGAACTGTGTAGAAACTAGGTGGTTTCCTGGAAAGTACCTCACCAGTCACCAGCTCACCTCATGTTCGGACATTTCCTGAGAGCACTGAATGCCGGTGTCGCAAGGATTTCTCTCAATGTAGTCACCGGCAAGTTTCTCATCTGGTGGGATATCAACATGCAGCTCTGCTTGACGATCTGAGAAATTACACTGCCGACCAAACTCATTTCTTTTCTTTGTATATACATAAACTATCTCCATTTTTCTTCAACTTGATTAACTGGAAATGAGTTGCATGTTAGCAAGGGTTACCATCACCCTATTAATTGCATTTAGTCGGACAGTTGATCATTTGTTCTGCTGTTTGTTTGTGGGAAAATCTACCATCTCAATTAATACCCCCTGTTAATACGACTTTCTAAATCGTGACTCGTTTTATCACCTATTTTTTATTGGTTTTGAAATGCTACAATTCTAAAGTAAAAATAAAAAAGTTTGTCTGTACTTCAAGTTTGTCAGAATAACTTCACACAAGTCTCTTTTTATATCTAAAGTAGATCTTGGGAGTTGGGATCTTGTCGCCTCCCCTTGCTTGTTTTAAGTTTTCTGCTGGAAAATCTCAACCTAGTAAATCAACGAAAATATTCAAGAGAAAATACATGTGTCCTACCTTGCTATAAAACGTCTATTCTTTTGGAGAAATGGTTTTAAAGGAAGATTTCTAGGTGCAAAAACTCACCAGCCATGTCCTTTTCAAATATGGCGGAGTATACATGAAATTCGTTGCTATGGATACGTCGTCCGGGACGTCCGCGCGAGATTCGTTGATAATCTTCTTCAATGGAAAGTCCGTTCTTTCGCCAAGTGCTGGGTTAGCTGGAATGATATCTCTTCAGTTTTCAGTTGTTTTTTCAATTTTTTTATTTTGTTCATCATGTTTTTCGTACAAAAAATACTGTTGTTAAACTTATATCAAACGGATTTGGTTTGAAAAAAAATTTTCGGCTCACAACAACTAGCATCCAAATACTATTCGCCATGAAAATTATGACATATGGTACTATATACATATGAATTAACCACTTATGTATATCTAGGTAGCTAGAAATCCCCCGTCAACAGGCAATGTCACACCATTTATCATACTTGCTTTGTCACTCAATAGAAATAAGATGACGTTCACCACTTCATCCACCTCTGTAATGAAATACGATCAAAAATACGATCGTTATACAGAGATTATCTCACAGATCTTTATACAGAGATTATCTCATAGATCGTCATACAGAGATTATCTCTCACACCATCAGATGAAGCATTGGATTAGGAAACCCATTAGGCATTACCTGAAAAGCGTCCTAATGGTATCTTTTCCAACATCCCTTTAGCTTTGACGGATCTGACCAACCGATTCTTCCCATATCTGTTAGAACAACCGTTGGATTCACAGAGTTGACCCTTATCTATGAAGTTAGAAAATGAATAAGATATCAATGAGTCATGGCCTATGAGTCAGAGAAAGTTGTAGTCTGGGCAATTCAATTGCATTTCCATGCAAAAAAAGAGAACTTACCTTGTGTGGTCCCAACTCAAGAGCCATCATTTTTCCCATCATGTCAAGAGCAGCTTTTGTACAACCTGGAAATATTTCATTTCATTTTTAATTTTTTTCATTTTATTACCGTTTTTCACTTTGTCAGTTACAGTACCCTGAGCTTTCAGAGATGTTGTCATGACTCATGGACACTGAACTACATACTGTAAACTGTGTGGTCTTTCAAAGCAGACTGGGAAGCTTGACTTGATACATTAACAATAGATCCACCATTCTTTCGAGCAATCATTCCTTTTGCAACAGTCTACAGATGAACAGGACATTCATACACTAATAGATTTAATAGGACTTGAAAAATATGTCCATTGGCATCCCTTAATTTTTGCAATAAACTGCAAGATTGTAGAATTGTGTGTTAGCATGGACAAAAGTGATTAAGTTATCAAGTCAACAAAACAACACTATTTTAACAGTACCTGGGCAACAAACAAGGCGGCTTTCACATTGACATTAAATGATCTGCCAAAAGATGGGATTGTAAGGTAGGAATGTAAAATTTGGGTGAATTTTTTAAATGAATAACAGAAATTCAACTATGCATGGACACAATTACACAAAATTTTATTTACATTTGATTCAGCATTCAACACTTACAAGTCAAATGCCTCTTCTGTCACTTCCATAAAAGGCTCCAGTTTTGCTACAGCAGCATTATTGACAAGCAAATGAATGTCGCCAAGTGAAGACAAAACTTTTCGAGTCTCTGCAATATTATTCAAATCAACGCAGACTGTTTGAATTTCGGGCACCTGAAATAAAAGCAATGGTTTGGTCATGCATTTGTTCCATCTTAAATTCTTAGGTCTCATGTGACTAATTCATAGATTCTAGTGGTGGAATTGAGGCTTGGTAATTAAAGTGAGTTTGATGGTGGTCATTCTATGTGTTGGCTTTGTACTTGGTTGCGAATGCTTGCAAGCTAGCTAGTACCACTTCTTCCTGTAGTGTGGTCACTGTGGTGGATCATCCTTACTGTAAACGATTCAAGTTGGGTTAGTTGACCAACACTGTAATTTGTGAGTTAATTATTGTGAGTTAATTATAATGCCTAATGAAGGCTACCAATAGTTTTTTACGCAGAGATATGTTAGTTTATGGTCTATTACATAATTTACATACTTCTTTTCGCAACGAATCCAAGTCAGACTGGGTTCTGGAAAGAGCGATGACCTCTGCACCACATTTCACCAAAGTCTTTGCAGTATCCCGACCAATTCCTAGACAAAAAAAGGGGATATATCAGCAAAAATTACTGTGAGAATTGTGGAAATATATCACATTCATTTACCTTTTCCAGCCCCGGTTACAAGCGCACGTTTTCCAGCAAAATTGATTTCCATAATTTCCTAATTTCTTTCAAATATTGCAATTTGGCAATTTGCAACCATTTTCGTACCCATGGCCTCTAGACTGACCGCGCGTTAGAGGTGCTCTGGGTCGAACAATGAGTCAAAAACCCCAGTGTGTGGTGGAGAGTGACTTGGTTATGTCTTGGATAAAGTTAGTTTAGTTTAGGTTTCCTCCTGTAGTAACACTGGATGAATAAGAGATGATCCTTACTGGATCTCTAAGGAGAATACTTTATTACTGAAAATTAACTTTAGAATATATTTACAATTTACAAATCATATTCATCATTTACAATGGGACGTCTCAGCAGAAACCTAGGCTGACTTCTGAGTAGACAAAGAAATCAAAACTGACTGTGCCATCATGGTTGGTGTTTACGAATAATGTGGGTTGCCATGGACACGGAATCTATATATACACGTGTACTCTGGGTTGCCATGGTTGCTTAGGATTCGAAGTTCCACGTACTGGACCGCAATCGTGTCTTTGACAAACTGTATGACAGAAAAAACAGAATGTTCATTGTAGAGTGCTTCGGTGAAGAGGGTGAATGCACAAAATACTTACCTGAACTTCAAATGTCTGTAAAAAGTCACCATCACTATCAAAGATATAATTTCCTAACTGAACTCTTTCGTTGCCAATTGGGTCCTTCCATGCCTAAGGGAAACATCCTGGAGTAAGAAGCAATGAACGCCAGGGAATATCACGGAACGTAATGCATGATTAGGGCCGGCAAAGTCGATCCGTGTGTAGTCAAATAGTCGTAGATCCTGACGTTTGAAAACTCACCCAAACAGTGAATTCCTTTGGGGCGCTTGGTATTCGACCATCACCAGTTGGTGAGAGCAACTTGGGGATGTGTTCCAAACTAAAAGCCGTTGGTGTTAGGATTTTGGACAACTAGAAAAAGGAACCGCGTTGAGATTTTACTTTCCAAGACATACAGGCAAAGTTTCCGGCATGCAAACTTCAATACCTTTATCACAACATAACCCTGTTGACCTTTAAACGCCCAGCAGTTTCCGGGACTGTTATCAGACTGGTAAAAAAAGGACGCATTCAACACCTTGCATTATACAAAGTAAAAGATGCTAAAATGAGGGTCTCGAGGGGCTGGAGAGTTGGATGTGGCTTACTTGAAGTATCACTCGTGGGTGTTTAACATCTAACCATAACGGGACACCAAAGACTACCACTCTGGCTGCACCAACATCGTACGTTTCACTGTGGTAAGGATCATGAATCTGGGCACCTGGAGAGAGGAATACTCATCGAGCGTGTTCGTGGTGCAAATGAAAACAAGGCTTACACGAGAAATCACGTAAGTTGACGGAGAGTTTAAACTCATCTTACCGGAAGACTCCAGCGCAAAGTCCGCCATTCCAACTTTATCTGCGTTATACCTTTGCAGGGCTGCCTGAACAATATCCTGTACAGCCTGCAAGTTAGAATACAAGATATCAAGTTTGATAGGTGGGGGTGGGGTGAGGTTGGGGTAGGGTGGGGTCCATGAGATGGGCGCCAAGCGGGGGATTACATCCACGTACCTTCTCTGAAAGAAGCGATTTGTTGTCGGAGGGCGAGTCTGAAAAGAAACAAGAGAACTAAAACATCCAACCAAGAGTTGGTACTCTGATGCATTAATCCGTTTCTCCAACTGACGGATGCGAATTTACGTGACGGATGCGTTCACCGGCTTTTTGCCTGGAGTAAGCCAATAGTTTTCCTCTTGTTATTACAGCTAATAAATCACATACGCCTGTGGGAGATTTTACCTGAATGATTGGCAAGTGCTTGCAATACCGTCGACAATCTGTCCACCTTTTCTTCAATTTTCCTCAGCGTCTCGGAGCTCCGATCTGCGTCCTAGATATAGTATAGCCTCACTAGGTTAGATTGATAGAGTTATATAGATAGAGTCGTATAGCGCTAGGGTATTTCCAGAAATAATACCAATGACAATGGAATACTTACAGCGTTTTTAGGTGGATCATTTGATTTATAGACTGCAATATTGAACAGAATCAGAAATCAATAGATTTATGATAGAATGATGCCTTATTAGAAGCCTGAAAGTTATCCATTTTTATTTTACCCTGCACAAGAGCTGCGGTCAGAACTCCAGCCAGTAAAACAATAAGAAATCCAGTCTTCCAATATTCTTGCACGTAATTTCGTATTTTGGTAACAAACTGTGGAATAAGATATGGATATGTAGTATACATTTGGCCGGAAAACATTTACATCTTTATTCTTTAGGGCCTTTTCAGACCCGATCTTACATCATTGTCATTGTCATTTTCATCAAAAGAAACTCCAACATCAACGTCCGCATCCTCGTCTGTAAGAAACAACAGCATCAGCGGTGAATGAACATCATTCTGGAGCCCCACAGTCACAAGGGAGGCTCAACTGAACATCGATTCTTATGTGGAGCATGCCATATCTAAAGCCCTGTTCGCTTATGGTCTAGCCTGGCCTAGAGACAGCTTAGCAGGACCAGATAGCTTATGTTCTCAGGACAAGGGCCATAGTTTTGTCGAAGTGCTGCGTTTATACACAACGGAAATCTAGACGTTCAAATCTTGAACTAGGCCTTGTAAACACAGCTTATGCAATTCGAAAAAAACAACAAAAGCATTGTTACCTGATGACGCAAGTCTTCCGTCAAGACCTAAAGAAAATAGAAGAGTTTCCTGGGGTTATCGCTCTCTACAATATTTACGGACGTCTTTCCAAAATCATGTTGAACCCGGCTCTGGAAAGCGAGGTGTAATCACACGTATTATCGTACCGTATAAATGATCTGGCGTGTCTTTTAACTCTTCATATTTGCCGTAAGATCTCGCCATCTCGTTTGTCTGTTCCGGGTTCTTGTTTGTAGAATCCACTACATTGTTATTATCGTCCTTGCTTGAGCTCTGTTTGTTTGCCAAGGACTGTAGATAGGCCAGTTCTTCGGCCTGGTCCGTTGATTGTCCAGAGAGCCTTGGTTTGGGAAAAATGATGTTATCAAATGATTTTTAAATACGCCATTAGCATTTTAACTGAGGCTTACGAGAACAATAGCCAACCTATAAATTCTATTGAAAACTGATCAATTGTTTTTCCATATTAAAGTTTGATATGCATAATTTCTATTTCAGTATCTTTAGTCGAGTGTGTAGTATTGAATTGTTTTATAATACTATACAATAATCTAAAAGCCTACTCCCCCCATACTCTGCATATAGTAGCAATAAAAATAAAAATTACACCATTTTGAAAATACAAACCTTCGCGACCGTCTGCGAGGCCAGTTTTCAGAATCCTCCAAAGCATCTTCCGTCTTTTCAGGTGTTCCCTCCGCAAAGATGGAGTCTTGTTTGACAGACGACCTTCTCCGGGCCATGCGTTGAAGTTATTTACTGAGTCACATATCCATTTCCCTCCGCTTGAGGCGAGATTCTGCACAAAGAAAAATGCTAGTTTGAAAACTAAAACACCTTCACCTCCGCCATTTTTATTTTTTTGAATGAACTATGACGTCATAATGAGAAACGAACCAATGGGAAAGCAGCATTCACCTGAAAACATTTTCATATTTTTTTCATACAAGAAACGAACGATTTTTTGAACTTATCTCAAACGACTTTGAAAGAAAAATAACTTCTTCTGAGAGAAATAATATTCGGGAACGCACACAAGCAAATTTACGTTTAATGCCTTTGAATTTTTCTCGCAAAACCGATGTTTCGTTGTTGTTAGCATAATGGTTGCCCCAGAGCTGACATCATCACGCATACGAGAATGAACCTGGGTACTAGTAAACAAAAACATGGCGATCGAAGGGTCTTCGAATTGGTTTGTTTACAAATAAACAACGATTATCTTCAATAATGACATTATAAGAGTATGTAGCTTATACATACGGCTATATTTTTTTACTAAAAGTGGACTTAAAGTACTTACCAGGTTAAATATACGCTTCTACTGCTGTTCTTCAGGTGCACCATTTACGGTGATTTATTAATATCACAATGGATTTCTCCAAATTTTCCGATGAAAATTTCGACGCTAAACAATGGGTGAATGCAGCATTAAAACGAAAAGATGAAAAGACTGAACTGGACGTTCGTATATATCTTTTATATTTACTCAAATATTGACCTTTTAGCCTTTGTTGTATGACTTGTATCATTTTGATAACATTTTCCACGTCATCGACTGATACAGGAGCTGAAAGGGATGTAATTTTATCATAATTTTTAGGCTCATGCTTCAGGCTTAGTCATGAAATTACAACTATTTATTCAAGTAAGGATGCTTCAGATACTTCGCCATGAGTAGACTAATTGTACCTGTATGTTGACAGTAGATCAAGGTGGTTCAGAAATCAGTTACCTTGATTATCTACTAATTACCTACTAATTATCTTGATTATCTGATTATGTAAATAAGTCCTGCATTATAACTTGCGACAATGTTTGTTGCATGCAATGATAGTCACTGATCTTACATGGCATTATATGTCAGTCACTATTGCCACATAATGGCTTGGTTGGCTGTAACCTCAATCTGTACAACCCATTGTTTATAGGAGGTGAATAATGCTCTGGAGGAAACCAGTACTCAATCTCTCAATAATATGCCAAGGTGATCATCTGTCACTTAAAGTAATTATTCAACCAATGGTACTGAACATCAGTTACAAACTCAAGCTCATACTTAATATTCAAGCTCACATTTATCAATAGAATACAATATACAGTACACAATGAATTGCCTTTATTTACTTGGTTTTAAATTCGTCTTCCAGAGTTTTGAGGGAGCTTGAAGTTATACGACAGGAAGCAACCTTGTTAAAAGAACAAATGAGACTTGTTAAAGATGATATTAAAGCGGTATTTTTGTCTTGATTCAACAAACACCAGAACTGTGATTGATTACCAAAGTAACACTTCTTTCCCAATTGTTTCAGGTTGAGCAAAACACATCAGAATCTATGAAAATGCTGTTAGATTTAGATGAAGTGAAGTCGAGAATACAATCAGCTTCACATGCTTTACAGGTATTTGTTTGAAGCCAAGTAAACTAGTGTTTTATTCAATATGTCCCAGAAGGTTTCTACAACCATTCGACCATTTGTTCTAGGAAGCTGACAACTGGACAACACTCTCAGCTGATGTTGATAAAGTTTTCCTATCAGGGAACTACAGAGAGGTTTGTACAATTCTTCACCCATGATTACAATGCACACTGCTATTTTATTAAAGTTGTTTTTGTCTGTTTTTAGATTGCTAAGAAATTAGTTGGGATGCATAAAAGTTTGGTGAGTCAAATAATGTTGAGTATACTGGTAATTGGGTTTGAATCGAGTTCAATATTAATTGTTCCTCCACATTTTAGGTTGTACTTCATGACGTACCAGATTACAATGAACGACACAAATTACTGGAGGGTTTGAAGAATAAACTAGAAGCTCTTTTGAGTCCAAAATTAGTGTCTGCATTTAACAGTCATTCCTTAGGTGTGTATTAATTCCTTGATATACAACTTCACCTAAACAGGATTTAAAACCATTTATTTGGAATTTTCTTGTAGAAGAAAGTCAAGAATATTTTCAAATTTTTCACGATATTGACAGACTTGATCAGTTGAAAAACTACTACATTCGCTGTCACAAGGTGAAGTACACTTGTATGTTTCACTGTAGTTCAAAATGCCCTAGCTTGTTTTCCTGATGTCTTGGAGGAAAATTAATATAAACAAATCAATAATACTAATTGCTTGTCTTAACCTTCAGAGCAAGTTACTTCAATCGTGGAAAGATATCCAGGAAGAAGATCCCAGCCAGACGATGTTGGATTGGTTATCAGTGTTTTACAACAGTCTACTTTCAACTTGGCATTCAGAACTTACTTGGTGTAGCCAGGTTTTTGGAAATCCTGGAATAGTTCTCTGTCTCCTAATGAGTCAAACTCTCAACCATCTTGAACCACCATTTTCTGTGTGTGTGAAAGAGTTTGTAAGGGATGAAGCCTACCCATTGCAACAGTTGATTGATCTAAAACAAGTTAGTAGTATCAAATATAATGTTGTCTGGTTGTTGTGGCTGAATACTGTGGTCACTGGACTAGTTATGACCATGGTTTCGACTATGCTACTAGATGGTATTGATAGTAGGCAATGGTTTTGATGGAGTGGTAGTAACTATGACTACGGTACGAAAATGGTTTTGGTGATGCTGAGAACCACAATTTGATTTCAAATATGGCAACCTGATGAAAAAACCATCATTCATAATACCTTTCTCTCCTTTCATAGGTGACCTTGAGATTCTCAAAGGCATTACAAAGTTCATTTGCAGATCTCAAAGGTAGTTCATCTCAAACTATATGAATAAAATATTTCAAACAAACAATGTTAATTCTCTTTGTTTTTCAGAGGACTACGCTGAGGCTGCCGTATCGTTAGTCAATGCAATATACTCACCCTATACACCATATCTCCTGGATTACACTGCTCTGCAAACTGGATTTCTTACGGAGAATTTGAACTCCATTCAACTGGTATGATAAAACTCAATTCATTATTTGCCCTGAGAACTTCCTAGAAAATGAAGTGTTACATTGCATTTGTATTTCCAAGAGTGGAGAAAGCTTTCTTGAAACTGTGGATGCATTATCAGAGTCCGTTGGAAAAGTGTTTCTCTTCGCCGAAATGGTTAGTCAGAAAATGACAAAGATTTCTTGAGCTGTGCTTTTGCTACTAAATGCAATCATTGTTAGATAGAACTGAGGTAAACACTACAGTTTATCCAATAACATATTTTGCAGGCACTCGAGTTCTGTGTCGCCCTGACGGATGGTTTAGGGTCGTGCCAACTGGTACAGTCCTTAGAGGTAAAAAGATGGCAGTATACTAGAGAAGTAATGTATAAATAATTATGGAGATCTCTTGTACTGTAACTATACTCGTCGTGTTTATATTTTCATAGATCTTCTTCTCAGGATATCTACAGAAAGTTAAGAATATTATCAAGAACATTAGAAATGATCTTCGCTTGGATAAGGTTTCCGATCAAGTCAAAGAAGACTGGACTAGTTTTCAATATGCTTCAAATCTTATCCAAGTTTGCGGTAAACTTTTTCATCACAACTTTGAGCGGCCTACAGCGGTTAATTGTAAAGACGAAGGTTCAACAAAAGATTCAAAACAAATTTCTCTTTCCCTTTGCAAAGGTGATTTGCTGCTAAAAATACAAGAGTTTAAAGCAAGTCTGCTAAAAACTGTGACTGCTTCGAGTGAAAAATGGTTGAAAACCGATCACAAGGACAGTAAAACTGTCGCTGAACTATTTAATGGTTACAATTACCTTCAAAAGGAAAGTCCGCTAGAATTTGGCAGCTTGGTGGAGTTCATCAATAATATTGAAAATGGTTGGTAATTCAGCCATGATAAAAGTTGATTTCAATTTTATCAATTTTAATAATTGGGATTACCTTCTTTGTCTGAGAGTTTGTCTGCCACAATCTCCTGGTAATAAACAAAAAAGATCTTTGTAGGTGCTGGGGTAATTGACAATATCGTCAGAGAGATTGAAGACTTGAATAACAAAGTGCATCATTTGGCATTCGACGTGGCTTTCTTACCTCTGAAGTGTAAGATCAATTCTATGTCGTCTCTTCAGGTGAGAAGCGCTCAGATCATGCTAGTCTTCTGATGATTCCACGTTGTTTTCATCAACACTCTGCTTCTTCTCTAATCACAGGTGTGGTCTAGAACAACGTCAGACACAGGCGACTCGCTGAGTGCTGATATTCCAACGTTCAGTCTATCACCACAGGGCTACATTACGGAGGTAATCCACAAGACTCTGGTCCTTTTCTAAGACCCTCTACATTCAGGGGTACTCTCCGTGTTACCCCCCACTCCCCTGCCTCAATTACAGGGATTCCCTACGAGACTTCCCCCCTACTCCCCAGGGTTGAGATTCCTCCCCCACTTCTCATGCACCCTCCTAACACACGCTCCACAGTATAACCATCATTATTACCTCTGGTGTAGGTCGGTGACTATCTTCTAACTCTCCCGCATCAACTGGAATTGTTCATGGTTCAAGATAATCCAGCTTTAGAAACAGCGCTTCAAGTTGGCAAACTACAATTTTCTCGAGGTAAACGAGGTCTCCACCCTGGTCCATGTATCCATGCCCCTCTCCCCAGAGACACAACTTTCACTCTAGCTCCTACCTATAATAAACTCCGCGAATATGCAGCAGAGAAAACAACGCAAAAGAGAGCAAGTGCCAGTACAATAATATCATTAGTTTATATCCATTTAACATCGTGAACTATTTCATAGATACAAGCGAAGAGCAAGACCCTGCCTCGAAGTGGTTGAGCTCTGTTGCCCAGGCAACAATGCACACGTATGTTGAAAGTATCTTACGAATACCAGAGTTAACCGTCTTCGCAAGTAAACAACTCGTTGCAGATATAGGTAAGATGATAATAAAGAATACATTAACACTATATAACCAGAGCAGCGAGATTTAAAGATAATACTCTTAACAAATAAACTTACCTGCCTTCATTTGAATCACGACTGAATCTTTTCACCTTTAAACTGTGAACTAGCTCTGTCGCATTTCCTGGACTGCCCTGCTTTAACAAACATACTGCTTTTTCTCCGCAGAATATTTGTTTAACATCTTAGAAGCTTTGGAAGTACGGCCAAGCGAAGTTATAATGAACGTTAATAAGTTACTCAAGGCTGAGCAAGACGAGTGAGTATAATTTTGTTTGATCTAGCGCTGTTACACCATGCAACCTTCCTTGCAACTTGGAATGCAATTCTAATTCTGAGGCATCTAAAGTTGTCAAATACAAACATTTCTTACGGTCTGCTAACGTTTTCTTAGCATTTCGAACACTCTTTAGAAATTAGCATCCCTCAAAATTATATAATTGCATTGCAAGTTGCAAGGAAAGTTGCATAGTGTAACACAGCGCCTTAAATGCTCATTCGCCCCGATCCAGGTGTGAGTCAAACTGGAGTCATTCTTGTGTTAAGATCAGACTCAAACGACTGTGCATTGGTCGCTAGTGTCTGACACCCAAATAAGGAGAATATCTCGCATCAACAATCCCATTCACGAATGTTATACCAAGAGGCAAAATTATACCCAATTCACTGGTTGTTATATTTTCTTACCCACTTGTCAAAATATACAAAATATCGATTCAATTCTATGTACAAGAAAAATACCTTAAAAATCTGATGCGTACGTACGAATTTTTGATCAAAAATGTGTTTTTAGTCAGAAAATGTTTTCGGTTCTTACAGAAAATCACACTTGAATCCTGGGTCCTTCGTTTTACCTTTCCACCCCTCGCTTCGTTTCACGACGCTCGCCAAGTCATCCTTTCCACGTTGTTAAATAATATTACGCATAATCTAAAAAGTTAAAACAATAGTTTGATACTAAAGTTGGCGAAATAGGCCCACAATTTAAATAACTTTTATTTTATCCACAGATTTCACATCTTAGCGGCAGATCTTTGCGTAGAAAACAAGATCAAGAATGCTTTGATTGCAATGAGAAGCAAAAGATAGCACACGACTGGATAGGAAGACTACCATTGAGAGACTATAATTATTTAATGAATAAATGTACGAAGGACTTGTTTTAAACCAAGAGATGCAGGGAGTTGGAAAGCATAATACGGACTTGTCGTTTGAATAAACAAACCGGAATGAATTATACGCTTTTATACGATATTCTACATTGTTTTAATAGCTACATGATTTAACTTATCTATGGTTGCTTCAACCAGTTGTCGGGTAAAGTTTGGGCCAATTTTACACAATTTTATCGACCATAGATTACTTGTATTTTGATGTAAAGTATTATCCATGTCATACCTTAAATAGCCGCCTAACACGAAACATCTCTCACGAGGAGTCGGAACCCCCCGACGAGGAATCGTCATCATCGTCTTCGTCATCATAAGCATCTGAATCGTGAGTGTAGTTCCAGGCCTTCTCGATGGACGGCAGCGTTTTCGCTTTATTCTTTTGATTTCTCATCATGATCTCAGCCTGACGCTGTGCTTCCGCTTGCTTCTTTCGTTCCTCGTTCTCGTTTTCCGCTTTCTGAAATGAAAACACGAAATATAATCAATGGGCAATCTTAGCTACAAACTCGTCGTCATTTGCAACTCGCCAACAAAAACTAAACCTCTGTCGGTTCACATGTAGAAACACATACTTACAAAGTACATCATTATGAAATCTTGGAAGTATTTGAAGAATTCAGAAGGTTCAATCTTTTTACCATCTTCCCCAAACATTTCACAAGCCGCTGTATATTTTTCTTCCATCTTACGATATTTTTCGCTCACTTTTTGAACTTTACCAAAAGCTCGATTGTAAAAACTCTAAGGAAATCTTAAGGAAAGAAACATACACGCTGTCTATAGTTGGTAAAGTGGCATAATTCAGCCTGTTGAAAGAGTGCTCTATCTCATAAAATATGCTCTTTTTGATGCCCTAAGATAAGCGAAAAAATCTTGCAAAAACTTTGTGTTCATTTCCTGCACTTGTGTGCATCCTCTTGAACAAAACACGCTCTAAATATGGAGGTAATTCAGTAGAAATTTTGTCCTAAAAAGGATACAAATAGAACAAAATTCTCAGGTTGTTTATCTCTTTCTTTCTTGGTCAGGTCAATTCCTTTCTTCAAGCTCTGAATATCGTTGTTCAACGTTTGCTTGGACACTGAGAATGGGAAATAGTTTGTTTTACAAAACGTCGTTGCAAGCATTCACAGAACTGCTGAAAGTTCTTTGTTTTTACGGAAACTATAAATATACCTTGAGTAGCGTCTTCCAAATCAAGTGCTTGAGCAAAGGAGTGTAGTTCCGGAAAGTGTGTTTTCACCGTGTTGACGACAAAATTGAGAAGCGACATTTTACGATCTGTTGATCTCACATCAGGAAGCTGAAACAATGAAAATAAAAGGGAAATGATATTCTGATTATGTTTCGCTACTGCGCTATGACTTAAACCTCTTGGGGCAACACAGGCTTGCTTATACAAAGCAGTATAGTGCGGCTTGGATAAAGGTTCTTTAGTATTTATCATGCACTCGACTGACCTTGTAAAGTGATTCAAGCTTAAATCCGGCTGCGACTTTTTTTCTTGTGCCGTTCATGTAGTTACCAAAGGCGAGGATAATCTACAAAATACATAAATAGGAGTTCCGTTGAGATGATTTGATAATTAACATCGCCTTCTCAAGGATGGATCAACTGACAGGGAAAATAAGAGGGGATTCAGAGCAGTTATAAAGCAGGATGCGACTGCTTTGATGTGCCGAGTCAATGAGCATCATCATCATCTGGACATGCAACAGCTGGCAATGAACGGCGTGAAGTGGTCCTTGCGATTGCTCATGGAATGGACCAGAAATTTGATTTCATGAAGACCTTGACACCAAACAAAAAACTTGCATATCCTGTGTTGCTGACATTCATACCTCGAATATCTTTCTCAGTTTTTTACTATTCAAAATACTCAAAGATGCTCTCATCACAGCATCGATTTTCTAAACAAAAACAAGACAAATAAAACTTTACCAACAAATATCTCAATCTAAGACAGAAAGGTAGTTATAAACGATATACCATGTGTCTTGTACTTACCGGTACAACTGATGACATTATTTCATCAAACACACCAACAAATGCCAAGATACTCAGCTTAGCTTCGTAGCGTTTCACTTTTGCCAACTTTTAAAAAAGAAAACGTAGCACAAACGTAACTCATTTGATTTATTTGTATAGTTAAGAACTTCTCTTGTTTGTCTTAAAATACAGCAAACCTCTTTGGAACTTACTTCAAACATAAACTGCTCAGCTTCGGCGAGTTTGTCGTAATCATCTGCGTGTTTGGAAAGACCTGCCAACTGATGTTTTAAAACATAGTGAGAATTTCAAGAACTCCAACAGTTTGTGTATATATGTGACACGAATATACGTGGAACTAACGGTGAAATCTTAAAGATGAAGGCTTTAGTGTTACCTCTTCTTTCGTTGGGATAAACTTCAAAAGCAGTTCAGCAAATTCTGAACTCAATTCAGAAATATCGCTGTTATCAATGTGTTGTTTGATGTGCTTCGGTGAGAATCCGATCCTTCTTTTTGCAATAACTAAAAAATATTGCCGAAATATTAGAACACATTCGGCATTCTACCTGGATCAACAATATGGACTGGATCGTATCGTATTCCTCTTTAACTTAAGTACTCCAAAACCTACCCAAATTTCTAGCTCTATTCGTCTCGATGATTGTTATTTGTTCTGCTAGTCTTTTTAAAGCTAAAAATTTTCAAACAAGTCAGAATTAATAAAAGAGGAATCCAGTTTAAATAATGGAAGTCTCATTTAGTTTGTTTGTTTTTATACCAGCTTCCTTCTTAAGCCTGACTTCCTCGCTCATTTCATTCGTCTTCAATTCAAACATTGCTTCGAAATCGTTGAGATTTAGTTGAACAGCGAGCTTCTCGTCATCCATAGACTGTGAGGATACAGAACAGAGATTGTGAAAACTAAACTAGACTAACAGTATGGAGTTTCATAACGTGCATCTATGGACATTATCGGACATTACCTCAAATATCGTCTTCTGTGTGTTAGTAACCGGCGCCCAGTTTAACATGGGCAATTTCTTCTTGCTCATGACCTTGCGTTTAGGTCCCCCGGCGTTCAATGAACCTGTGAATCCCGGTGGAGGAGGAGGAGGGACAGCTCCACCTGGTAAACAAACAGATACGAGATAAACAAATACTTCTCCATTACAATACAGCCATCCATTCTTCACACATAACGCTCCCTCCTCCCACTGAGGATCTTCCCCAAGTCTTACCTGGAAATGGAGGTGGTGGTGGTCCTCCGGGGGGTGGTGGAGGAGCGGGCGGTGGGGGTGGTGGCAGGTCTGCATTCAGTGGTTCCAATAATGAAGTATTGATGCCTTCTTTATTTGGACTTTTCTACAAGAGGAAATTTTCATCAGATTGCAGATTTTAGCAGATATTTTATCCACTGTTCCTTCAAAATGTTGGTTGATTCAAAGTGCGCTTCCTTACCAGTATTTTCTCAAGCTCCGTTTGTAACTCCGTAGCACGAAATTGGAAGTTTTCTGCTTTTTCTTCAAACTAGAAAATGGAAATGGTAAAGAGATTTAGGACCAACAACAGAACGTAGACAAAGATGGTGTTAATTGAAAACAAACCTCTTTCTTCTGTCTTTCTATTTCATTCTTCTCTCGTTGTATATCCTGTGTGTGCAGAGAGAAGAGGTTTTAGGAAAAGCGAAGTCTACTACATGTTACCATTGCTGTGGAAATCATCATTACTGGGCTGGGAATCCTTGCGCTTGATTCAAATAAAGCCGAAACTCGGCCATTGCGGACAACGTTTAGGGTACAATGCTAGAAACTTGTTGTTATTTGTTATTTCAGGCTGGAAACTTGCAACGGCATATTTCAATAACATACCTCAAGCTTTCCTGACAAGAGATCAACCTATAAAAATTCAATGAGGAATAAGAACAGTCAGTTTAATAACCAAAGATCTTAGTTGATGCATCATGAGCTCGCTGGACAAATGAATTTACCCCACCTCGTCCCTCAAAAGTTGGGATCTTTCCTTCAGTTGTCCATATTCGTCCATGAGGTCCTGTATGTTCACATAATTCTCCTTCCATATCCTCAGTTCATCCCTCACCGGGGCCGCGTCTAAATCCTCCAGGCTCTAATGAAGATGAAAAGAACAGATTGACGTTCTCTGCCATTACAAAACAAGACAGAACTCCTCTACTTCATCGATCCCAACAATTAATGATAAATTCATCTGAAGCAACTAACCTTCTCCAGACGTTGTTCACTGAAACCTGCGACAACGATTTGCTGCTGATGGAAAACTCGATCGTTGTACGAAGGCGAGTTATTCACCACCGCGTTTAATAATGCCATGGTTACTGCCTGAATAAGACGATAGATTGTATTATATAGCTATATCGCACAGACCTATACCATACCACACCACACCACACCAAACCTAACTTTACCACAGCAATCACGGCAAACCATGTACCACACAGCACCATCTATAATACCGTACCAAACAACATCTCACCTAGACAAGTAAAAAAGGTTACCTGCAAACCAGGCTGCACTGGTTCTTGATAGAGAAAGTCCACCAACGTAGAAAACATTTGCAGTTCCTTCGTCGCCGTGCGGTAATACTCGAGAGCTTGAATAACCAAATGATGATACTTGTCGTTTACACAAGCAGCATAGAGAAGCTGGAGATATGAAGAATAACTCAGGTTTGCTAAGATTTGAATGTTTAGCCACTCGACCACCAACTAAAACATATTATTCATTACCTTAATCGCCAGGATCTTTGTCTTTATATTGTCAATTTGTAAACACATAACCACGTACACCAGCGTGTCTTTCACGGCTAGCACTGACTTAAGACCAAACTAATTGGGAGAGAAAATGAAGAATTATTTCAGCAAAATGTGATCGCCGTTGACAGCCGTTCTACACCCGACCTTAGTCACCGTACAACGAGAACACACGATCCTAATACAGTACCTTATTTCTCATCAACGCTTTGATACACATCAAACACATGTGTTCATCAGCCTTTGAAAAAAACATCAGAGAATCATAAATAATTGAGTTGTAAGAGACCACACTGGTCAGCAAGCTCCATAGATCGCACTGGTATTTCACGAGTTTTGAACGGCAGTTTGGAAACCAGCTACAAGGCTGCTAACCCAACCATCCTGGTCAGAAATTGTTGGGAAAACTTATTGATGTCTTATTTTACAAGTTGTGAATGACAACTTCGCAGCCACTAAATGATGCTGAAAACATTTTTGACAAGAATGAGTCCCTGGAACTCTGAGTCCGTTGGAAACACATCTTGTTGGCAAAACGGTTGATTTTTCATTTGAAACTTATCATTTGGTTCTTACATGACTCCTAGCCATCACTTTCTTTCTTCTTTTACCAGATTTTGAGCTTTTTTGGCTTTTCTTTTGTTCCTGATCCTGTGACAGAGGAGGAGGTGGTGGATTCTTGTGTAAGAACGACATGAAGTCAATCAACACTTGGTGACCATTGTATGGTTCATCCAGGAACTCACGTAACCAGCTAAAACAAAGAATGTATTGATACAGGATCTCCAGAGACCTAGTATTTCTGGACTAGATCTTTAAGGACTGGGTCCTACCATGGACAGACAGCCCAGTCAATGTGGTGATGTCAAACCATGAAACTAAACCAAGAGATTGTTGAAAGTTGAAAGAAACTTACGTTGTATTTGGATGTGTTCTCACATCCACCTCCAGTGATCTCAATATAACTTCCTTTGGTTCAAGATCTTTGATCAACTTCTTGGGCGGTTTTGTATGTTGTTGAAGTGCCTCATCCATGTGTCTTTGTAACTGACTGACATAGAATTGAGAGGAATGTTTTGGTTCAACCATTTCCTAAAAATAAAATCAACAATAAATTTTTACAATCTTCCATCCCAACCTAAATCCCAATCTCCTTATCCTTAATCTCTGAAATCTGATCCTTAAATCATAATCCTTCACCCTAATCTTTAACTCTTAATCTTAAACTGGAGATATCCTTTATTAAGCTGATAACTGCAACCCCAATCTTATTGCAAAAAAGGTATCTTATATAAATTTTAGGTCAATAGTTGAAATGGAGACCCACCTTTGCTTGAATCAATTTCCATTTGTGTTGAATTGGGTGTCTTTGCAAATCAGTTACCTGGTCTGGATCAAGGGTCAATTTTTCCTTTTTGGAAGACAAGGAAATGCATCAGCATGTGATAAAATTAACTGCAGAAATTCACAAAATATGTTGTATATGACTATGGAGCAGCTGGCACTATGACTAAATTCATTGCAGACATTTTCAGATATAGTTGCTAAATGTGCTTGTTTGTCAAAGAGGTTCTAAAACCAGAATTTATTCACATCCCCTGTCTTGCATCAGAATCATTGGAACATACCAGCAAGTTTTCAAATCTTTTTTCAATTTCCCCTTCATTTGGCATGCTCTCATCAGCACCTGAAATATATAACAAATATTTCAATATCAACGACATATACTAATAATAGGAGTTGGAGGTTAGGACTTGGGTGACACCTGTCTCTCTTCCCACACTACCACTAGGCTGTAAAATTAATACTGAATTTTGTCCCAGAAGAGTCAAACCACTGTGGTCAAACTACTGTGGTCAAACCATCTCCCCAAGAATCATGCATTGGAGAACAGTTTGAGAAAGATACCCAGGACATGGACAATAACTGTATAAGCCTGGGAAAACCTTAATTTGTTTTTAAGATGACTTAAATATTACTTATGCAGATAAACTAATATTAGTATTCAATCTTACATGTATTTAATTTTCAATATCAAGAATAAATGATGTAACACTTTATCGAAAATTCACACCATATTGCCTTTTTTTAAATAATTTCAATTTGAGGTGAGAATTAATGTACAAATCCTAGGAAACGTTTCTCTAAAAACCAGGAATTTGGTATTTAAAGAGAACACAAACGGTTCGAACACAAAGAAAACGGAAATTGTAACATTCAAAATATGGTTTTGTAACAGGAATTTGTTTTGTGTTTATAATGAAAATAAAACCAAGAAAGTCAAAGTTTGTGTAGTTGTCTTTGAATTCTCGCCTAGTAGAAGCCTACGCGTTCTCGTTTTGTGCAAGAAATATCTAGATTCGCTTTTGGTAGCGAGATATTGTGGTATTATGTTTTTATAAGAATGTAATATACAAATTTGTTACATGGGCTGAATAGAAAATAATTAATTGAGACAATAGCTTTAAAGTTTAAACACAAGTGGGTCACGCGAACGGAGAAAAAATAACCATTTAATTGAAAAATAATTCTAAAATGGGTAAAATTATAACTGAATTTCGTTTATGCTTGAGTAAACGTCTTTACATAATCGCTAGGGCCTTCTCGAAACTCAACAAGTAATATCAAATGTTAACCAATACAATATGTTTCGATTGAACAGCAAGTCGTCTGTACAAAAGCCATATAGCATATATTAAACTGAAAAATAATTGTGTTATTGAAAATTTAACCCTTGACACCGCGCTTAAATCTTTTAGTATTGTCTTCTGTCAAGGTGTTTATCTACAATCGGCCTAAACAAAGCTAATGGCATTCCTGATGGCCGTCGAAGCTGATAATTTGAAAGAGAACCGCGCAAATCTCGAATATTGTATATTTGCGAGTCGTCTTGCTTCGTGTTCAAACAAAACTCAATGCATCTGAAAAGAAGCTTTACTTGTTATGACATATTCAACTTTCAGTTTTGACATATTCATCACTATCAGATCAAGCCGTTTTAACTTTGAGCCTGGCAGCACGTGTTTTTCTTTGAATTTCTTCGTGAATATTCCAAAGGACTTTCTCCAAACATAACATTGAATATACTTATGCAATAATCGTGTATTATTGTGTTAATATATCATTGATGCACTTTTATTAAGCATAAAATATGAAAGCATATTACTACAATAAGCCTTTCTATTGAATAATCAAATAAGCTCGCCTGTATATATAATAATATATAAACTTAAAGCCTCTTTCAATATGTACCTGAATTTCCTTCAAATGGTCCAGAAATCTTATCACTGCCTTGTTCGTTTGTGCCATTTCCTCGAAGTTCATCGTATTCAGCACGACTTAGTCGTTGTGATAAAGTCGCATGACCATTTTCTGCGTTTCTTCTCTGGAAAGTGCTAACACGATTGCTAGCACTATGATCAGACGCCATACCTCAGTCGTCTCGTCCACAGCATAAGGTGTGTAATATTGAGTCACTTTAGTACACAACAAATTATGCCACTCTCAGATTACCAGCGAATTTTCCAGACGCCTGATCGTAAACAATGTTATTTGCACCGTTCACACAACAGCGTTGCACGGAAATACTCGACTCACTTTAATTTGCATACAGTGCTATCGACTTTATTTCGTACAAACTGTACCATATTTTCATGATAATTACACCAAGAATTGGCTACCAAAATACCTAAGATTTGTACTCTTTATGTTTGCTTGAAACATCAGTTGTGAAGAGGTTTTGACAACTTAAAAAACATTATTGAATACCATAAAATGTTTAACATACCAAGTGGTTGTAATCATCGTCAAAAATGACCTCAGCCATTTTTTCCACGCACCACACATTCCAATCACAGTTTGATGAATTTGGTGACCATTCTTTATGGTGTCTTGATGGTACCAAAACATATTCACAATTCCAGAAAAAAACACCAAAGGCAAACTTCATACAAAGCACTACATGACGTATCTACCTCATACAAGAATGTGGGCTCACTTCATCTCCAATCTTGTTGTCAAGACATCGTATAAAACAAAAGAAAGACTTTAAAAACTTTCACAGAAAACTCGATTTTTTTCTGGGTTTTTTTCACCATGAGTCGCTTGTACGACACCATAGAGCCGTCGGTGATCGACGAGCAGATGCTCAAAGATGCTGTGGAGGAACAAGGACCGAAAGGAGAAGCTGGACGCATCGCAAAGCAAGAAGGAATCGATTTCGATACAGTTCTTGCACTGAGACTCGATTACAGAAGTAAATACTGCTTTGTTTTTAAGTAAAATTTAACATGTTTTTACGCGAAATGTTAGTAGAGGTGGGGCACTTGCATTGCACTGGAATTGCAAGGTTACAGGCTCTTTTTGGAGGACTTTAAATAGCCTAATCATGAGATTGCATTTTCAGATATTCTCAAGGTGGACAATATGTGGAACTTTGTGTCATTGACAAAACTTCAAATGGACAATAACATCATTGAAAAGATTGAAGGGTTGGATAAACTTGTCAACCTTGAATGGCTTGGTAAGTACTGGACCAGAATATTCACCATCAATTACAGTTAGATTTGTATACATTGTTTGTATATAAGTTGAGATCAGATTAGGATTAGATAAGGATTAGATACCAGATTAAGATTGAAGAAATGATTTAGATTTGTGATAGGATTAGATATAGGATTAAGATTAGAGATATGATAATCTCACATAAAACTTTGCATTCTATAGATTTATCGTTTAACAACATTGAAGTTATCGAGGGTCTCGACACTCTGGTCAAATTACGTGATCTGACCTTGTTCAATAACAGAATAACCAGAATTGAGAACATGGACACCCTGGTAAACCTTCATGTCCTGTCAATTGGCAATAATAATATCAAAGGACTTGAAAATGTATGTACATAGTAGAATTTAGCTGTGATTCAAGCTTTCTGCCAGAATATTATGGCAATATATAAGAAACTGGTTTAGATCCATTGATTTGAGATTCAGTATTCTAATTATCAACATATTCGCATTTAGGTTGTCTACCTTAGAAATTTCAAAAGCTTACGGACACTCAATCTAAGTGGCAATCCATTTTGTCAAGACCAGAACTACCGTCCGTATATAATTGCCCATCTCTCGTATCTTGTCTACCTTGATTTTCGTTTGATCGATGCATCCAGCAAAGAGACTGCACTAGAGCAGTATCGGTATGCAATTGAAGAGATTGTTCATAACGAGACGTTGGCACAGAAAGCACTCGACGAAAAACAGGAGGAAGAAGCCAAAAGAAAACTGCATAAGGTAGATGTCCATTCCTTGTCCATTTATTTTAACACGATAAATAAATAGCACCCAATATGAGCAGCCATGAATGTGTTACATAAGATAATGCAGTCCCTACAAATAACTTGTATTTGAATATAGGCTGCATATGTGGAAGATATGGATGGAAGAAAATTATTTGACAGTATGATGAATGATGACCCAGAATCATCGAAACTCTCAGCTCTACCTGGTGTCGAAGACATCACAAAAATGTATCTTTTTGTGAACACAATCACAACAAACTCTCTCATTGCTTGTCCAAGAAGCTTTTATTTTTCTTAACTGCAAATGCATATATAGATATGAAGAAAAATTCCTAGGTCTGTGCCAAGGAATGTTTGATTTAGGTTTGAAAGAACATGAGAAGAGAGAGGAGGAGATAAAATCATTCACTGATAGTATCAATGAAGCAAGAGAGGAGAATAAAAATGAAGGAGTTGAATGTATTAATGATTACTCCGAGTACAAAAAGAAGGTGAGCTACAGGGTATCGGAAAATAGGATGGTAACCGGGTGGATCATCTCTAACAGAATACTTGGATTGTAATAGGTTCTACAAGAAATTGCAAATCTGAATGAGAACTTCATCATTGAACGGTTGATGAATGAATTGAGTGATGAAATTATGGTTGTATGGGACACTTTGATGGGTCTGGAACTACAGCTGGTTGATCAACTGGAGGAAACCATCAAAGATTTTGAGAGAAATTTAGCTGATATGTATGCTGGATTCTTGGAGCAAATTCGTGCACAATATCCTTTTAATTATTGCTTTTCGTACCCATTGTTTAGTGCAAAAGTATATGAAATGTGGGGGGATATTAGTGTCACCTAATACTCATATTAAAACACCAAATGCAAGTGAAGGCAGAAAAAAAGGGTAGACATCAGATCACATAAGAGCCCAGTAGATAAAGGACATGATATACAGTACAGGTTGTGATTGCTTAACCATGCATACTATGACACAAATGAGAGAATTGGAACAAACACACAATGAGAAACTACAAGACATTGCAGTCCTCACGTTGGAAAAACTAATGAAGAATGAACTGGCAGATGACCTACCAGATGACGTTAGGATGGTAAGTGATACTGTGATAGAGTGACAGCATAGTTGAGCCCAAGATCCTTGCATGGCCAGATAGTTTTAATATGTTTCACAATGCCAGACAGTTTCATTGTTAACGGGTTAAGAAAGCCACTGTATATCTTCTGTTGTTCTTTTCTTCACAGCTTTTTGTTGATAAAGACACAGTAATGGGTGCTGTAAGTTCATCCCACGAAGCAAGATTGTCAAAGATTGACAACAAGGTATGGTTAAGACAATGGCTAATACAAAGCTTTTTGTTGATTAAGACAATTGTGAAGTTCTGTGAGATTGAAGGCAACTTTTTCTTACCCAGGAGGATGAGATAATCACAAGAGCCAATCAACATATACAGTCACTCGTTGAAAAAATCCACACGGAGGAAATAACACGAAATCGCAAACGTGTGGGAGAAATCAACAACCTCACTGACCATTTTCGAGATGAAATAGATAGCTATGATATTGGTGGAATGACTTGAATGATTGGTGGATACAAGATGACATTTGAGAAGCTGTTGTATTCACACTGTTTGTAAATAAAATATCCTGATTAATTCATTAGTATTTGTCATTGTAAAAAGTTGTTACCCTTGGCTATATGATTAAGATATAATTTCATATTTTTAGATGTAAATATAATTTTATATATTGCCAACTGTTGACTATGTTGATAATCAAATTATCCTGAATTGGATTTGGCCATTTTTAGGGGTTATCAAGTTGGGTTTGATATATAACAATATCATGTAAATCTATCAGATCTGAATGTCTTTTCTGAGTTGCAAACATGCAGTGAATGCAATAACTTGTAACAGTTATCACTTCACCTTTGTCTTTTTCAACTATCTTAATAATTATGATACAGTGATTCTGCATTGATATCTTGGATTCAATCCCAGTGTGAGTTTAAACTTGGACATATTGCCATGCCACCACTGTTATTCTACCGACTATCCAATTTGTCTTTGAGTCATTTTATGAACAAAACCGACCACAACATGAAGTTGGGAATGTCACGAAGAAATGTACATACGTCATTCATGCAACAAAACTTTGTTAACACAACGATATAAAAACCTGTTGTGAATCAATCTTTGTAACTATCCAGAGTACTGCCACTGGTGAGATGGAAGAACAAGGTTGCTGCAGCCAGACGACTTCGTAGATCCATGAGATCAACCTCATGCGCCCATTCAACATTTCCCCATTTCTGTATCTGCATAAAAAATGGTAAATATTTATGATAGGAGACCTACTGCCCTTAATATTTGACAAGATCTTGACCAATGCACTGTTGTATGAAATACAGATTTTATTCTTGCAGATCGATTTTCGAAGGGATTACTTTTATGTACAAATTTAACAAGATTTACAAGGGGGGGGGTACGAGATTTACAAGGGGGGGGTACGAGATTTACACGAGATTTACTGGTACCTGAAATTCTACTTCAAGTCTTGAGAGGGAGGCAGCTTTTTCCACCGAGATTTCTTTCTCAGCTAAAGCACATGCTATCACAAGCGACTTTGCTGATTCAACTGCATATTCAAAACCTAGGAAAACATTTAGTGAAATAAGATGAACTAACACCAAGATGTTTCAGCGGGTTATAAGGCACACATCATTGAGATGACACAGCTGGGAATATTATATGAGATATACCTGTTAGTGACCACTTGTTAAATGAGGTAATGTAATCTTGCATTGTGTCTCTCAATTGAGGAGAAATTTCAACCAACAATGAACTCGTAGGGGAAAGTGATACATTAAATCTGTGAGAAAATGAAACAAAAATATGGTGTTAGTGTTTCACTTGCAAGTTGGTCTTTTGTCTAAGATAACTTTGGATATAAGTATTATTCACCTATTATCAAACCACGACCACAAAGGACCCCATTCTTGTTTCTGTAGAGCAAACAACTCCTCCGGTTCATCTGATAGAAAACTGAAAAAATTATGATAATCTTTTTGTCAGATATTCCTGACAATCAACAGTCATCTCCAGCTAATTACTTGCAAGAGATTTAGGACCCTAGCTCTGAAAACTACTGGGCCACGGTCCTTTCCCCTTGCTCTCTCCTCTTGCAGAGTAATGTGAAAACTAAACAACTCACCATACAGTATCTGTCAGTAAGTACTCCAGAATTTCATGCACACGTGATTCTATTTTCTTGCCAAGTGGATCATCTATCACTGTGTTCGTCAATGCAGTCTAAACAACAGCAAAGTGCAATTATTCAAAATTAGTTTTAGACTGCCATGAGAAGAGCTACAAAGATTATAAAATCTCTTGCAAAGGATGTAAGATAGAGTTGCATACCAAATGCATGAATTCAGGTTTTATTACTTCTTCCTGAGCGTCCCACTCTACCGATAATGCCGCAGCCAATGGTTGGTAAGGAACACAGAGATGCTGCCCATGTGGTGTCTTAACTGTTTTATTGTCAAGGGTTATCTGATAACCATCTAAATATTTAGCAATAACAAAAACTTCAGAATTTTTTACTGTCCAAGATTGAGACTGATTTAATATCATGATTTACGCTTACTTTTTGTCTCAACAACATCAACTTTATTATAAAACCTTTTTCTATCTAAATAAAGAAAACATTTCAGAAAAACTTGCAGGAAACACGGCACCATTACATGCCATTGTGAAAGGAAATGAATTGTGAGGCTGTGGGAAATTTGAGAATTTGAACAAAGGATTTAAATTCATACCTCTAAAAGACGACAAATGTCTTCTGCAACAGTTCGAGACTTGTTGTGGCTTCAGAGAACGCTTCAAGCAAAGAGAAAATCCTCTGAAAAGAACTGAAGACATTTTGGAAAAAGATGAAAAATGAAATTTTTCCCTTTCGATATAATACTTCATGTATGTAAAAGCAAGTGGCAGTGTTGCCAACTGTAATTTTGTAAAAATCCCAAGTAAGCGCCTGAAATATCCCGAGATTCCCCCTAAAATCCCGAGATTTTAATTTCGACCCCAGTCCTCAGCCTTGGCGCACCCTAGTACCCAGTCCGGTCAGTTTGCGTTTCAAAAGCGGTACTTCTCTGCATAACCGATTGTACAAATAGGACAAATAGTCTTTATTGAGTGACTTTGAGTAGCGTTTTTGCCGCAAGTATGAATTTACCTTAGATTTTTAACATGTTTATTTGTCAATTTAACGAAAACATCTTTTCCCAAATTCCAAACTTCCCTTTCCCAAAAATCCCTAAAAAAATCCCGAGATTACTATTTGAGAAATAAATCCCAAAAAAATCCCAACTGCTTCAAAAAATCCCGAGATCTCGGGATAAAATCCCGAACTTGGCAACACTGGCAAGTGGACATCACACAACTGACCTATGTAGAGAGTGAAGTATGAACACTTTCACTGGTCAGCTACGTATGAGAAACATGACCCCCTCCCCCTCCACCCAGGGTATACAATTAATCTTAGCTCACATAAAATAAAAGGATAAATATTCAACTTTATATATTTACAAAATAGCCTTCATAATGGCTCCAATGATTCCATAAATACACAGCAGATAAACTCTGTTCTCTAATGTATATATTACACAAATATGTTCATCTGTATGGTATGAAACCTGACTGATATTTTAAAAATCAGTAGGGTCTAAACTTTCTCGCTGCTTTCATCCTTGCAACCTTCTCTTTGTCTTCCTCAAATTTCTTCCTCAATTGAGCAATATCTGAAAAAAAATAGAAAAAGGTGATAGATTGAGAACTGGTGGCAAAAATTTCACAGAAAGATCATGAAAAACTTACGTTCTCTCCTTGTCTCACGTTGTTGAAAGTTATAAAAGTAGAGTTGTTGCTAAAAAGACATTTTATGATTGGGATATTAGTCAAAATATCCTCTCCCTAATGACAAGGTTTCTGCCTAGGAAATCCCAGATATAGGAGCCATACCATTTTTTTCTTTTTCTTTTCCGGCAGATCAGTTGCTTCCACTTTTTTTGCTCCAGATTTTCTTCCACCTTTTCCAACTGTTACCCAGCCTTCTTCATCAGGTTCCGATTGCAACCTTTTAGCTGTTTCCTTCTCCTTGAGAAATTCAAAAAACACAGATTCAAGAAAAAAAAACCTTGCTATCTCTGTCACAGACAGCAAACTAGAGCAGGGACTCTCTAACCTCTTCTTGATTTTTATCAAATTCTTTCATGAATTCATCGATTTCCTTTTGCAACTTTGTAGCATTTGGGTAATTTGAAGCATATTCTTTGCACCATTCTTAAGAAATAAAGGCAATGAATGTAAGTAATTAAATATTGTTTAATTTTACAAATACAAATGTGAAACTATTGAATAAATGCTTGAGAAAAATTCTTATATAAACTTACTGTTTATTCCAGTGTCTATGGGTTTCTCATCTGTGGAAAAATATCTGATTTCTGAGCTGTCCAATTGCAAGGCATTTTGGAGTGAAGACTCCCTCTTAAAAACTATGTAAGCCACCTTAAATCCCTATTTGAAAGAGGAACACAAGTAATAGAATTAACACAGCATTTCGCACCTGTATACATTGCCTAGGGGGGGGGGACAAAAGGCTCTATCACGAACTTATGGTCTGAGTTTTTACCACCATGGACCATAATCTAACAGTTATTACTGCATTACATATATACAAACCATTATTTTAGCATTCAAGTTGAAAAAAGATTTCTTGTTTTCTTTCACTGGGCCTGGCTGCTTCTGAATGTAGATCTTCTGGATTGCTCCACAACCAGCAAACACTCCCCTCAGTGCAACCTTAATTATTACAACATTAGCAAGAACAAGAAACATCACAAGATTGACAAGGTCCTATAAAAGATTGCTAATCCTTTGAATGAAAGCCAGCAAACGGGATGGAGGAAATACCCAGATCATTCAACGTAAACCAACATATTAAGAAAATGTTGTTATCATCTTCCAAGTTCCAAGAAGTTTCTACTTCAAAACATAATCAATGAATCGAAATTTCCAAGGTACCAACCTTTGTGCAATATGGTGGGACATTTAACACAAAAAGCGTCCTCCCATTTGGCGTACATTCATCTTCTCCTCGTGATGAATGGCTTTTCAAATACATAATATGATTTGCCTTCGTAGATTTGTCAAACTTTACTCGTATTGTTTGAAAAGCAGCGATATTTGAAGATGTTGCCAATGACAGATGTTCCACATTGTCAGCCATATTGGATTCCTGATTCCAGTTGCCGCGTAGTAGCCTGGACACCACTAAAATATATTAGAGAATATACATTGAAAAAAATAGGAGGAGCACTCCCTCCAGGAATTACTATATAGCTCAGTGTTGGACACAATACAGGGGGAGGACTTTGCACATCACACACACACCACCCCTTCCCAAAACAGTCCAGTACTTCTCAGTCATCTCTCCATCCGTTCTATCGTGTGCAAGGTCTATCTTTACCTATCTAGGACAGACCTGGCATATCTGGTCAGAATCCCCTTTTTGTCTTCATCAACTATATGTAGCAAACTCTTCTTTTTCTATCTTCCATGATCGCGTGTGAACTAAATCTACGTTGAATATGGATGTTAGACCTCCAAACACACCAATATTCACTTTCAATATAATTTTAGTATAGGACAAACCATTTCAGGCTATTTCTTCCAAAATACCTTCCAAATTGTAACTAGGTGAAAGAAACACAAAACAAGAGCAAAAATTCAAAAACCGAAAAGTCATCTTTTATACATTTTCAAAATTGAAAATGAAATTGAAAAACTACTTACGAGTCACGCAACCGCAACTAAATAATTCATAGCACTTGAATAATTTCTGTTATTCTCTAGCAGAGACACGCTGAGAAACCCAAAACAACATGTGACCTTTATTACTGTACAAACTATATGAAGACAAAGTAATATTTACTAGGGTCAAAGTTAGAGGGGAAGTTGGATTTATAGAATATGCGTTGGTTCGCAGACGCTGGGGAAACGTAGGCAAAAGAACGAGAAAGAGGCACTCAATTTTAACCTAAAGTGACAATGTTGATGTTGCAATATAATACCGTATTATGACATCTGATGCCTTTAGGATCCTCGCGATGGACGTCTGATGCGTTCAAGGTTTGTTTTACGACAGAATTTTGCGTAAACGTTGTCCTTTTAGCGCACAGCCTTGTCAATACAATAAATGAAGATGAAATAATCGAATATCATTTGAACAGACAGGCTTCAATCTGTAATGTGGAATATCTCGAGCGGTTATCGTCGTGGAATATCGCATTTTCTGGCAGACAGATGGGCAAAATAAAGGCATTGTGACGGACCTCTGTTATGCCAAAATAAACAAGTGTTTTTGTTACAAATGAATAACGGGAATCTTACAAATTGTCGCAGTGGTTCGATAGCGTATTTGTAAACGAATTGAGCGTAAACAAGGAAGGTAAACACAAACAAATTAGCAACAAAATTGTGAAAATTATGAAGGAATTTAGAGTATTCCAGAAAGGCATTTCATCGCGTTCCGATTGTAAAAATTATTAAACAGAAATGTGGGAATTACTGATTTGTCATATGTGCAAAAATTTGTTAGAAAACCCGAAGGTTTTAACATGCGCTCACGCTGTTTGCGAGAAATGCCTCAGAAGTCTGATGCCAAAGAAATATACGGAGACGTTCAAATGCCCGGCGTGCTGTGCGACAATACAAGCCTTCGTTGACATCGACAATAATTTTCTATCAAACGTGTTGGATATTCTGAAACGTGAAACGAACGCGTGCCATGTGGATACAGCGTGCGATGCATGTTCTGTGCACGGGACGAGAAACTTGCACTGTGCGGATTGTGATATGCAGTTGTGCACGAAATGTTTACATGCGCATCACGATAACGTGATCACGCGAGGAAATTCACACGAAAACGCGCAATCCTTGACGCAAAATGAAAAGGGTGTATCTTTGAAAGAGATCGAAAACGAACTGGGAAAAATCCCGACACGAAACGAAAGCAAGGGAGACGAAGTACGGAACGAAATCGGTTCTCATTCCACGCAAAACGCAACTGCGTTTGCACGCGAGCATCAACTGCACATGCCATTGAAATGTAAAAAGCATCGGCAAGATTTGACTTTCTTTTGTAACAGCTGCGCGGAGCTTTCGTGCCAGGAGTGCGTCATTGCTAAACATATCGCGCATATTTTTGTCGCCGCGTCAGACGCGGCACCAAGCAGCAGAGCACAGCTAAGCACCCTGCTGAATCAGACAGCCATGAGAATCTTGTATCTCAGCGAAGCTCTGAGGGAAACAAAAGATACTGAGACGCAACTTGAGTCTTGTGTAGAAGAAATCCGGAACATCATTTGTGGTACGGCGAAGGAAACTTTGATGAAAAACTCTGAAGCCGAACCGTGTCCTCTGTCGACAGAAATGACAGGCGATAGAGAAGAACAAGGAAGATTTGCCTGCGTCCACAAGAAGCTGGCAGATTACGATGAGAAAAGTGAAAATGCCTTTGGGGACAAGCTCAAGAAATCATTCATTACACCACAGTTGTTGAACCATTCCGTGTCAGTCGAGAGAGGTCTGAAACTTAGTCCAAAGGGAGAAGCCCTTTCAAAGAAGTTGAACAAGATTTCCAAAAGAAAATTCGACGTTTTAGCAGGACATCGCAGGAAGCTTGAAACAAGATTGGCGCTTATCGAGAACTGCCAAAGATTCACCATGAATCTTATACTGAACGGTAGCGACGAGGAAGTGTTAATTTTAGAGAACTGTATTATGGAGAGCTTGGGCCAGCTGTGTCAAAATACCCCGGAGGTACCGATTGAATGCCCGGATGATGGTTATATTGCATTGATCGGAAGTCTCGCGTCAACCGCAGAATGTACCAGGTTGCCCGAAGGAAAGTTTTCTAAAGAAGAAAGAGGGGGTGCAGAATCCACAGAGGAGGACCTGAAGATGATATCGGGTGAAGGGTGTTGTAGCTGTTGTTTTGCAACCGGAAGTGGCCTGAGCAATGCTATTGTCGGTCATGATTGTACTTTTACAGTTACGGTGAAGAACGAGGCGAACAAAGCATGTGTTGAGGGTCCCCGTTCTTTAGTGGCTCGTATTAAGACCCCCAATGGTGGCTACTTCAGGGCCCAGTTGGTCGAACATAAGCTCGGGAAGCACAAATTCCGCTACCGCACCTACGCCGCCGGTCCGCACTTCCTCCGCATCACGTTACGAGGAGAGGAGATTCTTGGGAGTCCATTCGAGACGCTGAGCAGCGGATCAACGGATTACTCGCGGCGTGGAAGATTGGTCACGAAGTGCGGACGACTGGGTGATGGTGTAGGAGAGCTGTGTCAACCACAAGGTAAGCGGTGTGAGATTGTAGGTCGAGTGCCCTCCTTCTCCCATTCCCCCTGTCTCCAACTTTTCCGGAAAGCCATGTAAGGTAGGGTAGCCTTTCTCGCAGAATCAGGTCACGTAGATAAACACTTGAAATCATTTTAGGCCTGGCCATTGATCGTCTGAGTCGCATCCTTGTGGCCGATACTGGAAACCATCGAATCCAGGTCTTCGACGAAAACGGTCGCTGTTTATTCGCGTTTGGCCGGAGGGGAACTGGACCTGGGGAGTTTGATGAGCCATGTGACGTAACCATCGCACGTACCGGCCACGTGATCGTTGCGGACAAGATGAACAACAGACTACAGTTCTTCACGCCGGACGGGAAGTTCGTGCGAGAGATGTGTTGTGGAATCTCACAGCCAGTGGCTGTGTCAACTGATCATTATAATAATATTGTTATCGTTGATTCTGATGGTAGTCAAGCGGTTGTGATTAACACAAACGGAAAAAGGTAAGGTTTTGCTTAGCGGACACAACGCTAGCTCGTCCTGAAGTAAATATAGAGGGTGCTAAAGATCCTTCCTTGCGGGTGAAGCACAGATTGAACATATCTCCATTCAGTTTCGTTCATGTAATGATTCCGACATTTGCTTTGTTAGGTTACGAAGTATCACTCGGGGATCGTCGGCAAACGCTCGGCTTGAGAACGTACACGCTGTGGCGTGCAACCAGACCGGAGAAACTTTCCTAATCTCCCGAATTCCCGCTCCAAAGTCGGACGCTGCAACGGAAGAATCTCACGCCAGCCTAGTCCAGGTCTTCGACAACAACGGTGGATATATTCGAGAATTCGTAACGCCTTCGTATACACGGACGATTCCGACGGACCTATGTCGACTAGCGACGGATAACGACGACCGCGTCCTAGCGACTGGATCTGGGAACAAGGTTCAGGTGTTTACCAGAGTTGGGGGGCATTTGACGAATATTACTTTCACCGAGAAAGAATGGAAACAGATTGATATCGGCGCGATAGCTTTAAGTCCAAGCGAATCTGTCGTTGTTTGTGATAAGATTAACGGACGTATTTTAGTGTTTTAAAGTTAGCCTGGCCATGTTTAAGATTTGTAGATAATCTATTTTGATATTTAATATATACTATGGGATATAAATCTATATATATATAAAGAAAAACGTTAACAAATATGTAATATTATCATGTATTAATTTATAAACAAATATTGTTATTGATAACATTGTATTACTTATCGATTTCTCAAATGCAAAATTTTTCAGACAAAGTAAACTGTACTACTCTAAATGACATTCCATGTCATTCTATGTAACGGATATTCATTCAAATTTTCGTGATACAAAGTAATCGCCCGGGACAATATAAGGGGACACAACATGCTTTTAAGACATGGTCCACACTAGCTCCTAAGAATCGGGGATCCATTATTGTATTATATTTTCCGATAGACGAAGCATTTTATGCCCTTGTGACTTCAGACAGAGGAATTCCACGATTCTTAGGAAAAGTGTGAACCAGAATTACTCCAAGGTAAGCAGAATCACTGTCGTGTCCTTAAAAAGCTTGTTGCTATGGTTCACGAGGGCTTCTCAAACTTTTAGAGGTCTTAAGAACGCGTTGCACAAACCTAGCCCATGGTGATATGTTTAAAACTGTCTCACAAGGCTATTTTTCTCCGCTTAAATACAGCACGCACTGATTTATCCGGGTAACATGCAGAAACAATTAACATTAATTTAAATACTGTCCGGTTCAATAATGCCAAATACTTCAAATACTGTTCCGACTAACCTTGAAAGTCAGTTGCAAACGACCAATGGTCTCTCTCTTTGATTGTGCCGGAAAAAAACGTGAACATTGCATTTTTTGAAAATTGTTCTGTCAAGCCTACCTTTCGCGCCTTAAAAATTATTCGTCTAAGCATCGTCTAAGCATCGTCTCCGTTCGTCAAAGAATCGGGAAGTTTTCGAGATCGCCAGTTTCTATCGACTTTGCGCCGTTGACCTCGTACGAAATACGGAACTTCAAACGAATACGATCCTGGAAAGAGATGAAAATCATATCATGGAATGAAGACGTGATGGTTGAGGGGGTTGGGACTACCAGGGGTTGAGGGCAGCCAGAGGGAGTACTGTTTCCTCCGGGTTGGGGCGCAGACACACTGGAGGTTGAATGAAGATAGTTTAGAACAGAGCTTTTGACCAAGAAATACTTTACCTTGGCTGGATTAGAGAGGAACATGACTTGGGTTATTGCTGATGGTGGAAGAATAGGATTGTAACCAGGAAGCTCGTTGGAGGACGGTGGTTGAAGTTTTATTTTCATTGACTAAAAGAGAGAGTTTTGACATGTGAATACGATGCGACACTCATGAAGATCAAATGTTTCAAATCATTTACCTTTGGCGCAGCGCATTGAAAGGTGAAGGATTTTATTGGTGATGTATTAGTGCTCATAGTTGTTACAACAACGACGTGAATGTCAGTACGGAGGCTGCCGGATGAATCCTTGAATTTCAGACAAAACAATTTCGATACATAATTCTACAGTGTGTATTTCACATCATTTTATAAACACACGACTACCACACAAACCTTTGCGAAGTGCATCACCGTCTTAATATCACTTTTATCAAACACATTCATTGGAGGAACGTTTCCTGGAATAAAAAATGTTTATAAATGATACAGCTAGTTTAGTTTAGGTTTCCTCCTGTAGTAACACTGGATCAATAAGAGATGATCCTTACTGAACCTCTGGGAAGAACAGTTTAGAACAGATAGAACTATCCAGTATAAATAAAGTTAGTTTAGTTTAGGTTTCTTCAACTCACCTGGTTGAATTTTATCCATAGATAATGAAATTTGTTCTAGAGGCGTATCATTAGGCTTCGGTCCGTTTGAGGTAGGACAGCGGCAGGGGGAGGTGGGATACTTGGTGTAGGTTGTGGTGTTATTGAATCTCCTATGTCTAACAGGATTGTGTCTTTTTTCTCAGCCACAGCATTTTCAATCTTCGGTTTGCTCTGGGACTCTTTGTGAGCAGTCAGAGCTTCCTGCCCTAAAACATCCAATGGCGAGGGTCCCCGCGGTTTTGGATCTTCGGCCTTCATTCGGTTCACGACGTTCGACGACCACGACATATTCCCGGATGGAGACATTGGCTGTGGAGGTCTGGGGAACATAGCCTGTGGCCGGGGGGGAGGAGGTATCATTATGGGAGACATACTAGAAATGTAAGGTTGCGTTCCCCTGATCGTGTTCACGGACGCACTAGCGGTGGGAATACCAGAACTTGCGGCCGTGTTCGGCCATGGAGCAAGTGGTGGTCTGGGGCCTGGTATGTTCTGAATGACGGGGGGGAAGTTTAGGCCAGGTATTGGTTGTTGTTGTTGCTGTTGTTGTTGTTGTGATGGCAACTGGTGGGAGGTTGATGGACCCAAAACTAAAATGGAAATTTTAATTAATATACCTAGGTTTCCCCTTCTATCAATCAATAACATCTGATCACTCACCTAGATCCTGTAAATCCCCAATAAGAACATCACCGTTGGCCGAGGAGGTAGTCTGGGCACTACCGCTCATATCCAGATCAATGAGCGAGGAGAGGTTTGAAGAATGGTCAGCGGGTTTTGTAGCCGAAGGTGCGGTGTTTGTACTTGTACTTGTAGGTTCACCAGGAACACCGACTATACGTCGGTAATCTTCGAGCACCTTCGTCAAGTCGTCGTTTGCTCGTAGAATTTCGGCTGGACGCAAAAAAGGAAAATTGAAGATCACTTTCGAGGTTCCAATAATAAGAACTTTGATTAATAGAGATTTCAAAGTATTTACGAAACATTCAAACTTACACAGCGAATCGTCGCCCTCTTCTGTCGCTGTTCCAGCAAGCTTAAAGAGATCTGTACGCAATTTTTCACAGGAGTCATAGAGCTCCTAGGATAGAGAGGATCATTTAAGAATTAAACAGGATATACCTTATCAATTCTAGTCTACCCTTAAAAGTCCTGCAGGAATGATTCAATGCACTTCAACATATATTTGTACCTAATTCCTAAGAGCGTATACCTTCATCAATTCTCCGTCTGAATGTCCTGTATTTTTGGAGTAATGCGAAAGCATATCATTCAAAAGTTTTGTGTTGTTTTGAACCATTTCCAGCTCTTGCACACGTAAGCTGAGCTTTTCCTCGCGTATTTCATCCTAAACACAATCAAATAAAAGCAAAAATGACTAAACAAGCCAAGGATTATTTCCCTAAAAACTCACGAGTCTCACTCAAATACGCAAAATCCTGGATTCATTATGATACATGGTTTTGATTGATTGAGAATTAGAAGTTGCCGAATAGCTTTGCAGTGAATGTTAGTTGCGAGGTTCATATTTGACTCCCGCCACCGTTGGCTTGATGGCGTCATCTGACGTATTACGGTTGTGATTGGTCAGTCTGATAAACTCCTCTCATTTGATTGGTTGGTTCATTTGCTCTCAACGCATGGTAGTAGTAGAACCACAAATTTTACAGAGGTAGAACTCAATTTTTTCGCGTATTATACCTGTCTGACCATGTTCTTTATGAGTCTGTTGGCTGCTTGAAGATCGTCAGGATGTTTGCTCGCTAATAATCTTGCCAAAAGCTGAGAAGAAAAAACAAAATATTAAAAAAAAATAACTCAAAATCATGTAACATTTACATCTAAGGCTCACTTTCGCTTTTTCATCATCTTCAAAAACTGCCATTCTTGGTTGAGGGGTCGGCTTGTACTAAAAAAGGTTTGAAATAGTTCATAAATGACACTGGAGTTTTCGAGAGTTGGATTTGAAGACACCAATAAAATATTTATGGCAGATATAGCCACGGGGTATGAGGTTCTTTACAGGAGATATTTTCAAGGATCAAAGATCTATTTGTAGGTTGGAGATTGCAATGGTTATACACACCTGTTCAACCTGACCTGGCAGCTGTGGATCTGAACTGACCACTCCTAAAGATGAATAAACATGGGGCTTAATCCAGCCTCTTGAAATATAGTTAGATACAAGCTACTTCAGTAATGATCAGTCTGAAACCTGACATGATACTAGGGTGATGAGGTTCATGGTCATCTTTCTGAGGTAGACCATTCTGGTGTTTGAATTTGATAAGAACTTATGATGCAAAATCAACACGTACCTTGCCTCTTTAACATCAAATATGCTTCTTTAACCTTCGGTTCACTTGGTAGTCCAACACTCCAACTATAAAACATCTTTATAATCTTCTGCTTCACCGCTTCTGCGGTTCTTGAACCATCGTACTGTCAGGATAAAAACAGAAGTTAGAATGCAAATAAACTTGCATTAACATACGTGGTTGAACCATGAGGCTACCTTGTTCGATAAAAGCTTTATGAGTTCATTCAGAAACCTAAATTTTCCAATTTCCTGATGATATTTCTGTCCACAGTATTTCACACAAGCTTCGAGAACCTGGAAAGGGCAAATAATCAGATTTTTCAGATTACTTCAATCCTCTCCAGCTAGGTTATGTGATTTAATATGATCATAATTTAGGTGTGTTAAATCTTGATGCATACGTACAGACAAAGCCATTAATGATGTTTTTTCCTCAAAGGTCTGGAGCTTGCGGATAATAATTCTTGTGGAGATCAATGGCCTGTGGAGTCAAATATTTAGTCTAGTTTTATTACTGACCAATTTTCTGCCTCAAGTGAGATAAGGAAACTAGGGTAGGGTATTAGCAGATTAAGAAAAACAAACTGGGTTACATCTAACCAAGGGTGGAGAGTGGGTCTTCCCCCCTTGCGCCAATACACCTCAGAAACCCAATGGATAGGGTAAAAAAGTAGTTGATTTTTAACTGTAGTTCAGGACAAAAATGTCCAGTTAGAATTGTACATTTCACAGCTATTGAACTAAGTTAACTGAAAAATATGTAGTTAGTTTAATACCATTGGCCCCTACAGGAAGAATAAATAGTTGAGACCTAATTAGTTAGACATCTGGACAAATAAAATGTAAAATTACATCATCTTTTTACAAAATATGATGACAATTCTGATAATATTGTATTAGCGGTTGCAAGCCCCAGGCATTAACAAGCAATATAATATATTTACTTAAGATTGTATAAGTTATATTGATGTACACGTAATTACGTAATATTGTACCCGTCATAATCCTTGTTCACTCTGTCACAAAATGCATTGATATATCGCCAATCCTCCTTTCCCGTTGCTGGGTCGGTACATTTATCTACGAGAGAGTTTTATACACTTTAATAATAGGCAGGAAGTGCAAGGATAATTTGTATATAAAATAAAGATCCGGTTTGCTGTTAATGGTCAACTTTTGCACGGGAAAAAGACGTGGATTTCGCACAAACAATCCTACTTCTTGTCATTCAGCCGTACAAATACCTTATGAAGATTTCAGAAGATATTTTTATGCAAGAGAAAGTGAATTAAATACATACCAAGTAGAGCTTCGAGTGTCTCCAGTTCAAATGAAGACGCCATCTTTCTTCCTCATGGAAACTAGACCAAAAATCATCGCTCAAAAGTAGACGAGGAACTATAAAAGTGACAATGTAACTACAAGCTAGCGTTGCACTATCCTCTTAATAATTGTCTTTGAGAAGTTTTTAGTGAACATGATCATTGATGCTTGTTATTGCTTTCTAACCAGATCCAAAATATTCATTCTTCGATGATAAGTCCGTGATAATTCCAACCATTTTATACCTTATCTCATAACAGCCAAAACGTCATTCAAACTTGGGACAAAATTTTGCGTACAAGAACAACATCACATCTCCTTAGAATTTTCAAAATGACTTTAATATTGTATTCTGAATATTATCCATATGTATACATTCCGCTTTGAAGATACACATAAGACCCACACTATAAAATACAGCGCTTGCTATAAGAACGCTGGGCGATTTTTAACAAAAACACAACCCAAAATAAAATTTAACATTAAACTACTTTGTATATGTATAATTACGATAAAGATGAGGTTCCATAGAAAGACTTGGTGAAAGTTGAAGAAAATAACTACAAATCATTATTATACTTCATCTACACGTGATGAAGATGATTAGAATTTCCACATATTCACCAAGACTTCTCTAACAGAAACTCGTAAAGTTGACTTGCAACTGGTTAAATCTAAGGTTTAGAAATACTGAGATTATATCATATAAATCTTTGATAAAACTATTAAAACTATCATTATATTATCTTATTTTACATTAATTTCAAATTTAACAAAAATTCGGAATCTTTCGGAACGAAGAGTCCTTCCGGAAAGTTCGATGTTTTTTTGCAGACGTTTTTCAGTAAATTCGGAATATATATTTTGGTATATAGCTCTCTGTGGCGTTAAAATATTTATTTATATAATCAATAATTATTAATTTAGACTGTTTTAAGAAGATATAAGAAAGCCTTGAAGCAAATCCTTCTTTGCTTTCATATATTGAAGCGAACAAGCTGAGGGCTTTGAAAGTGAAGCTGAGAGACTCTTCATCAGTGAAGGTTTGTCTCGATTAATGGTTTAAAAACGTTGATTGGATGGCCATAAAATGAGGTCATTCGAACATCGGGTGATCGAATTATATCCCAGATATTGGATGTAATTTCCCTCAAGCATTGCTCCCATCCATAGATTCATAGACGTCGTCCCCCCCGAGTGGCGAGTCTGCGGTGGGTGAATCGATCGTGTCAGAACACCTGTCTAAAGGAATCGTTACGCGGAAATCCGGGGGGCTGTTTCTCGACGGCACCAAATATTTTACCATCGGCGGAGAGTTGGAGGGGAGTTCCTCTGGGGATTGCAGCACGTCGATGTAGTTGGATTCCGGTGCGGTGGGGGCGGCAGTGGGGGCAGCGGTGATGGGGACACTCGGACCTTTAAGTGGGTTACCAACAGAATGTGGTCGATTAAGATGGCTTTGATTTGTGTATCTTGCAGAACTTGGCAAATCGTACGAAGAATTAGCTTTCGGTGGTCCAGAACTAAGGAAGGCCAGTGAGAAATTGGTTAGTTAGAATATTAGTTAGTATATAATGGTCTATTGCATTGTAGTCTCAAATAATCACATCTTGTCACAAACCATACCTTTGGTACAACGGATTATCGCTCATTCCACGGCGAGGATCACGACTGAGTGCAGGACTATACAAAAAAAGAAATTAGATTTCTTCATAGAAGAATTTCGATTTGTTTGAGAGACGTGCTCTCAAATGCTTGGCCAGTTAAACAGGTCGATATAAAGTAACTTGGCTGGATTCTACATTGTAACGAGAGATTGAAAAGTTTGATGAACTTACCTGTATCTGTTGGGCTCGGCTTCAGAATATCTAACATCCATTTCTAACTCGCTAATTCTTTAAATGAAAAAAATAATCATTAAATTTCACTGCTGGGAAAAAGAGAAGCATCGACCTTTGTTATCAGGTAATACTTTAAACCATGCAGTTGACAAGCATTAATAGAAATGAAATGAATATTTAGGATGATAAATTCAAGAGAATTAAAGAAGAGGTTCTGGTTTAGAATGAATTTTACGCCAACAACCAAAATATCTCATATCATTTGGTGTTAAATTTGAATTTAGTTTTAATGATATTTTATGATATTTATTATTGAATGAATTTATTTATTTTTTAGTTTAAGACTCAACCTACTTCTCGTACAAACTGTCAGATTCAACCATCACTTTACTTTGAGTGCTTTTAAAAAAATAACAAGAGATTTAGCTATGAACTTTACCATTTCAGAGGTTATTGATAAAAATATTACGATTCTGGTTTAACATAACCTGAGAAATATTTTGAACAATGGAGTATTTATATTGACGTGTAATCGTGTAGTTACCTTTCCGATGGGACAACCCCTTTCTTGGCCAACTGTGCTTTTTCGTTGCCCCTGAAAACAAGATTGTAAATATTGTTTGATTCTGGGAGTTGGTTGGTACGAACAAGTGACAGACTCGGGTAGAGAATGAACTATGTTACTCAGTGGTATGAATTCTGAACAGCTTTAAAAGTATGTATACCTAACGAATTGAAGTTAATAAGTTCACGGCAACCAGGTATATAATCCATCGCAATTATCGCTTCTCTGGTTTAATTCATGAAAGTAATTACCATGCACAAAGATTACATTTCTTACCTGTTTCTTTTGCAGCAAACGCATGTTATGAGAGCGATGAGAGCCAAAATCACTACAAAAACCCCTCCAGCGACTGCAGCGATGAGAACGATAGATGTTGTGTTATGACCTTTGGCTGGTTGGGCGACGATCTTTGTCGTGGCACCGTGGGTTGCGGGGGTCGATGTGTCTTCGGACTCTGGCGCAACCGTGGTGGCTGCGGGTGTTGTCGGTGGGGCAGTTGTTGTTGTGGGCGGTGGGGTGGTTGTAGTGACAGCTGTATAAGAATGAAAAGGTTAAAGAGGCCTCATTTTACACAGAGTTCATTGCAGGTATAGAGTTAAAGGTTAATATTAGTTATGAGAGTGGAGATTAGAGTAGGAATTCGAGCGATTAAGTTCCCAGAATTAAAGTAAAACTTGAGTTAAGATCAGGATCGTGATTGGAATCCTTATAAGATTAATTGGATTGCAGTTATTAAAGTTTAGTTTTGTGGTTATTACCATTGATTACTCTGGAAGAGGATGATGTACTTTCAAAGGGAGAAGTCTCATGCGGTTTCATAGTGGAGGTGCCTGACAAAGTAAAATGTTTTCAATATTGACATAGTCGATGTCTACGAAGATGATGTTTGAAATGATGAAATATATCGTGGTCGCCGGGTTTAGTCGAAGTAACCTCGAAGCAATGACAGTCAGTATAACCTGAATGGTCAGCGAGAACTCTTCAGAACTGATAGAGCTAGTGCATGGGAGATATATACTCACGTTTTGTGACATTACAGTGGTAGACTACAAACATCTCGAGGGGTTCACCAGAGGCGCATTCCTGAGGGAAATTCTCATCGTTGATTTCAATCTTACAGACATTTCGATAATCACAAATGGTCTTTAGCTTGGGCAGAGCACCAGGGGCCTTGCAGGAGTCTGTGTAGAAGGAGGCATTCCCCGTGTTGCCATTTTCTGCTGTGCATACAGGATAGTTCGGACGGCGGCCGTAGAAAGCTGAAATAACTTCTATGTCCTGCTCAGCATTTGAACAATCCAGGGTGATGGCGGTGTTCTGGCAGGCTTTCGCTGTCTTGTACTCTAAAATGTACAGGAAATGGGACCGTTAAGTACAACTGACATGCTAAAGAAATCAAGGAAACAGTAGAGATTATTAAAGACTATAAGATCGAGGCCTATATCTTTCATATAATCGTGGTCACCATATACACTGAGTTAGATTTCTGATTGAAATTTCAAACAAAGAACTCCTACACCCACTTTGATTCCGAATATCCAGCCAGATGAATTTGAAGAGTTTTGCCTATCAAACTTTAATCAAAATTACCTTCTCTGGTTGCCCACAACATGATAAAGAAGCCTCTGTGTTGTGCGATGTGATTGTCTCCTCCAGTGAAGGAAATTCTCATGGAGTCGGTGGTCATCTTAATCTCCCTTGGCATCACACGAGCGCTGTTGTTACAGTAAGTGCCATTCAAGTACTTCGAAAAGGGGTGGATATTTTCATACGTCTTCAGGACGCCACGCGCGCAAGATTCTTGATCCTGTGCTGAGCCACCAACGTCAAAGTCCATCGCAAAGATTGAGACGGGGTAGTGGGGTTTCGGAAGGTAGATCAACCAATTGCAGTGGGCGTCATTGCGATAGGGTAAAGGATAAGATGGGGAGATTATATCGACTCGTTGGTTCTCGTTCAGTTTGACGACATGAGTGCAATCTGATGGAATTTGAAAAACAAGATGTTTAGAAAGGAACCTATTTCACATGATCAATGAATTAATAAATTAACAATTGATTAATATCAATTTTTCCTGTCAACATATCCAGTCGCTTTACTAAGCAAGACTACTTTATTACTCATTTGATGTTGCTATATAGGGTCCTGAGAGGACGTGCTTGCTGTACTTTACGCAGAGAAGAGCGATAATCTATTTTTACCAAGGCAAACCACGCTTCTTACCAACAGACTCGTTGCAACCATAAACCTCAACCTTCGTGCACATCTCATTCTTGAATTCAAGCGGATAGATTCGGATGAATTTTGCAACGAAAGAAGGATGAATCTCGTTCTTAACCAGATGAGTGGCGTCGGTATTTCCAGTAAATTCCTGCTGATGAATAAGTAAAGAAAAAAATATTAGAAAATCTGCGTTCAGGTAGTAATACTTGCAGGAAGAAAAGCTTGCTACTACACTATATGTTTATACATAACTTCCTTTCCAAAATTGTTGAGACCAAAGCTAGTGCGTGCAAACTGTTGCAAATTAGTTGTATTTTATGGCGAGTAGTAACATATAACTGACTGCAGCTGTTGCATTCATTGTTCAATAACCATTAGTACCAGAATCATTTAGGTTAGTATTATAATTACAACAGTGAATGATGTAATTTATTACAAGATAAACTTTTAAAACTATATATTAGTAGGATATCTTAAAGAGGACCATTGTATATTGCGATTATTATTATAGTTCTGGAAAGATTAGTATTAAAAGTTAGTTTAACGTCATTAAGATGAAAGCGATCTGTGATGTGAAGAAGGTGATAATAGATAATTGATAACGAAGTCGTGCGTAATAAAACGTCATGTAAAGTTTACAAACCTTAGAAAGGAAAAAGATTCACTAGAATTCAACAAACAAAGATAGTCAACATTCAGAATTTATTAAAAAATTATAGCAACAACAACAACAACAACAACAACAACAACAACTCGTGTGTTTAAGACGATGGTATGTAAGTCATTATTTTTTGTTATGACTATGTTAAGACGTGAATCAGCCTTGCTTTATCAATTACCGTCTAAAGTTTACACTGTCTGTAACTGTTCAATTAGAAACATGCATATAACATGGTTTTACGTGAGTTAAAATACGAATTATTTCTATTTAAATTGATAGATTATATATTTGTTTTATCTTAATTTAACAGAAATCGATTTAAGACTTTTAAGTTTTTAATGCCGCGACAATAGTTTCCATTTGACGTTGGGGGAAGAAAGGGGATGTGATATGCACGGGTATAACATCTGAGTCTTGTCCATCACTCGGGATAATGATTGATAATTATTGATAATGATTGATAAGGTTTGCCAAACGGACGAATGCATAAGAATGAAAAAATACTGGACAAGTTTGCGAATGCATATGTCCATTGATGTGTGAATGAAAATTTATACTTTCTATTTTTTACCTTGGAATCAGTAAGAAAAATAATAAATTTCACATACCGTCCAGGGCTAAAAAATACAGAATCAGGAATTAATTTCTTGCCAATTTCCAAATTAAAAGGTCCAAACTCAGTTACAATTTGACACAGGACAGTTTAAGACATGACAGTTTCCGACAGAGACTCGAGTTTATTACCCAGTACATTAACACATATATATCACAACGTGTTTTCATATGCAAAAGAGGACATAATAGAGGTCATGTTGCACATCGACTGACGTTTTACAAAATAGAACCTTAGACACTAGAAACGTATTCTTAAATTTTGAGTAATTGATATATATACATCAATATTCAGACAACGCTTACCAATACTTTCTTTCCAGTTTTGGTTGGAGTTTTGTAAAACCTAAAGGATCTCTTTGAACCATCGAGACTGTAACTGACTATGTATTTCTTGGTATAAAACTCTTGAAACGACCATTTAGCTCCCTGAACTTCGATTGCAGAGACGTGGCGTAATGTGGATAACTCTACTTGAATGTACCCTCTGTATTTTACAGTGCCTTTTGCTGCACACCAGGCTTTTGATTCGTCCATTCTCGCTCTGTACGGTTCCTTTCCATAATCATACGAGGATGCCGTAAATTTAACACCTTTGTCTGTTTTACTTAATGGAATGTTGCAGCCTAAAAAAGACAATTTGATAGAGCTATCTAGTAAAAATAAAGTTAGTTCAGTTCAGGGTTTCCTCCTGTAGTAACACTGGATCAATAAGAGATGATCCTTACTGGATCTCTATGAAGAACAGTTTAGAACTGATAGAGTTATCCAGTATAAATAAAGTTAATTTAGTTTAGGTTTCCTCCTGTAGTAACACTGGATCAATAAGAGATGATCCTTACTGGACCTCTAGGAAGAACAGTTTAGAACTGATAGAGCTATCCAGTTAAATAAAGTTACTTTAGTTTAGGCTTCTTCCTCTAGTAACGGACTTAACGGACCTCTAGGAAGAACGTAGAGTTACTGATGCGTTTAAATATAGATATGATGCGACCACCCTGACCCTAAAACGTAAATACAAACTTTCAACATTTTCTTTTAAAACCAAAATCTTTCATGAGTTCAACCATTACTTTTTCAGCATGAAAAATATTTGTAAAACAAAAGGCACTTAACTAGACCGCTTTAATCATCTCTAAAAATAACTCCATGCACCTGCTGTGTGGGTGAGGTTTGCAACATGATTCCGCCACCAAACTTGATGGGAAAATTTGCAATTTGAAATAAACAGCATTCTTACACCAGTTTTTAAATTTAGACTTCCGACTGAGGAGAGTAGTTTATAATTAAATATTCATAGTACAATAAACGTTAGAATTTCATCCATCAATTTGGAAACTCTATAGTTTACAATTATATAAAAAAAACTCCGATATATTTGACGAACTTTCAAGAGAAGAAATGATTAATATACAACAGTATTATTATAAACTATCATCTACAATATTGCAATTCACTTTACAATAAGTTGTCGTTTTTCAATTGTGGTTTTAATTTCATTTTTTTTACTTTACTGACCGAAAGCGTTCAGTCAAAACGTCAAAATTTATTGACCTGCTTTCAAAAAAATGCCGAAAGTGCATGTTGAAATCCACGAAAAGTCCCAACATATATACATGCCATTGAAATACTTAAAGAACTGAATGCGTGTCTGATAGATTAGAGTACCGATTTAGTATTGGTTTCACAGACTTAACCTATTTTAACCTTGAATGATTGGGCTATTTCTAACTGCCAATAAAACCTATTCAAGGTCTGGTAATCAATCCCACCTTTTGAAAGAAAAATACGCGCAGAACGATCTAGACTCTATGAAAAATGTAAAGGTTCCTTAATGGCCCACAATAGGTTGATAGAAATCATTATACTTATTTGCTGAAAGTGCTCTAATTAAATCATTAATTAACTAATTAGAAACTGCCTCAAATTCCTGTTAATTCCTGCTACTATTACTTAAATAGATATTATATTTTGTCGATGGACACAGCGAGTTCTACGTATAAATAACAACATAGATCTTTAAAACTGAATGTCATTCCCAATGAATATAGAATTGAAATCTTAGACTTAGAATGTTGTTTTAGAAAGCTGGTTTTCATTTTTAATGTACACTACCTCGGGAAATAGTGAGTTTTGTTTTCCCTCGAGTCTCAATGTTTCAGACATTCAACGTTCAGACTCTTGGGAAAACAAAACTCACTATTTCCCTCGGGAGCATACATTAAGTGTATAATATTTTTAATCTGGTTTTCGTTTTCAATTTCTAAGGGACCGTGCAAATTAGAAACTGCAAAGTCTAAAATATACTGTATCAAAACTATACATCAATATCAATTGTTATGTATACAATAATATTTGAGTTTGGAGAGACAATTTGTCTGGACGGTGCTGAGCCGATGCATAATGATGCATCCTAATTAGCCGAGCTTGCTTGTACAATCAAATGTATACTTGTCTCCCCACGTAGGGATTGATAGCATTTTTATATATTAAATATTTTATCACCATATATGATACAACCACAAATGAAAATAATTATCCTGCAAACCACGGAATTTCCAAATCATGGCCGTTAACACACGAACGGCTCGGTTACATACGATCTAAATTTAGCATGCGTTTGTGCAACGGTAAAATGTACAATTGTTGAAAGTGGAGGATGCAACAGGTTGTCTAGACCAAATCCATGCTGTGCTATTACGTCTGAGCTTGGCAAGCCAAGCATTTAAAGAAAAAAACACGCTTTTTATTATCTCCATAAGACGAAGTACAACATTGCACTAAAACATCGCATTAACGTCTTATTATTTATTGTCGAAATAGTAATTGAGTGTAATCTAATTTGCACGCGATATCATTTCGCAACATAATTAGAACATTCCAATTAATCTTAATGATTTTTACCGTTCTAATTTAGATTCGAAATTGTCAATTAGATTAGAAAGAGTTTTATCAGGTATTCGTAAATAGAAATCCTTTTAGCAAGAGAAGATAGTTCATGCATGTAGTATTTAATTTGATCAAGTTTTAGCATTCGGTACAAAGAGACGGAACTATTACTGGTGTTTCAGACGGAACGGCGCAATAAGGATTCGTGCCGACTTCAATTTCGTTATGAGTGTTGTTTTGTTTTGATCGATAAGCCTGAAACACCTTAATCCAACCACATGTTTTAGCCTGATAATGCTTCTGATTAACCAAACGATGCTCGACTAACGCTTGGCATAACCGGTTGTGGCGACGCCAGAGACTGCCATTTTACCACAGCGAAACAAAACATACATTGGGTTTCACGAACATGGGAAAAAGCAAAGATATCGTTCTTGCGTGCGTGGGAAGAAGAAATTAAGATGAAACCTCAAATATTTGGGAGAAAAAATGCGCATCGAACGCTGCAGCTCTGGGGTGTCAGGGCGCACGCTGCAGCCAGGAGGGGGTAGGAAGCACAAACATTTTAAAGAGTTGGATTTCTTTAGAAATAACTGTATGCACAGCTTCTGTTTTGTACTTGCTAATTCTATATGTTGTTCTGCTTAATGGAGATGTTTTTTTATTTCAATTGAAAGGCATTGTTTTCCCAACATAGGAGTCACATTATGATGTCTGAGCATGCTGTAAACGGCCACAAAGTGCATCTGTTGTGTGCCTGTTCGATGGAGTTCGAGTAAGAAACACGAGAACAACTTCAGTTCAAAGGTTTCAGCGGCCCTAACATTTGTGATGTTTTTACTCATTGTACTATAGAAGCGAGGACACTGATTACCCATGCAAAATTGTCCAACCAAGTCTTATGAAGACTGAGTATATTACTTTAATTAAGCTCGAATTGCAAGACAACACATCATGGGATAGCTATGACCAAGTATATATATTTACACCCCCGAATGTGTTCTGCTATTCGGTGCGAAGTCATCAAGCCCAAACCCAAATGTTAAACAACTAACAATCCTATTTAAAAATTTGCGAGTAATGCAAATTTTGGAGAATTGGAGAAAACACTCAACAAAAATAATGAAACTTATTTACGCACAGCTAAAGACATACCCTTTCTTGCAGCTGAAGCCAACGAGGCAGTCACGATGAAGATGAGAAATCCAGATAATTTCATCTTGTTGAAAACGTGAAATCGCCAACTTCTCCACGAGATTTGCTCTTCACAAAGAACTGCATACAAATACCAGCTCCTCGGGTAGACCTCGACGATTTAAGGAGACGCGTCCACTTCCTGTCTCACTGATTCGTTGTCGATTGGCCAATGGGCGTTGAGAATTTCGTGGCGTCAGCAGAGTACGTGGTGAAGCATTAGAGGACAAGCTTTGTGGTATAACAAAACTGCACCCAAGTCACGGCATTTGGGTATCAACTATCAAGGTTACCTTTGAGGTTATTTCATGCTATTTTTATAGTTTAGTTCATCAGAGACTCACAAGAGTTCGTGACTCTGCGGTTAATCCAGTAGCATCGTGCTTCTCTGGGAATTTGTATACATCAAAATGGATAGCAAGCTTTAGACAAACTATTCATCCAAATTAGTTGTGCAGCGTTATATTGAAATACTCAATCGCAAAAAAATTAATTACAAATTTACAACCATTTAATCTTAAATTAGCAAAAATTATCCCACAATGTTCTGTCTCTTGAGCATATCGTTTCTTAAAGCGATAATATGCTCTTTGAGTGAGTTTTCTTCTGACAAATGTCCTTATTTCAGGATGCCAAACCAGCCATTTCAGGCGACAGACCTGGATAAATAGCCACGTGATTATCGTCAGAGGTCCACGTGATAATACGAAAACCGAGTATGATATTTCTACACGATTGCTGACCTTTCTTTGAAAGTTGTTGCTAGGCAACTTGACGTGTTGGGTGATAACGTCATATAGCAAATGATACTGGAAGAATGCTTATATATATTTCTCCTTGCATGAAGTATACAGCTGTCGAAAGCACATTTCAAGCGTGTATAGCTCGTAGTACGATGACGTCATACAGGTGATGGCGTCACGTGATAGAGAGAACATGAACGGCTGACGTCATCAGGCAACTGAAGCGCGGGGGAATGATATCTGCGTCTTTTTTCGGGTACGAAACGGTTGCGAATATTTCCTTGTGTCGGAACTTTGGAAAAGAGGTTTCATTGCCTTCTTACTGAGTTTCCGAGGACAGCGTGGAACATCGGGCGAGGCACCGAGAAGCCAGTATGTCGTACAGTTGCCTTTACCCTGAGAGGGATGGAAATTAGTGAGAATTGCATCCGGGAATACAGAGCGTTCAACTGTCTCGTCGCTGGCTTCCTGACTGGCTACATCTTGAATTGAACGCTCGTCCTCAAAGCATCTTCTGTGAATTTCTGGATCTAACTGATCTCCCTGTTCTGCATTAATTAGGCTCAATGCCTTGACCTGTGACGTCACCCCCCTAGGTCCGAGTCCCAAACTACACACGCGGTTTCATTTTCGCGCGCTTGCTTTAGCCCCACCCGACCCTATGATAAACTTATCTTACCTTAAGGTAGACCTCTTCAGGACGTTGTTTAAGATGAAAGCCGCCTAGTTCATCCAAGACCTCTGCAGTCGACTCACTCACGTGAATTTGCAGCCCTAAAAAGTGAAATACCGTGAATATAACGTGTTCTCTCGCTCTCTTCCTTAACGTGTGTGAGTGTGTGTGATACTTGCAGAGCATAAAAAATGAATCCTACATCCTATTCGATCGCAACTCACAAGATAAACACACAGGTTTTTGTGAGTATAGTTCAAGAAGAATACAGTACAGTAGAAGAATCAACTCCCTTCTTGTAATAGGCTAGTGTGGAGTCCATTGCAAGTAATGCCTGGAGATAAACACTTTTTTGTTAAAATACCTTTTCCATTTGACTCCATTCTCGAGGCAGTGTTAACCGTGTCTCCGAACAGACAATACCTTGGCATTGTCATCCCAACCACACCAGCAACCACGGGACCTGGGGCGATATCGAAGAACACAATGAGTTTCAAAGATCTATTACCTGCACAATTTGGGATTAGATTACACGAATACACGAATTTAATCCTTCAGATTAGGTTAGAATTAGGACTTAGGATTAGGATTTAGGATTTAGGATTAGGATTTAGGATTTAGGATTTAGGATTTAGGATTTAGGATTTAGGATTTAGGATTTAGGATTAGAGTTAATTATCATCACGTACCCGTATGTATACCAATTCTTATTTGTAGTTCATGTTCAGGTTTGTGTCCAACTTTAAACTTTTTGACATTCTCAAGGATCTCGAGAGCCATGCACGATATCTCTGAGGCATGAAGCTTGCCATTTCTCGTTGGCAAACCAGAAACAACCATGTACGCATCACCAATTGTTTCAACCTGGTCGGAAATAAAATGAAAATTGCAATTGGAACATGATGTGATGTTTTGTCAAAATATAATCTCATCTTAGTTGTATGTGAGAATGCCTCCAGTTTGTCTTTACTTAAACAGCCACAATGGTTCAGAATATTGGGAAAAAGGACGGGGTCTATCAAGTGATAGGTTCTCAATGAAGCCATGATTTCTTTCACAAAGAAGCGGGAATGTTCAGCAAGACGTTGCCTAAGACTTACTTTGTAAACGCTGTAGTCCATAATGATATCATCAAATAACAAATACAGATCATTGAGCATATCCACAACCTACACACAATAAATGACCAGGAATAAACGTTTACATTACAATGAGATCTTCAGGCAAACATTAAACAATCGTAGTTCTCAACAGCTTACGATCTATGACTGACAAGCCAGACAAGGTAAACCTACCTCCATCGGGGTGCTGTCCGCACATAATGCAGTAAACTGAATGATATCACTGAAATATATCGTTACACTTGAAAAGCTCTCTGCTTGAACGGTCTCCCCGCGTTTTAGTTGCTCCGCCACAGATCTATACATAGAAAGCAAGATCAGAAACATTTCAATCTTCAGCCTAGTTACCCTGATGATAGAATCAGCTTCTTCTAACATGGTGGGATCCCAAAAACCCAAATATTTTGAAAGTCATATCGTTGGGACTTAACAAATGCAAAGGTTTGGCAAATGCAAAGAGCTTAATCTGAAAGTCCCCTCTTCCCACAATCAGGGGGGGGGTAGATACGCTTCCCCCACACCCCAATAAATCATTCTCTAGTCCTGGCTGTTACCTTGGTAACATTCTGTCCAATAAAGCGTCGGTTTTATGTTTTTCATCTCGAAGTTCTCTCGTTCTCTGGGAGACAACGTGCTCAAGTTCATTGGAATAATTCTCCAGCAAACTTATCATGTTATCACAGATGTCAGTTTTCCTGAAGAGAAGATCATTTTCGTGAGGTTGGTCAATGGAAAATCTTGTGAACACGATTAAAAAAGAGAGGGGGGGAGGAGAAAGAGGAGGGAGAGAGGAGAGAGGAGGAGGAGAGAGAGAAGGGGGAGAGGAGAGGGAGAGAGAAGGGAGAGAGGAGGGGGAGAGAGAGATAGGAGAGAGAGATAGGAGAGAGAGAGGAGGGGGAGAGGAGGTGAGGGAGGAGGGGGAGAGGAGGGGGGGAGGTGAGGGAGAGAGGAGGGGGAGGAGTGGCTAGCTCTGAAAGACAATTCCTATTCCTAAACTTACAATCCCGATCGTGTCATGGCACTCTCGACATCATATTTGATTTCTTGAAACGATGGTCTCTTCTCAGGAACTTCTCGCCAACACTCTTTCATTAAAGCCAGCAAACGTTCAGCGTTCTCGATAGAATGGATAACGACAGGTCGATACGGTGGATATTCCCCATCGACGACACGATCCACGATATCTAAAAAGAATATAACCAGGGTTATCATCAACTACAGCGGTCATCCTGGACGAAACACTTCCATTGTACAGTCACAAGGGTTGAAATGATTTCGTAGAATGCTCTATACTCGTACACGGCTTCACACAGGGCGGCAGTATTGATAAAGAACTTATTGTGAAGTGATAGGCTCAGTCAGTCGTATACGCACCTCTTGCGGGAATTTCGCTGTTTGAATAGGGTGATTTCATCGTATGAAATTCTTCCAAAATTATAGAAAAGCTGTAAACGTCGCCTTTTCGTGTTCCATTTATTGGTGGGTCTGCTTCTCTCAAAAGTTCTGGTGCCTTCCAGAGTAAGTCTGGAATAAAAAGAAACGAATTGTTGCCCGGTTGAGCGATTCCTGTCATCGAGGGGAGTGCTTCTATAGGAAGTTTAAACAACACCGCCAAGGAATGACCATGGTCTGACATGGTTAGTTCTACTGGGTTTGTCAGTGACACCATTAAGAGTGGTTGCAATACCAACATCACAAACCATACAGAACCACTCACCTCTAAACTTTTTATCTTCGTTATCTGGACCCATGTATCTAGCCTGTCTTGACCTGACATCAGGTATACCGTAGTCAGTTATCTTCAAAACCCATCGATTGTCAACCACACAGTTACTGGACTTCAAGTTCCCGTGGGATTTAATGTCGCTGTTATGAAGGAATGTCATTCCCTAAGAGAATTGGAAATCAAGATTACAGGAAATCAGGATTACTGGAAATCAAGATTAGAGAAAATCAGGATTACAGGAAATCAAGATTACTGGAAATCAGGATTACAGGAAATCATGATTACGGGGAATTAAGATTACGGGAAATCAGACTGTGGATTCTTTGGTAGCATTTGTGTGTTTCTCCGTCAAACACTGACCTTGGCAATATCATAGACTAGAGACAGGACGAAGCGATGATCCAATGTGATGTCAGGATTAGCGAGGACTTCCTAAACACAATGAATCTGTGGTTACAATGAATTCAAAAGCAGACTAGCCCGAGGCATTGTGATAGCGTTGCTCGTGATACGACTTTCGTACCTCTAAAGTTCCTTTTGAACCAAGTTGCATGACGACCCAGAGGTAGCTGTTCTCACAACCCAAACCAATGAAAGGATTGAGGTTTTCATGATGAATGTGTCGTAACTAAAAATAATATCATCCCGTATATTAAAACGACATGCGCGAAGAAAATGGGGGTACCTGATGGGATATCAGAGTACAGAGAAGGACACAAGTGGATCGTAGAAGGGAGCTAGGAGACAGAGTAAGGATAGATTAATGAAATCTCAGAGAACACAGAAGGTCACTAGTGGATCGTAAAAGGGACCCATAGGTACACAGAGAAAGGATAGATTACCAAGAACACTTACCATGCGTAACTCTCGTTCCATTGGCTTCGAAATATCCACAATCTTTGGCAGGACTTTCACAAATACTCGATCTCCCTAAAGACGAAAAAGACACTTTAATACCTTGTTTATATTTTATGGAATACATCTCAACTGCAAAATTCGTCCCACCTTGTAACTCCCAGACATGCTCTTGACGGCTGAAAAAGATTTCATCAGCATCACATCTGTTCCCTCCTCCATGATCGCATTGTTGTTGGGAAAGAAATCCTAGAAATGGAATGGAGAACTCTAGCTTAGACAGGGGCTTCCTCATTGGGGGATAGTTTATGGGTTATTTGGGAAGAAAGCTGACTCGATAAAAGGCTACCAAATAGAACGGAGGAAGGGGTAATGAATGGGGAGGTGGGGTAATAGGAGGGTGTAGTTTAGGTGAAGGTTTCCCCCATATTCTTATACCTGTAATCTGCTCAGTAAAGCACATACAGTGATGACCAAAATATTTGGGACGTTTTTACAGATTGATATAAGCTGACAATATGTGACAGTGAGTTTTTGAAGTGTACAAATATCCTAACCTTAGTATCCTCGAGTAATGAGTAAGCCTCATAGTCCTGTAAGTCAGTCAGACGGATCTAAATTAAGTACAAATAACAATGTTTTATGAGCAAGGTTTGTTAATGTTGTAGGAGGTTGGATGGAGACTGTACTATATGGCGTTATGACCAGATTACAGCCGCGGAGAGCATAGGAGAGAAAGGGAGGGCATTGCCAGGCAATCTACCAGGATATAAACTTGTTTTGCATCAAGCCAGAGGACCTACCCCGCTGTCATTTGAAGCCTTTGAATCGGTTGAAATCTTTCTATCAAAAATGATCTCATTTATATCAATTTGCCACACAGAGCGTTTGAGGATTCTTTCGCGTTTCCACTGCCTAAAAGCAGAGCATAGAAACTGATAAATATCAAGACGAAATCCTTTCTGAAAAGCTCCACGTCAATCATTCAAAGTACATTCAACCCTTGCTATACAACGTTAGCTGTGGAAAATAATCTCGAATAATAGATTCCGTGAATAAGCTACCTGAGAAAGAATCCGCCCAGGACAAGAAAGATGATGAAAAACAAAACAGCGACCAGCGTTGGAACAATTGACTGAGCCACTAAAAAAAAAAGGAAATATATATGTTCACGCAGTCATTTTGGGAACTAGGAGCGCTTTGTATAAAGGTTGTATATGTCGAATGAAGCCCTAGACATGAAATTGAAGAACTACCAAACAGAAGTAACTTAGGGAAAAGCACAGTTGAAAGCGTACAGTTGTTATTAAGAAGTGTACCTCTAAAATTGTATATAAGACACGCCCATCTCAACCCAAGGAGAAGGTGTACCTACCATTGACCTCCTCTTCTTTGCAGTCATAATTATCATCTTCACAGGTCCTCATATCAGTGGGCCATTGTTTTCCCCAAGGCCATGCGATGCTTTTCTTAGGGATTGTAAGTTTCATCGACGAATTCAGGTTTGTGGTGAAACTACCTATCGTCTTTATATTCGCTATAAATACAACGCAGAACCATCGTTATCGTCTGACGCTTTGTCAACCGCAGGTAATCCTGGGAGCTGAAATAATTTCCACCCTCCCTGGCTGTCTAGCCCAGGTTGTCCCAAAACACATGAAAACAGGAGAAGAAAATGCTGTGTTGTATTCGTAAGATCACGATTTTTAACATGTTGCAACGCATGTAAAGCCTCAATAAGTTGTAGCAACATTGTTCAATCCTATTTCCATGGACGGGGACAACTTCGTTCAGCTATATTCGTTCCTTTCAACCACAAAGTTTAACAGTTTGTAATCTAACTTACAATCATCCTTAACGTTTGCCCAAGTGGTATCCGTGGTCATATGCAACAGGCTTAGATGAACTTTCAGAATTCCAGTTGCGTTGGTAAATATCGACTCATAACCGCTAATTCCTAGGGTCACAATTTATAATAATACAATGAAAAACCTCTCAAAAACTTCGGACAATAGCCTACCCTGCTTCAGAGTTTGTTGATACACACTTGCTTGAGATACACACTTGCTCACTTGCTTTTTACCAACAAATTATTACGGACTGTAAACTTGAATTTAGACCTGAAACCTGAACTAGTTCCTGAACTTGATGCAAGGACACAATTGACGAACATAATTCAAAGCCTTGTACAAAATTTCCTGAAGTGGGGCGTTTTATGATAGGTCTATCGTGACTCCGGAGAGTATATAGTAGTTGATCTCAAGACTTACCTAAATATGAATGGCTTCTGAATTCCTCGACAACTCTTTGCGCAGTGATGTTGATATTTCTTTCGTGCAAACGATGCAAGACCAAGCCATATTGATACACAGCATCGTACAACGCATTGGCTGTTTCGCTAATTTCTGTTTGTTTCTGCGGCAAAGAATTCACAAAACAAAACATATCAAAGACGAGCAGGATTCTACTGAATGTTGTGTACAATGTCAAGCAAAATTTACTCGGAGGAATTGCATCGAATCTGCATTCATTTGAAAGACCTAAACTAGGTTTTTTTTGCACATTTGGCTTGAAAATAGCCATAAAAGACGCGTAATATCGATGGTATGCTATATAGAAGGTATTTTACTGTCTTCATTACACTCACCGTTACCAAGTCATACTCTAGTTCAAATTTAAAAGGCTCAACATATTCAGTTCGTCTGACCAACTCTTTTCTAAACTTCTCATAACGATCATTGTTAACCGGCTGTGCGGCAGAAATGATGAGCAGTGATCTGGATCCTCTCTTCGACCGATACATGAGATCAAGTGAATTGGTCGGTTGAGTGCTGAAGAACATTTCACTTTGTCGTACGTAGTTTGTTCTGCGTACTTTGGCGTCCAGTTGAAAACCAATAAAGACACGATGCGGCTTCTTTATCTTTGTTAATCCCAAGTCGTGTGCTTCGGCCATAATCTCGATTAGTACATCAAACGAGGTGAGAAGAACAAAGACTACGAAATAAATGAACACAAGGTTTTAACAACAACAACAGAAACAACAACAATCACAACAACAATCACAACAACAGAAACAACAACAATCACAACAACAAAAACAACAACAATCACAACAACAGAAACAACAACAATCACAACAACAGAAACAACAACAATCACAACAACAGAAACAACAACAATCACAACAACAGAAACAACAATCACAACAACAGAAACAACAACAATCACAACAACAGAAACAACAACAATCACAACAACAGAAACAACAACAATCACAACAACAGAAACAACAACAATCACAACAACAGAAACAACAACAATCACAACAACAGAAACAACAACAATCACAACAACAGAAACAACAACAATCACAACAACAGAAACAACAACAATCACAACAACAGAAACAACAACATTCACAACAACAATCACAACAACAATCATAACAACAGAAACAACAACAATCACAACAACAGAAACAACAACAATCACAACAACAGAAACAACAACAATCACAACAACAGAAACAACAACAATCACAACAACAGAAACAACAACATTCACAACAACAATCACAACAACAATCATAACAACAGAAACAACAACAATCACAACAACAGAAACAACAACAATCACAACAACAGAAACAACAACAATCACAACAACAGAAACAACAACAATCACAACAACAGAAACAACAACAATCACAACAACAATCACAACAACAATCCCAACAACAATCACAACAACAACATCAACAACAACAACAACAACAACTACAAAAATAAAATAGAAATTATCGTACTTTTCACCCGTTCCTTGTTTGCTAAGTCACTCAATACTTCCCGTACTTTCGCTATTGATCGATTTCTTTGAACGTCGGGCTTAAACTCCCCGTAATTTACTCCGAATGTGTTGAATTTTTGTGCCTTCGGTACCACGACCGTTTTCACAACACGAAGAGCGGTTCGTTTGTGAACTTTGGTCTCAAATTCTTTCCAGAATTCACCATCCTCCTCAAGGATAATAGCAATCCTTTTCCATTTCTGATATTCCAGGAGTGTAAACAAGGCCGACGCAGCCTGGGCATTCGTGTTTTGATAGGTGTTGATGAACAGAGGGTATTTACTTTTTGGATGATCGCTGTCTCGGCAATACTAAATCATAAAGATAGAAATTAAAACCATGTAGATTTCAGATCAAGTTTAAGGAGTAGGTTTCCTCCTGTAGTAACGCTGGATCAATAAGAGATGATCCTTACTGGACCTCTAGGAAGAACAGTTTAGAACTGATAGAGCTATCCATGCAGTATAAATAAAGTAAGTTTAGTTTAGGTTTCCTCCTGTAGTAACACTGGTTAAATAAGAGATGATTCTTATTGGACCTCTAGGAAGAACAGTTTAGAACTGATAGAGCTATCTAATACAAATAAAGTTAGTTTAGTTTAGGTTTCCTCCTCCTGTGGATCCAATACATAACTAAACGTAAGAAACTCACATAAGATATCATTGGTATGTTGAAGGATTCAGCAACTTTAGCTGGAGCTGAACAATCAAAAGCTGGTCCAATGAATACATCTACAGGTGTGCTTGTGTTGCAAGGTGATATATACTTGCTGTACATGGATTGCAAGACTGCGTCACTTTTCCAACTATTCGTCCAACTGTAGCTCAAATTGTGACTAGGAAGGATCGTGGAATTGTTGTTGACGTCATCGACTGCAATAGTTAGCGCATGCGCGTAACTCTTGCCATCATTTGCTTGTAGGCTATATGGAGGTGCTATAGGAACGAAAAACCCAATGTGGTAGGCTGAGGAGTGGTGCAGTATTAAAACAGCGATCAGGATTAAAACAATTTCGATTTTCATCTTTCGTTGGAGCGATGTTTGCAAAAATAGAAACTAATCTAAAAGTGAAGGGAAAATATCGTTACTAAAGTTTTGCACAAGTAATTCGCATCATATAGAGGCAAAGTTTACAGGGCATCACATTTAAGGCGAATGATTAATAGCGCAGTCAAAAACTGCTTTCCGTGGAGTTCTCGCTCAAATCATTCCCCTCATCATATTGCCTTCATTCTCACAAAGACATCACGATACATTTCAGTTTCAAAACAGTAGCAAAATACTACAAGCACCCCAAATATAAGCTTGCGTTAATATCAGTACTCGTTTATAGCGTGATATCCCCTCCCTCTTTAGTGTTTATTGTACATATCAGAAACGTAAAACATGGGATCCTTATAGCGCTAGAAACATAACAAAAACCCAACCAAAGACACGACATGCAAACTTACAATCTTCAGAGGCAAGATATAACACCACGATTTAAAAACAGAGAAAGAGATGGAAGTTTCCTTTTATTCACTACTCCTTCAACGGCAGAAATTTCTGACCACAAACTCCTCAAGAACGAACGAAAACACTCCAAATGAGTTAAAGATAGGAGGTACACGGTATTTTAAATCTACTTTATCCAGCGCGTTTTTATCAGAGGTTATATCCGTGACAATCAGTACATCGATCCATATACGAATAATTTTGACGTTGTGGAGTTTGCAAAGACGTGTTTACCAACGTTAAAATAGACACGACAATATTACAATACGATTCGGAAATCCATCGTGAATCTATTTTAATTTATATCTCGACATATATCGGACGAATCCAATCGGCCCAACACTAATAAGTGCTTAATGCTTTTTTTTTAAGTTTCGTTACGTGAAATGTGATTTACACACGAGGAAATTGAGGACTTGCAATTCAAATGATTCCACAGTAGGTTTGAAACGCTTCCTATAAGTTTATTTTGAAGCCAATATCAGAGGTAATCCCATGCAGAGTAGATTGCATGCTGGTTTTAAATATTACAATTCAATCCTTATCAGTCCCAGACACTGATGCGGTAAATTGCAAGCAAATGCAAGCAAATGATTAAATGGACCTTATTAAGCTTTCAGCAAAATTTGACCACCATGAGAACTGGCTTCTTCCATGATCTGGTAGTAAACTAGCTGAAGCAACTCACCCAACTCATCCAAACACAGGACTAGCTAAACTATACCTTCTTACCTAAAGTAAAAACCAGCTGCAAGATTGAAAGCCAAAGATGGTTTATCGACTCTCATAATGATACGAAGTTCATTCAAACAACACGTAAGGTTTGGGGGATGTCATCATCGTGGGTGACATTTTCAGGGGGAAGTGACGTTGTGATTCAATATCATAAACACGCGACTTGCTGTGAACGTAATGCACACAAACTTAAAAGCACACCAGAGCATGACAACTAAGTAATATCGCTCGCATGAAGGACACCGTCACCTTGATTAGCAAACAAGCTCTTTCAAACCATGTGCAGGCAATGATATCAATCGACGTCAACGAGGATAAAACATTTCATCAATTTGAATCATCACCTTTTTTCCAGACGCATTTGCCACAATCCGGTGTAACGAATTGACGCATTGGTTGAAAAAATATCAACCTAGTTGATTGTTTTTTGAAATGTGCCTGAACAAGTACAAGTGCTGTCTAGCATTTTGAAGAGGCCGTTAAGACGTTCTCGTCTGCTCCTGATGTCTCTACAGCGTGATACGTTGTAAGCCTCTTTCCACTCATCCGAAAAACACAATAGCCATGCGCGATAGTCCCTGGCGTTTATATCTAACTAAAAATCAACATAGATGCATTTGGGAAAAGTTGAGTTAGATCACCCGCAGTTTTTGTTTTCAAAACACAATAGGGTGAGAATCTTTTTACAAGGTGGAATTTCGCCAAAAATTTTCCTCAGTTTCATCGCGTGGGGAAAGAGCTTAAATGACTTTCTAGCCAGAGTTCGCAGAAATGGATTGCACTAATCTTTACTAAATATATATAAAGCTGAACTAAAATAGGACTGTCTGATATCTTGGCAAAACAAATAACACTTTCAAATCGTTTAATCCACAAGACCCATATCTTTGTACAAACTCTCAACGCATAAAACAATTAGCTATATATAAAATATGCAAATGACCAGCCTATTTATAGTTCTGTTTTAAAGGTTTCGTTGTGCAAATCGAAATTTTTGTTGATGAAATTTGTATGCATATAGTAATGGCACCAATTACACATCACTGTTGTAGACACAGAGAAACAAAATCACACAAGAAACGCGTGGTGCTTGCGTAGACAGTATTGTTATGTAAACTATTCTTAGTCTAGTGTTGAAGGGTATCCCATTAAATACTTGAAATGTATACCAGGAGTGACGCACGCGATTTCTAATGCAAAATCATAATTTCGATTGATAGAATTAGCTAGGGGAATAAACACAAACGACCATGTTTTGATGCGTTCATAAACAGCTCTGCAAACATATAATCATTATTTAAGAGTATTATTTAGCCAAATCATTGGTATACGATTACAAATTCTAGCATAAATCCTCTTAGAGGTGACAATTGCTCGGAATGGGATCGGTGCATGAACAGACATATTTTAATATATCAGCGTTTTGAGAACCTGGTGAAAGTATGAAGTCTATGAATGAAGCAGCCTTTGGCATTTGCTATGTAAAATACCAAAAACGTTTAGTGAGAGCTGTTTGTTTTTCATTATTATATTAAAAGTTATGACAAGGAGAAATTATGAGGAAGAGAAAAATCTTACCTTTATTGTGTCCTCAGAGCTTCGGACGATTTTTTTGACGCTAGGATTTGGGAGTTCGTAACGAAAACATTGCCTCTGGCACAGAAATTGTGTTATAAGCGACGGTCCAGGCGAGACTAGTCTAAGCGAGCTATTAGCTTAACCAATAGCGAGTCTTCACTATTCTCTAATACAATCAACACGTAAAGACCACAAGCTATGACCAGCGTGATGTATATGAAACATTGAAACAGGTCAGAGGTGAAAGGATTTACGTAAAAGAAATCTTCAAGTGAAGAGCTTATCAAATTACGTTTAGATCGAACAATCAAACAATACTATATAAAGTTTGAACTATTAATCTGCGAAACACCAATCAATAACAATCTTTTAACACAGGCTTTCTCGTGTTCAAGTTTAGCATCAGGTTACATTCAGAATTGGAGTATAATGATGAAGGTATATTTTGATGAAGAGCCCAAAGACTGGCCAAACGTGTCTGAGTCAGAACAAGTGGTAAGCCTACAAAATCTTTAAACGAACTTGTTCAAAGAGGCCTGGATTTCCCAATAGCTATAAGACGTATTTTATATATAGTGTAACACGATTTCACGTGATATGGGTGTGTTATTGAGCTTAAAGTTAAACCACGAACAGGTTTCCTGAAATTTAGCATAATCTGCGAAGACTTATATCCTGTTTATATTCCGCATTTGCATGAAACACGTTCAAGAAGGTTCTAAAGTATTTTATGCCAGAATTACAGCGCGCACTTCAGCATTAAGACGCCTGTTAAAGAATTTTTATAACACTTTTAGAACACTTTTAGCATCGCGTTTCACCCTAAAGCCGAAAGAACGCGTTTTTCTTTCTCCCCCTCAAAATCTTTCATTTCCTAGTCGTTTGTCAGAACAAGCGCCATGCAATGATATTCGTTAAAGGTTGAATCTAAGTTGAATTTTAGTTATTAAAAGATACAAGACGAAGAATTCTGGTGATATTTTGTCCATGCAATACTGAGTTTGCAAAATGATGTTATTCGCAATTGGTTTCGTCTTATATTTCATTAAATTGTCTGCTGGTAAAGTATTATCGAAGTGGAATAGGTACTACGGGAGAAAGGATATTGTTAATTGTAGCTTGTCAACCAATCTAGATCAAGATTTTATGCCAGGAAATTCTTTCTGCTGACAATGTTTGCAGCTGAAATCAACAATCGTCCGCTGGTAAAGCATTTTAATACAGTTCGCCAGAGTTTATCGAAAATGGAAATAGGTACTTCAGGAGAAAAAGACCCTAATTCTAGTTTGTCAATGAATTCAGATCAACTTCTACGCCATAGAATTCGTTCTGCTGACGTTTGCAGTCCAAATGAAAAAGCTATTCAAGACAACTGGACGAAGATATACCTCCCATAAACAAAGACAAACAAAATCTCAAACCCTACCTTTATTATCCAAGGCAATTTGAACTGATTCCCCGATATCAACGGTCGTATGGAACGCGGAATAAAATAACGACGCCACGTACCTAAATAAAAAAATAAGAATATTTAGATATTTGTTGTTCTCGCTTTTGCCCTTGCACATTTCCACCTGTCGTTAGCCTAAATATTTTTTTTAATAAATTGTTGTCATTTGTTGATCGCTTTGGCGGATTAGTGCATGATCAAGGGGTGCCAACTGCCCTGAAAAAACGATATCCTGATTGATTTGAAATAGTTTCTTAACGAGCAGAAAGTTATTGAAATGAAACTGACAACTTTCGTTAAGAATGCGGATATTGTTTCTCAAAATCGCGGCCAGTATAGCACTGAATCCATGTCTCTTAAGTATGTAAAACACATCGTGTATAATATTTATTGAAGTTTGCTCAAGTGAAACACACGCAATTTAGAGTAGGCACTATAGGCACTTAACAAACTGTTGAGATACACAGTATCAATATACGAACCCTTATAGTCCCTTACGATTATTTAATGAAATTAGTATCACTTATAAGTAGGCCAACTGGTAACAATGTCCCAAGCTATAGACCATTCAGTTTGACTATTGCTGCATGAGCTTGTTTAAATTATGCATGGTATATTGTCTGGAAGTGAAAAAGCTAATATTTTCGTTTAATTTTTCACGAAATGAAATTGTGATATATTCTTCCTGTGACGGTCAAGTTTAGGACAGGGCCTCAGCCCCTGAGGAGTGCACCACACGCACAACACGCACCACACGCACAACACGCACAACACGGTCACGGTGTAGCCAAGATTTCGGCACTTTGAGAACCCGTACAAATTAAAGGCAGGCAAAAAACTATCCTCCGAAGAGCAGAACTTGCTGAGGTAAGCTCTCCAGTGTATGACGTTTATATAACGTCAAAATGACATCATATATACGATTAACTTATAATTCATAGATAGTAGTGAACTATAGAAAAGTTCGAGAAGAACTTGCAGTTTCAAAGTTGCTTTTCATATCTTACAATTCTATGTCAGAAGAGTCCTCATCAATTCGTATCACGACGACGAGCTACGACGAGTTTCAACGAATCACGACGAGATACGACGATGTGAACATCAGCAGATCAGCTTTAGAAATTTATCAAGTCACACTGGGCGTAGTTTGAAGGTCAGACATCAGATATCAACATTCAACACGTATCGAGTGCGAGAGTCTCGTTTTTCTGAAACTCATTAACGAGTTTCTAATCGGATTAACTCGAAGTGGATGTCGTTTAGTAAAATGCTTTAGCGTATCATTAAAAACTGTTTATAGAAACACTACTGCCTTACGTGAATCAGCCGAGCGAGATTTGTCTGTTTTAAAAACATTTTGTTGACTTAAACACCGCAATTTAGCGGTTCTTTTTTTTCCTTTACCCCGCCAAATCCACAATCTCTGTTCCGCGTTCCATTCCAATCACGACTAACTTTACTGCGGTGATGACATACGTAATCTTTATTACCTTTATTACCAAGCACGCCCCATTTAATATCCCTGATTTCAGCTTTACGCGATACCTCTCCATCAGGGCAAAGGTTTAATCCCCACTTCAATCCAAAGTAAGTACAACAGGACGAAAGCTGATCACTAACGCAAAAGTAAACAACAACACCATATATGCATTGACGTTAGAGGCATTAAAGACCTTCTGTTCTACCATGATTAACCGATGGAAATACCTCTAAATGTTTTTAGGCCGTTCCCAAGCAGGGAATTTTTCGATCGAACTAAATCTTTCGTCTAGTTTTCTTCTCAATCGTGAGAAACAGACCCTAGCGGATTCCCAAACATGAATCGAGAACAACTATCCCTGAATGGTTTCAAACTCTTTCGTTCTGGTATTTCTATTTTCAAAATATTCGGATATTTTTAGTTCATGCTTTGGTTAAAAATAGATCAATGAAGACACGATACGATGAATGTTATATAAAAAACCTTTCAATATCTTTCCATTCCTCTTTCATAAAAAATGTAAAAACATACGAGTGTCTTGAAGGTTATTATAAAGAGGGAAATTCGTGTTCTTTGCCAATTTCTAACACATAGTTGGCATATACATAAAGATTTGCCTCATAATAAATGGATTTGGACATGACGTGGGAAAAAAACGCAAGTCTCTAAGCAATTAAACCGCCATAAATCTTCCACAAGGAGGAGCTTTGGGTATCTTTCTGTTGTCATTTTTTTTAGAATTAATCACACCGCGTCTGGGACAAAATATTTCGATTCTAAGAAAGCTAGGGTATAACGCATATCCTGTCCAATTGATGAAATCGAATAACAATTATAAATGTTCCAAACTTTAAACTATAGGGTATATCTCTAGTCTTCGCTTTATATAACCTTTTTTGCTTGAACTTGCCTATCAAAAACAGGTATGCTATGAAATTTAGGCAAATTATAAACATAATGCCTAATTATCACGCGTATAGGAAATTTTCCACGAACAACTAGAAAGGTATAGAAGTTTTCAAGATATCTTAATTGCCAGCAAATTATAGATTTAAGTGGAGCACGCCGTCAGCTTAAATTATTCATTGACGCATGAATGCATCAGTTTAGCACGAGCATTTTTTTTTAACGAAGATGCTAACTCGGTATATAATTAAACGGTCACATAGCAGGCTAGTGCCAATACACAAGATATATTCAATATTAGCTTGAATATAACCGGTGTTATCAGAACTTAACACAAAGAGCTTTAGGATGTACAAAGAATGTTGTTTGGTAGATGCCAAACTTCGCTTACCATCAAAATATATGTACAGTAGTCTCGGAAATATAGACAGTGTGCTGTGCACTTAGAGTTGATAACAAATGGAATTTCAAAAAAATGCTCATTCGGTTTAACAAATACTTTTTTTCCAATTTGAGGCGGATTGAGGGATTTCATGTCTGCTCCAACAATAAATCGCACGAGGTGGAACATGCGATGCATGAAGACGCCATTGATTATTCTCTCCTAGATGGAGTGCAAAGGCTTGTAAATATATAGCTTTTGTTTTTGATGTTGAAATCTCTCAAAAACAACGCGCGCTATTTTTTACGGTTTCACTTTGCGCCGATTACCATAAACTGGGGCGTTTTTAACTGCACGTACATGCACGTGAAGCTTTTAAGCCTTTCTAAACCTCTTTATAGTCAATAGAACACAAGCAAAAGAACGCTAAAGAACCAAAATATCATTTATAATAGATTTCAACCTCTGCGTGCGGATTGGAACGTCTAGTTTAAAAAACACGTGGCGCCATGCAGCGCAGAAAAACACCCGGAACGTTCTACACTCATGCATATATAACCGACGTTAAATACCCGAATGCATGGAAACCAGAGTAAACATAATTTTCCGAAGAGAAATAGAAAATTAAAGTATTGTTTGGCAAAATTTTCGCTTCACTTTTTCGCTCCTAAGGGTTTCATATAGGACAACAGAAAATGTAGATCTTAGATGAAGTTCTAAGGAGTAAAATCGTCTTCATTGATCAACCGAAACGTATTCTATATAGATCTGGAGCTATTTTGGACAACTACATGCAATCGTGGGGTCACATACAACCAGTCAGTGTGTCTTTACCAAAACGCAGTTGAGAAGTATTCCTTGACATACAATCACACATTGATTACACCTATATATATATATATTATATAACCCCAGTTTCGTATATACACATCAATATATTAATGCACTACGGGGCTGAGCGTAGATGTCTCAGCTGTATAGTGCCCGTCTCATTTACAAACGAAGAGTAGAAGACCATATTTTGAACTGTGGTAAAACTGTTATTCAACTAAAGTCAACTTCCTTCAAGCTTGTGTATATATATATTTTATCGGTAGACTGACATTAGATTGGCAAAATAGGCTCATTGGTAGCACTTTCAACATGTTGAAACTTTTCCTGCACCATTTTATGCTCGTATAAACATCGAACGCCGAATATCTTAGTACATGAATACACAGCATTACAACGACATTTTGAGTGCAATCGTCAAGATATTCAAACCCTCGTATATATACAACACTATTTTATCAACAAGGCATACAACACTACTATATTATCAACAAGTACTAGAATATAGATACCTCAGGGCTCTGACAGAACTTATGTAGTCACCATTTTCTTGTAACACGAAGTGATGGGTAAGCCTGCGTCATTCAACGTATCGCCGTATGTAACGCGCGTTTATGTACATGCAGTGTGATAAATGGGGGGGAGGGATTGGGGAGGGGATTAGCATGCATATTGTATAAAGTGTTGATTAGATGAACTGGACTCTGTGATGCCTTAATCATGGACTGGAACTATTGGAGTTCGCTATAATTGTAATATGAACAAGCCAATTTCCTAGATCATGAGGCGATTTCGAATAATAACATGCGCGGGGGTAAAGAATTGAAATTCAGCCAAAAGTATAGGTTTGTTGCCAATAGAAATTCAGCCCTTCACGATGGCATGTATCCAAATATTTATCTAACTAGGATGATTTGAAGCGATGAATGTATTAATATATTTGTCATAAATGAAGATGGGTTTTGAATCGTAATCTTCAAATAAATAGCTACATCAAAGTATAGCAGCATGTTTTAGGTTATATTTTTCGCATAAAGACGACAGATTTCCGGCGTTTCCTCGCCCCTTTTGAATGCGAAAGTGCCGTCGTGCCGGAAAACTGAGGCAAGTCATGAATTTACAAAGACATCGGCGTTCAGGTGTTTACAATATAACGTGTATTTATGTACACAAGAACGGCTGTCAAAAACAAACAATTCACACGACTCGTTGTAATTCAAAAATTATCTTATTTCAATCTGTTTATTACGAGTTAGCTTTGCATTACGACAGGTATTGAAAACACACGTCCATGTGTTAAAAATATATATTTTAAGTCGCACAATATTTTGTTTAGCTCCATAGTGAACTGGCTTTTTTTTTTTTTTATGGTGAACGTTTTGCCAGACTGTAAATAAAACATTGTTCCACCTGCATAAACTAAAGCATTAATACGTCCGTCTTTCTTTTAAATGTCACGAAAATATCAAAACACAAGCATTTGTCGTTGTAATGATTCTCACCATGCAAACGAACTGAACCTAATGTGTACATCGCTCAAGGGTGCCGAGCAAGCGTGTTACGTTTATAGGGTCCACCCCCCCAACCCCTCTCTTCATGAGAGAGATCGTAACGGAAATATCACCCCATGCATGTCATGACGGACGAGGGCAAAGTTCCATGTTTACCAAAGACCTTTTTGATCGGCGTTCCTTGAGCGATGAAACCATGTTTACCAAAGGCTTTTTTGATTCGAGGTTATCATGAGGCATATAAGGCCGTGAGAAGACTGTAAAAAAGTGCCATGGCTTGAAAAAACTTGTTCTAGCTGATTCGATCTTGACGATAAATTAAGCTGAAACTAAAGTGGTGTGACTAATCTGAGTTGAACCAATGTTTACGATAACAAACAGATGAATCATCGATTCTGAACGCGGACATGCATATTTCGTGAAAACGGCCTCTGAACTGTGACTTCCTGTCTGGAGATGTTTGAGATGTTTTTTTTTGCGGTCATCTCTATTCAAAATTTTCCTCTGTCTTAATCTTCGCTATAATATAGTATCAGTGGCGTATAGGAAGCAAACTACGGGAAACTCTGAACACCGAAGGACAGTTTTTTAGCCCCATTTAAATGTCAGTGAATGGACGAAATTTTCACTCTTTGATTCTCTTTGACAATACATACACCTTCATGCATCAGTACGACTTGACTCACAGCAATTGTTAGCCGATAACAGTTGAGTATGCCTTTGAGCATTAAGTATTTAACAGCCTGTTGAATTTTCTTCTATTTTTTCCCTACTTTCATACTATTTATAATCAGCACTCGTGATAACCCCTCTTGGCACCTGAGTGACTGCAAGCCAAAAGCACTTTGCAAATTGCCGCTTTTGAGAAGGTAAAATTACATTAGGAAAAGCTTAAAAACATCGATTCGCCGTCTTGCTATATTGAGGCACAATTTATCTCCAAATTCGGTTAAAAGATAATAAGCTATATGCTGCCTTAATTAATGCGAAAATGTGTTTAGGATCCCCCGAAGGCAAATGAAGACCTGATCACCAAATTCGTGCGCTGAAATCCTTAAGGAGTTCATAATAAAGGAAAGCTCTCCAACGCGACCAAGTGTGTTGAAGAGTAATTTTTATGTTACCTGCACGATATTACACATACGAAAGGTTGATCCACTTATTTCTAACATCAATGACATGCAGCAAAAGTTCATTTCTTTGGAAAATGTGTAAGTCATGCTAAACGAAGGCTATATAAGTGTCGTATCAACACTCATTAAATATTAAACACTAAATAAAATCCTTTTATTTCCCGACAGCTTATGCAAATTTTTGACGGTTTATTCAGAACAGTCCTAAGTGAAGATTCCATGCATTCTTACTAAGTAACACTTTTCAGTCATGCACGTTCTACCTTTTAGCCGCGACAAAACATCGCTATAATTTAGACAGGGCAATTATTAAACAGCCATGACAAAGAAAATAAATTTCAGTAATTGACGATAAAGGTGCGTCACGCACTTTGCCAAATATAATGGAAACAGTATATAATATCGATAGCCAAACCAACATCTACTTTTTAGAAACTGTAATCTCCGTTGACACATAAATTTGCAATGCTTTCACACGCTTTCTGTCTTCATAGACTGCAGATTGAGATCGGGAGTTAATAGACACTATTTAGCGTTAAATATGCATGAAGGTTGAAGTTAATTTAGGAGCTATTCAGTTCTACATAAAAACGAGAAAAAAAAACTCCAATCTGTTGTTAACCCATTTATCAGACGTCACGTTTCTTACAGTGAAACGACAGGCGGTCCTTTAAACACAAGATTAAGTGAGGAGCGCATTTGAGGACGCGGACGCACGGACACCGACGATGTGAGCATCTGACTCGATGTTTCAAAATTTTCGATCAAGAATGGCGGGATGATATTCTTGATACTGTACAAATTTGTTTATTGCCTGATGATGGAATTGTATTGTAATCGATACATTGCAATATGATCATCAATATCGGTGATATTGTCTTCCCATAATCTTCTCAAATATTGAGATTGAAATGGGAAGAATATCTCGCTGGGTAAATTTTGCGGTCTATATTCAACGCACGGTGTATAAACGTGCTGGTTTTAGCTTAAAAAGTGTATGTCTGTATGTTCATAAGAAAATATCCGAAAACACGATTGTAACTGTATGGTTATGAAGAGCTATCAATCTTGCAGGATGGTATATTAATACATGTTGACTTGTTCATAACAAAAGAAACATTTCCTACCTTGTAAACAATGATTTTTACCGCTCGCAGGAAAAACAAGCGTATAGTGACGTTGTGAGTATATATATACTCGTAAATAAGGACATTTATACAATACACACAAACGTTAATCCTCAAAATAATATAACCGCGAAACATACGAAGGATCCGGAATGACTGAATGGTCAAATTCTAGTACGTCTTGTACTTTTAAGTCCGATCTTTCTGTAGCCTGCGTACATCTTAAACTACGCTGCGACTTATTCACATTTAAAATATTAACCAACAGGTTTTTACAAGAGCCCTTAAACAGGCCTTACTCTGCTAATCGTTTAAGTCAATCCATAACAAAACATTTCTATACGCTGACATACTCAAGGTGACATTTCAAATGATTGTATAAGAACTTTACAATTCAACACATACCCGATCAGATGAAGACAGACCCTTCGCACATTTCCAGAAGGTTACTATTCTTGAAATCTTGTCTTCCTTTATCGTGCGTTTCTGGATTCAACAGATGCGCTCTAAAAGGGAGGAGATTTTGACAGTCGTGAACTTTGATTACAGAGTTACACGGCATACGGACGAGAACTGACGATTTGACATGTAGGAGAGACGCAGGCATGCGGATCGTGACCGGATTTACGTAAGGGCATTTTAAATTATTAAATTTCGAGTGACTTGTTGTGGTTATGGTGTCCAAGATAGGCCAGTCACGCCACATGGGAAAATTAGTTAGAACGATTGCGGGGAGTCGAGGATAATGTAAATGATATCATGATACGAGTAGAGTCGTTAAATTCCTGTACAAAACCAAGGGGTACCACCGCATCACCGCGCTGTGGTCTGTCATGAACTAATTAAGTGCATTATTTCAGCTTTGAAGACGTTTTGCAACGTGTGGTTAGAACTGTGTTCTGATACATTGCTTGCCACTATAACCAGATCATTTTACTCGAGATTTTACCAATCGAGGTAGTCGGAACTATGCAGTATGTACTAGCAACCTTAGTCAATCAAAGCTTGCAATAAAACTCGAAGGAACCACTAAACATTTCACAGTCTCTCCAGAACCACAAAAACAGCTATTCGAGATGTTTGTTTTTTTGGGTCAACCTTTTTAAGCATTCATTATGCATGTCACGTCACACACATGCAGGAGATAGCTGCTTCCGAAACTGGCGACAGTGTAAATCCTCGCCGGAAAGTTCTAGACTTATTTTTAGCAAAAGATCATTTAAACAACGGATATATGGAACAAAGAATCGCATCAGTTTCTGGCATCCATGAATAATGCAATTATACTTTTCAACTATGTCGTTATTTCTAGCTATTTTCTTGAAGCAAATCAAGCAATTTCAAACCTGAAGCATTTGAAGTGTTCAAAATAGGTTTGACATTGATGGCAATTGAACTGACGGATAAATTCGCTATGTTTCTATTCTATGAAGATCTGCACTTCGCGCATAGTGATTCCTTGGAGCGTTTCCAGTAGTGCTTCGTTGCACTTTCCAAACGTAGGAATAACAAAATCGAGGTTTTCGTGTGAGTATTGCATTATGTTGATACGTTCTACAATAAATTGCGGTTTTTTTAGCCATTTACATGCGTTGTTGAGCACTTGGGAACAAATAAACATGCAACCACAAAAAGCAAACACGAAAAACGCAAAAAATGTACATAAAGGCAATTACATGAAACATGGGTTTAAAAATATGCAAAAAATGATAGAGAGCTCGCGGGGTGCCTCTCGCCTCTCGGTCAGGAGCGGGCGTGGGTGTTGGGTGGGAGTTATTGAGTTTACTTTTCTGACACACCTAATCCTGATCCATTAATCCCAACTGGACAGTGTCAGTGACCTATACAAGATCTTTCATTTTGCATACATGAAGTAGCATACTACTTGTATGTTACGCATTTCCATTTTATAAATCAAGTGCCGGTAATAGTAATTTCTATTGTAAGTCCGTTTTGTAGAGGACGAATATACTTAGTTTTTTTTAATGAATATGAGTTCTGCACCTGGAGAACCAAGATTACGTACTGTCGTTGTTTATTGTGGTTCCAGTTTGGGAAATAATGATGATTTTGCTAAGGCAGCACAAGGTAGAACGCTGCTTTATTTATGTTCTCCCCCCCCCTTCCACCTCCCCGCCTTGCACGGTTTTCCAGGTTATCAGGGGGGTGCGTGGTAACTACTCAATGAAGGGGCCTTGTATTACAGATAGTATTTAGTTTGGGATACGAGCAATAAATACAAAATGGGAGGTTGGGAGTAAGTGTCCCTTCTACCCCTTCCAGTGCCCCCACCCCAAGGGGTTGAATCTAAGATTGAAAAGGCATTCAACAGGGATGGTGATATGGTTTTATGTTCTAATTACAGAACTTGGGAAGTCGTTCTTAAAGCGTAATATCTCCTTGGTTTATGGTGGAGGCTCGCATGGACTCATGGGGGTTATTGCTAAGACCGTCCACGAGGGTGGTGGAAACGTTGAAGGAATTATCCCTCAATTTTTTTTAGGTTACCACAAACACTTGCCAATAGATTCTGATTTCTGACTATATATAGCACTTTACCTGAAAGTATGTACTACCTACTTTGATTACAGACAGGGATCCTGAGCGGAATCTTATTGGTCACACTGTAACTGTTGACGATATGCACACAAGAAAACAAATGTTTTGCGAAAAGGTGAAATTTAGCGAATTGCAGTTTAGTATGGTTTGGCTAACCCATTTAGTACCAACAACTGTCTAAACTACATGCAAAGTAATACTAAATTAGTTAAGTATCTATCTAGGTCATTATTTTTCACTTTGAATTGTACTGAGTACTTAGTACTATTGAAGGTATATATAATACTTAAGCTGGATATTTGCTCTGAGTCAATTATTTTTCATTGCATAAATTCTAGGCGGACGCATTCATAGCTTTGCCTGGCGGGATAGGCACATTGGAGGAGATTGTTGAAATGATATGTTGGTATGTTACAACTATCCTTCAACACTAATGCAACTGTAGATGCTAATTTGAATTACTATTATTATTTTAGGGCAAGATTAAGACTCCATAATAAACCTATTGGAATTATAAATACCCACAACTATTTTGGTGGCATATTAGATTGGGTATGTGAATATTTTGCACTGGAACAAAGAGCACGTTTCTTCTTCTGTATTTTAGTGTAAAAATTACCTATCCTGTACTAAATTTGATGCACTGCAATAAAGTTGCTCAAAATGTCAAAGCTTTATTGCATGTTCAACAATGAATTCTGAATTGTTCGTTTTTAGTACAAGAATGCTTTAAAAGATGGGTTTCTAAGTCCTGAAGATGAACATCTTTTTGAAGTGTCTGATAACAGTGAAAAATTGCTAGATGCTTTGGAATGTAGACTGATATTATCAGCTGCTGAAAACAAGCCTACAGAAACCTAATAAACGTCTACTGTGGAAAATCATAAACCTCTTTAGTCACTAGGGAGAATCGTGTACCTACCAAGATTTAAACATTTGTATAATTATGGATATTACTATTACGGTTGTAAATAAATATATATTATGCAAAAACTGTTTAATATGAATTGAGGTAAACAGGTTTGGCTTGTTTTTTTGCCCTTTCCTGGGATTTCATCTTTGTTTTCCCTTGCAAAGCTATGGCCTTTGGAGGAAGATTTACCTGAAGATTGTGCAAAATAGCACATGTTAGCTAGCTGGTACATTTTCAACCAAGATGATATTGTAGTGCCATGCCGTTGACAGCTAGGGTGGAGCTTGCTTACCGGCCTTGGATATGGATTCCCATAATGCATTGCTGAAACCAGAGATTGATTGGTGCATTATATTCAGTTAAACGTACTGTTGATAATAAGGGTATTAAAGGATGAATGGGGCAATGCAAGTCACAGTCAAATGCACAAAGTTTGGTTCACACTTGTCTGTGCAAATTTCTATTGGAAAAAAAGACAATGCACCTCTGTTTTTAGGTGCTAGCATGAACCAGGCCTAAAGTTCACTTAATAAAGAAATAAATGGCAGTGAATAATACAATCACTGCAATACTCAAGTTGAAAACGTTTTGCAGAAAACAGGTCACCTGTTGCAACCTATTGCCTACCTAGCTCAAGTCTAGATTTTGCTTCTTCCAAGCATCTTCCAATTTCCTCATCACTTGTTACCTAAAATAAAATTATTTTAAAGAATTAAATTTAGTTTTCGACTAGTAAAAAACGAAGCAATTCATTTTGAATGGTACCAGCTACAAACCTTTGAATTTTTCCTAAATAAATCTCTGCATTCTGATACAATGTAACTCCTTTCCTCCAAGGTATCTTTCAGGAGACCAGAGCTAGCCTTCCAGCTTCTCGCAACGCGTAAAATACGACGGTAAACGGCTAAAACTTCAGTTTTTTCTCATTTGAGTAGAATTGAGCTTCTTCTCCAAATGTCAAATTTAAAGTTTAGCCCAATTTCCGGGTAAATTAGCCTGCTAATTCGGGCGTTCCCGGGAGTTGAGCATCGTATGCTAATTTCTTTCCCAAAATACGAAGGAATTTTAGCTTTTTTGTAATTTTAACAGAAGCAATGAATTAGTTTAACTTGGCTGTTCTAATTTGAAACGAAAATATGCAAATATTTCGCGAGCGAACGATTTCTCTGCAAGTGGAAATCCGACCTTATAAAATACTATTGTAATGTATTGAAGATTGTTGCATTACAAGAAAATAGTTATATCTTAAATATGATAAAATTGAGAAAAAATATACGAAAATTATGTACATAAATATATCAGAATTTGATATGAATATCCTCTCTTTTTAATTTTCGACAAACCAAATCTGGATTCAGAAATTGGTCTAGTTTAATAGTTTTTATAGGTAATGAATTATTATGTAGCATCCTGCATAAGCGACAGGGCCAGGGTTCTAAGTTAGCTGTCTGATATTTGTTCCTCCATTCAAAATACTCATTGTAAGCAGTGTCGTTCTTGTCAAGGTATTGTAAATAACTAACAAGACTTTGCAGATTTGGAAAAGCGGTAGCATCAATAAAGGAACCTGGAATACTCAATTCTTTAAAGAATTTGAAGCCGAACACAATGGGAACTGCATCAATCTTAAATGGAACATTCCAGTATTTTTCAGTTACATAATCCTCACAGACACCATTCTCAATCGATATATAAAATTTAAAACGTCTCAACAATTTTTGGCATCTTTCATTCCTTGGACAAGTCAGTCTGCCAAATATCCCCCCACACTTGCCGTGAACATCTACTTTAACAATTTTACTTAAAGCACGAACGAATTTCTCCCTCGCACCATCAACCGTTTGACAATTCCCGTTCACAAACACAAGTAACTTGTCTTTACCTTCCGCATAGTTTCTTGGTTTCACATCTAAAAAAATATGGAAAAAATACGGTTTCATATCGCCTGTTCTTTTGTCAAAAACAGCGGCCTACTAGAAACAGTTCAGGCCTCAGGGTGGTGGAGACAGAGTTTACGGAGAAAGGATTCATTTTACCTAAGTAAATACATGGAAAGGAATCTTAAACTCAAAGTACAAGTCGGTTTTATTGTGAAGAGCAGTCACAGCATTATAACATAGCTTTATGTATATAAAAATATACAATATTACTATGCGGTACCTTAGCCACAGGTGCAGGGGCTGTAACTCACTTAAGTAGGAGGGAGTGGGGGAAGCTACCCCCAACCTCAGGTTCAGACACCCCTGGTCAAAATCATTGATTATAGGTTGAATCAAGTATGCTAATATTTGTTCATTGACTGTGAGAACAATAAATTTCTAAACAGATGAATAATTATACATAACAGCTAGAACTATTACTGATTATTACTATGTTACTGATTATTACTTGCAATAACTTAGCCTTTATAAATGTGAAAACGAGAGCCCTCAGAGGGTGTATTGAAAACTGTTCATATCCATGGCAACATTATTTTATTGTTCGTATAGCCATTGCAGAAACGAAGCCATCGAACAACGTGGAAACTAACACATAATCCAACTTGTTTACAATACTAACCTTTCTTTATAGGCGTACTTTGTATAATTTTTGTATAATATCCGTAAGGTTCGTACACGTCTGATCGTCTTTCGTAGGTCATTGTCCAGTTAAACATGCCATTATAATCGCTTGTGACGATTTTTGAATAAAACGGATTTTCCATACTGTAAAACACCCAACGTTGTTTAGCTGTTCTTTGTTTAGGCATTTTTACTCCAAGAGGCAGGTCCCGGCCGTGAAAGACAACTGCATCGCTTTCCAATAACCTGCTCTTATCGGTTGTAATTTCACAGTTAAATGGCTCACAGCACTGAAGTTCGTTCGGGTAAAATACTGTAACACGATCAAATATGGTCGTGTAGAATAAAATCAATCTTTTTTGTCCAGCAACTTTCGGGATAAATTTGTGGCTTGTACATTCATGATGCTCACCAAACCGTACATGATGGTATTCGACCGGAATTGTTTGATGAACGAAAAACCAAAGGAAGGAGAGACAAAAGAGTAGGAAAAAGATATAAACTAAAACACAGCGTCGATTACTAATGCGACAAAATCGAGAAAACTTCACGACCATTGTCCATTGATGATACTAATTACACAATATCTTTTTTAAAAAAATGTTCTTACGCTTGAATTACATGAAGTATCATGAACACAACTTTTGAAACTTTCAATATCCCAATTTATTCCTATAAATTCCCTGATACTACAATTTAACCACAACTACCCTTTGTTACTCCAAAATGACCATATAAATCTTGTAATAATGAGGGTTAATTAAATTTGGAAGTTTATAAATTATGATTATCCTGTAATAAAAGCTCATGCATCTGTCCACCAGAAATCTTGAAAAAATTTCCATAACTTGATCCCCAACTTTCCCACAGGTGCAGCAAAGGCACTGCCCCTAAAACTCTAGGGGTTAACCTTCACCTTAATTACTGAGTTTGTAGGTTATTGTTTAGCCGATAAGGCATTGTAATGCTTTGTATTTGCCAGGCAGTCTCTATGTTTGTGTAAATAATTTGATTATTTCCAAGGAAATTAATTAACCAATTAACTGCAAGATTGATACAAAGCCATATATTATCAAATAAGAGACTATTTTCTGTATTTTGAAAAGTTCTGTTTATATATTTTTACAATTTACAAATATCACAGAATTTGAACTTGAAAAGTAATTTTTTAAAAAACAATTAAATCAAATTCATATATTTTTGCACGAGCCTGAAGTAAATGCTTTTCCAAGAGAAATTCACTGAACCAAGTTTTCTTCTACCCAAATCTATAAATGCTTCAGTGAATTTTTGCACACTTCAATATGATTGCAGTAGATAAATATATATATATACTTAGAGTAAATAAAAAGCTGGTAGAAATAATCTGAGAACTGGGGTAAAACCATTAGTTTGGAGAGGAATGGTGTCTTCCAGCACCTGCTGGTGTGGATTCCGAACAGGCCTGGGGACCTGCCCCAATGACCTTCTCATTTGTTTCCTGGTGTTGTTGTTTTTCATATTCTCGAACATCCTTCACCTCCATATCTAAATCCATAAGTTGACAATCTGTTAGTCAAACTATCCTTGCTGCATGAACGTCAGTCATGGCGTATTAAAGAAACAATAAGGAGACATACCCCACCATTCATCAATCCAAGAGAATGCTTGTCGATGTCCAACCAACAGGATATCTCGAATGCCCTAAACGCAAACAAGCATACAGTGTCATCGTCACTGAGCAAACCTTGGTTAAAATCGCATAAACAAAGGACACACTTACCTTGTGAACAAAGCTTTCTACTTTTGACTGTAAGCCCCAGACATCAAAGGATACAGTAACCAGCTTATATGAACACATGATTGGTTTTGTTGAATCCTACAAAGAACCGAATTAATCTACTTGAGATTAGATGTATTTTCCATGAATTTGGATCCAAAGTAGTTTCCTTCACAAAGCACAACAAGTTTTAATTAATAAATTCCTTCACATGAGCTCAAGTAGTACCAAAGGTGCTTACTTTCCATCCCTCTTTCAATGGACCCCTGTCTGTTTTCTTTGATTTAAAATACCTGCAGTCCTATTAAAAGATAAAGAAAATTGTTTGTGTCTTGCTACAAAAAAAACAACATTTTCACAAGAGTAAGCACCTCTTCTTTGACATAATGTTTCTCTGGATATTCATCATAGGCAATGTCTATAAAATCCACCTCATGGATTTCTGGTGTTTCACTATTTTGTTTCAAAGCCTAGAAAAAAAGAACCACACATATTCTCAAGGTGCTAAATAGAAGGGATTTGGTCAAAACAGTATTGTGCTTCGTCATCCAAGATTAGCACAACACAATGGAACTAACATTTTGACTTGATCCATTATTGTTTTCATAAACAGTCTCAATGTGGATGGAAAATCGTGGAACAAAAGAGCACTAAACAAAAAGGAGATCCATTATTGAGGAATCATGGTGTATTAAAGTTGGCTACCAGTTGTTGCTAAATAACAACTTACTGTGTAGTCTGTGTCACCACCAACAAAAATGACATAAAAAATAAAGTAAATGCAGTTGGTTTAAAAAATACTTAACAGAATATCCGAAGAACAATTGTGGGTTTTAGCCACTTGCTGAAGTTAAATGTTCAAGGAAAAATGATGGCTTTTGGGCAGATATTAGTCATCAAAGTTTCCTTGTGTAATAAAGAAAGGTTAATCTCACCTGTAATTGTGTAGGGATAAAAATTCCAAGCTCTTTCCTCTACGTAAAATACTCTTGGTATGCATGCTTTCACCCAAGCAGGTAACCGCCTGAAAACAAGAAAACTATATGTATAAGATGCTGTTTAACAGTAGCTCTAACCAAAATTTACATTCATAGATGGCATACCATGTTCTTTCTAAAAGTAAGGTTCCATACGAAAAAAGAACATGCTTAGGCCAGTTGTACGAAGGTTGGATAGCGCAATCTAGTGATTTTTTTTCAACCAGTGCAAAAATGCTTGAAAAATAATAAAGTTATAGTGGATAGGGCTATCCGTCCTACGTATAACTGGCTCTAGTTGGAATAACCTTGTGGTCATGGTGGCAAAACATACCCAAATAAATGAATCTTTTTCTCAGTATATTGTCCATTCCCATGTACAGGATGTTCACAAGCTTCGTTCTTTACAACTTCAACACCTTCACCACTCTCACTTTGTTGATGACTGTGCTTGCTGATCATGTACAGCTGACCAATCTTGTACTAGAGAATATAACATTATTTGTTTAACTGAAACTTAGGCCTGGTTTAGCTGATATCAGATTCCTGTTATATAGTGCAACTAAGATGAGGGGATATGCCCAGGAAGTTCTGAAGTTCCCTGAAGGCAAATTCTGAAGGACTACAACCCACTAGAGCTAGGTTATTTCCAAGCGTGCGACATATACAAATATATATCTGTATAATAAAAATTCTATAATCTATGATTGTATTCATTGTGACCAAAATGCAATGTTCAAAACAGGGTTTTCAGATTTCTGACTAAATAAACCAAACATCGTCACAGACAGCTCTTTGACTTCCTTGTTTTAAACAAAGAGAGCAAAGGTTATGCCATTCAGCTTATCTATATATATTCAGTTTATCTCTGGCAAAAACAGGTCTTTCAGGGTAGAGAAAATCCATTACTAAACTATGTGCAGTAGTTATATACAAAAGATATTACTTTGTCTTTTATGGTAATGTTATAACAAATATGAACATGCAATATAATTTCCAATGCAAATTGGATAAAATTTACTTTTCCAATCGTCTATAATTTACTAGATATTAAATGAATTTATGACATCTATTAGATATAGAAACGATATGGGTTTTTTCAATAAGGTTTGCAATAAAAAAAACAAGACAGATTGTTAATGTTTTGACCAAACATTGTTAAGCTAGCCAAATAAAGCAATCATCTCCCAGCCATGAAGACACCGTAATACTTGTTCATTTTTTTTACAAGTACTTAAACGACAGGTGATATTTGAAGACAATAAAGAATTACAACATACATATTAAAATATGCACATGTCTAGTGCTGATTTTAAGACGTATTTAATGTTCTTTAACCACATTAATAACATCATGAATTTGTTGACAATTTTAGGATAAAATGATCGAATACTTGAACAGTTTGACACCGTTTTAAAGCGTTCATAAAAAAATCCCTCTAGGAATGTTGTGTTTTGGCAACTTGAGGCCTTGAAGGAATCACAGGAGAATGCTAAAAATTAAATCCTAAACGAGCAAAGGATATAGCGCAAATGAAGATGATTTAAACAGTTAAATATTAATGTTTACGAACGCGGTGACCTTGTCGTGTCAAATCAACAGCATAGAGATGACAACCCGTACCCTATTGAATACCAAACTGAACTGAAAAGGACAATTAGCTAATAAAATACAACTAAAGTATAGAAAGACGTTTTGAAGAAGAATTAGAAACAACGTGAGGAAAATATCACATCGACTATTGTGATTATGAAAATGAAAAAGCCTTGTTTCAACTCTCAAGATTCATCACAAAACGACCGCGGATTAAACGACAATATGTTTTCTACTTTAAAGCTAGAACGTAACATAGTTAACGAAGTGCCTAAAAGAAATTCTCATCATCTAAATATTATATATAACACTGCCAATAAAGTAAAATATTATCGAAGTACACGTATTTGAAATATAGTTTATAATATACCTCTTCCACAGTGAGTGGCATACAAATACGATACTCTTTGATCATTTTGGACGTTTCTTTCTTTCCGCTTTTAATAAAGTGTTGTTTCCTTTGTGTCCGTTTCGTGTACCATCACGCTAGACGTCTTTCCATTCGAGGAATTGAAATAAAAAGATAAAACTTCTTGATAAAATCTTTCACGCGCAAATCTCTTCTCCTACTCTATACAAATTCTACAAACTTTCGCGATTTAGCCTGCGTATAGGTGTGAGAAAGCCCTAATTCGCAGGCCCTACCGTTTCTTGCACATTTAAAATCACCGATGAACACATTGCTACTCCGCGGAGACGTCATGTGACGTCATAACCAAAATCAAGATATATCTCGACACTGGAACGCGATTGCTTTGTACTAGCTCTTATATCAAATACGATTGTAAAAATACGATATGTTTGTTCTTTGTTACTGTTCTTTATTTAGTATTTGTTACAAGAGTTAATTTATGATATGATTATTTATTTTATTTTACAAATTCTGCCATTAGGAACCATGATATATGAAAAGCGAAGATATTCTCCAAAAGCGAAGTTTAAAAATGGTTGAATGAGGATATTATTCCTTGGTCTAAAATATTTATCTTTATTATAATCCATTTATCTTCTTGGTAGGGTAAAAATCTGAGCTGATTTACTTGACGTAAACACGATGTTCCTAAATTGGTCCCCAGTCCTAATGTGCCGTATTTGTGCTGAATGAGCACATCCTTAGCCCTCCCCTGTGATGCGAATATATTTTTTCTACATGTCCCGATATTAAAATGTAGTGAATTTTTAACTAGGACAGTTTCTGTGTAGCTTTTTTCTTTCTCGCTTGCAAGAAGTCATAAAATGGATCCATTACCATGCTAGCTCTAGGAACGAACAGAAACCATAGTGTCAGAACTTTGTAATGAATGCGTGTGTTACTATCGACTCTGGTGGGCTAGGAAACCTGAGGCCTCGCAGTCCATTCCTAACCATGGTCAAGCTAACATTGCAGCTTGTCCGGTTGGTAATTCAGAGTCGCACCATCATGCATGATAATATTATATACACACAATCATAACTTTTACACACACAGATATGGAAGAGACTAGATTGAGTTCCGAAATATAACATCTTCCAACCGTTTTGATCTAGTAGCTCAATTGGAAGAGCATTGGTCTAGCAAACCAAAGATCGCGGTTCTAACTCCCACTGTGGTCAAGCTAATTTCCCATCTTCCCCAGTTATTAAATACAACATTAGGAAAGAAAATGACAGAATTTTATCCAAAGTCTTACTTTATGCATTTCATCCATTTCGCTCGTTCTTTTTCTGTCTCACATGAAATCTTGTAAGATTCGTGACGTCCTGAAGAATAAATAAAAAAATAGCGTCAGAAAGCAAGCAATATAATAAGCGACGTATAATAGTGCTACACTCAGAAATACCAACAAAGAAAGGTGAAAAAGAACACAACCTCTAGCACCATCTCACCTTCGACAACTTTCCCCTCGGAATCTGTTTTACATGCCTTTATCATCCCCCCTGATTCCTCCGAGGCGGAAATTTCGAAACAGAACTGTAAAATGAAAAAAAAAGCTTTGAAGAGTTGTGCTTGAAATGGAAGACCTTTGCTCAGAAAAACATGATGATTTATTGTGCGCAACGTCGACACACAACAACAGATGCAATGTTCTTGAAAAGTAGAACAAAATCTTACTGGTTTACTGCTATTTATCTCACGAACTTGAAGATTTTCTAACGGGATAATTCCACGGGGTTCTTTATCCTGTAATAGAAATTAAACAGTCGAGTTTTAAAGAAACCCAAAGTCAGCCTAGTCCTGCTATTTTTAAGCAAGCAACTGAAGGGGAAAAGATCTACAAGGCTTGGGTCTACGTGCAACCACTGAGCTTTACTATAAGTGTAGAAAGTTCAGGGTATACAACTCATTCAAATAGATCAGAGAAGCACACAAAGATATCCCTGAGTCAAAGTGCACTAAATTTAAAACTGGTCAGATTGTTCAGAAGCCACAGAAATTGTAATCAATTACCTTTACATCTTTGAAGTAATATAAACAATTATCTTTTAAAATAAAATATCGTTTCTTCCAATTCTTATGGTGACCACCTAAAGAAACAATGTAAATTTAGATCTTTCTAAAGATCTGTGTTTGAAGAGCGATTATATATATGAGAAAAGTGTTTCAACCTTCTTTTGTTAGGTACCCTTCGTTGTCAGGATTGAAAAAAGTTCGAGTTATGTCACTGCCGTCATCCTCTGGGACTTTAAACGCTTCTTTTTTAATATTCTCATACAGACTCTGAAACCAAAACAAACTTATATTCTTTTTGCATATGGCTTACATAAGCTTCAAAATTATCCAGAGGTAGTAATTTCATGCCCACAATCCACAAATATAATCCTAACTTCATTCCTAAACCTCACCCTAAACAATTACCCAATTCTATCCATTAACAATTATATCAATTCTGGATATGGAATTAACTCCCAGCTCCTCAATAACGTGAATAAAAGAAACAACTTGCTGTACTTACTATTAATAAATCTTTAGGAAGATCTCCCCCACAATTTATACCACGATTCATAGAGATAAACTTGTCTACAGTTGGCTGAAAAGGATTATCTTATAATAAAAATTATATGTGTTAATTTAAACAAAAATATACCCCATTTCTTGCCTGCATTACCTTATCCTTTACACTGGGATTATGTAAGCTTGTGTTCAGCATAATAATTGAAAAACTAAGAACATAACAAGTGTCTAAAAAACAACGAAAGAAGGACAAGTTTAATATGGTTAGTTTGTTTAAAAATACTTGAAAATGAAAACATATTTGAGTTACCTGTTGAGGTGAAGACACCCTCATTTTGGTCACAATACTTTTTGGCAAAACACTCCATCATTCGGTCGATTTTTTGAGCCTCACCAGGAAGACGAAAACTCCATAGGAATGTTCTATAAAGGCAGACAAACGTTTGTGAAGTCTGGAAATCAGTGAACAAAAAAACTACCAGGAAGGCAATAACATTTCAGGAGGTTAAAGGGTAAGCATTGACATCTGCAAGACTCCAGCACCTTTCAACTTCACCCTTCAGTCAATAAACAAACCTTAGTGCCTCAACAAGCAACAAATCTTTGAAGTTTTGAAGCTGAACAAAATGCTGCAAGACTGACAACATGGGCTCTTTGCTGCAATAAAAATTAAACGTTTTAGTAAACCATATTTAGGTTGAAATAAAATAATTAACAGAATAAGGTTTTTGGTTCACTTCCAGAGCCTTATCATGTTCACTTTCAGAGCATAATTCAATAATCCATACTTTTCTCCCAAGTAATCACCAATCATCGTCTTGTTCAAGCCGTCTTCTTCAAGCAAGAATTTTGCAATATCCTCAGGAGTATCATTCAACAGATCATTTGCAATGAGATACTCAATACCCTGATTAAAGATATCACACCAATTGTATGTTGTTTCTTCCGGATTTTCAATGACATATGTTCAGTGTAATAACTACAGGTAGACGTTGGCTGAATCAGGCCAGAACTACCTTCATCCATGGCATTCAAGTTCATTTTACTGGTTAAATCAAGGACGGTCAAGTGGTATATATACCAGGGATATGAGTAGTGGCCATTGTCACATGGAAGTTCATCAAAAGGGGTTTATATATCTTTTACATGGGAACTAACATTGGTCAAATGGAGAATACTTGTTTAGGTAATGCAATGTCTATACTCTCAATTAATCACCTTCTTGGGATCCATGTTGAATTTCTTTCGCCCAATAGCAAGTTGTTTTGAGTTAGTCCTAAAAGAAAAACTCATCAATTCATGCTTTGTGTGGAAGATATGATTACGGGTTTGCAAGATGAAATATACATAGCTGACAGGTGACGTGATAAACTTTATAACTATTAAGAATAGGTATATGTACAGTTCAACTTTACTTTAAAACTTCCCGGGTTTTTTAGACACATAGCCTAACATTACATCATGAATGCGAGGAATGTCAATTAGGTTTGTAGATACAGCTGGAAAAAAAACAACGTAACAATACCCTTCATCAGGCTGTTCAACAGCTTCCATTTGTGACTGAACTTCATTGATCTCAGACTTCAATTGCTATTAAAAGCAGAACAGAAATATGATAAGATAAAGAAATATTCTGGTGCCTCACAATGGCAGCATCATCATAGCCTTACAGATGGAAAATACTCTTCATCTTCACCAGAAGTCATTCTTGTTAAGAAACAAACAAGAAGTCAAAGGTCTGTAATTATACTTCCTGGTTTCATTTTCAAAACCTCATTTCCCTATCATTTCTCAATTATGTATTGGGAAGCCATGCAAGAAGATTACTGGCATCAACAAAGCATGCATGCAAATTTCTTAAGATAATGTTCAAATTAATCTTTGAGTAAGCTAAGTAAACAAGTCATTTTATGGCTTTTAGGAAAAAAATCAGACTTATATAAAAGTTTGTCTGGGTTATGAGTTATTTTAAGCACAGTGGAAAGAATGATATCATCTCCTAAAATTGATGACACATATAATGACTGTTTTAACTCTGGGATATATTGGAATAGTGCTTTTTATATCAATGCAAAGCTTGTCTGGAGTAAAGAGCTGTCAACATTGCATGAATAGGAGTTGTTATGGAACTTTTAGGTTTAACTAGGCAACAATGTTTAGTATATTGCTTTATTAGTGTATAAAAATTAGAAGCAAACTGTACCTGAATTTCAGCAAGGATAATGGCCTTCTGTTCTCTCAACTTCTTTAGCAGCTTCATCTCTTCTGCTGTTAGTTTGTCTGGAAATTTTAAAAGCAGAGTAATATATTTAAGGCTTTGCTATGATATTTCTTCATACCTCGACAAAGACTCTTTGTTATGGTTTAAGCTGGAATTTTTTCCCATTGACATTTATGGTATCACGAAACCACTGCCTTGTTGAACTACAACAGCCTTGTTGACATTCCCTTCCTGAATGGTTAAACTATGTGCCTTGCCATATCACCAATTACTGGTGCTATGACAACTCAATATCGTCATTTTGAAAAATTAAAAATAGCATTTTGACAAAGCCTTTGAACATCACAACAAAACACAGCTGGAATACATGGTTGTGCATTGAACTCCGGAAAGATAAAAAAATTTCCTTTCCAAAAAGTTTGACAATTTTGACAAGTACTCGGAAATTAGAAAGAAAAGTTTTAATGCATATATGTATCCACGAGGGACACGCAGTTTTTAAAATATGGGACTTGTTGTCAGATCTCAGATGAGCATGCTTTGAAATTGCTTTCATTTCTAATAAATATAATATTTTTAAAGTTAACCTGATTAGGGCAATTAGCACCTTTCTATAACATACGATTTAATCATCCTAGCCAATATAAAACACGCTTGTGACACTTAGAATCTAAAATACCCAAAGATCATGGAATTACAATCTTCTTCGGCACAGAAGGCATAGTTTTAGACAAGAAGGGGCTAAAATTTTAAAAAACTTAAGCTATGCCGACTGTGAACACTAATTTGTTATTAGTGGCATAAAGAAAATTAGAAAGTTTTAATGCGATGTTACAACTATTTGCGTCACGATATTTGACTAAATACAAGCATTCTGTTTATCAAAACTACACTACGCGATATCATTACCCTCTGTCAATATTAAAGGACAGAGGTTTCGAGAGTAAAATTTTCTTTATATTTGTTAAGGACAGAAACATGCCGTTAATTCTCACTTACCGCTGAGGTTGTCAACCTCAATCGAATCGACACGCGCTGTTTTTGTTTCGTTTTCCATGCTTGGCATATTTCAAGTTACTTTTATTTCATCACATCATGATCAAATCTTCCCTGTACGCTTTTTAAAATACTCCAAGCTGTCGGCGAACGAGCGCAAAAGCAGATAGAAAAGTTATTAGGAAACGACCACCAAGCTTCCGGGAGTCATATTGTCGCCATTCTCTAACCATATATTAAAATATAAACCTTGGGGGAACAAGTTCCGCTTGCGCAGGGAATAACTTCCGGGATATTGTAAGTACCGTCGCTTGCACCCTGAACGGTTTATAATGAACAGTTTCTGAAGAGATATTGTGATATTTTACTCACCTTTCCCCAGCAAATTCGCTCTCCAATGGAGGCAGAGAAAGAATTTCCTGTGAACAAGATTGATTGTTGATTTTTTCAGAATCATGCTTCGCTTGGCCAATCAAGGTTACCATTCCATTAGTTTCCTTTTCAAATCACTTCATAATCGATTCACAGCACAACGGCTAGCAGCCAAGAGGAGATTTATGCATTGCAGGCAATTTACAAATATCCACAGTTCTATGTTCCAAAATTACACAATGAAAAACAAGACACAGGCCACATTGTTTGAAGGATTTATTTTACATTTGAAGAAAAAATCAGCTATCAATAAAAGAAGCCAAGAATTTTTCCTCCAGTGTGTTTCCTCCTCGCTTCTTCATGATCCATAATGCCACTTGACGTTGTTAAAACTAACGATCCAAATTGTCTGGATGGCAGCAAGTTTGTCGCCCATTTTTCAATATCTCGAACGGAGATGTCAAATCTAGGACTGATGACACCACACTGGAAAAGGATAGTTATCATGAGGTCAATAGACAGATTTAGCAAGAGGTTGGGAACATCAAAAACAATAGAAAATAAATGGAAAATAAATGGTGTGATGTAGATCATATAAGGAGATGTATCACACCATTTATTTACCAATATCCATCTAAAAAAACTACAAAGTTTTACTAGAAGATAACTTATTATGAATAGAGAAAAAATGAGATATGTACCTTATTTAAGCGGCCATTAAGATTGACAACAATTTTTCCAGCCCTATGATCATCGATTATTTCAAACTCTCCAATATACCCTGAAGAAAAATAATTTGTACACTTGAAATAAGAATATAAACATTAACTCTTTGTTTATGGAATGGATGACTTGTGCTTTAGACTAATTTTGAGTAATAAGGAGATAAACTACAAGAGCTAGAAAGAGCGTAGTTAAATTAGTGCAAATGCAAAGTTTGCCTGTGTGTCAGAAAATGTCCTTTTTATCGCTGGGATAAGAAATTAATCTATGGCACAAGTTGTCCATGAAATTGTACATAACTCTCTGGAAAACAGGATAGTATTCATACCATGTTTCATCATTACACTTAGGAACTTGATGATGACCTTTGAAGCTGGTCGAATCAGCACTTGCCGCTTTCCACGTTTCTCTGCATTGCAGATGGACACAAGTGCGTCTGCTAGCACACTAATTCTCATTGTTTCTGCTGTAAAGTGGGAAAGTGTGAATATGTTTAGCCTAGGAGTTTGGACTGTGTCAGAAATCTCAAAGACAGTGTCAGAAACAAACAGCTATGTGACAGACTGAATCTTGTGGCAAACGTTGTGGCTCGGTCTCACAATTTGCACACTTTCCAGTCATGTACACAACTATTCTGCTACATCAATGCAGACAGGAAAGACATAGTCATTCTATCATTCTTATTTATATATAATATATGCTCAGAGAAATCTCCATGCCTTGGTTTAATAGTACGTGGAGCTTGAAAATAAATGGGAATATTGTATACTTGTATGTTAGCAACAAATGCAATTGTTTACAATCTCAATATATTTTGAGGGAAGGAACAAAATCACGACACCATTGGCCACGATATAGAATTATAATTGGCAAAAATTGATTCACTTTGAAGTCGGATTTTGGTAAACGATGACGACTTTTCGCAACGAAACATCGCCGATTTTGTAAATGGACAATAAAGGATTTTAAATGCGCGTCAACGCTCGACCAGGCAATTCAAAAAGGTTAAGATCACGAAGGATTTTAAACACATATAAATCTCACCTTCTCAGACGACAAGGTTCAAAATAAAAAGAACGAGAGGAAATTCTTCCCATCGGACAAAGCGCGCGCTCAAATAGATCAGATACTTCATGATAGTGTCCATAAAATGGCTCGAACAGACGAACACACTGATCTTTGGTTATAAGTTATCACTGGACCAATAATAAAACCACCCAATATTGATGCATGGCATCAATCTGAAAATACTACTGTAACCTTATGTCTTTACTCAAATAAACTACAAAAATAAATTGTAATAATTTAGATTTATTGCAATACATAAATTTCATACTTTTTTCATATTTTCTATTTAACATATACTTCTTTATAATTCAATTTATTTAACCCAACACAACAGTAGCCCAAAAGTGAGTGTGCAATATCATTGTTGGTGCATGCTTAGTTTTAGGTTGCCTACAATATCAAACAGACAGACCGTGTGTCTTCTGTCCATTGAATGTGTACAATTTCAAAGTATCTAATGTTGACAATCAGAGGTCTTCATGAAGATTTTTACCTCCAAATCTTTCGCAAGATGAGTAATGTTTATTTGGAGCAAAATTTAACAAATTTTCGGTGCTTCCTCTTCTACAGGACAAGCTATTTATACATCCTTTGCCATTTAAGACCTTTCCAGAACATTGTGCACCATCAGCATAGTCGTAACTGCTTTGAAGCTCAGATGCTCGGAAATCGAACCTCGCAACTTCTATGTGTCTGTGAAGACGTTTTCGAAACCAGTACGCAGCAATGCAAAGGACAAACACAAAGCATGTGAAAAATATTGCCAGAACCAAGGAAACATCTATTACAGTGTTTGAGCTTTGGGATGAATCATGTTTCACTAGAAAATAAATATGAAAATAAAGTTTTCCAAGAAGTTACCTGGCACTTATATATGCTTTCTTTTAGAAAATTAAGTAAATACTGTTATGAAAGAAAACATTATGATTAACTATGAGCAAAGACAAACCTTTGATGTGAATTTTCATTGTAATATTCCTAATAAGCCTTCTTTGACCAAGATACTCAATGCCTTTGAGTATTCTCATAACCACTGAGAAAGTTCCAGTGTTGTTATAATGATGCTGAACATGTTTTCCTGTAGCATTATCACCATCACCAAAATCCCAGAAAATAAATAAATCTTTACAAATTGAGTAGGGTTGGACTTTTGAAATTGACAGGTTAAATCTCACTAGTCCTGGGGCATTCATAAAGACATCAGTATGATTCTGACTTATATTGTATGACCCTGATGAGGTAGCGACCATAATTTTTGCCTTGAGAGGGCAATCTATAAAACGAAAAATCAAGCATGTCATATGCATATCATAGTCTGTATTACTGAAAGAGCTGGGTTCTCACAATATATAGCAAAAAGCTGTTCTTACCATTAATATTAATTTTCATTGTAATATTTCTCATGAACCTCCTGTGATCAAGATCCTCAAAAAAATCGAAAACTTGCATAATCACAAAGAAAACTCCAGTGTTGTTATAATAATGGCTCACATGTTTTCCCGAAGCATCGCTGCCATCACCAAAGTCCCAAAGAAAAGATAAATCTCGGCAAACAAAGTACATGTCAACTTTCAAAATAGACAACTTAAAATCAACTTGTCCTGGCGCATCCATATAGACATTAGAATGCTTCTGATCGATGTTGTATTTCTGGCCAGATGATGTGGAGACAACAAGCCCTAGTTTAAGTTCACAATCTGGAAGAAGAAATTATAATATATTTAAACATTTTCAAAATAGAGCAAAATCAAAATTGTAAACAGTGTGTACGTAAAATAGTTTCAGTTCAGGGACAAAATGACAACCACTATAGTTATATATTACCTGTGACATTGACAAATGTACAATTCGTTAATCTTTGTTCTTTCCCCAAATATTGAAACTCTGCAGTCACCGACACTTTTTTTAATCCAGGTTTCGAAAAAATCCACCGTAGACTTGAACTGTGAGATAATTCAACACTCTTGGTATCAATAATGTCTTCTACATCATAAGACCATTTACACATAGGATCCTCCCAGGCAAACTGTCTAATCAACGACGCCTCAAATATGACAGTACCATTTTCACGAAATGGTTTACTGTGGATGACCTTTATACCATTACCTGGTACTGTCGTATTTCTCTCGCAATCAAATTTATTCCTATCCAAAAATAAAGCCGTCGTCCCTTTTGAGACAAAGTTTGAAAATAAAAACATCAACAAAAAAGACATTTCGATTGAAACAAAATTTCTCAAAAACATTCCTCAAAGACTGCTCAGGTTTCAACACACGTTTACGCAAGCCCCAGGATTAATACTTTTTCAAGGGATCGACAACAATCACTTCCATTTAAAGCTAACAAACCCTTAGTTCCTTTCCATTTTAAATGTTATATTCTTTAGATATAAAGCATTCCACTGTGTCAATTAACTGTGTCAATTGAAACAAAGCGAAAGTTGTTTTGTTGACAAAATTTTGCGAATTGTGATTGCGACACCGCAGGGAACCACTGAGCTATGTATCGATAAATTGAACTGGAGTCATATCTGAGTCATGAGGTCATGGCCAGATTTTTTACGTTTTTAAAATATTTTTTGAAAACGTTCAAATGCTTGAGCATCTCAAAAATGCACTTGCACAAGCGGTACAGGCAGCAGAGGCCTAGTGTGCGAAGCAATTCGACCAATCACCAATGCAACCTTCATTAAACTTTTGTACCATATATCTGTATATTCGTCTTTACAGGTTGAGACACCTTATATGGCTGTTTGACGTTCTCTTATTTATTTAGCACCACGGTTGAGTATACCTTATCTGGGTATGTTCGACCTGGACTAACATTTTCATTGCCCCAGTCCAGTATCCCATTATTCCCATATACCAGTATATTCAACTTCACTAATATTTTATTGCCAAGGTACCAAGTTTTGAATATACTACATATTATAATCCAGTATAGTATTCATCAACCTTCACTGATTTATCACCCCAGTTGAGTTTCCAAAGATCTAGAGGTCTTGAATTTTAGATATTCTCCCACCCAGCCTAGTAATATCTTAGACACAGAACAAAAATATGATTATAAGTGGCTTTATTTTTTCTTTGTTTCAGAGACAAAATCTTACCATCAGAAATATATAAACCTGTTTTTAATATCAAAATATCAAATTAGAAATCTCATCTTGACCGATATCAGAATATCGTATTCCCCGCACAAACACACTCTCGAGACATCTTATATATTACTAATGTTCCATAATGTTTCAGATTGACAAATGCACATATGCATGGGATGAAGGAACTCTGTAGAACACCAACGTCGTAGTAGGTGGTTTAACCAAGGGTGATGAGGGAAACACAAAATCACCTAGAAAACTCTAGAATTGCACACATAACACCACAACTGACCAATGCACCCAAACTGAGGGACACTTTAAATCAAATTAGGGCGCTGTTGATTAGACAAACATACTGCTTTAATCTGCCATATACCATTGATATTCAACTTAACTTTTAACCAAGAAATCAGGGATGACAAGTAGTAACCAGAGATGATGACGGATGTAACAAGGATGCCATTGGATAACCAAGAATGACGACTGATAACGTAGGGTAACAAGGCATAACAAATGATATCACGTGAGGATGATGATGATGAATAACATGGGTAACAATGGTAATAACAGGGTGAACTTATACAAAGTGAGATTGTGAAGGACGACGCAGGATAACGAGGATAAGGTAAACCACGGGGGACGGAATCCACAGGAGGACGACGAGGGTTACGGGAGACGACGACGACAAACCACGACCAGACACGAACACGTTGCCATGCAATGCGCATTTGTCCACTCTTAATAAGATCTTCTCCATATATACAACATATACATAAATATATAAATATTTGAGGGATAATTTGGATTCTCTACTCTAAATCGGAAGCGCTAGCTTGCCGATGATGAGGATGATAAAACGGCTTGTGATAGCTTGCAGTCCAACTTCGTATTATCGGCGTTAAGAATAAGACCCAGTCCCTTGAGGAATTCCTGACATGTCGCTTCGTCCGCGAACGCTAACTCCGATTGAACGAATGCGACGGGCAATAAAGGGCGATAACTAGAGTTGTCAGTGAACATCGTCATACAAGGCAAATGAAAAAAAAGAAAGAAAATATATAACAAGTTAGAAACGATGAACATATAAAAAACAAAAGATAGTGTTTCAGGGGCAGTCAAAGAGATAACTGGAGACATGGGGAACGGGGGAAGGGAACGAGGGATAAACTTATGAGCCCACTCCCCTCCCTCAACGATTGCGGGTAAGATCTAGAATATACCCTTCATTGGCAAAGCAATGATGCAATGCAACTTTGTTGCTCCGAGGCAAGACTTATTATAAAGTTATGAATATCCAAGTACCTAAGACCTTAACTTTCTCCCAGAGTTTTCCATCTGGGAAAAAAAAACTCCGGTGGTTGCTGGCCAAACGAATATCCAAACATGTATAATCGCGGAAATATACAGTCACTGTTGTGTCATTCAGTTGTCACGCGGCAACCGACCCGGAGATTAGTTCACAGCAGAAAAAAAAACTTTGGGGACAAGATTACAGGGTCAAAAGACAGAACTATAGAAATCGAAGGACATGCGTAGAGGGATAACGAGAAAGGAATGATTAATGGCTATGGTGAAGGCAATGAACGATATAACCCACGATTTTATGAGCATCTTGATCGCCCTCTCTCGCTCGCGTTGAACAAACAAGTCCAAAAGATATCCGCCCATGTTGGGTGCTGACGAATAAAGCTGGAAAAAAGAATGATAATTTGACAGAGACCACGCGGAGCGCATTTTTAACGCATGCTTTATGAACGGCTCGTCTTTCTCTTCAGCCGTGAGAGCTGACATCGTCATTGTAAGCTGTGGAAACAGTCAAGAAAAATACGTTTGAACACGAGACAGCGCGGAGTCTATCAGTTCTAAACTGTTCTTCCAAGAGGTCCAGTAAGGATCATCTCTTATTGATCCAGTGTTACTACAGGAGGAAACCTAAACTAAGCTAACTTTATTTATACTGGATAGTTCTATCTGTTCTAAACTGTTCTTTCTAGAGGTGCAGTAAGGATCATCTCTTATTGATCTACAGTAGTGTTACTACAGGAGGAAACCTAAACTAAACTAGATCCCCTTTAAAACAATGCAAAGGATATCTCGTGTGTCTTTGGTGTAGATGAGATAGAGTATTCGATAAGCTGTAAACTCATTTCTATGTCCACAAAGACCTCCGGAATATAGCGATTTTAACTGAGATTGACACTGGTTGAACTCCGCGCTATCACCCTGTAGAGAATACAACACAAGTTACAAGAAACGAAGCCTGGTATACAATAGTGTAATCGCGAAGCCAAAGTCCAGGAAAAAGATAGTGCCAACCTTTTCCAACGCTAATCTAGCGTGCGTCTCGTAGATCAACACCGTAAAATCGTTCCTGATGCCTTGAACCTACATTAATAGAGACAGCGCGATAAGAAAGAGACCTAGACGCATACTCTACTATAGGGTGAAGACAACAAGTCCTCAGATTATGAATTTGATATTTCATGTATCTCAACATGGTCCTGAAGTTATAATCCAAGGTCGCTCCACATACGGTCAAGTCCTGCCTAATGGCCTTCAGCTGTTCACAAGCGTATCTGTAATCCTGTTTGGTTCTCCAATCGTCTTTAACCATCTCCAAAGATTTCCTCAGCACCTCCAAAGGTCGTACGGTTGACGGATCAGGAGGCTGAAGGAAAAGTCAAAAAATGTTGGGTTGTAACGATTAACGATGCGGTGACCGTGATGCAGCTCTACAAGTGATAGCTCTCTTCAACATAGATCGTACAACTGAAATTCACAAATGCTTACCGCAGTTAACCTAAAGTAACGTTTCTCCAGATCTTCACAGGTACCAATGATATGAAACTTAGTCCAGTCAATGCTCTCCTCGTCCTCGTTGCCATTTAGAAGCTGTCACAAAAGACGAACATCGCATTGAAGGTTTTAATTCTGCTTAAACTTCCAACTTACTCCATAGTATAGCACAAGGCACATTTTGGCAGAACACACTCAAACAAACAAAACACACCAGGAATGGCTTACCGAAGAATTTAGGTTCTCAAGAAGACTTCCAAACAAACTTGGGCTACTAATGTTCGCACTCTCAAGGAATCGAGCCGCTCTCTTCTGCTTTCGTTCATGGCTCTCTGGATCCACAGGGGCAAACATATTCTCCCTGGAAAACAAATGGAATTCATTTCCAAGCATAAGGTAAACTTAATTGACGACATTATATAGCATTAGACAACTTATGAGTGAAGAAAGTTTGCTATGAGAAATCTATGCAGACAGACTTTCAGTTTAAATCAGTCTGTTCAACTTACTTGTTCTCCTTTTTCTTATTTTGACGATGTCTTCCACGAGACTTGGTTTTCTTCATCACCGGTTCGCTTTCGTGGACTTTTTGTTTATTTTTTGCTCTCCTGTTGCCTTGTTTCCTGTTCTCAGGAGAACTGCTGTTACTTGAGACGCTCGCTTGAGGGCTGCAGGATCTGCTTGAACTGCCACTTCTTGATCGATGCCTTTCAATGCTAGGCTGACGTTGACCAAGACGCTGTTGAAGTTTTGAACGTTTCAACTCAGGATCCTGTCTCACACTACAGTAACAAGATTCAAACATTCTTAATTGAATTGAAGGGGAAAGGCAGGGTTGGATTTACCACAGGAGGAGGGGTTCAGAGAGATGCACTTGACACCTACTTGGGTAGTGGTTCCTTATCCCAGTTGATTCCCCATGCACTTCCCTCCTTGAATGCCCGGGTTAGCATCCTTTTTAGGTGATTCTCTGTAATATCTTTGTGTTTCTCGCTCTCACACTGATCAAAGGCACGTTGTACATAGTCCCTGCAGAACAATATAAAAAAAGATGTCACTCTTTATTCATATCACACCAATGTAGCCCAATGCTGCAACAAGTTCATGGTTTATTACTAGTAATAAAGCTTTCTCATAGAGTCTTCAAGAGGTTTTCTCAACTCACTTTAGACTTGGTGGCCAGTCTTGTGGAGATATTTTCGGTGCGTTGTTGTTGTCCTCAGGCTCCCGAGTGTTTGCAGGAGTATTTTTTATTTTCTTTGCAGCTGGTGGGCTTGCTTGCTCTTCATCCCAACTTGGTTTCAATACTGCAGATATTATGTCAAAGATATGTCAATATTGATCCTAATACCATGCACTGGGACACTGGCTTTCAGGTTGTGTGAGACGTATATGCATGAAACTTACATGCAATGGGGAATAATTTTTTGATATTTTATATTTTCTTCTTACCAGGGGGCTGGTCTCTTCTTCCCTTCATCCAAAACGGCTGCTTTTCATTTTTTAGAACATTAAAATAAGAAGGAGCCGGTGGTGGATCCATGTGTTTCTCCAGTTGAGGCTCCTTCTCAACAATTCTCTGATGCTTTGAATAAAAACGAAATAAAATTTTTAATGGAGGGTCTTCTTTCAGTGTGCTCTGACACACCAAAACAAAACCAAGTTGATTTGGATCATGAAAACTCACTTGTGTCTGATACATATTGTAGCTTTTAGGTGGTGGTATTGCAGCTTTGAATGACTCTGTTTTAGGTGGTGGTTGTGTTGACCTCTGATCAACCTCCATTGGACTTGGAGATGAATTGACTGGCGCACTCTGTTGACTTTTTGGCATGTAATTTGTGTTTGTATTTTGTCCATACTGGACAGAAGTTCTAGAAGCTTGTGGTGGTGGAACAGGTGGAATGTAGTAACGAGGTCTTGCAGGAACATTGTTTTGAGGTGGTGTCTAGGAAGATTCAAACACAAAGCATTAATCCTACTCACCATTTTCAAGACTAATCCTGATCAACCCTAAGCCTAAATCCATTTAGACTAGTCCTGATGAACCATTATCCTAAGTCCACTTCCTAGTAACATATCTACCCACTTTTTTACTCTAATCCTAAATGAAATAGACTAGACTTACCATTTGCACTTGATTACCCATTGGACGGTGATGATAAGGTTGATAGGGAAAATTATATGAGGGTGGTGGGGGGTATTGGTTATAGTAATTCTGATAATTATAAGGGAATCCATAATTAGGCAGAACAGGTGGTGGCACCGAAGTTGTGGCTGAGCACGTGCCATTTGACCCGGTCACTATATCATTACTGGTGTTCTGGGGGGAAATCTTCGCTAAAGCTTCTCTGGCTTTTTTCCATTCAGGGTTTTCCATTGCTGTGTCAGATTTAGGTAACCCCTGTGGGTCTGGCATGCTTTCACCAGGCACTGGTGGTTCTGGATTGCATTGTGATGACCTATCAAAGAATTATTTCATTCTACTTCAATAACCAACCTGAACCAACAAAGCCTGTAACTTATCACATTGAATATCTCAAGCCATCTCCCGTATTCCTACCAGTCCTACATTATATTGCATGAATAATGTCATGAACGACTATTGTTTTCTATCTACATACATGTTTTACTATTGTAGTTGTTTATTGTCTTCTAACACTTCTACTCTCACGTTAAAGCTACCTTTAAACATTAATAAACACCTCACTTCAAAATTTTAAAGCTTTCAAACGACAAAGTCATGATTTAGCGTACATATATAGTCAAAATATGTCAACGAAACAACCGAAGTAGCAGAAAAATGCACTTACATTTCCAACAAAATTTCAATGAAAAGAAAGCCAAAATTGCAATAAAAAACTTACCAGGCTGTAGAGGCTTTGAGGTCGTCGGTATTCCTCAAAGAAAACATGATTTTGGGGGCAATTTCCACCAAAATTTGATGCAATTTCCCAAAGCTTTTCGCTCTGGTTCAATGATTTCTTACAAGATTTCTTCGTTCTTGCTTCGTTAACAAACACCTCTATGACATCACACAATATTAACCAATCAGATCACTCGAATTTCACCGAAAAATTTCCGGTGGGATGACGTCATAATGAGTATCGCAACGCGATGCATTGTGGGTTTTTAGTCCGCCATCTTGTTTTTCCGAATTGAAAAATTATAACAATTTGTAGGAAAAACTTTTTTGGAGAATTTCGGTCCTAAAGGTTTGTATAAATACGCTGTATTTCCTCTGTTATGTAGTGTTGAATACAGAGAGCTTTGTTCTGCAAATAGATAAAGTCTATAATAAATTTTAATTTAAAATATCTCTCTAAAAATGACCATCATATTTGTCCAAGTATGTAGCATCTGATTGGGGTTTTTTTTGCAGAAAAATGTCCGAACAACCAGATTTCAAGATTGAAACTGCTTCATTTGATGCACGATTCCCTTACACAAACCAAGCAAGATACTGCTGGCAGAATTATTGTGATTATTTCAGATGTCGCCATAGGAAAGGAGAGGAATTTTTGCCATGCAATTGGTTCAGGAAAAACTATCTTTCTATGTGCCCGAGAAAATGGGTCAGTGTCCCAGACCCTTTAAATTAACTACATATTTCCCCACAATGCAGTATGTGGCATGGAAGCTTTGGGGCTTGTGATGTTTTGGGGCTGTTTACCTCAGCTCTGACTGGAAAGCTTATAATATTGTGCCCAAGATTTCAAAGAGATGTACTAGTAAATAAACAGGAAACATCAAAATTGCACACCCGATATCTTGGTTGCACAATCCATACTTTCCACACTGAAACATGAACCATACTAAGGCTAGCCCTATTAGGTGACCTAATTATAAATCCATATCAAAAGATGTTTTGTGAAAAGACTAATCATTAGTTGTATTTGATTTTTCCTAATCCCCTCTTATATTATGTCCTAGGTTGAAGATTGGGATACTCAGAGAGAAGAAGGAACGTTTGCTGGGAAAATTGAGTGAAAGAAACTCCTAGATTAATATTTTCATATCCAAGATGTAACTGTCTCCATGATAGTTGACTGTGTTATTTACAAGCTGTTTTATTTAGTTTCAAATGAAACAGAAAGTTTAAATTAAAAACCAAATGTAAAAATAGAGTTTGAAATAAAGCTTTTTCTCTAAATTGAGGTGAACAATTCATGCAAGATACCCACCCTTAGGCAAGAAAAAAATATCCAATGTAACCCAGAGTAGGATAGGATAGATTGCATCTTGTTTTCATTTGGTAACACTAGCTCAGTGGCTTAGCTAGTGTTGATAAGTTGAGGGAGGGCATATGCAAATATTCATTGTAGGTATGTAGAACACGAATTTATGAATGTGTCTCCCCCCATTATCAAGCTTCTATGCTAAGACACTAACTATTGCTGATCAAATGAGAGTTAAAGGCCTGTAAACTGATAGGGAGGATGTTCTACCACCTTGGACCCTTGTGCCACGCAAAATACGAACCAAATCCGAATGGGTTTAACCGTGCATCCTAGATCGTCACGTTGCGAATGTTCGTGCAATAATTCCGCCTGTTTGAGATCGATATTGTTTTGCCGTTGTATCTTAACACTGCCAGATGCAATTAGAAGTTAATTAGAATGCACCCATGCGAGGCAAATTACCATCCAAGAACAAATTAGGTCCATTTTAACTGTACAATATAATCGACGGAGTCGGTAATCAACAAATCCCCTCTTCAAAAGCGAGCGTACAAAGGTCATAGCAATATCATCTGTTACAAGGTAATCGCGGTGAATCAAGTAGAAACACTTGCATTAGGTCGGTATATACCATGCTGATCGAGGCTATCAAACAAGGAAGGGTGTTCATGGTGAAGTATCTTCTAGATTGCAAAGCAGCCGATGTAAATGAAACTGATAAAGATGGACAGACACCATTGATCAGTGCGTGTCTTTTGGATGATAATATGTCGGCGACCCGAAGAAAACTTGTCCGCTTGTTTCTGGTGAAAAACGCAAACGTGAACATGGCAGACAGTTCTGGTCGAAACGCTCTGATGTGGGCCTGCCATTTGGGAAAGATCGACGTTGTTAAAATCCTGTTTGGTCGTTCACTGATGGACTTAGATTTCACATGTACGGATCCTGTTGGTAACACAGCGTTACATTATGTGTCCTCAGCCGGACACTACCCTCTAACAAGCATGCTCGTGGAAGCCATGAACCGTTTTGGGGTAAGTGTGATACAAAGGATTGGGTGTTTGGTTCAGTGGAGTAAGATGATAAAGTTTGATAAAGTTTTGACTTTGTGAAGAGAAAGGAATAACTAGCAACCCTCAAATACAAATATCTCGTGTTCACGATGAAAACCTGTCAAAGTCCAACTTATTTAAGACAAACACCTCTTTGATACAAGCCCCTATCTAATGATACGAAATCGCTCTCTAAAGGTCTGTTCACACGATCTAACTTTGTCAGATCCAGTTCACTTCTGATGGATGTTTCATAGTTTGAAATTCCTTATCACATCATAACAGGGTTTTTTCACTTCCTAAGGTATCTTTGGACAGACGAAACAACGAAGGAATGACGCCACTTTTAGCGGCGACAAAAAGCGGGAACGAGATGTGCGCTAATGTCCTGTTGGAAAACGGCGCATCGCCAGATATTGTTGACCCAGAAACTCTTTTGAACGTCAAAGAGCTCGCAGAAGACGGGAAACTAAGTGAACTACTGGAGAAGATTACCATTCGCAGTCCTAGGACCCAGTCACGGTGTATGTTTCCAAGGCAACCGGATGATGACGACATGAGATCGACGATACGCAGCCCTGATCGTTCAAGGGGGACCACGAGAGATGATTTGAAACAACCAGACAAACAATCCAGTGATAATCGCGTAAAGGAAACCCGAACGCCTTTGGTGGGAAAACGAAAGGAAAAAGGAAGCAAAACAGAGTTGAAATCTGGCAAACTGAATACGACACAAAATAGACCCAAGACAAATACCAGAGATATTGCAGAGATTAGATCACGGAGTCCATGTATTAACTTCATTCCTTGTCCTCGTCCGACTAGCCAATGTAATATTGTACCACCTCAGACAAGAGAAACCAGATCAGCTCAGCCGGGCATCAATGGCCTAACAAACCCTTACGATCTGCGCAATCTTCAATCTGTGCTTTCCCTTTACGGTGAACAAACTGCTCCAGGCTTTAGAAAAGGCTTCACAACTCCTGGAATGAGTAGCGAGGACTTCCAACACTACCTGGAAGAACTGAAAGTGAAAGAGAAGAGAAGAACCTCACACCAGCTCGGGTTCCACCACTCCCCCCTGCAACACCGTCGTCGCTCGGCCCTGCTGAAGGAACACAATCTGCGCAGAAGCAGTGATCCCACGCATAACTGCCGCCGTCATAGTGTAAATCCTAGTCTATTTCAAAGGGGGGGTCTATTCGATAGAAATTTGTCTCATCTCATAGATTTACAATTGCCAGTGAGAACTAATAATCAAAGACGGCATACGATCATGGTATCCACCCCAAAAATGGGGAATTCGGGATTCTGAAACGGTGTTTTTGCTATTGCAAGAGAGGTTGAGAAAAAAGTCGACGGATTTGCTAACTGTAAGCTTCCAATTTCTAGCATCTCTGGTGGACTAGTAAACTACAAAACTACACCATTTAATTAGAACGATTTATTTAAGCTTAAAATAAGCAAGAAATGCATGAATACTATAGGTTAGGAAACCACGAAAGGTATATATCATTACAGCGCTACAAATCATATCCATAAATATGAATGTAAGTATTTTGAAAAACCGACATTCTTCCTTGTGTCTTTTTCAATATGGGATAATCCTAAGATATCTCATCAATACTCTGCTTGTTGTTCACAGCCATTATAAGTGGGATTAGTCGTGTTGACAGAAGTCAGCCGGTTCCTGTGACAACGGGATATTAATAATTCAAACTTCGCATGAAAGTAAAATGCAAGCCTGGTAGCAGTAATCCGGACAAGGCGATCGATGTGATGAAGAATGATTGAAATAAATTATTCATTCTGTACATATTCTGCATATAGGAATATAAACACAAAAGAAAAATGTTAACTTTGTTCCCAAAGCTTTTCCACAAAGAATATTGTTTCAACTGACTCCCACTTTTCTTATCAATTGATTCGAGTTTTCTTATCGCCCAGCATCGCTTGACGTGTCTTATGTTTCCTTGAATCCATCTCAGACACCGTTTATGACAATATAAACCAACGACAGCTGACATATATCATACTATGGATCAACATTTCACTCCAATAGTAATAAATGCATGTACATATATACACAATACTTCATTACTTCACAGCAAAATATTTGCTTAATTGCTTTTCGTGCAAACGAAGTTTAGAGAAGCGGCTGAATGTGGACGCGGTGATGAATTGGAGCACGCTGTAGAATGGTCTAATTTCATTTCGTTGAGATTGTGTTGACGTAGATCTTAATGGAAGAATAATGCCCGACAACAATTCCCAATTTCTTTGAAAACGCAATCGTTACATTAATAATATCTGTTATGCTAATATAATCGTAACTGTGGATACGATTGACACCACAAAAGCTGCGAGTGAAATTGAGAGCCTGTTGGCTGAAACGAGAGAGTTATCTAAAACGATACAAAATCAATGATCATTAAAGATTGCCTTCGTATCTTATTTTGAAGCATTTTCCAAGTGTCGCGTGGCGTGGATCAGGGCATCTCTCCTCATGCCGAGAAGTTTCTCCCGATGGACCGAGTGTTAATTTGAAGATCAACAAAGATGAAATTCTCAGATGTTATTAAGGTGCTAGGTCTTCAGGAGAGTTTTGTTTGGTTTAGAAGAAATAAACTACCAACGAAATAAATCTTGAAATAGCCATAGTTATCATCCGATACAAATGTCCAGATAAGAGTTAGGAATACACGAAACAGTATAAACTCAGAAGTGGATATTAATTGGAGTTAATCGGCGTCTCCGAGCAGAAGGAAGCCTCTTGTTTTTCAGGCCTTACAAAAAGCATCGATACCTTTGAAATTATCAGTAGCTACATTTTACACCAGACAAGCGCAAAGACCAAGAGTTCACCACGCAAGTTTAACAGCACGGAATATTGAACCCCGAAGAAAACGATGCACGCAAAAAAATCGGGTTTCCATCAAACATTGCCTCCAAAGTTTAATCGATCTTTGATCCTCATTGAGGCCGTCCATTCTGAACGGATTCGTCAGTTACGATTACTCCTGGACGCTGGAGTGAACGTGAATTGCAATGATCCCGAGACGGGACATACACCGCTTATTCGAGCTATGTTTATCGAGAATTCTCGACAACGAAGAGCAATCATTAAAATGTTACTCCGCTATGGAGGAAGAGTGGAGAAGACGGACAGGGAAGGAAGAACTGCATTTGCGTGGGCCTGTCTTTTAGGCAGAAACGATGTTATACGGTTTTTGTTTAGGGAAATTCACTTAAATATTGGCCTCAACTCCGTCGACAGCTCAGGCAATGACAATCTGATTCTCGCCTGCGCTTCGGGAAATCCCGCCACGGTACGACTCGTTGCCGAAGCATTTCGACGCGTGAGACTCGACATGAACCGACGGAATACGAACGATGAGAATGCGCTTATGACGGCGCATCGCTTGAGATTCTACGACTGTGTGAAGGTGCTGGTCGAAGAATTTGAAGGTTACATTGCGACCAATATGCCCAAGGATTTCTTATACGGCGAGACGAGAAACACTTCGAGTGATGGACAACTCGACCGTTGGCACAGACACAGTGCATCACCCTGCCACAGATATTCTCCATGTACAGCGACCATTTGACGAATTCGTTTCCAAGTAAAAGAAAATAACTTCAAATGATGCGTGTGCAAATAAATTCCGTACACGGTGACCGATGAAAACAGCTTTACGGCTCAGCAACATAAACACCGCATAAAAACATTTGCACGAATGCAAACTTATAGTAATATGTAACATAGGTAAAGACATATTTCTCTGCATTGCATAACTTAGCCTTGAGTTCTGTGACACTCGACATTAAAAACATCATTGATAAATGTTATTTGGAATATAAAAATTGAAGTTAATAAATTGTTACCAGCTATTCTTTTCCATCAGCAATTCCTCCAGCTGTTACTGCAAACGTTGCTTCGTTCTCCGGCAAATCAGGACTGGAAATAAATGAGGATACAAAAAAAAGTATGAGAGAGATGATTCGAGAAGGTCGTACAAAATCATTAGATTAGTGATGAGTGATGGAAGATTTAGCATGATAAAGATACAACTAGAATCTGTTTCAGTTAAATCAAATAGCTCTTTGTTTGTTAGCTTTTGTGTTGTGTATCCATGCAAAGGAAACGTTGAATCTTTCGTTATATCTTTGAGATAACACATTTTTGTACAACGAATGTGTTTAGCATGTGAGAGATCTGCGTTGGAACACAACGATCATCTAACCTGTCGTAAATTTTTGCAATTCGCAGCTCTCCTCTTCCCTTGCGCAATGAGATACGAGTGGTTGAAGCATGCGCCAGAATATGGCCACCGATTGGTTTCTTCGGATCCGCTTGAAAACTGAAATGAAATGAAAGGGGAATCATTTAGTTTAAGGAATAACACATGAATTAGCTCCATAGAGGATATCTTTAGATCTTTATCATTGAGGATACCAAGCGCAAAATGAAGTTTGAATCGTCAGCAGTATTAAACCCACCTACAAAGCGGTATGGAAAGTAGGGGGGGGGAGTGGTAACCTCACATTTCCCCTGAGGTGTCGTAACTTCGAATGAAACAATCGTAGCAATCATTTATTTGATCTCACCTCATTGTGGCTGTGTTTCAGAATTCAGGTCCACAAGATGCAATCAATTGATGAAACATAGAGAAAATATATTAGCTTCATTTGTATCTAAACTGACTCTTGTTTAGCATGATGGTAGTTTTATAGCAGAATATCTTTTTATGATCACTAACAATATTATTACCTCCTGGATCAGCAGTCATCTACAAAAAAATAAAAAAGTGGTATCGAGAAAATATCGATTAATAAATATGGGCTGTCAAATCATCTCAAAAGGTCAAATCCTGTCTTACCTGATTTGTGATAAAAACAGAAACATTAAATTCTAAAAAAAGAAACGGACAGAAGTGTAAATGGAGCTTTATTAGCGGCACAGGACGGGAGGAAGCCAGCGTTGGTAGTTGGTACCTTCAGAAATCTTCTGCAATCGTGATAACATTTGAGCCAATTTTTGCTGTCTATCTGCAAGCTCTCCCCTGCCACAGAAATCAACCCGGAACAATGCCATAATAGAGTCGATCACCTAAATACAGAGATATCATGTAGGATTTGGCAACGTTCCAGGATTCTGAATTTCTTCATGCACCCATTCTGCATAGCCGCGACCTTTACATCGATGACTTATGACTAGCATACCAGTAACTTAAATACTCCAGGTTCTTCATGGAATTTCGCTGCAACCATGTCCAGTAATTCGAATTGATGTTCACCTATAAGTACCAAAATGTCATGGCAGATGAGCTGAATTGAACATCGGCTCACCATAGGCTCACCATCGGTTCACCATAGGTTCACCATCGGCTCACCATTGGCTCACCATCGGTTCACTATTAGCTCACCATTGGCTCACCATCGGTTCACCATCGGTTCACCATCGGTTCACCATAGGCTCACCATTGGCTCACCATCGGCTCAATGCTCATCACCAAAGGAGGTAAAAGCTAGTATAGATGTGAAGCTTACTAGTGTAGGCTCTGCAATACAAAACGTTGTCCAACATCGCGTTTTGATCCAAGTTGAAGCGATCTGCAATTTCTCTCAAACGATCAGGACGACTGAGTTTTGATCAAGTAGATAACATTATTACATTAAGGTTTCTGCATGTACAGACATTTAAATAGAACCAATAGCGCAATCCGGCTGATATTGGTCGCAAGCGAAAAGGATACAATGTATTCTAGAAAGATGATAAAGAAGACAATATAGATATAAATGTTTGAAAATCTCACAGGTTCTAACAATTGCATAAGTGGTGGAAGAGTCACCTCTGTGTCGATGAAAATAACTTTTCCTCCAGAATAGCCGTTTGCACCAGGAAGTTGAGCCGTGACTAGGCATGAATAATCCAAAAAACATTAGTCATTTTTTTATCCATAAAATTTCCGTGATGATTTATCGCAATACACGTCTTTCAATTGTAAAAGATTGAAAGGTATATATAGCTATATACTCACCGCAAAGAGTATGCGAAAGTTGGGTTTTGCCAGTTCTGAATTCTAAAAACAAAATGTTGAAAGTATATAACGTACGATGGTCAAACGATTATAAAGCAACAAGTTAAATTAGTTGCTAAATGAGTTTCACCCACCACCAAAGACTTCAGTGATTGACATGCTTTCAATTCCACCTGTAGGAATTAGGATAGGAATTTAATTGTGGAATAATCAATAATGTGGAATAAGATGGAATACTGAATTTATTACTTGACAATTATACAAGAGCAATGAATATGCTATACTATGGTTGAATATAGGAAGAATATAGTTGATAATCACCCACCTCCAAGTAATTTGCTGAAAGAATGAGAATATATAAGAACCATTAACATCAAGGATAGCCACTTTTGCAGACAAAGAGGGAATGTATGTCTCTCGATCAGACAGTGTAAATGAGTGGAGGTCAAACTGTCAAAGACACAAGCAATAAGTGGGGGCTAATGAGGACTTACTTTAGTTCATCACTACCAGTTCCAATGCGAAAACACATTTTTCTAGAGTCGCTGTACTCTAAAGCAGTGACAAAGCCAGATGTCTAAAGTGATGTGTTAAAACAATCAGATAATTAAACTTTTTGGGAGTAATATATTGTCCACATCCTGTGCAGGAAATTGTAGTGTAACTTTCTCCTATGGTTTCAGATTTGATTTTTGTCTACATAGGTCCCCAATCTTACTAAAATGGAGCTAAAATACGCCAAGTACTCCTCATGTGAAGATATGAACTGGCAAAGTCAAAACAGATAGCAAAACTTACACTCAATTTCCCAGCCGCCTCCTGAAAAAAAAATTAAATTAACAGTTTTTGTGTGATGCATGGTGTTATACTCTGGCTGGCAATGCACCCACAACCATTGGTATGCTAGTCCAATGCTCTTTCAACTGCAAACTACTAGGTCAAGATGATTTCGAGAACTCAATCTAGGCCCTAGCTTATCTGTGTGTCTTAAAAGCTGAATTTAATTAGGAATGAGTTTAGCTAAGTCTAGAGCACTAACTTTGATCTTCTCCATCTTCGCCTCTGAGATTCCCTTTATCTGACACATTTTTCTCCGTGTTGTCATTTGAACACCCTAAACAATATGATTATTTTGATATTTCATGTTGTGGCATGAGGATAGAGGCTAATCTGAAACTTCTGGGGTAACCTTAATAGTGCAAATTCCAGCCGTCTTTAACTTCTTAATGTCAGCGACATTCTAAAGGAACCAAACTTACATGGTTATATGAGGTAAACAGGTAACGGCAGGGGTGGACAGGTGAGGGCAGGGGCGGACAGGTGAGGGCAGGGGTGGACAGGTGAGGGCAGGGGTGGACAGGTGAGGGCAGGGGTGGACAGGTGAGGGCAGGGGTGGACAGGTGAGGGCAGGGGTGGACAGGTGAGGGCAGGGGTGGACAGGTGAGGGCAGGGGTGCCCAGGTGAGGGCAGGGGTGGACAGGTGAGGGCAGGGGTGGACAGGTGAGGTGGCAGCTGCTCCCCAGAAACAGTTGAATCTCAAAGTGGCAATCAAATGCTTGCAAGAAATCAAATGCTTGCTCAACCAAAATATTTAGTCAGTATGCCTTGATAGTTGTAATCGGATTGATCGCTCTGTTTGCTTACAATTCCATGATTCTGCAACAAGTCAATATCCAGATAGAAGGACTCCTGTGAGCAAAAACAAACAGGGTTTTAACGTTTTTTAAAAAGATAACAGAGGAGAAGTTTGATAAATTTGATCTGAAGAGACATTAGTTTACAAATAGTGAAGCACCTCCTCTTCCTGGTCGCTGAGATCTGCTTCAACGACCTGTTCGTCTCTACGCGAAGCTTGCATCTTCTCAAAAATAATGAAAACAGAAAGAAAAAGTATTTTCTAATTCTAAAAGTATGAAATGTACAAAGAGAAAGATAACAGAAACGAAAATATTATATATATGCAAGATTTTAAACTTTCCACACTATCTCTCTACGTATTTTTGTACACAAATTGAGTTTGACCGTAAAAAAATATCGTTGAACATACCTTTTATTATGAGTTTCGACGTTACAGCTTTTGCAAGTTTTAAATATTCGGGCAATTTATAAAAATATTTTTTTATTGCGTTCGTTTTTTCTGTCAATGATTTTTTTAAGATTTTCCCGCCTCTCCAAAACCTGGAGCACGCTTTTAAGAACGCGGGCGAAACGCGTGTAATATGCGTGATTCTCGCGCGTTTCATTACAACCAGTTATTAGAGCCCCGGAATTAACTTCAATTTTATACATGTAAATTATTAAGAACATTTAATCTATTATCTATCAGCCTCAGGCAGTTGTTGACCACCAAAGAAAACTTATTGGTCAAAAGCTTCATTGATGTGTCCAATAAAATTATTCTCAAGGCCAACTTGATGCCGGACTTCAGTGATTTGACGCATTCTATTCTAAATCCACAGCTTATGATACCGGACTTCAGTGATTTGACGCATTCTATTCTAAATCCACAGCTTATGATATCGTCGCTCGACGCGTCGTTGCCTTTCGTCCATCGCGCATGACAATACGATTGCGCGTCTTCTTGCGCAATGAACAGATGACTGCGTACAGCTCTTCCACGCTGTTAAAAAACGTTTCTATTTCATCTCCATCGGCCGAGAGGTCCACGAAGGGAATGCTTGCCTTGGGGAAAGGAAACTGCATGCTCTAGAAGTTAAAAACATTAATTTTAGTACACATTAAAAACAAGTTTGTCTTGATAAAATGAAAACATCAACTTATTGACAAGCATATAGGGTGTTCTCTTCAGGTCTGAACATACTGGTTTTCTGGTGCGAGAGATCACTGTCTCAGTTTCACTTTCTTCTTCATACATAGGCTGTTCCCGTTCACAACATGATAACCCACTTTCCTCTTTCAAAAATCTGCTAATCATTGGCAACCCCTGGAAATTAATCATGGAAATATAATAACTTCGTATTTGCAATGCATACAAAAAAGTGTGCTCATTGTGTAAACTCTTGTCCTTGAAACTACTGTACGACATACCTTTGTAGACGACGGCAAGAAGGAATCCAGTTTAGCGAAAAATCCTTGCACGATTTCTTCAGTATTTCCAGCTATCTTTTCAACAACCGTATCTCGGTTCGATCTGGAGTTATCAAGATGGCTGTAGAACGAGATGCAGAGAGAATGCATTTTCCACGTCATCTTGACGCACGATTTGTATGCGAAGTAGGCCATCGCAGTGACTGCTCCACTAAACAGCAACGGTATTCCAAAAACACCCAGAAAGAGTGTTAAGAATGTGGTCAATCCCAAAGCCATTGTAGCTAGAATCCCAGCAGTCACAAAGAATGTTGGGACCAGAATGATGAGACCAAGTGGTACCCATACAGGAGCACTAGCGATTACCACCAGCAGTAATATCAACTGCGCAAGTTGGCCGAGTTGTTTTGCTTTTTTATCGTCCATTGATCCTCTAACACTGTGAGAGATAACAGTCAGCTGAGAAATCACGCAAACAGAGTATGCGCTCAGTTTTTTTCCCTCTATTGTGATCAGCAAACAATTAAACAAACCTTAAATTATGTAATTAAGTAGTAACAATGCTAATTAGCATCAATAAGATGACGTTACCAGGATTCGAACCATCGACTTAAAACTTGCGAGACCATTGCTTCAACCACTACACAACGAGTTCTGCTGTTGAACGTCAATCGTTATTTCTGTATCACTTTATCCCTTATTCAAAGTCATAATGAAAAATGTTTCTACCAGGATTCGAATCATCGACTTCCAACTTGCGAGACCATTGCTTCAACCACTATACCACGAGTTCTTGTGTTGAACGTCAATGCTTATTTCTATTACTTTAGCTCTTCGTTGAGATCAGAATGAAAAGAAATGATCATAGAAATAACGATTGACGTTCAACACACTAACTCGTGTTCGCATCCTGGTGAAATTTTTCTTAAAGGAAATAATGGTCTTTATATATTTTTTTCAAATCGGATTGTTTTCTAACTAAAGAAACTGAAGAAAATGGACGTACCTTCACATTTGTATGAAAACAATCCTAGTAGCTGATAAATTAATCAATCTAAATATTCCATTTTGCTCCTCAAATGACGCAAAAACGTAGCGTATTTGTATAAAAGCAAAGCTTTCTGATGAAATTCGATCTCATAGAGCGTGTTCTAGGCGCCATTCTCAACCAGTTTTAATGAAGTGTATCTGTCGAATAGATTTTTAGTGTCTAGTTTTGTTTAATGCTGATAAACAAACAGGTTCGCTGTAACAGGTGGTCGTGAAGTTGTTGCTATAATAACATTTGAGCAGTTTCTTGTATGATGTCGTCAGTATGATTAAGAAAAACCGTGCAAATGATAACCTGATTTTCTTCGGCCTATTCGACCATGGTCGAGTGTACCGTTTTCCGGCATATTTATAATCAAGTAGACCGTTTTCCGGCGCATTCGACCATGGTCAAGTATATCCGCCGGAAATTGGCTTATATTCAACGCAATTTCCACCGCTCTTCATTACAATTTCAACCGCTTTACACCGCAAATGGCCGTAAAATGACGAATACGAAAATGGTCAAATTGGCCGTAAAATGACGAATACGACCATGGTCGTATTGGCCGTAAAATGACGAATACGAACCATGGTCGTATCATGGTCGTATCATGGTCGTATTGGCCGTAAAATGACAAATACGGCCATGGTCGTATCATGGTCGTATTGGCCCTAAAATGACGAATACGACCATGGTCGTATCATGGTCGTATTGGCCGTAAAATGACGAATACGACCATGGTCGTATGATGGTCGTAATGGCCGGAAAATGACGAATACGACCATGGTCGTATCATGGTCGTATTGGCCGGAAAATGACGAATACGACCATGGTCGTATTTACTGGAAAATGACGAATACGACCATGGTCGTGTCATGGTCGTATTGGCCGGAAAATGACGAATACGACGATGGTCGTATCATGGTCATATTGGCCGGAAAATGACGAATACGACCATGGTCGTATTGGCCGGAAAATGACGAATACGACCATGGTCGTATTAGCCGGAAAATGACGAATACGACCATGGTCGTATTAGCCGAAAAATGACGAATAATGAAACAAAATTTACAAAACAGTTTAGCAAACTAAGTGCTAAGTGCCGTTCAGTCATTTATATTGAGTTTCCTTTCGAGAATGACGATTATTTTGACGTTAAAAACCAACAAGGATTGTTTCAAAACACTAAAAGAATATCAAAACACTAAAATTTCTCGCTAAAAACACTTAAAAAACGTTTAGGCGTTTAAATCTTGTCATTTCCAAGCGTGTGCTTTATTAGTCGTTTTCTATGCATATGCTTGTTAGATACCGCCACCCGAGACCAGGAAAAGCTTAAATACGTTAGATTTATCTTCGCTCTTAGGGCTAGCCACTGTAGCTGATTCGTCTATGACGCTAGGCTTGTGGCGATGCATACTCTGTTTCTCACTGAGACGTAACGGTTAGGTGCACATACATCATGGTCTGGGGGCCGTAGTGCATCTCCCCCTTAGACGGCCGTTAAGATGTGAGTTATGGGGGGGAGTTCTTCCTATAGCAACTGTCCTTGCACCTTTCGTAGTTGTAACTATGGTTGGTATATTGCGCCGGTTGTATAACCAGGTTAGATTGTGGCATAGGCTGGATGATCTCTTTTGGGTGTTTTTAGGTTATTTCCAAAATTTCTTTTTCTTTCCAAATTTTTCTTTTACATACAAAAAACACTGTTATTAAACATATATGGAACGGATATAGTTCGAAAAAAAAATTATATCGACTTAAAACTACCTTAATTAAACCCCTGAATACTCTCCCCAGTCTCTGCATGTTATAGGAGGCAATGAATTAAACAATTGCAGAGTTCATTCAGAAATCAGAAACATCAAACATTTACTGTATTATCAGCATGGTCGTATCATGGTCGTATTAGCCGGAAAATGACGAATACGACCATGGTCGTATGATGGTCGTATTGGCCGGAAAATGACGAATACGACCATGGTCGTATCATGGTCGTATTGGCCGGAAAATGACGAATACGACCATGGTCGTATTTACTGGAAAATGACGAATACGACCATGGTCGTGTCATGGTCGTATTGGCCGGAAAATGACGAATACAACCATGGTCGTATCATGGTCGTATTGGCAGGAGAATGACGAATACGACCATGGTCGTATAATGGTCGTATTGGCCGTAAAAGTGAACATGCACAATTCAACGAGAACGAACGAGTAGCCTCATTAACCGAGCGACTCAGTTGTCTGCACTCGTTTAAACTCGCGTGGCTACTGGATGAGACCTTAAATATGAATATTCGACAAGCACTTAGACGAATGTGATAATTTTATTTCGTTCCAAGTCGATTAGCATAAACAATTCACTGACAAGGAACAAATATGTAAGACTTCAAACCCAGACGACTTGCTTACGGAAAAGTTGAACAATTAGCGTGTCAATAACCGTGATGATATCAATTGCCAAGTATATTTTAAGCAATGCACTCTTGAGAGTGGTGTATAGCCCTTTGCTTGCTATGTAATTAAATGCTTTTAAAATATTCTGCAAACAGCTTTGAAGTCGCTAACTTTGCTACGGACAATGCCTCCTCGTCAAGTTGTAAGGTTAGGAAACGAAGAAAGGAGTATAATTTTAAGGCCGCAAGGGCTATATTGTTATACTAATTTGTTGAAACTCTCAATTAACAAGGCGGATGATTGCAAAGGGTTCATCTCGTCGTTCAATATTACAGTATGTAGGTTTCTAACGATATTTCAATACTTGCTCTAACCGCACGTATAAGTATACAGAAAAAAAAATTGAATAAAACTGTCAACAATTAGTCATCAAGTGCAAAGCAGTCGCGGTTGCTTCTAAGTCATCAATCTCAGAAAACAGTTGTCTTGTTTTGAAAACACTTAAACCGTATGAAGGTAAATAGGGATGAATCCCCAAAGAAAACACAGCATAATTATGGCATGGCTATTCAATTTATTTGTAAAAGGTCGAGCCAAACAAAAATTGGATGATTAAACATGTGAATAATTACAGAGAAATTCATTGAGTAAAATATCGCTACCCGTAAACGTATAAACCGAAACCCTAAGTCCTAACATCAAATGTGTAATGGTTGAACGTCATTTCGACATTATTTGCATTATCCAAAAAGTAAGATCTTTGTAATTATGTATTTATAAATGTGTACAAGCAGTTTGGTACAAATGTGTTTTGTTTTATATTAACATAACACTTATTAACATAACTGCATAGTCGTTCGTTCTCGTTGAATTGTGCATGTTCACTAAAATGACGAATACGACCATGGTCGTATCATGGTCGTATCATGGTCGTATCATGGTCGTATTGGCCGTAAAATGACAAATACGGCCATGGTCGTATCATGGTCGTATTGGCCCTAAAATGACGAATACGACCATGGTCGTATCTAGTCGTATTGGCCGTAAAATGACGAATACGACCATGGTCGTATTAGCCGTAAAATGACGAATACGACCACGGTCGTATCATGGTCGTATTGGCCGTAAAATGACGAATACGACCATGGTCGTATCATGGTCGTATTGGCCGTAAAATGACGAATACGACCATGGTCGTATCTAGTCGTATTGGCCGTAAAATGACGAATACGACCATGGTCGTATTAGCCGTAAAATGACGAATACGACCACGGTCGTATCATGGTCGTATTGGCCGTAAAATGACGAATACGACCATGGTCGTATCATGGTCGTATTGGCCGTAAAATGACGAATACGACCATGGTCGTATTGGCCAGAAAATGATGAATACGACCATGGTCGTATCATGGTCGTATTATCCGGAAAATGACGAATACGACTATGGTCGTATTTACTGGAAAATGACGAATACGACGATGGTCGTATTGGCCGGAAAATGACGAATACGACGATGGTCGTATTTACTGGAAGATGACGAATACGACCATGGTCGTATGATGGTCGTATTGGCCGGAAAATGACGAATACGACGATGGTCGTATCATGGTCGTATTAGCCGGAAAATGACGAATACGACCATGGTCGTATTAGCCGAAAAATGACGAATAATGACACAAAATTTACAAAACAGTTTAGCAAACTAAGTGCTAAGTGCCGTTCAGTCATTTATATTGAGTTTCCTTTCGAGAATGACGATTATTTTGACGTTAAAAACCAACAAGGATTGTTTCAAAACACTAAAAGAATATCAAAACACTAAAATTTCTCGCTAAAAACACTTAAAAAACGTTTAGGCGTTTAAATCTTGTCATTTCCAAGCGTGTGCTTTATTAGTCGTTTTCTATGCATATGCTTGTTAGATACCGCCACCCGAGACCAGGAAAAGCTTAAATACGTTAGATTTATCTTCGCTCTTAGGGCTAGCCACTGTAGCTGATTCGTCTATGACGCTAGGCTTGTGGCGATGCATACTCTGTTTCTCACTGAGACGTAACGGTTAGGTGCACATACATCATGGTCTGGGGGCCGTAGTGCATCTCCCCCTTAGACGG